AGAAGAAGAGGGTGATGGCCATGCCAACGAGCTGGCTGACTTTGAAAACTTGGAGCAGATTGGCGAACAGTTGGATACCCAGAGCGAAGGCCAGTCTTCGGCTGTTCCTGCCCATCATATTGCACGGACGAATACAGACAATGTGCCCACGTTGCCCTTCACATTCCCCTGTCCTACCACGCATGATGCCTTTCTTGAATTGCTGGAAGAGCACCAAGTCCAGCCATCCCAACTCAACACAGTCGTATCTCGTATCCGTACTCTGCATGCTCCCAATCTGGCAGAAGAGAACCCTGTCAAGCTTCAGCGGTTCCTGGGTGTCCTTGTCGACCACTTGCTTTACCGTACCCATCAAGAGGATGTAAAGGAAGACGATCTTCGCATCGTGAACGACCTTGTGCTGCATATCTACGAACTTGCGAAAACATACCCACTGCGGGCGGCCGAACACTTTGTCGCAAAGCTCTCGCTTATGCAGCGCAACTTGATGCAGGGTCTGAGTCATGGCCCTCTTGCATCGACGTCGCTTACATGGCCACGCCTTGCGGAGCTGACGTTGCTGCGGACGTGCGGCTTGATTTGGCCCACGAGTGATCGCTGGCATGCTGTCATGGCGCCCATGTCGCTCCTGGCTGCCCAATACTTGGCACACGCACGTATTCGCTCGTTGAACGACATGGCATCCGCTTTGTATTTGTGCTCTCTTATCGCTTCATGGCAGCGTGAGAGTCGACGTGTCGTGCCGGAAGCGCTCAATGTGCTGTACAGCATTGCTGCCATTCTCCTGCCTCTACACCATGGCAAATCGCGCGCCAAATTGTCGCCTGTAAAGGCACTAGCAGAAGAATTTGGCATTCCTACACCAGATGTCGAGGCAGCCCACACAGACCCCCTTGTCATTCAGTCGGATTCTACGCCCCAAACGCGTATGAACCTGGCGCAAGTATTTACCTCCACGACGTACGAGGCAGCACAACAGAAAGCAGACCTATTGTATATGTGTGTTGCCTTGCAACAGTCGTTTGCGCAGCTCTATGAGGCAAGTCCGGCCTTTGTGGAAATGTTCACGCCTATGGTGTTCTTGCTGGAGATCGGCGAGGCTGGACTGCGAGATGTGGCCCCTGCCACGGTCGCATGCGTTCACGATGCTGTGCAGCAGCTGCGCGAGCAGCTTGAGACCGCCTACGGTCAGCGACATGCGCTACGCTTGCAGGCTCATCGCGCGTTGTCGATCGCGTCGTATGCACCCAAGTTTGACCAACAGTCCTTCGATCCACGTCGTGCTACCGACCCCGACACGGAGCGTGCGAATGCGGCCAAGATGCGTGCCCTGCTCAAGAAGGAGCGCAAGGGCGCTATTCGGGAGCTGCGTAAGGATGCCCAGTTCATTGCCGAGGAACGCGAGCAGCGCCGCGTGGAGGAAGATGCTGCGTACAAGAAGAAGATCGATAAGATTGTGGGAGGCATGCAGGAAGAGCGTTCCGAGCAGAAACAACTGGAGCGAGCTAAAGCTCTGCTCAAGAAGCGTGCTGGCAAGCGTTAAGTATGTAATTTGCACCCTATGTACTATATAGATCACAATTCGTGGACCAGTGATTGTCTCTTGGCAGGACCGATGTGCGTTTTGTTCCTACCTCCACCCCCGGGTGCAACACGTTGGCCTCGTCTGGGATGGTACGTTGACATGAACACGTCTTGGTAACCCATAGGTAAACAAGCTGTCCAAATCAGCTCAGTTGCAGCGATTCTGCTCTGTCACCAATGCTACCACAGATGAAGCGCAAACTTACTTGAAAGTGCATAACAATCGGTTGGAGGCGGCCATCGATGCTTACCTTACTGACCAAACGAACTTGGCTCATTTACCTCGCCTCACTGCGCAGCAAGAAAAGGCTGTTCGTGCTCAGCTTAACGCCCTATTCGACAAGTACAAAGGTGCGTATAATCCTTGCTTATGCATGACAGATGACGATGAGCCCGATTTGATGGCGTCGGAGGGCGCCTTGGCCATGTTGCAAGATCTCGGCATTGATCCTGCTAGTGTCGCCGTTCTCCCACTATCCTATTATTTGAACGCTCCAACATTGGGCCAGTTCACACGCTCCGACTACACGGAGGGCTGGCTACGATTGGGGGTGGGTGCCACCACGCAAGGTCCGCTCACGCATGATATTCTTCTGGCACAGCAAAAGGAAGCTGTGGCACGCATGATGGAGACTTTTGCACAGGATGGACCTGTGCTTCCACTATATAAGACACCATCTCCGCCTTCGAAGAAAGGATTGTATACCACTGTGTACGAATACACATTCGCATTTGCCAGGGGCGAAGGTCAAAAGAATCTAGGTACGTCTATGCGCGCATACTGACAGTTCCAGGTTTAGACATGGCTCTTGCATTTTGGGACCTGCTCATGCCCTACGCTCCATCGTACGGTGCAAATGGCTCTCGTGCGAGTGCTGGTCCGCCTTCCTTCTCGCCAGCCCAGTTTGAGATGTGGAAGCGCTTTTTGACAGAGGCGTCTCAACTCCGTGTTATTTCCAAAGATACTTGGTCTCAATTCCTTGAGTTCACACGAGAAATTGATCCAGCCTTTTCGAATCATGATTTCGAGGCTGCATGGCCTTCCGTGATCGACGAATTCGTAGGATGGGCTCAAGAACAAAAAAAGATGTAGTTAACCAATGCGTTTTTGGGGTATTCAAATGTAGCTATGAGAGGAAACAGTATACTCCAGGTCCATGTACATGCTTGTTACTCGTCGCCCAATTCGCGCAAGTATAGAACATTGTTGCACCTGAAAAACGGTTAGTGCGGTGTGCTGGATGATAACTTACCGGATGAAGACTTCACCAAGCGTACCATTCGACTTCCCATCTTGAATTTCCTCCGTATTTGCCAACTTATTTTGTTAGACAAGATCTCTATCACATACCTGGAAGTTCATATAGTTGTCTGTGCTGACCAGGAATCCCTTGTACTCTAAGCCCCACTTAAGGCGAACGAGCACCTTTTTCCCGATCTGCTGTTGTAGAAACGGTTTGGGGTTCACAGGAAAATCCTATAGCAATGTAAGTCCCGTTCTACACAGCCGTGTTCACAAATACATACCGGCATGATCCCTTGACAATGGCGTGTCTGCAGATTGCGTGTGGGACGAGACTTTGGTGATGAAAACCACGTTGAGACCACGTGGCTTCTATGCGGGCATCGACGATTACCCCGGTCAAAGCGCACGATACGAATTTTATTTGGCCCTGACATACATCTTTCGCGTATTGCATTGAAGCTACGTGCATTGAGGCTGTAGTGTTGTTGTACACTCGCCGTCATGTATGACACTATTGAAGATGTAGCAGGGGATGGTAGACCTCTAGAGGGGAATCTAGAGGGTCTACCAAGAATTCGTGTGCCTCCTTTCTTGCGATTGCCTGTACTTACACTTGGTCACCTAGGTTCACACATTGTTTGGTCGGTCCTGAATGCAAGAGCCACCCTATTCTTGCAGCGCATGGGTTTATATAAGAGTATCACAGCAATTGTCTTGATTGCGGGGCCTTTAAGTGGTCTCTTAGTGCAACCTGCTGTCGGTATTTTGTCCGACCAATGCTCTAGCAAATGGGGACGACGTAGACCGTACATTTTCGGTGGTCTGCTTGGCTGCATCTCATCCCTATCCTGCTTGCTTATCGCTAGTCTTTTTGTGAAGCCAGGGGATCAACACGCCCCAATTCTTGCCATGTTGCTAGGCATTGTCGGTGTTGTAGGGATTGACGTGTTTATCAATGCGAGTACGTTTGGTGTTTGACTTACCGCTCCTAAAGTGTCGGCAGCCCATCGTGCACTGACAATGGATATGCTAGGCCCAGATGAACAAGATATGGCCAATGCATGGGCTACACGCTTTGGCAGTACTGGTTCAGTGGTTGGTTACCTTCTCAGCGAGCTCGACTTATCGGACACTTTGCCATTTGTGGGCTCCCATCTCGACCAAGTTACGGTACTTTGCTTCTTCGCGATCGTGATTGTCGCCAGTACACACTCAACATTGCTCTTCTTCATCGAAGAATCTGTGCTCATTAATACCCATTACCACACAAAGACATCGTTGCTTTCTTCCGTGAAGAAAATGGTTTTACAGCTATACCAGTGTGGACATACCCTGCCTCAGCCTATTTGGGACTTGTTTGTGATCCAATTCTTTTCGTGGATCTCATGGTTCCCCGTCCTTTTCTACTGTACATCGTGGGTCGCAGAGATCTATAGCCGTGCGCACAATGCGCCAGCACAGGCTGCTACAAGAACGGATGAATTAGGAGAGCAAGCACGACGGGCTGGTAGTCAAGCCATGTTTTTTTATGCTTGCACAGGCCTTGTTGCTTCTATTGTTCTTCCCTGGTGTATCCATGACCACGCCAGTGCCACCAAAAGTGTCGCTCAGTCATATGTTCGAGGAAAGCATATGGATGTGGAGACCCAAACAGACTCACACTTGCAACCAAAAGATGCCGACGTTCAAGAGGAAGTGCCCAGTGCACTTGCGCCTCCGCCCTCCGTTATTCCCACTTCACATCGGCGGTGGCGTGGACCCACGCTAGCAGAGGTATGGTTTTTATCGCAGGTTCTCTTTGTCGTTACTATGCTCTTTTTCACTTGCCCTGTATCTTATTACAAGAGCTTGGTCGGTGCGTTCTGCCTAGTCGGTGCTCTAGGCATCTCATGGGCCATCACCCTTTGGATACCATATGCCTTGCTGGGAATTTTATTATTTTCTGCTCAGCCCTCTACTGAAGAACCTGATGCTGTACCATTAGCATCTCTCATGGAGCAATCAGAGGGGTCGATCTCAGCACCAGGTACAGGCGTGCAGGAGACACCTATTAATTTGCGAGCTGAGGCGGGAGCTGTTATGGGTCTTCATAATTGGAGTATCGTATTACCACAACTGGTTGTATCTATGTTTTCATCTATGAGTATGTATTTAAAAACGAGACTGACTCTATTCCAGTTTTTATGCTGCCTTCACTACTTTGGGATCAGGCTACTGCAGACGCTGTGGATAGCACGGGCCTCCTCTTTCGCGTCGGGAGTCTGTGCACGCTGTACGCTGCAATTCGCACATTCCGATGGGTACGTGCATACGACAGCCCCACAGGCGCTGCCCTAGTGTAGTCCAATAGTTCTAATGTATATTGATTATCTCATCACAAGGCATGACGGGCAGTGCGATTTACCGCAGTAGGTAAGCGCAACATAGAACGCTGACCAACATAGCCTCCTAGGACCTATTTTATGAGAGCGTCTGGCATTTCATGCTGCAATTGACACAAATCTATATTTTGATTGGTCCATGTATGTTGTGTTTGATCCGAGAGCGGTATCACATGCAGCCAGCCGACGTGGCGCTAAGCTGAATGTAGATGGCAGTCTCCCCGGCCGACTATCAGCCACGCAGCCTGCTTGACGGAGCCGCCCAACGTAGGTTCTCTTCCGAATACCGAGTCTAGTGTCTGTACGTATTTGGTCGCATAATCCCGTTTGTGAGGGATACATGTGCTATTCTATTCGCAGAACAATATACTAACACGAGTGCCTTTTTGTTTGCGTGTCACTAACAGACTTGATATCAGTTCTCAAAATGACCACCCCCTCGCGTGAAGACTCTGTGTACCTTGCCAAGCTGGCCGAGCAGGCCGAGCGCTACGAGGAGATGGTTGAGAACATGAAGCGTGTTGCTTCGTCCAACCAGGAGCTTACTGTTGAAGAGCGCAACCTCCTCTCGGTTGCTTACAAGAACGTGATCGGTGCGCGCCGTGCGTCGTGGCGCATCGTCTCGTCGATTGAGCAGAAGGAGGAGTCAAAGGGCAACGAGAGCCAGGTTTCGATGATCAAGGTCTACCGCGAGAAGATCGAGTCGGAGCTTGCCCAGATCTGCGAGGACATTCTCAAGGTGCTTGACACTCACCTTATCCCGTCGGCTGCCTCCGGTGAGAGCAAGGTGTTCTACCACAAGATGAAGGGTGACTACCACCGCTACCTCGCTGAGTTTGCCACCGGTGAGAAGCGCAAGGAGTCGGCTGACAAGTCGCTCGAGTCGTACAAGGCTGCCTCGGAGGTGGCTGTGACTGAGCTCCCGCCGACGCACCCGATCCGCCTCGGTTTGGCCCTCAACTTCTCGGTGTTCTACTACGAAATCCTTAACTCGCCCGACCGTGCATGCCACCTCGCAAAGCAGGCCTTTGACGATGCGATTGCTGAGCTGGATACCCTGTCGGAGGAGAGCTACAAGGACTCGACCCTTATTATGCAGCTTCTGCGTGACAACCTCACTCTCTGGACTAGCGACATGCAGGACACTGAGAAGCCTGCTGACAGTGCTGCTCAGGGTGAGGCTGCTGCGCCGGCGCCAGCCGAGGCCAAGGGTGAGGAGGCTGCTTAAGTTGCTTGACCAACCCCTCTCTCTTTCCTCATGCCCTCCCACACTATAAGGATCTAGCATATTTTTGTCTCGTAGGAAGCAGCGCTGGTGATAGCCCTGCTGAGCTACTTTCTCCTTGAATTCTATAAAATGTTAGTTTATTTGTGTCTAGACCGATTCAGGTTGGGTACCTGTCGTTTGCGTGTGATTATTCCGTGTACCCAACACTGGTGGCGTGATGCCGGATGGTGGGGTCGGCGCGTCGATTTCCTCCACTGTAGTGGAAATAATATCTGCCAGGGCGCTGACGCCTCTTCTCCGCACGCTGGCAAAGCATTTAGACCGTCTTGCCTAGCAGTGGGTCTTGAGGAGTCCAGGCGTGGGGGGTACGACGATGAGGAATATGCAGTCATTGTCCTCTATGCGTGGGTTAAGCCACTACATATCCGAATTTCACGCGACGACCTCCCCCGAGGCGGAAGCAGAATGTGTCCGACGCGAGATGCACCGCATCCGCTCCAAGCTGCAAATGACGCCCAAGCTGGATGGTTACCAGCGTAAAAAATATGTGGCTAAAATCTTGTTCTCCTACTTACAAGGCCACAAAGTGGATGTTGGCTACATGGATGCCATCACGCTGATATCCAGTGCGAAGTACTCTGAAAAACAAATTGGATATCTCACGCTGACGTTTTTGTTTCATGAACGGTCCGACCTGATTACGCTGGCTTTGAACTCGATCCGAAAAGATTTACAGAGCCTGAATGAAGATCACACGTGCTTGGCTTTACATGCTATTGCCAATATGAGTAATGTTGTCATTGCGGAGCTTGTGAGTGAGGACATCCTCAAGCTTCTCGTTTCGCCCACATCCCCTGTGCATGTGCGCAAAAAAGCCGCTCTTGCTTTATTAAGAGTCCTTCGTGAAAGCCGCGATAGTGTGGACGTTTCGGACTGGATCGATCGTATTGTCCCGTTGATAAAGCATCGGCACTTGGGATTGTCCGAATGCATTACGTCGCTGGTGACAGAGCTTGTTCGGATTGACTCTGACAAGTACCAGGTGTGTTTCAAACCTGCCTATGAGCAACTTTATGAGATTGTTGTTTTACAGGATTGTCGACAAGACTATCTGTATCACAATGTACCTGTTCCTTGGCTTCAAGTCAAATTGTTGACGCTATTGCAACTACTTCCACCGCCCACGGAGAATCTTGTGAAAATCAAGTTGCAAGAATTGCTACACCATATCTTACGTCCTGACAAGCCCCTTCGCTCTATACCTGATATCCAAGAAAGCAATGCTATTTATTCCGTGTACTTCGAAGCCATTCGCTTTGCCATGCATTTGGATCCTGCCTCTATTTTTGTGGCACGCGCTGCTGTGCAATTAGGGCATCTAATTGCCCATAAAGAGACCAATGTGCGATATCTTGCACTTGAGACTATGACGCAGCTAGCCCAATGCTTATCATCTCTTGAGCCGATCCAGATGTACCGTGACGTGATATTCCTGTTGTTACGTGACAAGGACATTAGCGTTCGTCGTCGTGCGCTCGATCTGCTGTATGCTATGTGTGATGACACCAACGTGCAGTATATTGTTGGGCAGCTTTTACGATACCTGTCCGTGGCGGATGTGTCACTTCGGCAAGATATGTCGTTGAAGATTTCCTTGCTGGCCGAATTGTATGCATCCGACTCTACCTGGTACATTGATACAGCCATGTCGCTGCTGGAATTGGCGGGCGATCGACTCCGAGATGAACTTTGGTATCGTATTGTGCTTGTGGTGACCAATCATCCGAAAGTCCATGCCTACGCTGCAGAACGCATTCTCCACGCGCTGAGTCGGTCAGAATGCCATGAAATCCAGATTAAGCTGGGTGCCTATTTGCTGGGCGAGTATGGGTACCTCATTGTCAATCAGCCCCACTGCAGTGCCGCCCAGCAATTCCAATGCTTGCATTTGCATGCGCACCAATGCTCGCCAACGACCTTGGCCATGCTGCTGTCTACGTACATCAAATGGATCCCCATGTATCCTGACATGGCCCCTGCGTTGGAAGGCGTGCTGCGGCAGCATCGACACGTCATGAATGTGGAAATGCAGCAGCGTGCCAATGAATACTCTGTGCTGGCCGAGTTGGAGCGGCAAGGGACGCTCTCGTTGGACCAAGTTCTTTACGAGCTCCCCCCGTTCAATACGCAGGTCCTTCCAGAACAGACACAAGCGCCAGGCTTGTTCCGCCTGTCGAAGCGCATATCGATGCAGCCGGCTGTATCGTCTGTGCCACGCGGGGAAGCGCGCCAGCATATGCAGCATGAGAAGCTCAGCATTACCGTTCCTTCAATGTTGCCCGTGCCGATGGAGCCTGATACCAGCTTTGTTTCGATGCCACGAGATATATCCACAGTGACGGCCAACACGGCCGAGGAGGATGTCGATTTGTTGGACCTGCATAGCTTCCGGATCATGTCTCCCACAGGCAGCGACGATCTGGAGGCGCCATGGCATGCCGACGAGAGCCTCATTAGCCCAGATGGTCCTCTTCTTGCGTCGAGCAAGTCGTCCATGCGTGGGCTGAGTCACTATGCGAATGACTCTATATCGAGCCACGCCTCCCTTCCTACCTCGTCGTCCAGTGAAGCTCATGAGAATGTACTTCATATTCCACTTTCCCAAACGGCTCTGCTGGCCTCGCATGCTGTATTGCACGACACGACCACCGAAACCATCACGATGGTATCTAGCACGACACACAAGAGCACGGCGACGGTGAAACTGGAGCTGCACAACAAAGACGCAACAACAGCGCTCTATCTTCATACGGTCCACGTCGCTGCGCCTGCCCCGCTGGAAGCGCATCTCGCAGGGATGGAGCGTGGCGCTATGTCGATCGCGTCGGAACAACGGCATACCTACACAGTCGAGTTTGTGTCTCATGGCTCCTTTACAGGCACCACCGACATGGTGTTCCATTGGACGCGTGGCGGCGCCGTGCCCGTGACGCTGCATGTGGCCTTGCCGATGCATGTGGCTCGTTTCCTACGACCCACCACCATGTCTGTATCGGACTTTTTCGAGTGCTGGCAGTACGTGAAAGAGTATGAAGCCCAAGGCGTCGTCCAAGTAGACCAGCGAACGATCGAAGCCTACGAGGCCACGATGCAGTCGATGGGCTTGGCCATTTTACGAGGGGTAGATCCCCGGCCTGACAATGTGATTGCTGCAGGCTCGATGGATATCCAGCAGGCGGACCGCATGGGCTTCCTTGTGCGTTGGGAACCACGCGCAGAGTGCAATGTGGCACGACTCACTGTGCGGTCCACGCAAGCTTACGGCGCTGAGGCGTTGTATGCCTTGATGGTCGGCCTGATGGAAGGGTAAGTAGCGGACTTTCCGGTTTGTAGATCTTTCTGTATATACCACCATGTGGGCGTCTACGAGACACATTACCCTGTATAAGGGCTGATACTCATCGCCTCTAAACTCTGCGCGATCAACTCGGGCGTGATGCTCGACGAGTAGTACGACGTAGATGGTCGGCTGTTGCGCATCATCACGCTGAGCTTCGCACGGTTTTCGAGCGGCAAGGCCGACACATTGTCGCCGTCGTCATCGTCGTCGTCGTCGTCGTCGTCGTCTCCCTCTTCGTCCTCTTCGCCTTCTCCGTGGCCTTCTTCATCGTCGCCTTCGGGCGCGACATCTGACCATTCGCGATACAAGCGGTGGACTAGCACACTAGAGTCACGTAGGCGGTAGGGATCAAAGGGGAAGAAGACGTCCAAGGCCGGCGTAGGCAGCGCGACAGGCGCGCCTGGCGGTGGGCCAGGCGGCGCACCTGATGTCGGCGTCGACTCGCGCGTAGAGTCACGGGTAGAAAGTGTTTCATGCGCCTTGCGCATCTTGCGTGGCGTGCCCGGGGCCGAGGAATTCGACGAGGTGTCTGTGACAGACCGCTGCGCATTGGCCTCCAGAACCGAGTAGCAATACAAAAAGCCCGTGTATTGCGAGATATTGGCGAACTGGTGTACCACGTTCCCATTGCAGTACCGCAAAGGATTCAGCGGAGAGGTAATCGCACGTTGGACAACAGCCAAGCCAGGTGCCCAGCCACGCTCGCCTGTGGCCGAGTGCGTCGAAGAGACACTGGAGAGCGAGGACGCATGCACCACAGGCATGAGCTGAGGCGAGAGCTCGAGGGAGCATGCTGCCGGGTAGGTGGCTGCCAGAGAGGGTATACTATCGTCCTCAGGACCAGCTGGCGCGTCGCCACTGGACCCATCCCGCAAGTCACGCCATCGGAAGCAAAACACGTAAAATACAGCTTGGGCCACGGCATAAAACACCGCATGATCACGCGCGCCAGGCGGAGGCGCATGCACGCCTAACGACGCAAACGATTCCAGGCAGGCGTCCATGTAGGTACACAGATTCAGCACGACCATGCGTGTGGTCGAAGCATCAATGTAGCGCGCCCGTGCCACGTAGCTCGCGACGTAGCTCGCAGCAGCAATGCGCAGGATCGCAGCCGAATCACCCGAGTCACTGCTCGTGCCTGCGGTGGGCACAGCATACAGGCTTTTGCTTAGCAATGTGCCAAGGAACATGTCCGCAAATTCATGGTCCAGCGAAGCAAACCAGAATAAAAGGAACTGTACATGACGAGACTTGAAGGTCGTGAGGATATTCCGTGTAAAGATGCCCAGCAGCGTTTGGTATAGGTGGTAGCGACGTGTGTAGACATCTGATGTCGTGGGCGTGCCAATGTAGTTCTCTAGGAACTCATACAGAGCTTTCATTATGGCATCCAGCTTTCCAGCCAGCGCCGCAATTTCATTCCATGAGGGTTCTTGATGCGCTGGATCGGCTTGCATAAGCGCATCCGAGGTATCGTAGCCTTCTTCATCTGATAGGTCTTCTAGCGTGTCATATGTATCATCGTCGCCATGCTGTGGCGACAGGCCATGGGAGGCCAAGCTCGCCGAGTCCGAATCCGACTCCATCCCCTGATCCAGCATATGCGCCAAGCTTTCGTGCTCTGTCGGCTCAATACCCTGCTCCTCCAACTCATCCAGTTCAACTTGGATCGCGACATCAATCTGAAGCGCATGATCAATAATGGCCGTCCAGATAGGCTCCGTTAACGCTTCACAGTATACACTCATCCGAAGCAGGTTTTGGATATAAAGGACCTGGCTCATCGTACGATCGCGTTTGTGCGGAAAGTGCTGAAGCAACAATGGCTGCAGCGTCGCTGGCAACGTGGGAATCAGGCGCAAAAGGGTCTGGAGAAGCCCATGCAGCTTATCATAGAGTTTCCGGCGCGTCGTGGTCTCGCGCTCTTTCAGATGGGTTCGGTCCGCTGCACGGTACCAGGCCGGGTCTAGTCATGTCAGTACACGCCAATATACATACGCAGACTCATGTTTTGGAGCAGCAACGAAGCGAGGCTGGAGACCCACTCACTGCGTGCACTAACGAGAGAGCACACAAAGCGTATCCAAGCATCGCCAACGTCGTCAGGCATAGCCAGCCATGGAAACTCGGTGACAGCTTCGACCAGCGCAGCGCATGTTCGATCCAACGACGGAGCGACATGGGTTAGCGCCGAGAGCCATGCTTGAATCTGTACCGCAGACGATGCGCCGCCTTTAGACGGCTTCGTCGTCGTAACACCTGCTTGGAACTGGGCTATCAGCTCATCATATGGTCCCATATTGCCCTGCGTAGGTTAGATAGTGTCGGGCAAACGATGACATACCTGTGCCTTTTGGACCATTGCGTTCTTCACAAACGCAACATACATGCCCTGTCGTGTCCCATGCATAGAGGGCGGGCCAGGCGTAGTACTTGAGCGCGCCCCACGCACCGCACTTTGCGGTGACGCCGGCATGCTCAAAACACAGCACTACCTCACACGCCCCTGCGTGTGTGAACAAGTGGCTCGACAAAAAAATGGTCAGCGTCCACCCTCCGACATCGCCGTCGGAAGGTGGAGGCATTCGCACGTGATAACGCTGTCATCCTCCCTTTGGGACCCTACAAAAGTGACAGCGGGCCATGGCACCGCCGCGTTCTCACACCTACAGCGCACTCGCTTTAAAGGAAACTAGGCATACGCACCCGTTTCGCACTATTCATAGTATCTACCCGTGTGTTGGAAATAAAAAGGTAGAGCAAAAAACACTAGTGCATACCACAATCAAATGGCAACGCAAGTCGTACTAGCTCCCTTACAGGTCGCCATCGTCCTCGTCCGGCAGCGGGGCAGCAGCAGCCGTCTCGAGCTCCTTGTTGTACTGTTCCATGAGCTGCATGTCCACCTGGACCTCCGGCGGAGCCAGAGCCGGCGCAGCAGCGAACTCCAGAGCCGGGTTACCGACCAACTTGCGAGCCAGCCACAGGAAAGGCTTCTCGAAGTTGTAGTTCGACTTGGCCGAAATCTCGTAGTACTGCAAGTTCTTCTTGCGGTGGAACGTGACAGCGCCGGTCTTCACCTTGCGCTCCTTCACGTCAACCTTGTTACCACAGAGCACGATCGGGATGTTTTCACACACACGCTCAAGGTCACGGTGCCAGTTCGGCACGTTCTTGTAAGTGATACGGGAGGTCACATCGAACATGATAATACCGCACTGGCCCTGGATGTAGTAACCGTCACGAAGACCACCGAACTTCTCCTGGCCGGCAGTATCCCACACGTTGAACACGATCGGGCCAAAGTTGGTGTGGAACTGCAGCGGGTGCACCTCGACACCAAGGGTGGCTGTCGGTTAGTTGTTGATGAACAGGCACTATTACATACCAATGTACTTCTTCTCAAACTCACCGGTCAAGTGACGCTGTACGGTGTTAGTTGGGCTCGTGCGCTTTGGGGTGGCCACACAAAGTGTGGCCGTGGGCTACATACCTTGACGAACGTGGTCTTACCCGTACCACCGTCACCAACTGAAAGTTAGCTACGTTTACAACCGCTCCAACGTACCGAGAACCAGCTTGAAGTTGGGGATGTTCTGACCGTCAGACATGATCACTGATGAACGTTGGAAAAAAGATTCACCAAACGCCACGAGAAAAACACTGAGGCTGGCCAGCGGCCGACGTCACGTGATGCGCGGCACGCCGAAATTTTTTGCAGCGCACCGACCTGTCTCCCTCACGCGGACGACGACAAGGACGACTATGGGCAGAAAGGGGGGCGATGCCATGCCGGCCCACAAGGCTTCGTCTGGACTCGTACATGTAAATGCGAAGATGCATATGGCTATTCCTCCCGTATGGGCATTGGATCCTACAGCCTCCGTATTGGAGCAGCTGGATACCTTGGTCATGCGCTATGTGCCGCAACTGAAGGGTGTGTTGCTCACGCATTCGAATGTGAAGTTCTTAGGTCAGATGGGTCATATCGATGGTGACTCGGCCTTTTTTGTGGCACCAACTAGCTTTTGCTCATTAGTCTGGCGGCCACAAATAGGTATGGTGCTCCGAGGCACCATCACATTGTCCTCGCCAAGCCATGTCTCGCTCCTTTTGTATGATACGTTTAATGCAGCGATTTCCGCGCCACACTTGCCGGCTTCAGACTGGGAATTTGTCTATTATACAGACGTGGGCGAGGCGCAGCGACGGGATGCAAAGGATCGTAGTGTTGGCCTTTGGCGTCACAAGCAAAGCGGTGAGCGGTTGGGCGGCGACGATGGCTCGCTTGCGTTTACTGTCATCAGCATGACAGTAGCAAACCAGATGCTGTCGCTCCATGGCAGTTTATTGGCCGAGCCATTCAGTGTCCCCCCGCCCCGGCCTGGCTCACTGTCTTTCGATCAGGCATTGGGAGTTTTGGAGGAAGAAAAAACGGACAAGGATGAGGAAGAAGAGGCCTCAGTGCAACAACCGCGTCGCGTACGATGGGAGGACTCTGACGAAGAGGTGGAGGATGATGGTGAAGATGGTGACGAGGCTGTGGATGACTATGCTGTGGACGTGGCAAAGAGGCCGGAGGAACAGCAGGAAGAAGATGCTATGGAGGCAGAGGATGATGCTGACGACCATGAGATGAGCATGGATGCAGCTGTCCAAGAAGACGAAAAGGCTGCGAAGGCGCACAAGAAAGAGAAGAAGGACAAGAAAGAAAAGAAAGAAAAGAAGGAGAAAAAGGAAAAGAAAGAGAAGAAAAAGTCCAAGAAGTCCGCAAAAGAGGCAGCAGATGATGAAAATGATACCTCTACGGCCTCCTCAGGCCACAAGCGTGCGCGTGATGACAACGCCAGTGCCTCACGAAAAAAGCGTTAGACATCGTAGAAGCACGAGCCATGTACAATATAGAATGAAATCGGCCCTATTTTTCGTGGTGCTTACGCCCGCTTGCAGCTGATGTGGACCGAAGGGCCTCCTCCACAGCGGTCTTTATTTCAGGGCTCGAGCGACGATTCTCTATCGATAGCTACGGACTTACAGGGAGCTAATAAACTCCCGCAGGCGGGGCTCTGGCAGCATACCGACAAACTGCGTCGCCAGCTGACCATTTTTGAAAGCCATCACAGTTGGCATGGCACGAATCTAAAGAGTGAGCAAATAGCTAGGTACATACGCCATATTTCTGTGCAGCCTCCATGTTGTTGTCCACGTCGATTGTGACCAAATCCACTTCCTTACCACCGACCATTGACGGGGTATTCACGAGCTTGTGAAGGACAGGGCTCAGCATTTTGCATGGGCCACACCATTCTGCGAAGAAGTCGACCAGGAGGGGTTTATCGCCCTGCGACTGGAGCAGTTCCTCCAGGCGTGCGCTGGAGATATTTTCCTCAATTCGGCGACGTAGGGCGGTAGAAGAAAACGCGCGTGCCTGGGGCCAGGTGGTTCGTGCCATGCGCCATGGCATACGGGTCAGTGAGGTGGCGCCGATCATAGGTGATGGGGGCAGCAAGGAAATATGCATTGGGGCGCCACCTGGAGAAAGCCGCGTGCAGGTGGGCACCTCCACTTAAACGACGCATTAGAGGTCGGCGTGCTGTTGGCGTGGTGCGGCGCCCTTACATCCTCCCATCACGCTGGTGTGTGGTATCCTAGCCTGATCCGTTTGGACTACGGTATTATGCCGGCCAACGCATCTAAGCAGGTACCAGCTGCTCTGGACGTCGTAGATGATCCGGGTGCCCCGCCTACCGTGACAAAACCAGCGGGGTCAAAATGGCCGCCTAGTGATCCCTTTCAACGTACCTGGTCCACCGCTGTCCCGAGTGCCGCGCGATGTGTGCGTGTAAGTATTGCAAATACGGGGCAGCCATGGATGCCTGATCATACGTGCCTCGTTGCACTGAATGCCTTGCACGATGCGATGCTTTCTCATCGCGACACGGTGTTAGAGGAGCTGGCTGACGCCGTTGCATCCATTGAGCTGCCTGCGACGCTTGACATGCCAGCTGCATCGATCTCTCTCTACCGATGCTTGTGTTTGCTTCGTGTGATTACTTCATGCTTGTTTTACGAATGGAAGCATCACCAATCGGATGAGACGCTTCGGCAGCGCCAGTCGGGTCTATGGAGCGATCCAGCGCCATTGCATGAGGCGCTTGTGCAGCGTTTACTGACACCCCTTCTCTCTCACATGGAGCACCTGAATACGTACGAACGTGCATGGCTGATGCATCGGCACTTGCAGAATCGACAAGCCCTGTCGCCAGAAACCGACCGAGGGCGTACGTTGCCGTTCCGGCATCGCGAGGGTACAGAGGCATCGCTGCGCGAGCGTGAATGTGATACATTGTTTGCACAAAAGGATGCGCACAAAGGTGTATATGTGGCCACGGCGAGTGCTCATGCTTACTTTGTGCTGTACCCTGCCTTTCCTGCGCACTACACGGCGTTCTCTGCAGCATCGCAGGGTATGTCCATGCACCCTACGCTCTGGAATACACCTGCTGATGCACTGGATGCGACGCCACGTACAATTTCAGCCCATGTGTACCGTGCTGTGTCGCATGCGCTGTTGTACATCAGCGCTGCCAACTGGGACGCCACCATGCGGCTCCTCGGTCCTCTCTCGGCCATGCGGACAGAGGGCCGCGCATTTGAGTGCTTGCACTGGACTTGGTCACGCCTGGTTCCTCTGCTCCAAGAGGTCATCCGCGATGTAGGCTCTGTCTCACGTCAGGCGCTGTGTTTTATGGGCGTGAGCCTGCGACGCATTGTGCATGTATGGCTGCACTACCATACGGAAGAACGACGCACGCTGCCCCCGAATGTCGCTGTGGATGCGATTCTCCCGACGTTTCACGCGCTGCATACGCTGGCAGAAGGGCCGTACCGACGTCCGCAACTCTGGCCCACGCTGGCTGCGTTGGTAGCCGTAGCGCCGCCGCTTTTTTCCACGCCACGAGCTCGGCGTGAGCAGCAAACCAAGATGCTATCGTGGCTCGATACGCTCTTGCATCATGTCCAGCATGCGCGCCTCGGTGTTTCGGCCACGTACGCACTGGTGCTGGTCCACGATATGGCTTCGTATGGCCGCGTGGTTATGCCCGCCCCCTACTCGCAGACACTGCTGCAGCGCTGGCAGGATACGTTATCTACGCTGACCATTGAAGACATTCGTCTGGTAGGCCAAGCTCTGATTGCTTCATTCCGTGCTGATGCGCGTGTAGATGCCGTGCGTCTCGTGCAGCTCTGCGTGGCGGAGAAGCCGTCGTATCCAAGTCTGCTTGTGGTGGCGTATGCCCTTGTGCAGCTGCTGTGTGAGTACCGCGAAGATCGTCGATGGATGGATGTTTTATACCCTCGGTGTGCACCCGTGTTGCGCCGCGTCTTGCGCTCGATTGTGCGTACATGGCTCACAAGCCAGCACATGTCGGAGATGGGCCATTCGCTCTTGCATGCGATTCTCTTTATTGCTGTGCTGGATCCCGATGCGGTGTTTGCGCACATGCCACCTTCTCGGCCAGGCGAACTAGATACATTGCCGCTGCCATTCTCCGGTCCTGTGCTGGACACAGCGCTGCAGGCGGATACGCGCGTGTCCTTTGTCTTGGCCTTGGTTTGCATGCCTGGCAACCTGGCGCATGTCCATGCGGCCTCTCTGGCGGCACTGCAGCGCATTAGTGGCGGCCTGCCATCGGCGACGGTCTTGTCGCGGTTCGTGTTCATGCCGCCCTCGCTCCTTACGTCGCGGCAACCACCGTGCGAGAGCTCCAAACGCGTATTGCGTCTTCTTGCGCCGTACGATGCGCAGGTCGCAGAGACCGCATCGCGTCGCGTTATGCAGGCAGGTTCTCGTGGTGCGCAACTGTACTGGCTCGTCTCGCTGCAGACCGCCGCGACACGCGCCCTGCACTCGCATGCGCCGATCCCGACGCTGCCGGCGATGGCTGCGGTGGTGTTTGGTCTTTGCATGCCGAACAAGCTGGTCGTTCGCACTGCGCAAGAGACCGCTCGCGTGTTTTCCGAGAGCATTCAGATGCCGATGCCGATCCCTGTGCTGCTCGAGCGGATGCCTACGTTGGTCCAAATTTGCAGTGCGCTGCGTGCGATCTCGCCGCCCAATGCCGTCGTGGCCATGGCATGGTCAGGATGGCTGCAGTGGGCGTATGCGTCTGCGCAAGCGGCGCCGCCGCAAGGGACTGTGCGTCATGAAGACTTGATGCATGTGGCCCAAGTCCTGGTCGCAAGTGCCAAGCTAGGCTTGTACGGCGTGTCGTATTCAAGCGATATGCTCTTAATTCGCACCGTCTCGCACTTGCTCCTGGGCGCCACCTCTACGCACGACATCGCCCATGTATTGCTGGAGGCTGTACCGACGACTGCTTTGCCGCTCGTTCTCCAGCAAGTGTATGCTTCGTCCACCGTCCTCGCTTCCATGTCGACGACCACGGCCTCGTCCAATGAGCTGATTGATACAGCGCTGCGCCTGCTTGAAGTGCTGATCCCCCGCATGGATATCATTGAGCTGAGCGAGAACGATTTGCATCGCGTTGTGCAGCTGTGTGTACTGTGTATGCGCCATGCTCACCGGCCTGCCGCTCGGCGAATTGTATGCCGGGCCGTCATGGTGGTAGCCTTGAGTGATTGCGAGGCGTTGCAGGTGGTCCAACCTGACCTGCTCGATGGCATTCTTCCGTGGGGCCTCCAAGTGCCGCAGCTACGCCGGCACGTCCTCGCGGCCATTGAGCCCCTTCTTCGTCGGTGGACGCCGCACTTGTCCGAGTGGGCCTTGCGTATTCATGAATCGGCAACGGAAGCGACGATGCGTCGTACAGCGCGTGTGGTCGACCAGATTCTGCACATAGCGTGCTTGGAAAACGACGCCGATCTTTCCTCGTTTACGCACGATCCACATACCATGGGGCGTACGCACAATCTTGCGGTCGAGGCCCTGTACCATGTCCTTCGCCAGAACCTGCCTTTCCTAGCGCGCGAGTTGGTACAGTTGCTGACACGCTCAGAGCCCATTGCGCGGTACACTGTGATGCTGGCCATGGCGCGCGTCGTTTCCTCGCCCTCGTTCACAGCGGCAGTTGAGGCGGCGGTGCCGCCACCGCCCACGACCTCTGAAGTGTTGCTGAGTCACGATACGCAGTGGCTTGTCGGTGTGCTTGCGCGCAGTACGATGGCCGATGTCCCTCTCTGGGAGCAGGCTCTTGCTGGATTTCTTACGGCCGCGCAATGGCGTCGTTTGCTTGCCGCTGTGGTGCGTGAGGAAGTGCAGGCGTGCACGTCCGAGAACCTCTTGCTGCGGGCCAATACCACGACGCTGCGGTTCTTGTCTGTGTACGCACGCCGCATCGCGTATGTCCAAGTCCAAGCGGTGGTCCGCGACATGCTCACGTTCGTTAGCACTTTGCCTGACTCGGCCCTGGATCTAGATTGGTCGCTGGACGGCCCTGTACCCATGTCGGTGCGGCAGCACGACACGGCGATGCGGCTCATTGCGGCGCTCACTGCAGCGCTTGTCACGTTTATTCATACCATGCCGATTGAACTCCATTGTCTGTGTATGGACTTGTACTACACGGCGGTGCCACGCTACGGCGAGCTAAGTGCGTCGCGCGCCCTGGGCGTGTTTCTTTGCTTGCGCGTGCTGGGTCCCGCTGTCGCCACCCCATCGAGTGTCGAAGTGGCTGTGCCCACACCCGGGGCCCAGCGCGCGCTGCGTTTTCTGAACAAGGTGCTGGTGGCCCTGCCGCAAGGCAGGTTCTCAGCGTACCGTGATGCTGCGTGCACGTCGGTGAACAGTGCCGTGGGCGCTACGACGGCGTTCCTGGATCGTGTCCTGCGCGTGGCGTCAGAGCGACGTGTGTATGAGCCACCGCCGACGACGCTTACGTGGTCTGTGCCGCATATGTTCCACCACCTACTTCGTGGCCGGTTGGAGCCCCTCGCGCAGGCGGGCGATGCCATTGCGACGCAAGTCCTCGCTTCGATGCCACTGGCCCGCTCGCTCTCTGAGCGTGTGGCCTTGGTCCTTGGTCAGCAAGATCAAGAACAAGCGTATACATCGTTCATGCAGTCGATGGCTGCCGAGCCGGACGCCTCGGAGGCGAGCGACATGTTCTTTGAAGTGCAGGGAGAAACGCAACGTACCTTCCTTGTGCTATACACCAGTGTGGACATGATCCATATTGATATCCTACGTATTGCGCGATACATGCTATCGAAAGTATCGCCCCTTCGTACGCCATGGACCTTGGTACTGGATCTGTCTGGCACGTCAGATCGTCACCTGCTTCAACTGCAGTTCAGTACGCTCATTGTGACGCTCATGCCTCGCGAAGCGTTCCGTCATTTGCATACCCTCACTGTGCTTCATGGCTCGTACGCCATGTTGCAGTATGGCTGGACGCTCTCTGGCGCGACCACGCAAAGCCCTTTCATTGCGCGACGCCAAGCGGAAGGTGGTCCGCCCCTGCACATTGACTGGATCTCGGGCCCCAGCGATTACGGCCGGCTAAGTGATCATGTGCGTGCTTCTCTGCCCGTGTTCACGCAGCGTTTGCTTGCTGCTCGTCCGACGTTCCAAGCGAATGCGTTGACGCTCGATGATGGCCGTCGGTTCCCAGAGCCTGCCGTGCTCATTACGACGCAAGACCATGTACTTCTACGTACGATTCCTGCGCGGCACGACGGCATGAGTCGCCCATCGACATGCGACATTATCCCTCTGGGCGACTTGGTCTTGGATTCAGACCATGTATCGTACATTCGCCTCTTGCGCCGCTCCTGTGCTTCGGAACTTTATGTACGAACACGCGAGTGTGTGGACATCTTGCACGCCCTTCGTCGTGCACAGATGCGACATGACAACTATGCGCCGGGTGTGCACAAACCCATCTCCTTGCCAGAGGTACGTGCAGCCTTGACCGGCATGGGCCTCTTTCACCGGACAGCCTCGCAGTGGCCTCTTCGCTCCGCGGCAGATACACTTCTTCGTGCGCTGGATCTTCTATCGAGCACGCCGGTGGCGATGTACACACCGCCCATCGCTCCATCGTTCCAAATACCCGCCCCCCTACAGGCCGGTGCCCTGACGATGGTGCTGGATTTGGCGGCATGCCTCGGGCAACACCATGTACACATGTCCGGCTTGGCCGGTCTCATGGACGCCGTGCCTGTGTCTGTGCTTCCCTGTCTCATGCGCATGGCACTTTCTCTCTGGCTCGTGCATCCCAACCTGCGCCTCGCACTCCAGAGCATGTGGCAGGCCCTTGCATCGCAGCCTACCTCGATACTTAGCGTGTTCCTGGAGGCGTGCTTGGATAGCACACCTACGTCGCCGTCCATGGTTATGCATGCGGTACAAGATGCCGTTCTTGCTGCCGCCGTACCCGCATTGCATCATATTCTGATGGCGCGCATCAATGCGATGCTCACGTCGGCTCTTCGCCCTGGTGCTTGGCACCGTTTGCAAGCCCTGGTTGCTTTGCATGCCGTCCAATGCTCGGTACCTTCCACGCCCCTGGAGCAGTACTTGCCTGACATTGTGACGATCATTCTTCTCTTTGCACATGGAGGCTCTCAACCACTGCACCATGCCGCGCATGTCACCCTCGTCAATACCCTGGCCGCGTGGCCTGTGCCGTCGATCATGGCCGATGTGGAAGAAGCGATGCGGCCGTCCAGCGACGCGCCGTTGGAGCGGCTCTTAGCCCTGGTTCACTCGGCTCTGCGTGCTATGGCCCCCACACCGACTACATACACGGCATGGTGCGAGGCGTTGGAACGCAAAGTGCAAGCTGTGGCCCTTACCTCGGATGGTATTATGCAGGCACGTGCCTTGCATTTGTGGGCGTATGTGGCGACGCCCTCTCCGGCGATGTTCCGCACGGTGGGCGGCGTCTTGTTGGCCGCGTACCCGCATGCCCCCGTCACTGTGGCCGCGGCTGCGTCGTGCTGGGCCCGTCTGTGCCAGCCCAGCATGGCGCCGTGCTTGTTCTGGGCCGGCATGGCTTTGATTGCTGGCGGTGTAGCTACAGGCGGCGTCCAGCTAGCCCAGGCTGCGCTGGATGCGCTCCCGAAGGATCGCACAACACTCGATTTGTTGTTGCGGACCCGCCATAATCACTTGGCGTACCTCGGAGCTCTCGAGGCTGAGTTGGGCGTCTCGTTTGAGCGTGACTTTTCTTTGGCTGCCGCGACCGTGTTGCGTGTCCCGCTGTGGTCCGGTGATCCGACATTAGAGGCAGCGACGCGAGTCTTGGTCCAGCACTTATCCAACCTTGTGCCGAGCACGTGGGAAGCGCCATCCAGTACACTGCCTACAATTATGCCCGGGGTGCCTGATGCCTCTTTATGGCCTGCAACATTTGTCCCGCCATCATCGAGCTCGTTCACGTCGTCGTCGCATGCCAGTGTCCCGCCATTACACTCCCCCTCGCATACTCTGTCCGGTCTTGATTTGTTATCCAGTACCGATTCAGTGGATCAGACCACAGCGGCTCTGGCATCCACGTGTTTGTACGAGCCTTGGGATGAGGAGCCAGATCCTATGTCGACCGCCCCTCTCTCAACCTCGCCGTCGCATTCACACACACACTCACACTCACAGAGTACGTCACCGTTGTCACCTTCCCAACGCAAGACATTGTCAGACTCCCATTCGTCTACCACGCTCCATACGGTGACTACGATGCACAAACCACTGCGCTCCTTGGTGCACATGTCGTATGCCGACTCGTTGCTGCCACATGCGAATGATACACAGATGCAGACGCTCTTGTCGATCCTGTCCGAATCGGATCCCAAACGCGATCATGTTCTCACAAGTCCTGTGCATACACACTTTGCGTTGACGCCGTTTGACCAACTGTCGCTGGTCGGCCTACAACGTCCTGAAGATACCATTTTCGCTGTTGCAGAATGCCAAGCGTGGCTGCGCCATGTGCTGGACATTTGCCAGCGCTCGTAAGTCACGTCCTGCCTTGTCGTCGCCTCCACACCTGCCTGGGTCACAGCTGGGGTGGGTGTGGAGGGACCGGCATGCCTTCGTACGCAGCCTCGTTCTCTTCTTCTTCGTACTACCATCAAGACAGGAGCGAGGTTGTGTCTCGTCATACCCAGAACATCGGCGGTCCTCTGACGTAGGGGTCCGTCAGTGTCTTTTTTTTGTTTTGTTTTGTTGTTATTTTTTCTCTTTCCTGCATTGTTTATACCGCTACGTATACAGACGAAGATAGCGTCTGTTCCATGTCCCATCCATCTGCCTTTTTGCCATCGCGCGATTTACCGCGGCATGTAAAGTCTACGCCACTGCCTCAATTAGAAGAGGCACTAACAAACTTACAAAAAGCCTATGCATTGGACCATACCCGCGAAGAATGGATTGGCGAGCCTGCTGCCGAATCCGCTCCACCGGACGATGCTTTTGAGACCCAATGTGTGCGTACATGGCTGCACGCTCTGATTCATTATGGCTGCCAATATTTAGAGGCTTCAGCTCTTGTTGACCCAGCTGCAGCGTTGCTTGTTCACCTTGCTGGCCAAGCGGCTGGCGGCTCACGTACTTGTGTATATCGATTTTTTTTGGGCACCGAAGCACCAACGGATGCAAACCAAGCAGAGGCATCTGTGTCCATTCGTGACGTGGCCTTAGTGGAAGATGCCCTCGGTGCACGTACATGGGGGGCCGCGCCGTATCTTGCTCGACGGCTCATGCAGCAATACGCTCATGCCTCCTCGGTGCCTGCAAAAACGTTAGAGCTTGGCGCCGGAACAGGACTAGTTGGTCTGGCCTGGGCCCAGTGGCTTTCGACACGTACACCACCACCCAACGTCAATGTGACACTGACAGACCACCACGCGACCGTCCTAGCGAACCTCCAATTCAATGCGCAAGCCACATCCATTCCTTGGGTGCATGTGCGTCATTTGGACTGGCAAGCTGTGTACAATGCACATCACGGCCCATTGCAGTACCACACTACAGCCCAGACCGTACCTGATGATAACGAGCAGCGTACACGCATATATGGCAACGTTCCCTCAGATGTGCGCTACGATATGATCATTGCTGCCGATTGTATCTATGATCCGTGGCACGCCCGTTGGATTGCCTCTGTTGCTGAGCAACATTTGGCCCGACCTACACCTGGAACCGTACAACCTCAACTTCATCTTCTTATGCCTATTCGATCAACACACACGGCTGAGCTCCAGAGTGTATATGACGTGTTTTCAGCACCTCATTCACTCCGCATCGTTTTGGAGCAGTCTTTGGATGGCACAGACAATTTCGGGCCGGCCGATCGAATCCGTGCGACCACTACCACACGAACTGGCACTCTCGTAGCTTATCGACATATGATTATTGAATGGGCATGAATGTAGGAAAGGAGGATATATGGTTACAATTCATGAAGCCTTTAGCTATCATCTGCCTCGACCACAGCTTGCAAACGTCTGCGTGTTTGCTCCACCACATTCGTATCGATACGCGTTTGTTGCGCTTCTGAGAGAGGTTCTATAGCGCTCATACTTGACGAAGCTAGCGCGTTTTTCCTTGCTTCGCTTTCTGCCGGCGAAAATGGGCGTTGTAGCTCTAAGTGACGCACTCGGAGAGGCGTGGAATGCGGCGACACATAGGAAGACTCACTCGGCGTTTCTTGCCGTGCTGAGTGGCTTCCACGCCGTGCGGTATCCAGAGGGAGAGTATCACTACATATAAGTCATATTTATACTTACTTTCGTAGACGCGTTAGAATCTTTTCAATTTGTGTTTCAGGGAACATGGTATCTTGCGGTATGGCGGACGGCGCATCCGCCCTAGGCTCCATCAGCGGCGTACGCTCATCAGGCTTCAGGTCAGCTTTCTCATAATAAACGTACAGTTTCTGTATATGTTGATTTCGACTTATGTGGCCTGGCGCTAAAGCAGCAGGCGAATAGCGACTTAATCGCCTCCATGACAACTGCCAAGTATCTGCGAAAAAGGCGCGACGGGGGTTGCGAGCGGTTTCCGCTTACCTAAGTGGGTCCGTGCGATAAACGCCCTTGGCGCTAGCAGGGCTGCGGCCTTCTACGTTGTTCCTAGTACGACCTATCGTACATAGCTACCAATCGTCTATATAGAAGAGTTGCATTCACATCCTCCCTATTATGGGCGTGCTGTATCAGAGTCTTGTTGCATGAGCGCGTGTTGCAAGACTGGCTCCACCACATGTGTGCTCTTCAATTGGTTGCCCAATGTAAGCCAGCCTGGACGAATATTATGACGTCGTCCAAATAATTCAATTTTACGTCCCCCTGGGCAGATTCTCTCAATCATAGAATACAATTCATCAGGTTTTTGTGATGTATCGCGTACTTGAGCCACAATAACGTCTGTCCCAATTCCCGCGTGCATCCATGGAAGCAGCGGCGATGGCCTACCTGGTGGCCAGGAATCACGTTGTTCTTTTTGCGTCGCTTTCGTCTTTAGCGCAATCAAACAATGCTCTTTAGAGTGATTTAACCAGTGCCCTGTCCGTCCAGTACGAATCAGCCTTTCCATCTGGTTGGTTTTGATCCAGATCAGCTCATCAATTCTGGTGTAGCCCCACTGCTTCAGCAGCTGACGACCTAATTCCATAGCTCGTCCTGTCACCCATAGGAATAGTAGACCTTCCTCCTGGAGCGCCGGAATGCGAAGCGCTCGCATTGCATCATCTGACAAAGTACCATAGGGCAGTGACATATGGATATCCCATGGTGGATCTGCAAGAATCACATCAAACTTGCCCAACTTGGACAAATCAAACTCACTCACATCACAATCAATCCACTGGGCTGGCATCGTGGAAAGGTTTTGGTACCATCTATCCGTGTGAAGCCAAGCGTCGAGACCATGCAGATGCAACTGAGACATTGGTTCTGAGAGAGGTGCTAAGAGAGCTTGTTTTGAGTCCATTGAATATGGAACTTGGCTCGTACATTCCCATGAAATCGGTTCACAGGAAGCGCTTGTATCCACATCGAAATGAATGTACCGACATGTTCCTTTGCGATGGCAGGCACTCAAGTAGCCACAGTAGCCAAGCATGGGATTGGTGTGCGGGAGTATCACAGGATAAAAGTGAACCTTGCCGCAGTGCTTGCTCTGTCCTTCATCGTGGCGGGCATAGACGCATTCGGCCCGCGTCACATAGGTACAGATGGGCTGAAATCGGTTGTCTGTACTCCGTAACTTTCGTAAGTACCTCATGCTACGTACAAGTTTTGATAGAAGCCTCTGCTTTCCTGTAGGCTTACACAGATATTTTGTTGTGATAGTGGCCACGGCCTCCCCAGTGGACCCTTCCATGGAAGGCCAGACCACAAGGCTTTCTTTCGTGTCTCGTGCTGCTCAACCTCGGGAGTGGAGGGTAAGTTCGCGACACCGTCGTTCCTTGACAATTGTCGTCATGGCTGATTCACTTCGTGGGCTCTGTGTTGAGGCAACACAAGCCTTTCTGCGAAAGGATTATGCAAAAAGTCTCATATATATACAAAAGGGCATATCATGCGCAAGGGATGAAAAAAAACCACAAACATGGCTTGACCAACTTCTTGTCTTGCGCTTCACTGTGATATATACGGTCTATATCAATGCACAGGTACAAAAGCGTGTTATGAATCTTCTACATCAATGTGCCGAAGAGGATAGCTGTGCACAAGAAGTCATCCATCTTTTGCGTCTCTCTCCACAAGCCCTATACACGTCTCTATGGTACGAATGTCTCTATGCTATGGCTCAGCAAACGTGTCCCACACCTGTGCCACCTAATTTAGAGCTTCCAGAGGGGATGGAATCGGTACTTTTGTCGATGCCTTCTTCTGTTCTTTCTTCTGCGATTTTAATGGCACTCCGCATCGATGCTTACTCTGATCAAGACGGGTCAATGTCTGCGCCTTCCTCCTGTGCTCGCCAAATTTGTGAGATGTACTTCACTGCTTCTTTGCATGCTTCCATGCCGCTACCTGACCATCATTCGTATGAACAGATCTTACGTCTTTATGTGATTCAAGTTTTAGGTATACATCATGCGGACTGGGAGTACGCACAAAATTTTGTTGCGTACAGCACACTTTCGGACGACAAAAAGCAAACTTTGCTACATGATCTGGAAGCAGAAAAAAATCGGTATCTGTCTCGGATGCAACATGAGCAAGATATCTTGCGCCAAATCCAACAAGAGTACGACAATGAAGTGGCTCGCAAGGCAAACATATCTAACCCGCCTGATACCCAAACCGACAGTCATGAGCCCAAGCTTGTAAGCTCATTAAAGCCTACAAAGCCGCGTACAACTTTGCAGCGCACTCCAAGTGTAAGGAGCCGACCAGCCCCCGACCCGACTACTTCATCGCCACCTAAACCAGATGTCTCTGACATATCCTCTATTCCAGCTTCTTCACATGCCGACGAACTAGAACATTTGCAAAACTATGTTGCGCGCCGTCCTATGGATGAACCCCCAATCTCTCTTCCACCTCGTTCTCTATCCATTCTATCTGTACTCTCCTCCAGTCTTACACGGCAGCGCGTCCTAACATTTTTCTTGGTGATTTTGTCCATGCTAGCGTACAGGGGTCTCACATCACCATCTATAAAAAGAAATCGAGGCATTTCCTGGGTAATGCTTTTCTGGCTTCGCGTACGGGACACGCTACGAATGTATGTATTACTGCGGCTATTCAAAAAAAACTAACTGGTTCTAGGGCCACTCAAGTAACCTACTTGTGAATGAAAGTTGTGACTAGCGGAAGATCGATCTCCTGCGCGTGTCTGTGCCTGCGGCGCGGTTGTTTACTGGACTATGTCGTAGATGCTTACGTGAATATGCCGTGCTTGATGGCATGCGTGCTTATTGAGTTGTGTTTTACGATTGGGCTTACCTTACATAAGACTCTCCTGTAGAGATTCTTTGGCGCTGGCTGTGTAGTGGACGGCCTTTGAATTTCGTTTTCAAACTTACTCGCTGGTCTGTCATCACGCTTCTTGAGAGGCATACTCGTTTGGTCCCGTCCCCAACGTGAAGATGGTAGACGTATGGGATGCGGTATGTACATATGTTAACAACATAATAATAAAGCAGGGGAAGAGGTCCCTCTTTATTGCCGCTGTGACCTTAGTCACTTGCATGCCACACGTTGCGGCTCAGGCTCCAGCACTTCCATCTCCGTCACCATCTCCTACTACAAAGTACGTGCGCTTTCTCGTATTCTAACATTCTAGGCCAACTCGGCATAAGTCGTTTGCTCAAGGTGTTCCATGGCATGACGCTGTTGCTTTTGTGGCGGCATGTGCTGTCATCCTGGCAATCATGGTGATTGTTGGCATTTTCTTGAAATTTACCAATCCTCCCAGATTTGAAGCGCGTCACCCAATGATGCCTGTAGGTGTGACCGGTGGACTAGGCCCTTCGCGTCGTCGCCAGACTATGAAGCCACAGCTAAACACATCTCCGTCGCAAGTCGGACTACTCAACCAAGCGCAACCTGTTGCAATGTCTTCGCAAGTGCTATTGCCAGATCCTGCTGCTACGGTGGTGCCTGATACTTCTTATCAAGCGGCTTATGCACAATCGCAGCCATATGCAGAAAGCTCCTCGCACCCCGCTGCTGTTTCGGGATCACGCAGGTCTGACGTACACAAGAAGTCGAGACAGTCCCGTGCCCTTCCGGCACCACCTATTCGACCCTATTCAGATGCACCATTTGGCAGTGGTTCCGCGTATTCAGACCCGTCATCTGTGCAGAACGAAACCTCACCATTCGAAACGCATGCTCTTGTTCCAACGCGGGCAAACAGGAAATCTCGGGGTTATGTCCCTTTGCCCGAACCGCCTATTGTTGCTCAGGAGACGTACGATGCGCAGCCGGCGCATGAAAGGCAGTCGTACTATGATGGTGCACTGTCGTATTATAATACACAACCTACTACTTCCACGCCGGGTGCTGCTGAAACGTCGACGTGGCGCAATTCGGAAACGAGCCAGTTATCGCGTGTTGAAAGTATTGGTGCAGGTGATTACAGACGTCACAGTCGTCGAGGTCGTGGCAATGGTAGGAAAGTCACTACTGCCGAACGTATCAAAGCGTTACGCGCTGCCTCCTATAAGGACCCATTTGATACCTCCACTGCAGTACCGGCTAGTTACCAAGCCTACTCTGATTACCCGGGGTATAGTGAATACCCAACATATGACTCCTACGCAACTGAACATAACCAGTACCCTGTTCGGGAGGAATATCGTTACGCGGCACAAGATCCTATTTGGGATCAATGGCAAACAGGAAGCCAGCCGTATGTCTCCGAACGACCAACGTACCATTATGGCAATTATTGAAAACAACCACTTTCTTTCATTACTCTCTCTTTTATTTACGGAAGTAAGATTTGTGCGTCATATGTGCATGTTAAAATCTTATCTGTCTATATCGTGATGTAGGTATTTACCTGTGTACAGAATATTTTTATTTTGCGGTCAATTTAAGTTGGACTTAAAGTGTGTCCGACGTATGTGGCTCCATAGTAAATGTGGAGGAGTGATTTTACGTGAAGTTCAAGCCCCCAACGTCTTTTCGCGGTATTCTTGTCGGCGCATGGATGTCATCGTTCTTAACACTGTTGCATGATGTGTATACGGCTGGCTCTTCATTAGCTTTTCCATCGCCGCATATATGTACAGATATACCAGAACGAGACACACCTCCTTTGGATCCATTCAACCCGATGGTTATAAATTGCGACAAGAATGATTTTGGTATTGGTGCGTAGTCAGACCGCTCTCTCACATCACAGATATACTAGCACATGTACCATACGAAATTGGGATTTACATTCTATCCTTGCTTCCATCAATATATGATGTTCTTCGAGCATCATGTGTCTCACATTATTGGCATAGCCTAGCTACGAATGCGTCGCTATGGCGTCTTTTATTTTATCAAAATAAAGGATGGCACGTAAGATTAGACATACCCCAGGAACTTCCTTATTTAAACAGTGAAAAGTATGGTGACAATGAGTCGTCTATTGATTGGAAGCAACTTTACACACAACGCTTTGAATTAGATCGAAGATGGTATACGCTACATTCAAAAATGCGGGAGGATCTTGTCCCAGTTCCATTTCAACCTACAATTACCCGTCTCCAAGGTCATTCAGATACCGTGTACTGTTGTACTATATTACCTCCTCTTTTTGGAAAGAAAACTGGCTACTATGTCACAGGGTCTCGCGACAAATCAGTTCGCATTTGGGATGATTCTAACGAATCGTGCGTGTCTATTTTGATGGGTCACCATGGTAGCGTTTTGTGCCTGGCTTTCCATGATGACCTTCTAATATCTGGAAGTTCTGATGCTACTGCTCGAATTTGGAAAAGGAGTACTTCTCAAAACTACCCTTATATTTGTTTTGATTGTATTCATATACTTGAGGGACATGAAGGTGGCATCTTAAGTCTTGATTTTAATAAGAGCTGGATTTTAACAGCAAGTCGTGATGCTACTGTTCGTGTTTGGGACCGTTGTACTTTCGATCTTTTGCATATATACCGTGGACATTCATCCAGTATCAACGCTTGTCATCTCCACGGCGATATCGCCGCCAGTGCTGCTGGAGATGGCTCAATCTTATTGTGGCAGGTACTCTCTGGTCAAACTTTGCGATCTTTATCTGGTCCACGTCGTGGTGTAGCCACCATCCAGCTCTCACATCAACTATGCATATCTGGCAGCAATGACAAATCAATTCGTATATGGGACACCAGATCTGGAACTTTGATTTGTGATTTCCGAGCGCACGAACAACTGGTGCGCTCCTTGTATTACGATCCCTCCCGACAGTTGCTCACTAGTGGGGGATGGGATGGGAAAACTCGCATATGGGATTTATCACCCTTGTTTGTACCATCGCAACTCGGCTCCATCGACCTGCCACAGCCTCAATTGATACTTGAGCTTGGTATGCACCATGCGAGAGTCTTGCATGTGTGTTTCGACTCTACACGCATTCTCTCCGCTTGTGAGGACAAGTCGACATGGATTACTAATTTTGGTGCGCAAGGCTTAGCTTGTCTTTACTAGGGTTCAGACCCCCGTTTGGCGCCTGCGTTATCGTTGAGCCTCTATTGTGGATGTATTGCCACCTATTAATTCCCTATGCATAGCCTGCATATTCTGCATAGAAATATACCCTTTCATTGGCCCTTCGCATCCATCTGAGGCCCCCGTACTCTCCCACCCTTTGCCTGAACTTGGCGTCGCCACGAACAGCCATGTTGGGAGCAGGTCACACAGGGGATGCTGCCCCTCCGCCGCCCCCTAAGTCTAAGGGTTTGAACTTCATGTCTAAATTTGGTCGTTCGAAGAAGAAGGAGAGCAACGGAACATCCAAATTTGTCGATCCTCATGCGGTTCATGATTCGGGAAAAGCGGGAAACTCTCGCCTTGATGTAATCGATCAATTAGACATTTCCGGACTTACTGGTGGTTCCTGTATGTATTCCCTCCCATTTTCTCACTAACATTCTAGTATTTCACCATGACTCACCATATGATGCTTGCTCGCCGCAGTTCAACAGGAAGAACAATCAATCAGCGCCTATCCGTGCATTTGATCGTTCCGTGGATCCTGTGACAAAGGCATTGCTTGAGTCGCATAAAAGGCGTGAGGCTGGTGAATTTATTGCCCCAACGGATCCATATGATGCAGTGAATAACACGACTGCATACCCTGATCGCAACTTTGAAGCGTCTGACGAAGGCATAGGGTATGATGCCCCTACTGATGCTGATAACCCGAATGGAGAATACTTTGGTGTGGTTTCTGAGCCATGGCAAGAGTTTTCTAACCAGCATCAAAAGCCGGCTCAGAAATCGAACCCTAGCTATTTTGATGAGTCTGATCACAAAGTTGCTGATATGGAGACTATTCTGCGAGGTGGCCGCCGCGCGGATCCTGACACCTCTATGAAGGAGAACACCACTGTCTCCTTCTCGGAGGATGTTGATGAGGAGCCAGTTACACCTCGCAAGCATAGCCAGTCTGTTGGCCGGTCCAAGAGCATTCTTGGACGGTTGCGTCGCTTGCGCGGTGAGAGTGAAGGCGATACTTCTGAGCATTTGCTGAGGGATACCCGGCAACGTTCCCGCGGTAGCTCAAAGGACCTTGGCCGTACTCAACCTCAGGCTTCTGCTGTGCCTAATGAAGCACCAACTACGTACACGTTAGCTGGTGTTGAGCGGGTATCATCTGCAAAGGCCCCTTCGAACTATACACCTTATGACTCCACACTGATTTCCGATTATTCAACACAAGGTGCTCACTTGACTTCTACTTCACCACCTCCAGTGCCTAAGAAATCCACTCGCGGCTCATCTGGTCATATTTCATATCCGACTCAAACTGCTGATCCATACTTGGATGAGCATGATGCCGTATTCACACAGTCTAGGATTCCGCGAGCACTGCAATAGACTTTTCTGATTTTGTAGCTGGTATATATTTTCTAAATCGTGATTCATACGGAATGTAGCTTTCACGATACACTTTGGAATTGATGGTAGCGTCGAATTGCTTTACGACACAACATTTTATGGGCTTCCTCCGCATTTTTTTTTTTTTTTGGCCATCTGCGGGGCGTCTGTATCAATAATATATATCATGACATGACAAACGCATGCTCACTCCAGCTCGCACGCAAGTCCAGGGGGCGTATGCTCACCTTATACACAGCCACAGTTACTAGTAAGGTAGGCTTTGATTGAACTAGCCTACCGACTACTTATGTTACTGATAATAATTAAAGTAAGGAAGACGTTTACGCCTTAGCCTGTAAAACTGTTAGCCTTGCAAACATATTGCGTTACATACCTTCTGGGCCTTGAGGACACCGTCGAGCTTGGTAGCGAGCATGATGTTGCCCTTAACCTTGAGCTTACCGCCCATGAACGCCTTCTGGCCGTTCACCTTACCATCGGCAAGGTCGGCGAAGGTGTCATCAGCCAGGGTGATAATGCAGTCAGCCTTGCCCTTAGCCTTGCCCTCGTAGGTGGCAACATCCTTCTTCAGGTCGATGGTCTGGACAAGCTCCTTACCAGCCGAGTTCTTAATGTGGAACTCGAAGACAGCGTTGGTCTGGATGTTAGAGCCTTCCTACTCCATTATAGACATACCTTCTTCTGGAGGTCCTTCTTCTCGGCGTCCGAGAAGTTGTTGATGCCGTCGGCAATCTGCTGGAAGTACTGGGTCGACTTGAACTCGCTCATTTTGAAATGTAGGGTGTGGGAGACGAAGGATGACGGACCCCGCACCCTTTTGTATGCGTGGAATGACGGACTCTCCGCATATGTAGGCTTTGCTAAGCAGCTCCTATCCAATCATATTAATAATACAGTTCCCGGAAGGTGGAGCTGCCCGGATCTGCTAGCATTAATCCGGCAGAAATAATCCGGCCGGGCCGATATTTAAACGGGTGTAAGGATGAATGAGTCGCATGCAGGGCTAACAGTGTAAAAAGCCAATCACTATTTATTTAGCTAGTCGCATGAACAGATACTACGGAATTTGCGGGGAAACACTCTCAGACGCAGCTGCCTCACAGAATATAGGACAGGAGAAGCATTGCCATATCCATTACAATGCTTCGATAAATGCGACATTCCTTCGTGTATTGGGTAGAATATCTCTGATTAAAGTTCGTCAAACATGACTGGCGAGACATGGCTGAGGTCAGGAAGAGTGGGGGCAAAATCTTGACGGTGCGAGGTAGAGGGGTTTGGCTTCTTGCCCTTCTGTGCTAGGTTCAGGAATGGGTTCGTAGAAGCCCTCGTCGAGGCGGGCGTTGTCTTGGTATCACGAGGCACGTTATGGCTTGACATCAAACCTTTATTAGTGCTTTCAGGTACATGCGCCGTGTCATTGCCAAAGTTGAGATCCAAAGCCCATTCGTCCTCCCTGAGACCGAGCGAAAGGCGCTTCTCTTTCTTTGTAGGGGAGGACGAGTCAGAGTAGGTGTCCAGCACTGGACTAGACACAGAAGTTGGCGCCATTGCTATGGCTTGCTTCTCGTGGGAGATTCCTTGCCAGGCGGCAGCTTCATTGTACATAGGCTCACTGTGGTGGGTCGACATCGTGCCTGTGCCGGGCGTGGAAACTTCCTCCACATGCGAGGGCAAAGAGCTCACTTGGAATGGGTGAGCATGACGGGGACGAGGGAAAGATGGAAGAGTGTCCACGTTGCCGCCCTCAGTCGGTGACTGTGTACCATACTTGGCAACAGACGGGTCGTGGGTCAAGGCAGTTTGAAAGCTGGCATCGCTCATCATTGAAAGACGAGAATCCTGCTTCTCGTTCCCTTTCTTCATGGGACGAGGAGGCACAACAGGTGGTTCATTGGCTAGCTTAGGAGATCGTGTCTCTTCCTTCCTCTTTGTCATGTCATTGCTAGGCCCTGTCTGTTCGTTGCTGAGCGATTCCAAGTGAGGTTCCTCGGGCACTTTCTCCAAAGACTGACTTCCACGATGAGGGAGCATCATAGGCACAGTAGTCTCATCCGTAGGGTGCGACTCTGCCAGGTATTCCGCTGCAGAGTCATGCGCCTTCTCATTGTTCATATCCCTTAGTGTATGATCAGTTACATTGTCATTCCTCTTGGGCAACGCATTCACGTTCGATTCTTGCTCTGTGACTGACATCGTAGACGAGGTCCTCGGCATGTGCACCGGTCCCTCTTCCATAGCATCGTATGCAGTTGGATGATCCATACTCATGCTGCGATGTCGGCTCTTTAGCATAGATTCGCGCCGGCGCAAATCCGACTCCACCGGAACAGGTTCCTCGTTGGCTTTGCGATGCGGGAGCACACCATTGGCTGCGTTATGGAACAAATGGTCTGGGTCAGAAGAGCGCTTCTTGAAGAGCGAAAACAGAGCGTTGGGCTTCATGGAACTGCCATGCTCAGATTCACGCTTCGACTGCATCGACGTGAGGCGGTGCGAATCCGTTTCAGGAGGCCGCTGCGACGGCTCCTCGGGTGAATAGTATGCGCTTGTGCCATTACGATTCAGCAGGTTGGGCACAATGGGAGGTTTAGAACGAGAGTTCTGTGCAGCCTCCCAATGGGCTTCATCCTGATGAAGCTCGTTGCCGTTCTGGTGAATCCACTTGTTCATCTCGTGCAAATCTTGATCGTAGTACAAGGCCCTGAAAGTATCGGGCTTCGAGTACGTTGCTTCTTGCTTTTCCTCGGCTGTAGAACGTGGGCCACCCATATGGAAGTTGGTTTTCAAGCGATCTCGCAAGTTGCGACGCGGCTTGGTGTCATGGGCCGCAGGGATAGCTGGCACTGGCGGTACATGATTTTCGCGTTTGTTCTTCGTTGACAAGACGTTCTTCCAAAACTTGCTGGCCTTGGTCTTGATCGAATGGCCAGATTCACTTGGCACAGGCGATGTCGGCATCGTGGCGTCATTCGCGGGGGCTGTGCTCTTCACAGGCTTACGACTACGACGATCACCGCCTGATCGGCGGATCGGTGCCTCCGACTGCTCCACATGCCTCTCAGGCGCTGCATGATAGGCTGCCGCGTCATGGGCTGGTGCGTATACTTCCTGTTGCTCATGCGTTTCAGAGGAAGCGTGGTCGCTCGGCCTAGACTTCAGATCCTCCGAAACTGGTTCCATCTCGCGAGGAGCCAGGTTCGACTTTGGCCTTTGCGACTGCTCTTGCGATGGCGAGAATGTAGTTTCGTCTGTCCTGTCAATGCTTGGCAGCAAGCTGGGAGGATGCAAACTAGGCTTGGACGACGCACCAGTTGTCACCGGCGTGATCTTGGTCACCGGCTTGTTCGTGGCCTTATCGGCGGTCTTGCTTGCGCCGATGGGGCCAGCAGTCTTCTGTGCGTGTACGGTGGAACGTGTCACATCTTCCGTACTGGCTTGTTGTGACATAGGCAAGTGTTCCTGAACGAGGGCATTCTCAAATTCGTCGAACGCAGATATGGATGAAGCATAACTGTGCTCTCTATGCGACGACGACAAATTAGCAGGGTTTCCATTGCCATGCGAGTGAGATGGCATCATTGAAGTATCCCTCTGCTCGACCTGCGAGTTCGGGATCGTGTACGGCGACTCTGTCATGCCCATCTGGTGCTGTTGCCAGGCACCGTTTTCGTCCGACACCTGTTCGTATGAGGTGTACGACGACATGGCTGCATAGTCCTGTACCTCCAAAGCAGGAGGCTGGGAAGCTAGGTTTGTCGAGGAAGGGTAACCATGCGTATCGCTGTCTTCTTCCGATTCTGCATCTGCAGGATCAATGTGCAGGAAATTGGCCTGCCCACCTCCCAGGACAGCAGTTTCATGGGTCTTTTCCCATGGAAAGTTAATACCCAGGTGCTGTTGCACCGCAATGGTCGGGTCCGACATAAACGACGAAGTAAACGACATGACGGTGGCTCTTCTTCAAATGTACGAACGATTGCTGTGATGCCACAACAGACTCCGCAGTCGTGTATGAATTAGAAGCAAGGGCCAGAGCAGCAACGAGGGATAAGCTACGGATCGGTACCAGCCAGTAGTCACGACCGTCGTGGCAAGATGCTAGACCTTATGAGTCAGACTCGTTCATGAAAAGCGCCGTTGAGCTTGTCGCCCTAGGTGGAATTTCATCTAACTTGGATGACTTCGGGCGTTTTTGAGCCTACCAGCTGCAGGGACAGCTGCACGGTGGTCCATCGTCTAGCCTCCACTTCCCTTAGGTAATAATGTGGAGGTTTGACGCGTTGAACACCGACAGGCCGCGCTCGCACGGCCTGGCGCGGTGCGGACCCTGTGAAGAACTGTTTTACGTACGCTAATGAGCCACAAACCGTCCGTCGGGGGCGCACAGGCTCCTATCATATTTACAGGAGCCGTGTTTTCTATAGCGCATGCCCTGCTAGGGGGTCTGGCGTTTATCTCGGCACTGCTCACTTGCGTTTCTCTGCATTATCGACGCGTCGTGAAGAATCACGTCGCTGGCTACCCAGATGAATGGTGGCCCTCCGTTAGTGCTACCATTGGCGACTGGTTTCCTGAGCGCAATGTGTTCCAGATTTTGTGTGCAGCTACAGCTGGGTTCAGGTTCATTATGATTGTCTTATGCGGTATGCTGGCCTACACACAACGCCGTCCTGTTGGTGGTGTGTTGTTGGGCTTGGTAGGTATTCTTCGAACCTTTACGTGCGGTGGCTGGATCTACGTCACATCCACGGACCATGCTCTCGTGCATGATGTCATGATGGGTTTGTATTTGGCCTTTACTCCGTTCTGGATGGCACTGTGCTTGACCAAGCTCGCGCCGGCCCCTGGCTCGCCCCTCGAAAAGGCCCATCGCCAAGCACAGAGGGTGCGTAGCATCGCTGCGTTCCTATTCTATGCATGTACGCCTTTTATGGTCCATTTCTATTTGAAGCACCGCCGTGATCGCATTCCCGGTATGTACACGTACTATTCGATGTTGGAGTGGACGTTGGTATTGCTGGACTTGGTATTTGATACGGCTAGTGCATTGGACCTGCAGACCTTCCAGATCCGTATTGATTCTGAGGCGCCCGTGGACGAGGTAGCAGCGCCTGCGTCGTCCACGCCCTCTATGTTCTGGTGGGTCGCCTCTCAATCGTTCCTGGCCTTTACGGGATGGTCGGCGCTTTTCTCGCTAATTTCGATCATTTTCTACTTTAGTGTGTACAATATGGCGGCGGAGGGATTGGAGTTGTTGGTGTTAGCGCAGTGCTTGGGCCTTGTCCTTGTGGCTATCACCCCGTTGGAGCGCTTGTTCCACGGAAATCAACCTTACTCGATTCAGCTTACCTGCCGTTGGCGCCATGCGCTACTCTGGCTTGTCTCGTTTGCTACGGTGGCATCGTACATGGTGAAAAGCCCGCTGGTGCGCTTGGTCGTCTGTGCGATTTCCTGTGCAGTTGTGGCGCTGGTCAGTACGCTGGAGTGGTCGCATGCCTGGGAAGCTGGGCGCCTGCCTGAGTCGGTGGCGACGTGGCTTGTGGGTCTCATCGCAGCGTTGGTCTCGCGGTACGGCAACCATGCGAATATCCCCATCTGGCCGTACCTGGACGAGACCAATGGCGGTTTGCATGTACCTGCGCTCCTTCTCGGTGCCATGTGTCTGCTCCCCATTGTGCTGCCCTCGATGAATCGCAGTTCTGCTCCTTCGTTTGTGCGTCGTACATCTCCACCGCAGGGCATGATTCATTTCATCTTGGCGGCGATGGGTATGGGCGCATGGCTCTGTGAGCTGCAGACACTGCTGAGCGATGCCGGTACCTTGATTGCGTTTAGCTGGACAGGCTACCCTATCCGTGGCCCGCAGGCTGTGATGCATGGCGTACTGGTGATTGCCGGTATGGCCGTGAGCATTGCCCTCTCGTTGTCCTTCCCACAGATCGGCGCTAGTGTGGTCACGATGGGCTTGCATGCTGTTGGCTCGTACGTGGCATACGTGTACGACGACTGGGCGAGTTTTGGCGGCGGTATGCTAATTGCGTTGACGCTGCCTGCCATGGCGATTCCGCTCCTGCAGAGCGCGATGAGTCACCATCCCATCCGTATCATGGCGCTGGCATGGCTGGTGGCCACGCTGCTGGCCTTCTTGGGCGTGCTGACAACGGCATATGCGTTCCTGCCGGGGGCTATGATTATGCGTGAGCATACGGGTGTGATGATGGGCGTGTACAATGCTATTCTCATTGCTGCGTTGGCGAGCGCTCGGAGCCCGCATGTACGTACGCGCCTCGTTCGGCCTAGTGGCGAGCGTGCACGTCGCGTGAAAGGCGCAGTGCATATGCTTCTCTCGCTTCTTGTCGGCGTGGCCATGGTCATTTCGATTGTGCGGCGGGTGGATCCTACGACGATCGCGCCGCATTTCCCGCAGGAGCGTGTGCTGACCGCGGGCATTTGGACGGTGCACTTTGGCTTTGATCAGCACATGCGCGATAGCTCACGGCGTATGAGCCGTCTTCTTAAGGAGCTCAAGATGGATGTGATTGGACTGCTGGAGACGGACTTGCAGCGCCCTGCGTTTGGCAATCGCGACTTGACGCAGTGGCTCGCACAAGAGCTGAATATGTATGCGGATCTAGGCCCGAGTCCCAAGAAGCACACATGGGGCGCCGTGCTGCTGTCCAAGTTCCCGATCATCAACAGTACGCACCACCTTCTGCCCTCACCGCATGGCGAGCTAGCGCCAGCGATCCATGCCGTGCTGGATGTGTTCGGCGTGCCGACGCATGTGATTGTCTCGCACAATGGCCAGGAAGAAGATCCACTGGACCGCGAATTGCAGACCACGGAAATTGCACGGATTCTGCGCGAAGCGTACCCGCACCCTGCGATCTTCCTGGGCTACGTGGTGACCAAGCCCCATGCGCCTCGTCCTGCACCGTACCAAATCCTGTTTGAGGACGGCAAAATGCTCGACGTCGATCCGTCCGACAACGATCGCTGGTGCCAGTACCTTGGCTTCCGTGGGCTGGAACGTGTAGGCTATGCACGTGTCTCGCGCTTCGATGTCACGGACACCGAGCTGCAAACATTCAAGCTGCATATGCCTTGGATGACATGGCGCTTGGATCCCGATCACGATGCACGCCATGCACGCCTGCCCGAGATGCAGCCACCGACGGCGCCATGGGCGTACCCGTTATCGCTGATCAAGCCGGATGGATGGATGAACGAGACGCATATGTATGCACCCTACGTGTTCCCACAGTACTTTGACCGGCCACGTAGTGACGCTTCGTCGTAGAAAGAGCCAAGGTTCGTTTGTTGTTCGTACAGTACACGCTATCTACGCACAAGAAGGCTCACGACTGTGCCTTGGCCGCCTGGTGCTTGGCCCGCAGCTGTGCACGGCGCTGCGCGCGTTTGCGGTTGCGCTCCACAGTGCCAGAGCCACGGTACGAGTCCGGCCCCACACGTACGATCCGCAACGGCGCGCGCGTCGCGCCGAGCGAAGGCACCGTGCGTGAATCGAGAAGCGCATCTGGCGAGCCTGTAGGCAGCATGGCCATGGTCTTACGATGCTCCATGTTCGATTGGCGAATCGCCGTCGAGAGCGCCGAGTTGTAGGACGAGGTATCGGCCCCCTCGTCCAGCTCTTCGTACGGCGCACCACGTGGCGAGTGGGGTGGGCTGGGCTCGACAGGGCGCTGTTCTATCGTGAACGACGGTCGAGCGCCGAGCAAGCGCTCCATATTTTTTTGCAGCTCCGTTTGCAGTGGTTTTCCCTGGATGTTAGCGCTGTTCTGACAGGAGAAAATGCAGGCTCAGCATTCAAAAAGGTGTAACCATACAATGTCTTCAAGACTAATCGATAATTGACCATCCTTGCCATGCCTGTTCGATACGTACCTCATCAGTAAACTCCTGCTCGAGTGCCTTGAGGCGCAGAATCGCTTCTGTACGCTCCAAGCTCACACGGAACTTGTCCGAGAGCGAACGCACAGTCCATTGCTTCGGCGCTTGGGTATGCAGGCGCCACATGCTATCACGCACATCCTGATGCACGGGTGGCGGCGGAAGGAACGACGGGTTCATGGGGAACGGGGTGGGGCCGATCCAATGCGGCCCACGTCCGGGTGTAGGGTAGCGGAATCGCTCTCCATCGCCGCGCACCCACTCTGAGTACGCCGGCAACGGGGCCCGCATCAACTGACGAAGCTGATCACGTCCACGCGATGTATCATTTTTTGTGGGCTTCCGACCCGTGGCGTACATACGCACAGGCCGCATACCCGCTGTAGGCAGCGTACGTGCTGCCGTTCCTGCGCACCACATGCCGACGAAGAAAAGGCAAGAGTGCGTCTCGACACGAGCGAGGTCTCTGGAAGACGTCACGTGCTCTCTCCACGCCTGGACTACGACCGTGCGTCCCAGTGCTCGCTCGTCCTCCACCTCAGGGCCGGCGGCGTGGATGGGCCAAGCGGCCTCGGGTGCGTCTGGGCTGCGTGAAGCCCGTGCAAAAACGGTGGCTGAACAGCATGTTCGTCTAGATATTGGCGAAGAGCGTGTATCGTGCACACTCACAGCGCGTATCTCCCTCGAGGTCTCGGCGACCGAGCCGACCGTATGCCGGCTGTGGACGTCGGATCCTACGGACGCTGGGTACGTCTGTGGCCACGTACAAGTGCCAGGGGCATGGTTTGCGACGGAGCCTACACTACGACCCGACTCGTCTGGCTTGTACCTTGTCCTTCCGCGCGCTCGTGTAAATGATGCAGCCAGCGTGCTGGTGACTCTGTACTTGGACCGACCACGCCCTAGCTCGTCGGTGCCAGCGCCTTCCTCTGTACGATGCCCCCTGATACAGGGCGGCCCAGCGGAGGCTACGTACGTATAGACTGTGGACTCACATGTAGCTGTTGCTGGTACGGCACCTCGGCCTTGCCTACGTCCACCTGGGACTTGGCTACCGATCCGCCCGCGCCTTCGGTAGCATGGCCTGACGCACACACTTGCACATTCTCCCTATCCATCACGGACTGGTTCGGCATCGAATGGGCGCCCCGTATACCTTCTCATGCTGTACACACATTGCAAGCGTCCGAGGCCCGTATCAAGGCTCATGTACGCGTTCATCGTGTGCCTACATGGCCTGAGCGTACGCAAGTCGACAGTACGGTCATGACGGTAGCCTGGGACGTGACGTTAGAGCATCCCTACATCCAGCATGTGGCGCAGAGTACGACTATGACCGTGTGCGTCGATACGCAGGACGAGGCCTATGCATGGGACTGGCTCGAGCTGGAATGCGAGCCTGCGCTAGCGCGACTAGCCTACGCTGCCCGTCCCTCGTGTGACAGCGACGAGGTTGAGTGGGCGCCCGTTTCATCGTCCTCGCTGACCATCCCAGAGACGTGGACTGACCCTGTACCTTTAAGCTCCGAATGCGCTCTGACATTATACGTGGACGTCGCCGCTGCCTGTGGGACTTTTGGGTGTGCTCCTACGCATCCCATGACGTTCCAGGTGCGAGGACAGTACCGCCTATCGGAGCCCGTGGGTACGTGGCCATTCCCTGTTTTGCAGCTGGCGGCGGTGCCTGCGGCATCGCAGCGTACCACCTATATCATCGAGCAGGAGGGCGTGGCCGACACGTCGTATGCCTTGGACGTCCACGACATGACCCTATCGCCGCCTCGTGTGCTTCGTGTGGATGCGCCGTTGGTATGGTCGCATACCTCCGCACGCCTCGCATGGACGCGGACTACGAGATCGGCTACAGCACCTACGCTATCAGAAACGTCGCGGCCTATCTTGTCCGTCCACCAAGAAGTGTGGCCCTTCGTGGACGAAGGGTATGTGCAGCATCGTATCGACATGAAGCTGGGGCCTGGCACCACCGGCCGTGGAGTCGTGTGCTGGTTTTCCGACAAACCGATGGGCCTCGACGTCCTATGGCAAGGGCAGTCCCTCCCGCATGAAATGGTTCCTGATCTTCTCGCTACCACGCACATTGCAAGCACAGCCTCCGCAGCGCCTTGTATGCATGCCCTTCACATGGCATGGCCACCTGACCCTCGTACGATGCTTACGCTGCAGTATACCACGCCATGGGTCGGGTACGAGGGGCATGTGTCCATGCCCTGCTTTGCTAGCGCGCTTCCAATGATCACCTTGCGTGCACATGGCTACGAAGACTGTCGTCCATGTATCGAGGCAGATGCACACAGGACGTACCACGACGCTACGCTTGTGACGTGGTTCCATGTTCGTCCGTACACATCCCTTACCGTGCCTCTACGTTTGGTCAGCGAACGTACCAGCACTGCGCCGAGGGCCTGGACGAACGCGGTCTTCCTGGCCAGTCTCGCGCTTGCCTTCATAGCCACATGCTGGGCGTACATGGCCCACACGACCTCGCAGCGGCTGGTCGTGCATGTGGACGCGTTGGCCATGGCGCTCGACATTGACTTGTCAGATGGCGTATGGATGGATGCTCCGGAACCCGTACCACACACCTGGCCGCTCTGGACATGGCACCTTGAACGCTGGCTCGCTCGAGGGATGCGCCGACTGGCTATGTAGCGTGTTCGTAATGAATAGGTGGTGGCACGTGCCGCCTCGCACGGGCGCGATCCCACTAGCGTCGCTCAAGCGCAGAGCGCCTGCTTATTCTCGTGCGACCATGCCACAGATCCGATTGGGTGTCGCTGCCATGGACCGCAAAGCGCGGTCCAAGCCTATGCAGAACATCCTAAATCGCCTTCTTTCCACAGGCCAATTCGAGGTGATTGTGTTTGGCGATAAGGTCATTCTGGACGAGGATGTCGATACGTGGCCCATCGTGGATGTCCTCATCTCCTTCTTTAGCACAGGCTTCCCGCTAGAGAAGGCGATCCAGTACGTAGACCTGCGCCACCCTGTGTGCGTGAATGACCTGCGTATGCAGGCGGTGCTCTGGGACCGTCGAGCTGTTCTGCGTATCTTGGCCGCGGCAGGTGTGCCGACGCCGCCAAGCGTCTATGCGGACCGCGATGGCGGGCCGACCTTGGATCCTACGGTCGTCAGCGATGTAAAGCAATGCTTAAGCCTAGATCTCGGTGTGCGTCACCCGCCTGCTAAGGTGGAAATGAAGGACGAAGATACAATCTTGGTCAACGGCGAGGAAATTCGGAAGCCGTTTGTCGAGAAGCCTGTGAGCGGAGAAGACCACAACATTCACATCTACTTCCCTCGTTCACGTGGCGGTGGCGGTCGTCGTCTGTTCCGCAAAGTAGGGAACAAGTCGTCCGAGTTTGATCCCACACTCGTGGAGCCACGGATGGACGGGTCGTACGTCTATGAAGAGTTTATGGACGTCGACAATGCCGAGGACATCAAAGTATACACGATTGGCCCTGGCTTTGCGCATGCAGAGACGCGCAAATCGCCAGTCGTCGATGGGCTCGTGAAGCGCAACCCCGACGGCAAAGAAATTCGCTACGTGACAGGGCTCTCGCCCGAAGAACGTGAGATGGCCAGGAAAATCTCTCTGTCGTTCAAGCAGTTTATTTGTGGCTTTGACTTGCTCCGTGTACGCGACAAAAGCTATGTCATCGATGTCAATGGCTGGAGTTTCGTCAAGGGCAACGACGAGTACTATGATCAATGTGCAGCCATCCTAAGCAAGTTTTGCATGGACCATTACTTCGAGCGCCCCATGCGCCGGACCAGTGAACTTATTCGCGATCAAGGTGAAACCTCGAGCTGGGTCCTCAAGGCCAATGTCACTGTGTTCCGTCATGGCGATCGCTCGCCAAAGCAGAAAATCAAGCGCTCGTACGTGGCCAAGGATCCTTGCAGCGCGCCCATTCTGGCTCTCATGCATGGCTGCCGCGAAGAAATTATTTTGCGTACGCAGCTGGAAATTGTCATGGATGCCCTTTCCAAGGCCATGCAGCTGCCTGGCGCAGATGTGGACGATATGAAGTTCATTTGTGATACGATTGACCGCAAAAAATCTTTCCCAGGCACCAAGATTCAAATCAAGCCGAGCTTCGATAAAGAGTCGGGTGAACTGAACAAAGTGCAGCTGGTCATCAAGTGGGGTGGCGAGTTCAGTCACGCAGCACGTCATCAGGCACGCGACTATGGTATCAACATGCGCAGAGACATGCTGATTATGAACAAGGAGGCGCTAGCCAATTGCCGCATCTACACGAGCTCCGAGCGCCGCGTATCCTCCTCGGCAGAGATTTTCGCGGATGCTTTCCTGAACGAGGATGCCGGCGATGGAACTGGCCATACGAAGCCCAAAGAAATGGTCATTCGTCGCGACCTGCTGGACGACTCCAACGCCGCCAAGGATCTTATGGATCGTGTCAAGAAGGAATTGCAGCTTGTTCTTTCGCCCACGGAGAACAACGAAGACGCACGCCCTGATGGCTGGCCAGCTGATGTGCCTGCGCCAGCGATGCTGGGCACCGAAATCAAAGGCTTACTCCAAAGCTTGCAGGCGACCATGCTAGAGAACTTCCAGCGTTTGGACGTAGAGCGTATCCAGACCCGATGGTGTACGCATGAGACGCCAGCTTTGTTTAAGGAGCGGTGGGACAAGGTGATTGAAGACTTTGTCGAGAAGCCCAATGAGCCTTCGCGTGCCAGTGAATTGGCCGATATGCTCTCTCATGATGGTTTGCACAACCGCGTCTTCTTAGAGAAGATTTTCTCGTCGGAGAAAGACGACGACGATCACAAATTGGAGCGTCTGCACCGCTTGTACCGTCTGAGCAAGGCCCTCTTTGGCTTTGTATGCCCACGCGAGTACGGCATCACACCGGAGGAGAAGGAGCAGATCGGTCTGCTTACCTCGCAGCCCCTCCTCCAAAGTATTGTGCACAGACTGGAAGAATCACGCGATGTGAAAGGCCTTTGTGCTCTTTACTTTACCAAAGAATCACATGTGCATACCCTTCTCAATCTGATTCTATCCTCGAAGCTCTCGATTATTATGCCGCAAATGCCACCACTGGACTACTTCTCAAGCATCACCTTCGAAGTGTACGAACGGGAGCGTCCTATGTCCTCAGAGCACTCAGCTAAGACTGAGTGCTCTCTTGTCATTAGCGTATCTGAAGGCGCGCACAGCTCTGAGGTGCTCTTTATTCGCCTGGACGCTCGACATGCCCTGACACCGTTGCCTAGCCGTCCTCTTACGTCGCACATGGACTTCGACGAGGCTATTGAGAAACTCTCTCAACTATGTCAAAAACGCGACGAAATTGATACGCGCCGCGGCCAAGTCGAAGCCACCGAAGTCTACTTCGGCCAGCATGAAGAGGACACTCGCGTGGTGCCCATTCAGAGTTCCGCCGACCACGACTCGCCATAGTCACGTGCATGTAACATTCATACGCCGACACGACTTGGTGTCAGCGATCGTCGCCCTGTGATTGCCTCCATGTTGTGTAGAGCCTACACCGACGCTCTCGCGCGGCGCGCCCTTTGCGTGCCGTTAGCGCAAAGGCAAATGCTCCCGCTAGTTCATATGATGCACACGCCTGCTCACTTGGCCACTGGCGCTCGTTTGTCGCCATCTGCGTGGGCTAGACTACCTCGCACGTTTTCCACGTCGTATCCTCGTTTCTCGGAAGTAGAACCTAAAAAAGATACGAAGAATCTGACGCTAAAGGAACGGGCTAGCAAGATGTGGTCAACCATTAAGTATCTATTCCGCTTTTACGTCAACGGTGTCAAGCAAATCTGGCGCAATCGCGAGAGGGTCCACCAAATACGGGCGGACGTTCGTGAGACCAATCGTGATTTCACTTGGGAAGAGATGCAAATGATCCGTACTCACTCCTCTGATATGGTGAAACTCCCCTTGTTCCTGCTGATCTTGGTCACCGTGGAAGAGCTTCTTCCGTTGATGGTCATTTATACCCCGTTCCTTCTACCGTCTACTTGTATCTTACCGAGTCAAAAGGCCAAGATTCAGAAGCAGTTTGAAGTGAAGCGACGGTCTGCTCTGTTTAAACTGCACGATCTTATTCCATCCATGGACGGATTCACACCTGCAGAGCCCTCCGTGCAGGCAGCTGTCGCCACTCTGCCAGGACCTGTTGTCCAGGAGCTTATATCGTACGTTTTTCTTCATTAACATCATCAGCATTTATAATCTTTCTAGATGGGGCGGTTTGACGCTGCAACGGGGCCGAATTGTCAAGCACATTGAACGGCTGCAGGAAGATGACAAGCGCCTGAAAGTATCAGACACCTTCAACTCGTCTGAAGATGCATCCGAGCTGCTTTCCCTTGCTTGTCAAGAGCGTGGCCTGTACGTATGATCTTGTCCATGAGCTAATGACAGCTGTGCAATTCATGTATCGCCACCCGATATGCGCCAAAGCCTCCAAACCTGGTTCGACAAATCTAACAGTGATCTGGAGAATCAAGCTCTACGCATGACACTGCTCCCGATGCAATTTCCTCTCCTTCCTCCCACACCTGAAGAACCTGACGTCGCTGAGGCTCTATCTGATGAACAGCGAAGTGTAGCTGAGAAGAAATCGACAGTGATTGAAGAAGTGGTCGAAGAAGAGAAGCGCCGCGAATCAAAGTCGCCATAGTAATTTTTTTTGTATCATGCCATACGGAATACATGTTTCATCGAGTCTAATTAATAGCTATCACCTTCTGCACCTTCACCCGAGAAACCGCGCTCTCGTCGCAAAACTGCATTGCGGCGTTGCTCCCACTTTTCCTTGAATTCATGTTCAGCAGCAAGTGCTTCAAGTAGTTGGGGAATAGCAGAGCTGGGTATAGAAGATGCAACAGATTGCGGCACCTCATCTTCCTTGTCAAGATCGATTTCACCCATCAATACAACATTTTCACCGCGCACAATGTATAGACCTTTTGGCACATCACCATACCTGTTGCCGAGAAAAATGCGCTCCACAGTCTCTTGCAAAACAAGGTTTGCTGTTGTCAGAAAGAGAATCAAAGCACGTACCGAACTGGTCATAAGACCTCAAAATACCGATCAGCTTGCGACCATCTCGCAATACTACAATGACTTTCTCTGCCATTGTCAGTCAGTTGTGCATGTCACATACTGTCCACTAGATCTACGAGAGCTCCTGATGTAGTGAAGGCAATATTTGCCAAGATCTCTTGCGCCTCCATCGTACAACCTGCACGTTGGTGTGCCACTACGCAAGAAGGTAATGCGACAACGAGTCGCTCTTCCATAGCGCATATTTCCACAACGGCAAGTGGAGTAGTGCGTCTCTACCAGGCCCAGCACGTTGGGCTAGTCTGAGGCCGCATAGAGATAGACAGTATGCTAGAATAAGGTTGAAATGACGACGCCAGGACGCTACGATTGTAGCCAGGTCGGCCCTACCGCATCTTACAACCCCTCCATTCCTGCACCATCCCAGTCAGCCCGGTAATGTTCTCTACACGTAAAGCATGGGGCGTATTTCCACAAATGAGGTTCCCCAGATAGGCATGCGTAGCGAAATATCGGAGGCCCATGCGAGAGAGGTTTCGCCACCGTGCGGTATCTGGCAGTACACCTCTAATCACACCAACCTGACTTACGTGACACCCCTCATCGTTCTAACACCTTTGGAATACGGTAGACTTTGATTATGATACGTATCTTTAGATCCACAAGACTGACTCCTTGAACAGTTCTCCCAAGCGCCGTATTGAAACGGATGTCATGAAGCTGTATGTTTCATTGAGGCTGACAGATGTAGGCTGATGTCCAACTTCGATGTGTCCCTTGTCAACGACAATATGCAGGAATTCTACGTCACTCTTCACGGTCCTCCCGAAAGTACGTGGTTCAATCAGCGCGTCTTACGATAGCCCCCTTTGAAAATGGAATATGGCGTGTCCATGTAGAGCTCCCAGACCAATACCCTTTCAAGTCTCCTTCCATCGGGTTCATGAACAAAATTTTCCACCCCAACATCGATGAGGAATCTGGCTCCGTTTGCTTGGATGTAATCAATCAAACTTGGTCGCCCATGTACGACTGTATCAACATATTCGAGACCTTCTTGCCACAACTACTACGTTACCCTAATCCTACAGACCCCTTGAATGGGGAGGCTGCCTCGTTGTTGCTGCGAAATCCAGGTGAATACGAGCGTAAAGTGCGTCAATTCGTGGCTGCCCATGCAAGGAAGACCGAGCCTGGTTCGTCGAAAGCTTCGCAAGTAGACGAGGACGAAGAACTACCTGATATCAGCGATGTGGGAAGCATTAGTAGTTTGGATGATGCATCCGACTAAATGACAACACCCTTGGCTGACCATCCAACCTGTAGGATTGAACGGCCAACGCCGCTAGAGTATGTGTGAAGAGTATGATACCAACCGGCAGTAGCTCGGACTTGCTGGCAAAAAGCCTCAATGCCGCCTCCCACACCAAAGTACAATACCTTGGCGGCTATGAAGCATAACGTGGTGCAGGGATTTTGACCTGCAGCTGTATCTTGTTCCTCTGTTGGCCAGCTTGTGGCTTTTAAGACGCGACAGAGTGATGGTAGTGTTGCTAGGGCATATACAGTTTCACTGGACAAAAGCACTTCAGCTTTGAGCCCAAGATCCAAATTATCCCACGACCCAGAAAAAAAGCGCAAATCAATTTGATATTGCTGTAAGCACTCTTCAAAAGCCTCTAGTAGATCCTCATCCAATTCAAGATCACCTGGTTCTTGTACAGAGACACCGTGCGAGGAAGCTGGGCCAACACGAGAAAAGTACCATGCCAAAATCAGATTAGGATAGACAACCTTGGCGTGTTAGGAAATGCTTTTAACGTACCAATGACAGCACTTGCTCGTTGTAATCACACAGACTAAGCGTAGTTCGTTGTATCGACGATGTAGCAGGCGGCACCGTGCCTAATAAGGACTGCAAAAGGTAGCATGTCGGGATAGCAGTACCACAGCCAAGCTAATGTCAGTCACCAAGGTGCGTGCATACCTCAGCAATGTGTTTCCCTGCATACCATGAAACATTCTTAGATGTATCAAGTTCTTGCTTTTGAAGCTCTGCTACGAGGTCCAGAGCGCATTCCCACGTTTTCAGCCCACCTACAGGTCAATGGCCAAGAAAGAGCATACCTTCATAGACACCTGGTATAAGATCGCTGTCGGCATCAGCGAATTTCCCTTCTTCATTCAGGATCTGGAACCGCACATCAAAAAGGTCGCGGCGAGCTAGATCCATTGGCTGTGGACCATGTGAAATATGAAGGGGGGAATACGAGAGTTTGTCAGGCAGTTGCGCGTACTGCGTCAGGCGCGCAAAAACGTACCAGCTCCTCCTTCGACAGTTGTCGTGTCTTCTCTGAATAAACATGCTCCTTTACATCGGTAGTAGTAGGCATAGAAAGTGAGTCCAATGCCTCCTCGCCGCCATCATCCACACTGAACCCAAACGCAAACGACATGGCTGCAGCACGTCAAGGGACAAATGCCTCCACTTTCACCATGGTAGGCACTGTGAGATCCCCTTCGATGCCACCGCTCTCGCCTACATGGATTGTCCGGCATCATGCGCCAGTAGCGATTCATGCCGTGGCTTTGGTAAATGATGGGAAAGATCTTATTGTTGGCGATGCCAAAGGTCGCATTTCCGTGACCAGCATGTCCAATTTCCGTCCTCATGTATTCTGGCAGGCACACCAAGATACAATTCTACGAGCTGATGCATGGTATGGTTTTCTTGTTACGTACGTTCTATCTGGCTAATTGTAGGCATGGGAGAGATAATAAGATTTGCGTATGGCGTATGCCTTCTGAACAAGTACCTGCTGCCTTGACGAGCAGCTTGGCGAAAGATTTGCCAGAGCCCACGCTCGTGCTTACATTGGATGTCAATGCATTAAATTATTGTGCATACGACATGACAGTCCAAGCTTGCACGCAAGACGGTCTAAAAGGATGGGTGGCTGTGCCACATACGCTGGAGTCTGCCTGGATCGACGTCTATGAACTGCCATCTAAGCGGCGCATTGTCGAGGCGTTAGGTCGTCAAGACGTTCTTCGAACAGGTGCAGAACGACCAGCGATTGTCATGGCATTGCAGTGTTGTCGTACCAACGATGGCCACACGTTGTGTGCTGGGTACGAGGATGGCACCATTCAAGCGTGGACGTTTGACTATGATTGGACACCGACTCTTCTTTGGACGCACAAACCCCATGCGGAATCCGTCATGGCCCTTGCCCTTGCGCCAGATCGGACGTACGTGGTGAGTGTTGGTGCTGATCGGGCCCTTGTCCAAACAGCTCTTCTAGCAGACGCTCTACCCCGCTCGTATGATGCGACCCGGCCAGGGCATGCAAGTGTCGCGATTGATGCGCGAGGACATACCATGGCTGTTGGTTGCTGGAGTAGCAAGACACATCTGTATACCTTGCCCAGTATGTCGAAAACCATGACACTGCCGTACCACAAAGAAGGTATCTATGCAGTGGCCTACTCTCGCTATGGCCCTACGCACACGTTAGCAGTTCACCAGAATGACAGCGATTGTAGCAGCGAGGACGACCAAAACAGCACAAAAGCACCTACGCATGAAATCCTAGCCTGCGGCAGCAAAGATGGTCGCGTATCGCTATGGAACATTCCTACTACGGGGCCAGATGAACGGTAAGCAAGGCGTCCAAGTTGTGAGAAGCGGTCCATGTGCGCCATGGCTGGCCGTCGCACTGCACCGTGAGTTCGGCATGCCATGCGCCAAGTTGATACACCCCAGGCCCATCTGCTAAGACGTGCGCATCTACTGCATACGATGCGTACGCGGGTATGGTGCAAGAGAGCTTGGTTGAGCCGACCCATGGCGCCCACATCGCTACTGGCTCTTTCTCTGTGGGGATAGGTGCGATCCATCGACACTGGCATGCTAGTGGCCACGGCGATTCATTGCGAAGATGCAACCGGACCGTTGCGATGTCAGGGCAGGTAGGCATACTGGTGCAGTCCGTTTCCACCCATACCGAGAAGGGCATGGGCCAAGAAAGAATGGGCGTGGACCGCATCGCTGTACGAAGGAGCTCCTTTTCCTGAGCCGTTTCAGCATACATGGCCTTGGTCGGGGCCATGTGGCCTAGAGCAGCATCTAGAGCAGCCAAGCTCGCGATGGAATCCTCACGGATGCCCACATGCGTTCCACAGAGCAATGTTTCGCCTTTGCGTCCCTCAGGCAATGTCCACTGCACTAACAAATCAACATCATGTGGATCCATCGACGGGAAGAGGGCTTGCGTCAGCGAAATAGGTGCCTGTACCACCGACTGAAGTTGCGCGCGTCGTGCTACAGCGCGGGAGAGGGTATAGCGATGCGGATCTGATCCCAGTCGTGAGGGAGGAGGCGTGCCTGGACCGAGCCACGTGCAGTGCACATCATAGGCATGATGGCTCGGCAGTGCTTTCCCGGCAAAAAAGGCTTGGAGCGAATCGACCATCGGCTGGACAAGATCCGGGGCTGCGTGGCGGTCCAAACGGAGCCACAAGGTCGTGCGATTGTGGGGTGACAGCGATGAGCACGTGCACTGCGATGGACTGCGCCACTGCGGACTTACAAGCGCGAGTTGGTCCACCGCCAAGGGCTGGGAGGCGTAACTTGTCATTTCTACCGCCATGACATAGGCAGGTCTAGCTGTGCATGCCAGAGCGATACGAGTTTGTACATCCAGCAGTACTTGAGCAGGCACAGTATGCTGAAGGTGTGAGGTATACGAGTGACCTAGGTCATTGGCCAAAGACACGGTGAACGAAAGTACATTTGTCCCAGGAGAGGTAACATGCCAAGCCAACTCTACACGCTGCTGTGCGCCAGGCAGCACATCAGGCAACGAAAAGGAAGATGGGTCCATCGAAGTCGACCACGGCAAGGTCAGAGAAGTAGAGTTCGATGCCTCCTCCTGTGTTTCATGGAGGCCCAGCGTAGGAGGAGAACACGTGAGGCGGAGCTGCGTGGCTGCGTACGCACTAGGATTGGACATGTGCAAGACCACCGGGACCCACTCGCCTACCCATACGGCAGAGGGGGCTTCGAGCGAGAGGGTGAGGCGTGGTACTTGAGGCTGGATGTTAATGCACAATGTTGTATCGGGTGCGTAGGTACGTGTTCGCTTCTGGGCCGGCGTACGATGAAGACGAGGTCCCTGCTTGGTCATGACCTGCTCGATGGGGACCAAGTCGTGCATGACGTAGGTCACTCGTGCTAATCGTGCCATACCTGGGGAAGCAATTTGAACCCGCACATCTAGATCACGGCATTCTCGCGGCGCCAAACTAAGGGTACCGTCGGTTGCCACAACCGCATCCACGTCCTTGCTTCCAGAGGCAAGGTGCCCATCCTGGTCTGCCGGAGCAAAGGCTAATGTCAAATGCATCATTCGCCAGGCAATATGGAGTGGATTTTGCACGCGCAATCGGACCACGAACGATTCGTGAGGGCCTGCCACACACGGCTGTGGATCGTCTTCCCCCCATGGCACAATGTAGCATGCACGTACATCGAATACAGGCACGGGGAGTTGCATGTGCGCAGGGTGTGCATAAGAGGCAACATGCTGTAGCGCGTCCAAATACAGTTGGTCCATCTGAGGCGACGTGCCATGCAAGAGTGGGACCAGGTTGGTCAGCGCATTGTCCATATGCCCACATTTGTGCTCCAACAACGCCATTTTGTACAGGCTATGATCGTACAGTGGCCCATGGCGCGATTGGTAGTACTGGGAGGTGCGTGCATAGCACTGCAAGGCCAAGTCATGTTGGCCACACGCATCGTACAGCGCGGCGGCTTGCAGCAAGGTCATGGCACTTTTCCGTGTATGAGGGGGAGATGTGCGAAGGTAGGCAAGGTAGGCATGCTCGACTAATAAGGCGCGCACCAATTCGTCCGTCACTGCGGAGGCGCGAAGGTAGGCTTGCGCAGCAAGGGTATGTTGAGAGGCTAGGGTTTGTGCGAATGCGTACAAGACGGAGCAACGTAAAGCATACCATGAGCCTGAAGGAGCCTTTGCATACGCTTGGACGGCGTCCATATACAGCTCATGTATTGATGCCGATGACTCTTGCGGTGACTGCCACATATGCAGCGCTCGCATCACGCATGCCATCTCCGCGGCACAGGCACTATACATTGCGGCCTGGTCCGTTATGTAGTCACGTCGCACAGCCTCGTACATGTTCCCTGCCAGTCGGTAATCCCGCAAAAACACGGCCAAATCGGCCAGCCGCCGCGTCTGCGCCGCCAACGAAGAGGGAACATACAAACCGTGCGTGGCCTCTGCTTCGGTGCTCGCGGTAGTGCTTGTCGAGGCTGAGGTGGGACGTGCCGCAAAGAATTTGCGACTAGCACCCAGCAAGCGACCGGTAAGTCCACGACGCTGCGCGGCCACCTGCTCTTGTACTTGATGGACACTGCGCTCCAGGAAAGGTACAAGGCTCTTGGTAATCATTTCACGTACATAGGCCTGAATTTGCTGCAAATCTTCAGTAGACAGTTGTGCCCCTAGGGAGGAAGAGGTATATGGCACCCCACGCGCCTCTAGGGCAGCGGACAAAGACGAGACGACCGACGCGTCGGGCTGTGTGCCACTATTGATCGAGAGCATAGCACATTGCAATCCGTACGTCTTTCGAACCTCGTCCATGAGTACGGTACACCGACTCATATCGCCACCAGACTCTGACACGTCATGGACTAGAACATAGCAGCGCAATAACGACGGGTCTAAGAAGGGATGCTTCGCAAACATATCGCCTTTGCTTGACTCCTCATACAGCTTTGCTAGAGCATTGAGAGGGTCCGCCTCTCTTGATGACACGGCCAAGATCACTGCGGTCAGCGGCTTGTATACGTACTGGCGACGGGGTGAGACATGGTATCAGTCGCGGTCATAGGCCGATGTTCATAGACACCCGCGGAAAGCAGTTTAAACCACGGCGGTGTGGAAAGTATGTGGTCTGCTGTGAGGTAAGATTATACGTACGTGCCCAAGCATCGCGTTCCTCCTGCGCAGGTTCGATGGGCAGGACAGGTCGGTCACAAATCGACGACACGGTCGTAGGACGTTGCATCGCGTCCATGAACGTATGCATAGGCACATCGCTGCCCTGAAACATGTCCATAGCATCGAAGCGTACATCAAACTCTGGGCAAACGCGTGTTTCGAGCTGCGACGTATGCACGGTTACTACGAAGTGTTAGTGTCCATCGTTCGTGGGCCGACGCACCATTCTGTGCACTCCACTCAAAAGCACGTAGCAAAGCAGCAAAGTGAGCCACGCCATTCTTCTGTACTATGCGATCGACATCCGGACTCGTTAGCACAGCAATGCGCGGACTGTACGCGCGATGCACAGTGCTGTCCGCCATGCGTGAGAACACGGCAGGGATAGCGACCTACGCGTGGGTTGGGTGCGCACAGGCGGACGCGAGATGCAAAGCCACATGGCGCCACGTGCGCTTGTGGGGTGCCTGCCCACACCGGCCAAGACAGCGATCGACGTTCCCCGGATTGCATACCATGTCGGCCCAGCCGGAGCCGGTCACAGAGGCCAACCTGGCCAAGCTAAATAGCGAGTCGCTTCTAGAAGGGAGTGGTGATCATCCACCATCGTCAGCGACAGTGGCCAGCCCTGCGCGCTCCGCGCGGTCCACCCTCTCGTTTTCGCAGCGCACGATGGAATCGGTGAACACCATGCTGATCCGATCGATGGTAGCTGTGAATGGCGAGCCTGCACGCCTGCCCACGGAGAAACGCAAGGCGCCTCTCTCCGTTGCTACAACAGCTATCAACTTCCGCGGGTTTGTGCAAAAGTCGGGGCCTGTGTTTGTGTTCCAGGACGCCGTCGAGGCTACGCTCATGTGGGATGACTGGCTCTGGACGACAATGTGGATGGCGCTCTGGGCTGTCGTGTCGCTGCACCCACGCCTCTTTATTTGCGTGCCACCGGCCATTGCACTGACCATCATGTGCAACACCTTCTTCATTCGATTCCCTATTACGCAAGAAGAACGTGACATGTCCCCGGGCGATGCCCTTCGTGCTTCGCTGCGCCAAGGGGATATTCTCAGCGAGGAGCCACGTGCCGAGCCTATTGAGCCGCGCCCTGTCGTTGAAGGCGAGCTGAAGTATTTGCTGCATATGCGCGATATCCAGAACATGATGCGTCTCATTATCGACGGCTACGATCACATTTCGCCCGTGGTCAAGTTTTTGAATTGGTCGGATGTGACACGCACGCTGCGTATTTTCCAAGCGGCCATTGTAGCGCTTGTGTCCTTGTACTTTATCGCACCATACATCCCATGGCGTTTGACCGTATTCCTAGGCGGAGAGTTAATGCTTGTGCATCATCACCCATGGCTCAAGCCCGCCTTGGAAGCGATGACGAAGCAGGCCGATCCTAAGCCGAGTACGTATAAAAAGACACAGCGGAAGCACCGATTGAAGCAGCGCGTGCTGGATATGCTGGATGAGGACCGTCTGCCTGAGAGTGTGTGGCAGCGGGGCTGGAAGGATATGGTACTGTTTGAAAACCAACGTCTGCAGCCAGGCATACGTGGCGGCGTGGAAGAGCGTCGATGGAATGCCAGTAACTTGAAAAAAGACGAACGACGACCATGGACGCGCGGTAGTGATGGCTGGTCGCCGAGCGACGAGGCGGCCACGCCTGGCCTCCACGCCGACCAGGTCCCCTTCGCGTTGGAAGAGGGCTACGAGTGGGTGGAAGGCGATACGTGGCGTATTGATTGGGGCGGTGCCTGGAGCTCTGTAGGTGTAGACGATCAGGGATACGTCTACACAGACAACTCCTGGAGTCGACCTTCGCCGTACGCGTATGGCATCGATCCCAAGGCGCCTAAGCGTCCGATTGGGGCGTACAAGGAAGAAGACGATGAGCACACGATCGACGAAGACGAGCCGGGGTGCCAGCAGCGTGCGCTGACCCGTCGCCGCCGTTGGCTCCGTCGCGCTGTGCGCATCGCTGATGCGGCATGAACGTGCTGTGTAGGTCTGATATACAGTATAGAAGAAACGATGTACTACGAAAAGAACCAGTGGTTGTTGTTCTTTTGGTCGGACGTAGGTGGGGCAAAGGGGGTAGACGAGGGCATGATGACAGGCATACCTGGTGTAGCATGGCCTTGGGTTGTAGCGCCTTTGGCTGCACCGCTGCCGGGCAGGACAAGGTTGTCCGACTTGGTATTCGCCATGGCCATGTCCGTACCAAACGGACGTCCAGGCAACGATACATGGCCTTCGAAAGGGGAAGAGGTCGATGCCGTCATATGCGACGCGCCTGCTTTGGCCGTCGGCATTTCGTCGGTGGACGACTCGTCTTTTTTACGGCGCTTGGGCTTGGATCGCGACGCATCTGTCGCAGCAGCCGTAGCAGCCTCTGTCGTTTTGATAGTGGGCGTGTCCGGCTCATCGCGGCCCTTGATCCGTTTTTTCTTCTTCGCAGCTTTCTTAGCGTCAGCAGATTTGGCAGTGTCTGCTTGCGAGGGGGACGTCATCGTTTCACTACTCCCAGTGCCTTCTTCTTTGCGATTCGAACGCCACGTACGCAGGAAATCCAAGCGCGAAAAACTCGGGACAAAAGAGCCCGTTTCAGAGGTGATATCTCGCATGCGACTAAGCTCCAATTCCGAGGACCACCCGTCCTTCATCATCAACATGATTTGCTCGCGGCGAACGTCCTGGCTCTTGGCTTGCGCAAGCTCGACGCTGTTGAGTTTATGGCCTGTCGCCTTATCACGCCGCTGCGGCTGCAACGTAGCGCTTGTTGGGTACGCAGGGGAAGGCATAGTACTGCTTTGGATCCAATTTGCCATGCGCGACACATGAGGATCAGGCGTAAGACACAGCGGCGGTGCAGTGAGATTGACAATCTGTGACTCAATACGAAGAGCATCTTCGTCGCTCCAAACGCCGCCCATCTTCGCATCCATCATACGCAAGTCGTTCCATAGACTCTCTGCGGATGGTCTCATAATGATTCGGTATATTTCCACGCCATCGGGACTGGTCTTCACATCGTCCGTCGTAAGTTGCGATCGGCTACGAAATCGCGTTTGGTAGAACCCGTATCGACCACCTTCACGTAAATAAAACAGGGAGTCGTCTGCACGAGAATCTCGGCTCCCATCTACGCTGAACCGGTTGTTGCTAGGTTCGTTCGCGGAGACCAGCTTTCGATGATCATGAATTTCCACCATGAGACAGCCTACATGTCAGCACACACAAGCACACATACCTTCGAAAAATGGCACGCCTGCTTGTTGAAAGACATCCATCAGATCAACAGGAATGACCTGATCACATATATAGTGCAGAAATTCCTGGTGTAAGCCGTACATGGGCAGTTCGTACCTTGGTACGCGACTCAAACAAGAAGTAACCATCCTGCGATGTCAGTGTGTATGCACCAACGCACCTGCTTCTCAAACCGCATGAACTGCGGATGCATATGAATAATGAAACTTGCTGGATCCTTGCGATGTCGCTTCAGGATCTGGCGTGTCGTCCGCTCATAGTTATATACGGACGCGGTTGTCGCCATGATCACTGTGGTTGATCGTGACCAAGCCACGGGTGGATGCGTTTGTCCCTCCACATGGAGGAGTAGGTCATGACAGTCTATGTATGTATGCCTCTATGATTCATCGTCACTACTCAGTGTCAAATCGATGACATTCGCTGGTGGCGGCGGTGGCGGTGTGGACAGCGTAGAAAGAGTAGGTCCAGGGCGTATAGGCGAGATGCGAGGGGTTGAGAACGATGTAGCCGACATATCGAGCGACAACATGGGCGAGTCGCCCCCTACAGGCGGCGTCGCTACTTCAGCCTTGGCCACGAACGACGGAGGGATGGTCGAAGCCATCTCCGATGGTGGCGGGGATGGTGTCAGATCAAGTAGGTCAAGCGCCTCTGTCTCGGGTGCGCTAGGCTCTGCGAGGATCGGTGAGTCCGATGTGTACTTGTCATCTGCCGAGTGCCATGACCCATCCGCTTCCACAAGAACCGCTTCCAAGTCATGAGGAACGCGCCTCAAAATGTCTTCCACGTATCCATCCATACGCAGATCTTCCGACTTGATATCCTGGCTGCATACAGGGCACTGCCACTGCGGCGACTGCTCATTCATCGAATAAAAGCTCAGTGCATCAAAGCACTGTATGTGATCGCATGTATTCGCACGACACGGCGTCACCATTCGAACGTACGTCAGGGGGCATGTAAGCCGCAGTGTGGATGCACCTGTCTCGATTTCTTCGTCCTGCGCTTTTCGCTGCATCATAGCAATGACGGACTCTTTGCTTCGGTACTGCTTCTGCTTTAGTTGCGCAGTCAATGTCTCTGCCGACGTCACTTTGCATAAAGCAATGACCATGGTATATCGCTGCGGTGAGTAGTGCATGTACATACATTCGGGGAATTCGCATAGGACAGCTCTACGCGATTGAGTTTGCCTGCGTGGACATGCAGATGACGATTGCGATTTAAATTGGGTGGTGCCACGCGACCAGCGTGCTTTTTGTTGCCTTTTAAGCTTACACCTAGCGACCGCTCATTGATGCGTGCCTCACATGTGAATGGGAACTCAATCGGCACTGCTTTTTGTGGTGGAGAGACAGAGGCCATAAAATTTTGAAAGGTCGTGCAGAAAAGACGAAGCTGGTAGGTGTGCTGGGTATCGGTAAGCTGATCGACTTGCTTTTGGGAGAGTGTGAAGGACACGCCCACCTGCCGTCGACCCGATGGTGGGGGTGCCTCTGGTATCTGTACAATAGAGGATACAAATTCGATCACGTCATAAAAGGGTGAGGGCCAGAATCGGAGCTGCTTGAGCGAGCCTTGCGAAAGGGCCTGTGCCGGTTGAGGCGTGGCTGCACTCGTAGTCGATGTGCTGGGTCGAGCGGCAACCTGTGGGCGGAAGGTTGAAGTGGACGTTGCATTCGAGGAGGGCATATGGCCGTACAATTCGGCATATCTGGACGTGAGTCAACGAGAATGGTACCTACTGCTGAGACGCACGATGAAGATGAGCCACATCTGCGAGCCACATGGTTAGACCGAGCGGCGCCATAACCACTAGCATATCCTCGAAATGCTCTGGAACAGCTGCTGCGGCTATAATTGCTTCGATCAATCGCTGGGCCAAGTCAGGCTTGTTGCCAGATAGGCGCATATGTGGACAGAAGGGAAGACGCTCATTGAAGGCCTTGATATGCTCCTTCAGATCGGCTACTTTCAAGGAGCCAATATACTCACACAATTCATGGATTGTGAGCATGCTCATTCTGATAGGATTCCTGCAGCGTGGCCGGTGTAGCCACAGACCAGCCCACCACGCTACACGCTCTCCTCGAACCGAGCGTCCGTACGCAGACGGCAGCGTAGCCGCCGTCCACTTGCACGTGACTCTCTCCGCACCGCGAGAGGGGCTTGGAATATAAGCATACATACATCAAGCTAGAGAGGAGGTATCATTTCGTAGACAAAGAGGAGGAAGGGTCCATAGGCGGCGCTAAGGCCTCTAACCGTTCCCTGCCCTCCCATGGTTGGCCATGGTTGTGTTTTTCTTCCCATTCCTTGAGCAGATCCAGGTCCACGGCACGCTCACCAATCTGAAATTGGCGGCGGCACGAGTAGGGACCCACACCTGCCGAGGAGGGAAGGGGGTATACATCGGGTTCATCGCGTGGCGACGGTGAGAGGAAGCGCGTGCCGCGCATTTCCGGGGGAAAGAATTCTTGATGAACCGGGTGTGCGTACGAAGGCTCGTAACGGTACTCGGCGCCGTAACCCAACTCCTTCATCATTTGCGTAGGCGCATTCCGAATATGGTAGGGTACAGGGTACTGTGGTTAGTGCATATACACATACATTGTAGTCCGACTCCACAGCGCGTAGCGCCTTTTTCCACGCTTTGTAGGATCGCGTGCTTTTGGGGCACTCAGCCAGCACTACAACACAGTGCGATAAGTTGATGCCACATTCTGGCAGACCCACAATCTCACAGGCCCGGTAGGTGGCGAGGGCCATCTGCAGCGCGTCTGACGAACAGCAATCTTCGGATGCACATACAATCAGGCGACGAGCGATAAAGAGGGGATCGTCTCCACTCGCGATCATGCGAGCCAGCCAGTACAAGGCAGCGTCCGGATTCGAGCCACGGATGCTTTTCTGGGAGTTAGTCAAGTTGTACATACGTGTAGGGCGCTAATGGTATCGTAGTGGGCATCACCTGCGCGATCTGCCAGTCAGAAAAGGGTCCACGTACCATACGTCAGCGATGTACGCTTAAGCGATGCTTTTAGATGCTCAATACGCTCAGCATCTGAACCTTCCTCCTCGGAGGCCAACGCTAGTTCTAGCGCGTGCAAGGCCGCGCGTGCATCGCCGTCTGCCATACGCGCAATCCATGCCAACAGGGCATCAGTGACGTACGTGTAAGTGCCTTGCTCAAAAACGCCATCCAGCCCGGCACGCACACGTTCCAAGGCCTGTCGAAGAATACGCAGACAGTCACGCTCTTTCAACTTTGCCAGGACAACGACACGAAGTCGCGATAATAGAGCGCCTTGCAGACGAAAAGATGGATTCTCTGTGGTAGCTGCAAGCAGAGTAATATGCCCACGCTCGAGCGCTGGAAGGAAAATGTCTTGTTGTGCACGATTGAAGCGCTGAATTTCGTCGATGAACAGCACGGTGCGCTGACCAGAGAGTTGCTGGCGTCGTATGGCCTCATCAATTGCGCGCTTCACGTCTGTGACGGTAGCAGTAGTCGCTGACATTTCGACAAATCGGTAGGTATGCGCATGGTTCGCTTCTCGTGTAACGAGTCGAGCCAGCGTCGTTTTCCCGGTGCCTGGCGGGCCCCAAAGGACCATGGAGGGCACGAACCCTTTGCGCAGGAGCGAAAGCAGAGCTCCATGCACGACGGTATCCTGCCCGATATATTCGCTAAGCTTTTGTGGGCGCATACGTTCTGCAAACGGCTGTGATGCATCCGTTCGCCGCACCTTGGGCTCGGAGGACGTGGTCGACTCGTGTTGCAAAGGTCGCTTCTTCTTCTCTGGCGAGGGCGTATGCGCGAGACATCGATCCAGATGCTCGTTTAATACCGCATAGGTGAGTTTCTTATCGCAGTTCGGGCATGCCACTCGTTCGTGGTCCGCGGGCGTCGTAGTGCTATCGCCTGTGTCGGTCATGCGGGGAAGAAAGCCAGCGAACGTGACGCGTCCTGGCCTCCACACTGAATGCAGCGCAGCGCAGCGCAACGCGGCGCGGCGCGGCGCAGGGACTCCTGGCTAGCCCACCCCGTCGTCGTCCCTCACGTGATTATCGGCCCGAGTCTGGCCGCCACGCCAGGAGCGAGAGCAGCGAGCGCGATCGACTTCAGCCGCTACCAGCCAGTATGAGCAGTGAGAAGCCGCACGGCCATCTCGCGAGCGAGGATGTGCTCAACAAAAAGGTGTGTACGCTGTGTGACTTACCTCAGATGGACCTGTGCCTAAGCAACACGATTGTCAAGACGGGTATCGGTTTCAGTGCGGGTGTGGTACTTTCCGTTTTGTTCCTTCGCCGTACGTATAACACCGATGTGAGATCTGACTAGCAGGGCGGTCGTGGCCAGTATGGCTCGGTACCGGTTTTGGTCTGGGCGCCGGCTACACGGACTGTGAGCGTTCATTCAACCCCGTGTCGGTGCCGGGTGTGCGTATCCTGCCGCTCTCGCAGACGACGGCGCACCCGCAGCCGCCGTCGTCGCGCTTCACGCAGCTGCAGGACCGTGTGGGTGATCTGTTTGGCGAGGCGAAGGAGCAGGCGCAGCACGCCGTGGACAACACGTCGGATATCCGCGCTGCTGCGCACGAGCGCTTCACGGAGCTGAGCAAGAGCGGTAAGGAGACGGTCGAGAAGCATGTGTCGAACTTGCACGAGAAGACGCAGAACATTGCGGACAAGATTGTCGAGACCGGCAAGGGTCTGGTCGAGGAGATCCCAACGCCTGCGGCTGCTGACAAGAAGGTGCGCGTGGTCTAAACGCGGCCGGCAGGCTCTGTAGGCGTGCCGCCGTAGGATATACACAAGTGCTGGCGATTCTAACTATGCAGTGGATGGTACGCTCTGTCGTCGAGCCCACCACTACCGAGCCGTGCATGGCATGCAAAGTGACAGGGGCGGCATCGCTGACATGCGTCGGTATCGCGCTGTTGCATGAAGCACGGCGCCTCGGCTTTGGCCGCGGACCGCAGCCAAAGTGGGCCATCTTTCTCACTTGTGCGGGGGTATCGAGCTTCGGCGGGGCCGTGGCGCGCTTGATTTGGTAGGGTAGATAAGGTAGCGTCACGTCTGATCTGCGACACGCTGCAACGCCACGCGGACGTGCTGAATCCGCTCGGCGAGGGCGCTCAGATGCGACGTATGCGCTTCGCGCAGGACGTCCAGCTCCGCGCCACGAATGGCCGACCAGTCGGCATGGCGCTTGCAACGTCGCTTGGCGAGGAGACATACCATATCGAGGTGACTCTCCACAGTCTCGTCCGCTACGAGAGCCCGGCCTTCTGGCGAAGCGACCCAGGCGGCGAAGGGCTCATCGTCCCAGCACAGCCGTGCATCGAAACCGCAGCAAGGCCCTGAGCCGTCGCTCGGCGGGGGAAGCGACGACTGCTGATCTTCCAGCACTTGCAAAAGCTTGCTGCGCACGCCCAGCAAATCCAACGTAGCATGCACGGAGGCCTGCTGAGCCTCCAGCGCCGCCAGTTCCGAGGTGAGACGCGCAGCTTCGTACGTAGCTGTGGCCAGTACGGTGGCATGATCGCGTACGTAGGCGCCGACACTTTGCCCTGGCGGGATCACGAGGGTCTGTGGATGCAGCGATGCACGTAGATGCTCAATCCACGCCGCATCCAGCGTGCGCGGAGCGTCTGTAAGCACGCTAGGATCGGACCAGATCGTCACGCCACAAGGCGCGGGTGGGGATATCGTCGGCATCGCGAATCGCGCTCGTCCTTCTGGCGTACGACCTTCCTTGCGCTGCTGCAATCGCGCGAGAATGGCTGCGCGGCCACACGAGTCCGAGCAGAACTTGGAGAGAGGCAGGCGGGCTGGCTGCGTACACCCGACACGTTGGCATGGCGCCTTGTACGACGTGCGTTCGTCGGTGTCTGGCGTGAGAGGCCTTGGTACGTACGTGGCTCGCAGATGGGGCAAATAAACACGTCAATACGATCGACGTCGTCTTCGCGGATATGAACGCATGCTGCATGGTACCATTCGTCGCATCGATCGCATGCAATCATCACGCGTTCATCCTCTGCGATGCGTAAGCGGGTTTGTCCACGTACCAAATTGCTCACGACACAAGCAGTACAACTGGACGTCAGACTCGGGCGCCGGCGAGGCGGTAGTAGGTGTCGTCGTCGTCGTCGGCGGCGCCGCAGCTCGGCCAGCGCGCTTCACATCGCGATCAAGCGGCGTGCTTTCGCGTGTGCCGTCTTTGCGCTTGGGCGCGTCGCGTAGACGCACCTCGTCGTCCATCGACGCGTATCGACACGCTGCCTCCCAACCTCCACCGCCGAGAATGACCGACCTGCCGCAGGTGGTGAGCCGTGCAGCGATGTACGCCCAGGACGGCCTGTGGGCCTTACTAGCGTGCTTGCCCTGTGGGCATGGCAGCTCGCATGTTCATATCAACGGCGTGGACTACGAGATCTGCAAGTTGTTGGGCGAAGGCGGGTTTAGTATGGTCTACCTGGCGCGCGACACACAGACCGGCGCCATGTATGCGTTGAAAAAGGTACGTACGTCCTCAAGACGCTTAGACTAGATTCGGTGCCAAAACGGCGCAGAATCGCTGCGCGAGGCGCTGGCAGAGATAGAGGCGATGCGGCGGTTCCGTGGGCCGCATGTCTTACGGCTGGTAGATTCAGCGGTGTTGGCCGATCAGGCGGCTGCGTCGACGCTCCTAGGCAATGTACCGAGCCACGACGAGGAAAGTTGGCGGACGAACAAAGTCGTGTACCTGGTGCTGCCCTACTTTCGGAACGGGAATTTGCAGGACGCGATCCATGCGCATATCGTGCATGGCACACACTTTGACGAGACGCGCATGCTGCGTCTCTTCTTAGGCGCATGTGAAGCGGTGCAGACCATGCACGAGTACCGTCTGCCAGCGAGCCACATAGAGGCGGCCGAGCCAGAGACGAAGGAGGATACGTTGCTGTTTGATGCCGACGCCAGTGACACCTATCCCCCCACGGAGCCGATGACATCGAGGCCCTCTACGACGAGAGACGGTGAGCGTGTGCCGTATGCGCATCGCGATATCAAGCCTGCGTACGTACTAGCGTACTGACCACAGCAACATCATGATCGCCGATGACGGGAGCACGGCGGTGCTCATGGACTTTGGTAGCACTATTCGTGCCCGCGTGAGTATTGCGAACCGACGCGCGGCCGTCGCGCACCAGGATCTGGCGGCTGAGCGCTCCAGTATGCCGTACCGTGCGCCTGAACTGTTTGACGTGAAGAACGATACCACGATCGACGAGCAGGTGGATATTTGGTCGCTGGGGTGTACGCTCTATGCGATGGCGTACCTGCACTCGCCGTTCGAGACGCCGTCTACGACGGAGCAAGGCGGCTCGCTGGCCCTGGCCATCGCGAATGGCGCGTACAAATTCCCCGCCGACGATCCGTACTCGGACGCGGTACGTTCGATCATTCGGCGATGCTTGGCTCGCGAGCCGGCGGAGCGGCCCACCATTCACACACTCATAGAGGAAGTTCGATCCGCGTTGCGTCTATAGCACTGTATATTCTTTAGGCTGTGGCCTTCCACTGCATCCGCGTGCTGGCCACCGCCGCAATGGTGCCAAACACACCGACCCAGCCATCGGTGATGAGACCACCTTCGACGGACCAGTGCATCGTCAGCGGGAGGTAGCCCACATTCACCCAGAACTGGGACAGAAGCATGTCTTTGCGCTGGCGCAGCTCCGACCACATGCGGCGCGTCGTCTGTTGCTCTTCCGAAAGCGCCTTTTCCGAGTCGTGCGGGCTTGGATGACCCCGCGACTTTTCCAGGGCCTTGGCATTGGTACGCAGCAACCGGTTGTCTTCCACTACATGCCAAAAGTCCAGAAGCACGTACGCAGCCCATAGACGACAGCCGTTCAGCCACAAGAAGTTCTGCGAGGCTGGGGAGATCGGCAGAATCTTGTGCATCGCCAAGTACGCCGCCGCCTCCATGGGTGCGTAGACGACCATGGAGAGCGCCTGCAGACGCTCAATCAGGCGCAGGTTGCGTGAGGGCGGCGGGTGGTGCGCCAAGCTCAGCATCCACTTGAGCATAGGCAGGAGACCCCAGATACGGAAGAGGATACGCGCATCGGCCGTGAGAGCATTCAGCGCACGCACACGAGGGATCAGGTGCGCTACCGAGAAGCCCTTGCCGCGACGCTGGCGCAGTGCATGCAGAGCCATCAGAAGCGCCACTACCACGTTGGAACCGTACTGGATCAACATGAAGAACTACACGTAAGAACAGGACCACGTACCTTGTCAGACCCTGTCCAGGAGCCCAAGAAACGCACAAGATGATCCAGGCTCTTGGACTCTGGCACAGCCTTGAGCTTGGAAAAGAGCATCTCTGTAGGGCAGCTGGACGACGACGAGGGCGTCGTCGCAACCTGCTTGGAACTGGCGTCACTTTGGCTCATGTCGTAGGCGCTCGCCAAACCAAAGAAAAAAGCGGGGGTGGGGGCCCCTCTCGCTGTCCCCTACGCTGCTCCTCCACACCCGCCGAGCCTACGGCCCGCCCGCGGAGAGGCCTGGCTTCCTCCACCGGGCAAAAAAACGCCTAGCGTTGCCGGTGATGACACAGGCTCGAAGAGATGCATGCCCATGCCCATGCAAAGGGCACACAAGGCTGGTATCTATAGAACCTACATATCCAACGTACATAGGGCCAACGGGCCAAGCAAAAACTGCGGCCTAGAAGTACTTTTGTTTATGAATCATCACGCGCTGCGTTCACGCGAACGATTCGGCATACGCTTGCGCGACTCCGCCTGCACAAGCTGCTCGATCCGGATCCATTCGCGCTGCTCGGCAGACATCGATGCGTCGGCCCTTTCATGGCGCAGACGCTCAGCTTCCGGCGAGGTGGCCGAGGCATTGCTCGCATTGGTATCGAAGCCAAGACTCTCCAGCAAAACAAAGCGCTTGCGTGCCGAGAGCGGGCGGCATGCTTGCGCGCGAATGCGCTCGCCAATGCTCAGCTTGTTCTCAGGGTCATGCACCAAGTACTTGTTGTGTCGCACGTAGGTCTCACTGTCAGCTCACGTCCATGTAGCTTACCTTCAAAAGCTTGGGATGTGTCTTCACTTTGGCCACGGTCATAGTGACCGTCTTGGCCATCACGCCAGCCTTGGTCACGATGCCTGTCAGCACGGTCGCGCCCATCGTGCAAACGAAGAAAGAAGCGATGGTATCTCAGTACAACATATAGGATATATGGAAATGTGGAATTATGTACTCAGCCCAGGAATGGGTGGGGGCCGCCAAGCTCAGTACCTGTGCGACGTCGCGGGATAGGCAGCCAAGGGCATTGACGCGTCGGCTACCCCGGGTGCATGGCGCACCGGCCGCATCGTAGGCGGGGTGGGCTGAGGTGGAGACGCGGTCGGGAGAGTGCTCTGGCCAGTCTCCGCAGTAGAAGGACGAGCCGTGGTAGGGACACTGGGCAATGGTCCACGACGCGAGCGTGGCATGGTAGGCGTGGCCGGCTCGGATACAGGTGTATCAGGTGGGGTGTACATTGAGGCGGGCCACGATCCATGATCAGTCACCCACCCTTGCGATGTGGTAGGTGTGTACATTCCCATCATGGAGGCAGAGGCCGGCCACGACAGGGAGCGAACGAGCGAGCCTGTATGCGTCGCCACGGGGCCTGTGCCTGGCTTGGTCCGTATACTCGCTTCGTCGTACTCACTAGGTCCATTCCGACTGCCATTCACAGGCGGCAACGACGCAGGTCGTGCCTGTGCGGAATTGATCACAGAGAGGTACCAAAACATGAGATTGGAAATAATCACTTGCTGGTACAGAGGGCGCCGTGGATTCGTCAGTTTGAAATGAGACAAGCGGTAAAGCGCACGCTCCGTTTGTACAGGGTACCGATCGTACATAGAGTAGTCCACAGGCACGGGCGTCGAGGAGGACGCGCCGAAAAATTGGCGCGCTCTATTTCGATACGAGTCATGAAGGCCTTTTCGTTTGCTGAAAATGTTGGTGAGGAACGTATCCTTTTCACGCCGGGGCGACGAACTGCCTTCATCGGTCGCCCGTTCTTTTTTCTTGTGTCGCGTCTCATCGTCGTCTTTCGCTAAGCCAAACCAAGACAGCCCAAACCCTTTTCGATCTCGTCCCACAGCCGGACGAGAAGGCTCGTCGGATTTGCGTGTCGGGGTATACGCTTCGTACGTCGCTGTTGCTGGCTCAGACTCGGTGGACGCTCGGGATGTCGGGGTATCTGTCATCGAGAACGATGGAGTCGTAGGAGGCCGGGGGCCATGCGACGTATGTGCCGGTGGGGGGGGTGTGGCAGGCGATGGCCCCGGATACGAAACCGGCGTAGGTGTAGGGGGCGACCATCCCACAGTCGCATGCGGCGTGCCTGGCCGCAATGGCGGCGTCGGCAAGGGCCGAGGGCCTTCCGCATGCTCCGGCCGTTTGGTCGCAGAGCGCACGTCCGGCAACGGACGTCGAGGTCGAATGTGCTCATTGGACGTCCGCGGAGGCGTAGTGGCTTCGGCAGGCAACTCAGGCAAATCGCCTTTCTGAGGCAGGATGGTTCGCAAATCAGCCGGAGTAAGTTTGCGCTCTTCTGGAGTCACAGGGCGGGGCAATGGCACCGATCGATGCGACGTACGGCGGCTCACAGTGGAAGAATCAGAAGGACCGCGTGAGAGAGACACGTGCGATGGTGTCGGTGATGGTGTCGACCTCGCTGGCGGGGCTGGACGAGGGCCTGAGTCGTGGGGTACGGGCGCCATGTACCGATGGGGCGACTCAGACGAGGCAGCATACTCGGGCGGAAGCACAGGCGCAGGTTTGCGGTGCGATCGACCGTCACGCAATGACCGCTGCGGCGAGACGTTCGCCGGCGCAGAGACAGGGCCGCGTGCACTGGATGTTACAGGGTCCCCTCTCGTAGGCTCAGGCGCCAAAGGACTACTGCGTGGCGGCTCTTGCTCGGCCGCTGAGGCCGTAGAATCGTCCCAATCTTCCACACGGAACTGCCGACGCAACGAACTCGCACGCCGCGTTCGAGCCGTAGAGCGAGCCAGGTAGCGAGACGACATGTCCGGCGACGTTGGCGGAGCATTCATGCCCAAATCGCTTGGATATTTCTGGCTCATATTCTTCTCTGCCTGCTCGCGCAGAAACGAGCGGAAGTTGCTGGGATTCACTTCCGGATGAAGAGAAGCGGGGACCCAAAGCTGCTCCGGCGACTCGTCCTCCGACGCTGGGGGCGGTGGTAGGGGCGGGGATGAGCCGACAGGTCCTCTTTTTATTCGGCCTTGCCGTCGTGCAAGGTACTTATCGCGTTGAATCGAGCCAAAGATGGGGGAGCATTCGTTCAAAATATGTTCATCGAAATCGTTATGATCGGGGGGCGTCGTAGGAGGCGAATTGCTCGCAGAACTTAGCACAGGAGAGGGAGGGCTAAAAAGACCCGAAGGTTCCGTATACACATCGGCTGGCTTGTGCAGATCCGGCAAGTCAGGATCCAGCACTGCCAAGTGGCTGGCAGATAGGCGACGGTGCGTTCGAAGGGCTTGCACCTCGCGCTGGAGATCCAGCTCAGTAATATCGGAACTGTCCATAAATATGTTCCTATACCTAGAAAGAAACAATGATTAGGCCAAGTTCATAGAGTCAAAAGAACAAGAGATACGGGCACCGTACTCTCCCTGGCAGTGAGGCTCGTCGACCAACGTGTTGCGGCTGCCAAAAACCCAGGGCGACCACCGAGTCTGCCTGCACCCCGATGAGGTACGTCTGCTTAGGCCCACCCGATTTGTAAACAATCCACCTATCGTATGTTGATTATCTATGCAATCTCCACACTCCGATGCTGTACGGCAACGAGCTACACTGCCGAGCGCAAGTGGACGGTCTAGGTTCGCGCAGCACGCGACTTGACGTACAAAACACCCGCATCCGTCGTACTGTCCACAGTAAGCCCTCGCTGTGTGAGAAAGCGGACAATGGCAGGACGAATGACCGACATATTGTGCCGGCTATGCACGCCACGACCTGTCACAATCTCCATACGAGGACGCACACCATTCTCGCCTAGCGGCGTGGATTGCCAGCGTGCCACGCACTGTGCCACCACATTCAAAGCTTCGTGAACAGTAAGACCATGTAAATCAATATGCTCAGCGCCGGACTGATGATACGCTGAGCTACTCGATACGCGACGCTGCTCGACCAATGCCGAGGCTGCACGGAGCTGCCATCGGCGTGCCACCTGATCATGTTTTCGCGCTTCTTCCGCATATACCATAGCAGCCCCACCAAGCTTGCTGCCCTTCGAAAGTCGCGCGTTGCGCGACGCTTGCTGAAGCGCTGCATCACGACGAGCACGAGCTTCAGCGGCAAACGCTAAGCATTCGTCCCGTGAGTACGCATGATCTGTATCTGCCTCTGATGCTGTGGTGGGGAGAGTAACATGACCCGCCGACGCTGGCAAAATTGTTAGTGCCTGCCCTGTAGACATCGCCGCGGCGGCAGGGACATTAGGCGCAGCAGCAGGCTGCGAAGCACGACCGGCATAGCTAGTGGCATCACTACTAAGCCAGCGTGGAGCAGCACCAGATACCACTTTATGTTGTGACATCGTAGATGTTTGCACCTCTGCACTTGAAGGCTCAAGGTTCAAAGTACCTGATGGATCAAGAATATCCGGACGATGACCAAGACCGTCGGCAGCCTCTGTAACGATCGTTTCCAGATGCAACAGGTCCAGTACAGCGTCTTGATCTCCTTTCGTTGCTTTTAAAAGTCGCTGAATATGCCTCTCACTCTTGCCCGTAATAGACGCTAGATTGGTGCACATGGTAGGAAAGTCTGGCGAGTGGGTAAGCTGCAAAGCCTCGGAGCTGTTCGCAGCCAATTCAATGACGCGCCCCATCGTAACATGAAGATTAAAGGAACATTGATTAAACACACTCTGAATGCGAGATGTAGGTAGATGCAGCAAGACGGCTAGTTGAGATAAAGACGACGATGCCAATAACCACTGCTGATCAGCCACGGGAAGGGAAGCAGCGTCCGCTGCCTCACGCTCTGCATTTTGCAATTGCCGAGCGAATTCCTCATCATTGAGACCAGTTGAATCCACATGGCGAATGTCTTTAGGACGTTCAATGGGCTGTCGTGCCATACGTGTTTCATAGTAGATATGGTGCGGGCTGCGTTGGTCCGTTAGACTTACTGTCACAGGTCCATTTTTTTTATTTTTATGTTTTCTTGGTTTCTTTTTCTTGTCTGAAATACCATGAGAGAGAGCTTGCAGGTCTAAGCCACCTGTGGATCGCGCCGTAGAGAAGGCTGTAGGATCCGAAGAAAGGATATCGTCTACTAAAATCTCATCAAGTGTAGCATCGATATCGTCATTACAGGAAACCAGTTTTTCTCGAAGATAGGACTCCTCCTTGTCCGGGAACGTTTGATGCAAAAATAAAAGTTTGGATGTGGTCTCAGTAGATGATGTCGCAGTCATATCAACTGTGTCCACGGGATCGGCCTCGACAAAATCGGAAGGAACGGCACCAGCCAACTCATTTAATATATTTTTCGCATCTTCAAGAGATCTTCCCTCTTCATTGGCAATACAAAGAACAAGACTAGGGTCTAGTCGACCAGAATACTGCTCAATAAGCTCATCAAGATTGGTCATCCCGGCGGAACCAACCTTCTTGGGCTGCCCGTCAAGAAAGTCATTGATGTCTCCACCTTCTCCACACAAGAACAACAACACTTTTGAAGTCAACAATAAACAAGCACATTAGCTTGCATAGAACACCCAACAAGTGCCTGCAAGATACCGAGCCATGAATCATAACCCATTGAGAAAATCTACAATACATATACCTAGCCTGGCAGAGACTTTAGCGTATTTACATCCAACAAGCATTGTAAGCCTCCCCGCCAGGCATGTATATGGAACGAGGTATTTTTTCTCTGTGATCCTCCCAAGACCAAGTTTACGGTACCTGGGTGACACTGAGAATGACACATCGCACGACATTCCAAAGGCTGAAATGGTAGAACTACGACAAGCGGAAAAGGCACAAACCTCTAAGCCATACCCAACATACCTTGACGACCTTTATCCGTACCACTTTAATGCATTTAATGAATGCCACCAAACTAACAATACCCATGAAGACGCAAACGATGTAACATATTATATCACCCCTATTTCTTATTCTCCTATCGCTATCGATGAAGCAAGACTATATGCAGCTAAAAGAAAAGGTAAAGCAACACCATATCATCTTCCGAGAGTGAGGATGACATAAAGATACTCGTTTAGTATCTCATATTGTTTAAATATATACATTTCCAAATTCACAATGTCTTAAGGCAAGATGGCCGAGTGGTCTAAGGCGCTGTGTTCAGGCTCACTTTAGTGATACCTTAACAAAAAAATCGCAGTCTCCCTGAGGCGTGGGTTCGAATCCCACTCTTGTCACATCTTTTTCCTTTTTTATTCTATTATGTATTGATTATATATACAAAACTTTCAAAGAATTTAAACCAATTGTAGGCAAGATGGCCGAGTGGTCTAAGGCGCTGTGTTCAGGCTCGCTTTGAGCGATAACCTTGACAAAAAAATCGCAGTCTCCCTGAGGCGTGGGTTCGAATCCCACTCTTGTCACATCCCTTTTTGGTACCCTTTGATTGTAAGTGAATTCGCGAGCTGGAGCATCGGCATAATGTAATTGGGTATACCCTATACATACGCATTCCTTAAAAAGAAATCCCCTTTGCGCAAAAGTCAGGGTTCTTGTTTGCAGTGAAGGATTTTTATTTACCCCACTTTCGCGCCTTCTTACGATTTCACACCTAAACCCTTCTTTTTTACTTTGTCGAGCGACATGGCGTTTTTTAGGTCGCTACGAAGTGCGAAAGACACAAAGAAATTGGATACAAAAGATGCAGCCAGGCAAGATGTTAATGTTGAGGTGAAGCATGTGGAAGCTGATAACGCCATGGTTGAGAACCCTAACATAGACTTTGATCTCCTAGATGAAGAGGTATTTTTGGCTTCGCATGTCGAATCCTCGGCTGTGGACAATATTTATGCACGCAAAGTCTACATCATGAACCGCATTATGAACGAGTATATTGGTATGACCTGGTGGCAGTACGGTCTGCTCTTGGTCGCTGGTGTCGGCTGGTTCCTGGACAATGCTTGGCTTCAGTTGGTCGCTGTAATTCTTAGCCCAGCGCAGAAAGAATTTTTTGCCTTTGAGACCGATCCGGTAACACAACACAACCCAGCTTTCATGACCTTGTCGCTCTATGCGGGTTTAATTGTAGGCGCTGCTTTCTGGGGTTACGCCGCTGATATTGTGGGACGTCGTTTCTCATTCAACGCAACGCTGTTGATCGCTGGTGTTTTTGGTGCAGCAGCTGGCGGTGCACAGAGCTTTACAGCTTTGGGCGGTCTGCTCGCAGCATGTGGTTTTGGAATTGGTGGTAGTCTTCCAGTGGATGGAATGCTCTTTCTCGAATTCCTACCAGGTGTGCGCCAACAAATGCTCACCTTGTTGTCCGTTTTCTGGCCATTGGGTCAACTTGCCACTTCTTTGATTGGATGGGGATTGATTCCAAAGTTCAGCTGCCATGTCAGTGACCCTGCAAAGAATTGCACAGATACAAACAGTATGGGCTTCCTTACACACAATGTGGGATGGCGCTACGTACTCTTTGTTACAGGTTCTTATACGCTTTTCTGCTTTTTCATTCGATTTGTGGTGTTCCGTATCCCTGAGAGCCCCAAGTTCCTTCTCTCGAAAGGACGCGATGGTGATGCCGTTCGAGCTATGCATCAGTTTGCCAAGATGTGCGGTAAGCCTTTGCCGGAGGGTATGTTAACCATCGCCAAACTTCGTGCTGCAGCGGGCCAGCAAGTCGATATGGACTTTGAAGAGGACTCATATGTGCCACCACGCACGATAAAGGAGAAGATTCTTGTCAAGATGAACAATTTCAAGCAGAACTTCAAGAGTAGCGGAAGTGATACGTCACTCACCCACCTCAAGCCTCTTTTCCATACATTTGCTATGGGATACACAACAGCTATCATTTGGCTTCTCTGGGCTCTTATTGGTTTGGCTTACCCTCTTTTTAATGCATTCATTGTGCTGTATTTGGGCGGCGGAGGTACTTTATCTGAAGACAAAGTCTACCGTAACTACGTTATTGTATCAGTGTGTGGTATCCCTGGCAGTCTCTTGGCAACCTGGATGGTGGACCTGCCGCGTAGTGGTCGTCGTGGTGCAATGGCTATTGGCACCCTCCTCACCGGTATTTTCCTGTTTGGTTTTACGGGTGTGGATGGAGAAAACACCGATGGCCAGCTTGCCTTCAGCTGTGTCACGTCATTCACTCAAAACATCATGTATGGCGTCCTTTATTGCTACACGCCAGAGACGTTCCCCGCTCCATTGCGTGGAGCTGCTGACGGTGTGGCTTCCAGTCTTAACCGCATTTTTGGTCTCTTTGCATCCATCATTAAAATTTATGCGCCTAGTCACACGCAGACTCAAAGAGCTATTCCCATTTATGTGGGAGCGGCCCTATTCATTCTTTCCGGTCTTCTCATGCTTACGTTGCGCGTCGAGACGGCCGCACGAACGTCCTTGTAACGTGCTGACACTTGCAAACAAATTAGGATTTGCACTAATGCTTGTTTTTTCTTCATTTTTTCATTAGCAGACATTTATCCAAAAAATGAATTTACGTAGGTGCCGCAGGAATGTATGAAGCTCGAAATCACTTTAAAGCGCCACATCTAGTTAATAGTAATACTCCACGTGCGCAGCAAGAGCGATTAAATAGGCGGGCAAGTGAACAATGCGTGGGCCAAATTCATTTTATTCTTCGCAAGCGCATAACATTGAAAACGGCAAGAACGGACCAGGTTTCGTTGCATCTACCATGTCAGACTTAGCTAGTCAGCCAAAAGAAGGCTTGACCTCACATCAGCCTTCTACAACTGTTGAAGAAAAACAAAACCATATGTTAACTAAGTCAGAGTACATGGACCCAGAGTCGAACGAAGAAGCAGGGGAGCAAGAGCAGCGTCGCCTTCATGTTGAGATCTCTGCTGTAGAAAATGGATATGCCCGCAAAGTGTACTGCCTTAATAAGATCATTGACGAGCATATTGGAATGACTCGGTGGCAGTGGGGTTTGCTGTTCGTTGCAGGTATGGGCTGGTTCCTTGATAATGCGTGGCTGCAATTAATTGCTGTGATCCTACCACAAATCCAAGTCGAATTCTTCACAGATGGGTATCAAGAAGCGCATATTTTTACGTCTAACCCTGCCTGGGTGACCTTCTCTCTTTTCGTAGGCATGTTGGTGGGCGCGAGCTTTTGGGGCTATGCCGCTGACATTGTCGGCCGTCGCTTGTCATTCAACATTACCTTGTTTATCTGTGGTGTGTTTGCCATTGCTTCTGGAGGCGCAAAAACGTTTGCTGCTCTCGCTGCCTTGGTTGGTGTGTCATGTTTCGGTATTGGTGGCAGTCTTCCTGTGGACGGTATGCTGTTCCTTGAATTCCTTCCCGGAAGCCATCAATACCTGCTTACATTGTTATCTGTCTTTTGGTCACTCGGTCAGCTAGTTACTTCGCTGATCGGCTGGGGCTTTATCTCTCGCTGGAATTGTGAATCGCACGATGCGTGTGCGATAAATCGTACATCGCAGGGCTGGCTGGCTGGCAATGTCGGCTGGCGTTATCTGATTTTTACCACAGGCGCTTACACTCTCTTTGTCTTTTTCATTCGTTTTGTTATTTTCCGCATTCCGGAGAGCCCTAAGTTCTACCTGTCAAAGGGTCGTGATGCAGAAGCTGTCCAGGCAATGCACGAGTTTGCGCGTAAGTGCGGCAAGCCGCTGCCGGAAGGCATGTTGACTGTTGGTAAACTGAGGAGCATTGCTGGCGAAGAAGAGTTTATGGATGCGGTAGAAGGCCCTGTGGAAACGCACAAGAGCATGACGGCCTACTTCACGTATTGGTGGAACGATATTAAGTACAACTTCCAGCACTCGAAGCGTGTGTCTCCGTTCGCCCAGATTGCACCCCTTTTCTCAACCATTTCACTAGGCTATACCACTGTCGTTACATGGTTACTCTGGCTGCTGATTGGACTGGCCTACCCGCTCTTTAATTCGTTCATTATTCTGTACCTCGGCTCCAAAGGTGATACTTCGCTGAGCCGTAACTACCGCAACTATGTCATTATCTCTGTTTGTGGTGTGCCAGGCAGTGTGATCGGTGCCTGGATGGTAACATGGCCGCTGGCTGGTCGTCGTGGTGCTATGGCTATTGGTACCATTCTCTCGGGCATTTTCTTGTTCATTTTCATCGCAGATGGTCACACTGCTGAGCGTCAACTGGCTTACTTTGCTGTGACCAACTTTTTCGAAAATATCATGTACGGTGTACTTTACTGCTACACACCGGAAATGTTCCCGGCTCCCTTGCGTGGCACGGCTGATGGTATCGCTGCTATGATGAACCGGATTATGGGTGTGGTGGCTACTCTGATTAAAATCTATACGACGACGCGTGACCAAAGCACTGGCTCGAGCTCGCAGGCGGCGCCCCTGTATACATCTGCTGCTCTGTTTGTGGCTTCAGGCTTGCTCATGCTAACCTTGCGTGTGGAAACTGCGTCGCGTACGGCTCTATAATACATTCTTTGATCGACATGGTGAGCGCGAAACGGGTTCCCCAGACAAAAATAGGTTCTCCATAGTTGTAAATTGGGGCGTTACGCCTAAGTGACAAATCAGACGCTGCTTGGCTAGTAAAATAACGGACGGGCACCTGTCAAAGGCCTGGACCCTGAGCTAAAATACCCACACATGCACCAATCTGCACGTGCCATGAAGGACAGCTCTGTTGCGTGGACATAATGCCACATTTGCCATACATCATGTTGCATGGCTAGTAAGGGCGTGCAGATAGACTATTTAGGTGGCCTATGAAACGCGCACTGTCGCGAAGAAGACGGAGGGGACCCGCAAAAGGGTTCACCCGCTACCTACCCTCCGCTACAAGATGGCAGGGATCGAAGAAAAGGACAAACTGAAAGAGCATGACAAGGTAGTGGCGTTGGAGTTGCCAAGAGACCCAGAGAACAGCTCACTTGGTGAAATGGAGGAACTCCGTCATAAGCATCTCGAGTCGGCGGCTGTGGATGAGGCGTACGCAAGGAAGGTGTATTTGTGCAACAAGATCATTGACGAGTACATCGGCATGACAAGATGGCAATGGGGTTTACTCCTTGTTGCTGGTTTTGGCTGGTTCCTCGATAATGCGTGGCTGCAGCTCATTGCTGTCATCTTGCCGCAAGTGAATATCGAATTTTTCAGCGACGAGTACGCAAGTGCACACAAGTTTGCTGCCAACCCAGCATGGCTTACGTTTGCCAATTTCTCTGGTCAGCTAGCAGGTGCCTTGTTTTGGGGCTACGCCTCTGATGTGGTGGGACGACGTCTCTCGTTTAATGCTACGTTGCTCATTGGCGGTGTGTTCTCCGTAGCGGCTGGTGGCGCACGATCGTTTGCTGCTGTGGCGGGTCTGGCCGGTGTGGCATGCTTTGGGTTCGGTGGTGCACTGCCTGTGGATGGCATGCTCTTTCTGGAATTCTTGCCTGGCCGCTACCAGTATTTGCTTACATTGCTCTCTGTTTTCTGGTCGTTGGGCCAGTTGCTGACCTCGCTTATTGGCTGGGGCTTTATTGTACGCTGGAATTGTGCGTCGCATGATGCATGTGCCATGGACCGCACATCGCAAGGCTGGCTGGCTGGTAATGTCGGTTGGAGGTACTTGGTCTTTACGACTGGCGCTTACACACTCTTGGCGTTTATTGTGCGATTCTTTATTTTCCGTATCCCGGAGAGCCCCAAGTTTTATCTATCAAAGGGTCGTGATGCGGAAGCTGTCCAGGCCATGCACGAGTTTGCGCGTATGTGCGGTAAGCCTTTGCCAGACGGCATGCTGACCGTCACAAAGCTTCGCCACATTGCCTTTGAAGAGATGGCTGAGCATGAAGAGGAGCCGGAAATTGAGAGTCACAAGAGCATCACGGCGTACTTCCGCTACTGGTACCACGACTTGAAGTTCAATTTCCAGCACACGCGAAAGGTATCTCCTTGGGCTCAACTAAGGCCCCTCTTTTCCAACTTTGCTTTGGGGTACACCACCATCATCACATGGATTCTGTGGCTCTTCATCGGTCTGGCCTACCCTCTGTTCAATGCGTTCATTTTGCTATATCTCAAGTCGGGAGACTCGACTCTGAGCATGGAGTACCGCAATTATGTCATTGTGTCGGTGTGCGGTGTACCAGGCAGTTTGATTGCTGCCTGGATGGTGACGTGGCCTGTCGCAGGTCGTCGTGGTGCCATGGCCATTGGTACGATTTTGTCAGGCATCTTCTTGTTCGTGTTTATTGCAGCAGGAAACTCCTCGGAGCGACAGTTGGCCTTCTTCTGTGTGGTAAACTTCTTTGAGAACATCATGTATGGTGTGCTGTACTGTTACACACCTGAGTCCTTCCCTGCGCCTTTGCGTGGCACGGCTGATGGTGTCGCTGCGACACTTAACCGGCTGGGCGGTGTTATTGCTGCGCTAATCAAAGTGTATACGACGGGTGGTACTGGCGCTGCCAAGTCCGCCCCGCTGTACACCTCCGCCGCGCTGTTTGTGTTTAGTGGTGTGCTTATGCTGACGCTGCGTGTGGAAACAAATGCACGAACAGCCATGTAAGGACCGTACAGATACACTGTCATTCTATCCTCGCATGTACTATATATACACCATAAAAAGTTAATCGCCCCTGTATCGTTGTCGCTCCCATTCACGCCAGAGGGCTTTAAATACGAGTTGGCCGCTAGCATCGAGCATACCTTTCAAGGCGGTATCGCGCTCGAACTCGCCGCACAATTCGCATAGGGCATAGAGACCAGGCTGCAAGGCTTGACGTAAGGATACATCAATGGTCGTGTCTGGCATAGTAAGACAGCGTACGTATGCCACCAGGATGTAGACGGCATGCTTCGACATGGGCTTGCTTAGGGATTCCATGGTGCCAGGCATCTCGGTCTTACTCCGCTTCGTAAGCGAGGGATGGATGGGTGTTTTGGCGCCTAGTTCTGTGAGCAGACGGCTGAAAGCCTGCGCATCGGCCACGCTCAATGGGTGCAGATGGACGTCGAGCCAGCATGGCATAGTACTGGCCAAGTGGTGCAGCACCACCGAGCCTGTATTCGCACGCAAGACGGACGATAGGAGACGCCATGGCATGCCCAGAAGCTGGGTAAGATGCGGGAGGCATGGCGCTAGCAAGTCCTTGCGTTGGTGTACCAAGGCGCGAAGGGCAGCACACACATGCTGGAAGATGGCACTGGCAGAACTTGCGTGCATGGTAGGCGCAGTACGTGGGACACGAGGCGAAAGTACGGCGCTTAAAAGCGAGAGGAGGCGCGGCACATCAAAAGGCCGTAGAGCTCGTGCACGATACTGGCATACACGTTCGACCAGGGCGACCACGGGCAGCGTAAGCGAGGGCGATTGAGTAAGCAAGAACGACAGACGTAGCCACAGCATCGAGAGAAATGGGCCTGTCTGCTTGCTGGTACCAGGTGGCCCATACTGCAATACCACGGCGATGGCGCCCAGCAACGAACTTCGTTCTTGGTCCGTGCCATGCGATTCGCTGCTCAGCAAGGACGCAAGAGTGTGGAGTGTCGATCCATACTCGTCACGCGACACCTGCTGCCACGCCGGAACGAATTGCGAGTGGAGGTCGTCCGCCAGCGAAGGGAAGGTCGCATGGAGGCCGGCATACGCTACAATCACACGCGCATACCGCTCGGTGCCAACGGCTGGCGTGATGGCCAGCAGCGCATCGAGCAGGGCAGAGGCGAGGGGTGCTGCGTCGGAAGCTTCGCTGCTCTGTGGACATGGACGGCAAAGTAGGGCCATGGCGCGGCACAGAGTATGCGCCAAATTATCCAACGCTTGGTGGTCAGTGCCCGACATCAAGACCAGACGAGTATAGGCCGCGCAAACACGGAGGCGGCGCGCCATGTCTTGGTACGTAGAAGGCGCTGCGTCCGGGACAGAAGCTAGGAGAGTCTGCCAAGACGCTTGCAGCGCCGACCACGACGGCAAAGGCAAAGCCCACGCCGCCGTACGTGCATATGCCAACACGGCTGTAAGCACATCGGCAGCGAGGCGTGTCTGCTCCGAGGCTGGATCTTGCATGGCACACGCATGCAGCGAATCCAAGGGGCCGAGGCTTTCTGATGTATGTGGCAGCAACGCATGGACCAAGTGGACGCAGCTTGCGGTCAGTGTCGAGGCAGTGGCGCTCGGCGGAAGCGTTGCTGTTTGAAGGGTATCGAGGTAGGCTGGCAATGACAGGCACGGCAAGGGGGGCGCATATGCCGTGCACCAGCGCGCCAGCAACCGCTGTAGATCTGCACAGGCGCGTGCATGCGCTGCGAGACAAGATGGGTGGTGCCACAAATAGGCGTGCAAATTGGACAGACGTGGCGCCAAGGTTTGGGCGATCGTACGCGAGACGTACGCCACAGGTGTATGGAAAAGCACAGCGAGGCCTTGCAGTGTAGGCACAAGGTGCTTCTTCGTGCCCTGGTGAGCCCATACCTCTGTCGCCTGATCGACATGCCGCCATACAGCAGCCTGCCAACGACGCAGTTCCAAGAACTGCGCATTGCGTACACACAGCGTACTCAGTTCACGCAAGCAGCTGCCCACCGACAAGCACGCCACGGACGTCACCGGTAGGGCCAATGTGTCGTGGAGGTAGGCCACAAGTTGGTCGAGAAGCGCGTCTGACGCACACTGATCGACCACAGCGAGCCATCGTGTAGTGCATTGACGCCATAAGGCCACAGGTACATACGCCGCGTCTTCCACACCGAGGACTTGGCCATCCCACGTCTCGAGTACGCGGTCGGGGTGGGTCAGGCCAGCACGCAGGTGGGCCATCAACGACGTCGCTATGCCTGGCCACGTGGTCTCATGAGCATAGAGGTACCGCGTCCCATCAATGAGCAAAGCGGGAGGGCAAGTGTCACACGACAAGAGCTGGACCAACGACGCGAGGGTCTCGGATGACAGCGGAATGTGGGGTGGCGATAAAGCAGGACAGAGCTGTGTACCCAATCGCAAAGCGGCGGCCATGGCATGAGTATGAGCCAGCATGGCCTCCCTAGGGAGGGATAGCGTCTCTGTAAGGAAAGTGCCCAACGCAGGCACCACCTCGTCCACAGGCGTGGCCACGCAGCTGACCAACATGGCCATCATGTGCCACGATAAAGCACGCTGCGCATCCGTCGAGGCTGGCGCCGTGGCATGAGACTGCATAGTGAGAAGTGTATCACGTTGCTGCGCAGGCGACATGTGCTGCGCCCAGCCCGTCTGCCAGTGTGTGCGCATAGATGCACACAAGAGGGGACTGGCGCCGAGCTGAAAAAGGACCGATGGGGCTGCCGTCGGTCCACAGAGCTCCTGGCCTGCCTCGTACACGTACTCGTACAGTCGCGGCATACGTCGCTCAGCCGCCAAGGTATCGAGCACGACCTTGGTCAACGTCCACGCTGCGTCCCACGATGCCTGCGAACGCGAAATGCGGCCGACTGCCTGGAAGAACAGGGGTATATAGGACTCCATACGAGCCGCATCGACATGCCACAAGGCAGTCAGTAGTGAAAAGACGACGCTCGACGTGTGGGCCGTCGGACGTGCCGCTGCCAGGCACCGTGACCAGAGCGCCGCCCAGGCATCCTCGTCCTCACCGCCCGGCTGGTACAGACGCAGGTCGTCTATGGTACGGACCATGGCGAGCAAGTCCTGCAAATGCGCTGTGTCCTGCAACAAGCGTGTACAAAGCGGCACAATGACACGCTCAAGCATCGCCTGCCGAATCGGCGCAGGCGGCGCTTGCACTCGCTCCTGCCAGGGAAAAACACTCTCGACCATGCTCGTCAAGACCCAAGGCAGTATGGCACGAGTACTTCGCGCATGCGTACCGTCCATGTGCTGTTGCAGCGCTTCCACGAGAGAGTCGGTGATGTCCGGTAGCGTAATGGACACCTTGGGGCCGAGAAGAGCAGTGCCATAGAGGGAGTGCGCTGCCCAACGGCCCAGTAGTGTGTCCAAGTCGGTCGCCGCGGCAGAGTTGGGCTGTGTAGAGAGGTATACGTGCGCCTCGGCCCAAGGAACAAGCGAGGTGCTCACGAAGAACTTGGCCGTCTTCTTGCTGTTCGTCCCAAGCTCTAACTGAGGCATCCATGCACGCATACATTGTGCCCAGAACTGAGTCGTATCCTCCATCGTAGTCTCATCACACAGCTGCGGCAGCGCACGAAGCACGTCACAGAGACACGCATTGACGGTATCGATATGACTTGCGCCGATGCGGCGGATACTAATCGGCAGAAGAATCGTAAGAGCCAGCACGGCCGATTCCCACAAAGCCACGCTAGGCGCCGCTGCGATCGACGCAGGAAACGCCCAGACATGATGCTTGGCCACGAGACCATGCAGGGTATCGGGGGACACTGCCTCGGACGCTAGAATGGCCGTAAGAAGCGCCCAGTATGCAGGATCCAGATGATGCTGTGCCCCACGTTTCGTGCTTGCCATCATGCTATCCAGCGCACAGTCGAGCAACAGCTCGGCCTTTTGGGGGACGTACAAGGTGTCATCGGTCCATGCCCCTTGGAAAATGTCGATTTTCAAGGCAGGGATAGCGCCTCCTTTGGATGCATTCTCCGGCCGTTTGAGGACTTGCACGAGTTGCTCCGACGTGGTAATGCCCCACGCCGCCAGGCCCTGCGTCATGGACACGATAGAGCCAGTGGCACGTCGCTGGGAACGTGCAGAGCCTCGACAGGCCACTTTTTTGCTCCATCTCAGTCACGTGCGAGTGACCGAGAAGGTCGACGTCGTTCCTCTTCCTCATTAACCATCATGTTGTGGCGCGCAAGTGTGCCGCTCATCCGCCACGCCATGGCCACCACCCGTGCTCCTGTGCCGATGATGCTCCGCCAGACACCTGTGGTGCCGCGCATGATGATGCCGGAGCCGTTTGTGCCGCCAATGGCACGTGGTATGAAGGTGCGCTCGTCGGTCAAGCGTCTCTGCAACTACTGCTCGATTGTGCGCCGCAAGGGCCGTTTGTATGTGATTTGCAGCAAGAATGCCAAGCACAAGCAGGTATGTACATGGATTCTGACCATCAGCGCCAAGGATGATCGTTTCACACCACTTTCTTACACACACCCTTCGGCCAGCTACGAGACCGTGCAGACGTATCCGCTCTGCTCTACCTGGCCAGGATCGATACCGTACAACACAAATATGATATTTCTATAGATGGATGTGTATCCAAACGCCCTCAGCTATTTTGTGTACAACCATATATCTAGCACAGTTCAGGGTGCATCTTCTTGCACTTGGCCACGATCTTCTTGACATCCTGGCTACGCGCACGCGTGGTGATCAGAAGCGCATCCGGAGTGTCGACCACGACGACATCGTCCATACCCAAGCATGCAATCTTGCGGCCCGACGCAGGTACCACGATACCACCTACCTGGCCTTCTGTGACGACCAGCGACGGGTCACCCAGGACACGCGCCTCGTTCTTCTCCGCAGGAATCAGATCCGAAAGCGATGCAAAGTCACCCACATCGTCCCAACCAAAGGTAGCAGGGACCACAGCCACTTTGCCGACCCTGGACGCAGGCTCAGCCACCGCATGGTCAATCGCAATCTTTGGCAGCGTCGGCCACACTTCCTTGAGCACAATCGAGCGGCTCGGCGTGTCCCACGCATCCGCAATCGTGTTCAGACCCGCACACAGCTCAGGCACATAGGCCTCCATGAGCGACATGAGAGTCTTGGCCTTGACAACGAACATACCACCATTCCAGCGGTACTCACCCGTGCTCAAGTACGCACTCGCTGTACGAGCATCCGGCTTCTCCTTGAACTCCAGCACCTTGTGAGCGTTCGGCGCTCCCTCCAGCTCAAGGCTCTCACCCAGCTTAATGTAACCGAACCCTGTGGACGGATGCGACGGCGCAATACCGATCGTGACCAGGAAGCCCTCCTTGGCCACGGCCACAGCCTCGCGAACAGACGACTCGAAGGCATCACGACCTGACACAATGTGATCCGCTGCAAACGAGCCCAACACAGCCTCGGGATCACGACGCACAAGGACAGCGGCCGCCAAACCAATAGCCGCCATCGATTCTTTCGGTGAAGGCTCTGCGAACACATTGTCGGGCACCAGCTGTGGCAACTGCTCCGACACGGCCTCAACGTGCATTTGACCAGTGACCACCATAAACTTGTCCACACCAGACAACGGCAGGAGACGGTCCCACGTATTTTGAATCAGCGTACGACCACCGCCTGTCAAGTCCAGCAGGAACTTGGGGCAGCTCTCACGACTCAGAGGCCAGAGACGCGTACCCGCACCACCAGCCGGCACGACGACCCACAGGCCCAGCGAAGGGTCGGTAGCCTTGAGCTTCGTAGGCGGCAGCCCAATCGTGGGGATCGCCACAGTGGCAGCACGCGCACGCTCAGGGTTCCAGCTGTTGAGCGACGACTGGTATGCAGCATAGCTGCTATTGTTGCGACGACCTGGCGACATGCTCGGCGAGAACATAGGTACGGTAGGTGTCGTTGGGAATTGGCCATTCTCAAGCACATCCAGACGTTCCGATACCCGATGAACTTCTCGACGCAGATCCGAGATTCCATGTAGGATCTGCGTGAGCATAGACTCTTCCTTAGAACCGCTCATAAAGGTAGTTCGTGCGATCGAAGTTGTGGTGAAACGGAACTCAAAATGGGAGCGAAGGAGTGTGCTATGGGCACAGATCACCTGCTATGGCACAATCAAATTTGATTGGATACATATACTCGGGTTCAATACAGCGAACATTTATCTTGATGATGAAAATAGCACGGAAGAAAAGTGACGTATCATATGTCAGGAAATCTCACGTGGACTCGAGACAACTGTCGTGAAGCGAAGCGAGCATGAAGAGAATTATTAGTAGCCTATGGGGATTTACGAAGCTCCCGCAGGAGCGCCCAGGGAGAAAAAAAAAGGACAACGTCTATGAGAATGTTGGTGACACGTAGAGCGCAGTAGCGAAGAAGAGTGCGAGCTGCTATACCAAAGACGTGCACCGAAAAGATGTGACACCAGGCCATAAAAGAGATAGTACGACCATGCGAGTCAACAGCCATCCATTAGGCATGGACCTGGGGGTGCTGACGACGGAAGAAGAAACCCGAGTGGAAGAGCGGGTTCGGCGCTTGACCCTGACGCACCGTAGCATAGGTGTGGCACTGCGACGTCTTACCAGGTGCATGAGGTTTCGGTGTGTGCGATTGACCCTGCATAAAGGTCGACGTACCATACACACCAGGGAACTGACCATCGTCCGACAAGCAGTCCTCGAACACGCCATCATCGTACTTACCAGGCTCGTTAAAGTACGATCCCATTACGTCGTAGACGTGCGGGCAGTACGACGTGGCGTTCGGGCCCCAGCACGCGCGCATGCTGAATTCCGAGTCGCTGAGGAACATGTTCCACTCCGGCAGCTGAACCCACTCGCCTTCGCGGCCGCGAACGCTGCGGCTCCAGACCAGGCCACCAATCGGGTTACCCAGACCAGTCGCGCCGTGCGGGTCGAGCTCACCACCATCGTCGCCTTTCTGGACGTTGATCCGCGTAAAGTCACCGTGGCCCGTAATCTGGACGAACGAGTCCGACTGCAGGAAGTACGCGCTCTTGATCGTGCCGTCAGGCACAAGACGGGTGCCATAACCCGACTTGGTGCAGTACGAAACTACGCTTGTCTCCATAGGACCTACATGACCCACAGTCTGTGGAGCCCATAAACAAAAGTCAGACGCCGAGTTGATAAAAATGTTCTGGCACAGGGACGTCGGGCTTGACGGGCCATACTGACCACACGAGTTCGTACCCGCTTGACCCTGCTGCCACTGGGTAGGAGGGAAGTAGATCGAAAACGGCATCGACGCGCACATTCCGAGCGACGCCAGCGATGCTGCCGCGATAGCAGCCAAAGGCATGCGAACCATACTAAAAGAGAGACAGAGGAAAAGGAAAGGTGCGTCTAAAAGGAGGGCTTTGTGTCCAGCACAAGTACGGTGGAAAAGAGGGGCGTCACGGGAGGTGCTACGAGATAATGCCTCAGCTGCGCCCTCTTTCTAGGAGCAAGCTTTTTTTTTAGAGCAGCCGGGCAAAAAGAGAATTTCAACGTAGAGAATCGGATTCTAGCCAATTAGTAAGCAGATGCAAAATCATCGCGGAGGGCAGGCCCACCTTTTGTGATACGTCAGACGTGCCTGTACATATGATTGGCCTACCACTAAGAAGGTCATGTAACTTCTATGCACTCGTATAGGCGTACCGATGCACGCTCGTGTGGACGATGGCCATATTCATGAGCTCTATCAGTCGATCGGGCTCAGCGCCTTTTTGAGGCATGCACGCCTTGACGCCAAAAATGTATGGCTCAAATAAAGTGGGCAGACCTACAGAGAAAGAAAAATGTAACGTATGTAGCAGCGTTTAAGCGGCCGCGGTGCGAGCCAATGGCTTGGATGTATCGACATTGTCATAGAAAGCAGCGCCGTGTGTCGTCTCCGCAATGATACCAGCGCGAATGACCCAGTCACCGAAAGGCTCGCCCTCCAAGCGTTCGTTCGCGTAGCGCGGGATCAGGACCTCCATAATCTCAAGGATCTCCTGCTCGTTCACGCTCTCACGGAAGATTTTGTTTAGACGCTCACCTGCGTGACCACCACCCAGGCACATGACGTACTGGCCTGGCGCCTTACCCACAAACCCAATCTCCGCGACCCATGGGCGAGCGCAGCCGTTAGGGCAACCAGTCATACGCAACGTAATTTCGTCGTGCTTCAGACCGTTCGCCAGGTAGATACGCTCAATCTTGTCGACAAGCTTGAAGATGTAGCGCTCCGATTCAGCCATCGCCAGACCACATGTAGGGAACGCGACGCACGCACTGGCACTCAGACGCAGACCCGACTGCTCCCACTTATCCATGTGGTACTCCTTGAGGTGCGCCTCGATCTTCGGCTTGTCTGCCTCGTCAATGTCCGACACAATAATGTGCTGGTTCGGCGTAAGACGGAAAGTGCCCTTGTGGAACTTGGCCAGCTCACGCAGACCCGTACGGAACGGCATACCCGGCTCGTCAATCACACGACCGTTCTCGAGCCAGAGCGTGCAGTGCCACTTGCCGCGGTAGTCTTTCCTCCAGCCGTACTCGTCCGTGTTCGCCTCAAAGCGGAACGGACGAGCCTCCTCAAGCTTGTAGCCAAGACGGCGCTCCAGCTCAGCGCGGAAGTTCTCTGGACCGTTCCAGTACTTGTCGACCGTGTATTTCAGACGCGCCTGCTTACGGTTCTGACGGTTGCCCGTGTCGCGCTGGATCAGCAGCACCTGACGGCACGCCTCGTACGCCTGGTCGACAGTCACAAAGCCTAGAACGCTGCCCAGACGTGGGTACGTCGCCTTCATCGAGTGCGTCACACCCATACCACCACCCACGGCAATGTTGAAACCGAGCAGTTCCTTCTTCTCGTGGTCGGCGATGGCAATCAGACCAATGTCGTGCGCAAACACATCGACATCGTTGCGAGGCGGCATGGCCACCGCGATCTTAAACTTACGCGGGAGGTAGTACGGGCCGTAGAGCGGCTCGTAGTCCTGCAGCGCACCACCCACCAACAACTTGCTCTTACTGTCAGTGCCCTTGTCAAGCCAGATCTCGTGGTATGCATTCATGCGCGGAAGCAAAAAGTCCGACAGCTTCTTTGAGAAGTTGTACATGCTCTCGTGTACCTCAGACAAATGCGGGTTCGGCGAGCACATCACATTGCGGTTCACGTCACCACACGCGGCAATCGTGTCGAACATGCTCTGGTTGATCGCCTTCATCGCCGCCTTCATGTTGCGCTTGAGAATCATGTGGTACTGCACCGTCTGACGCGTCGTAATCTTCAACGACTTGATACCACCGTACTCCTCCGCCACACGGTCAAGCTGCAGCCACTGCTCCGCAGTACACACACCCGCAGGCATACGCACACGAATCATGAAACCGTACGCCGGCTCCAGACCCGCAGCCTTGCGCTCCTCGAGCGTGTCACGGTCGTACTGCATGTACGTACCGTGGAACTTGGTCAGCTGCGTATCCGTCTCGCAGATGGCGCCCGTAGAAATGTCCGCGAGACCTTCCTCGATAGTGCCACGCAAGTAGTTGCTTGCAATCTTGATGTGCTCGTTTGTGATCGGCTCCGGCTCCTCTTCGGTCACGGTGACAGTGTCAACACCCAGCGCCTTCCACAGCTGCGGCTCCCAGAGCTTGTAGCCCGTCTGCCAACCGTCCGCGTCCTGGTCGTCACCAAGACCAATCGGGACCAATCGGCTCGCACCCAGCTCCACAAGACGCTTGTCGAGATCCTTCGCGGGCTTGTTGTAGTAGTGCGCATCCTCCGGACGCGGCCAGTAATGCGAGTCACCCATACCAAACACCGTGAAGCGCGTCTCCTCCGTAAAGAGGCCACTCGCCTGCTTGGCCAGCGCCTTCATCGTCAAGCGACCGTTCTGCGGCGGCTCACCCTGACCGGCCGTCGAGGTGATCAGGACGACATTCGGCTCGGATGCCAGCTCCTCGATCGGGTAGTCGTCCATCGCAAGCACACGCGCACCGAGGCCACGCAGCTTCGCACGCGTCGTAAGACGCTTCGCAACCTTCTCGGCCGCACCACCATCCGACGCATAAAGGATCAGCAAAGAGGGACCTTCCATGGCACCCAGCAGTTGGTTGTAGGCCTCTTGCGCCTTGGCACGCTGCTTTTCACGCAGCGCTTGGCCCTGGGACGCAGCCAGATCGTACGCCAGCGCAGGACGTTCCTGCGCCAACAGCGAAAAGTGGGATTGGCGGTCGAGGAACGACTGCAGCTGCTCACGAATACGCACACTATCGAGGCGGAACACCTCCTGTCCACGCTCCTCGGCACTCGGGTCCCAGCGGTACAGCGGCCAGTAGCCCGAGTCCACAGCCAGCTTGGTCTCCTGTAGCACCTGGAGCGCAGGCGGCGCCGACTCGGCACGACCGTAAGGCAAGTACGCCAACACAATCGAAGGGCCATCAAAGCGGTCAGCTTCCGTCAGCGCCTGCACCAGCTGCGTGTAGTCCGAGTAGAGCGCGGTGCTAGCCACGTAGACTCCGCCGTAGTTCATGGCGTACAGACCAATGTCCTTCTTGCGCTGGTGCAGCGGCACTTGGTCGCGCTCCGTGTAGGGCACTGTGTCAAAGATCAGCAAGTTCACGTTGCGCTTCGAGGCGATGGCGTGGTGCACACCACCCATACCGGCATCGTACGCCCATGCATCACTGCCAATGATCCAGCGCGAAGGCAACACAAGACGAGACGTCAGCGCCGAAAGTGCCTTGGCGTCCGACGAAGAGACACCGGCCAGCGCCGACTGCACATCCGCCGCCGCCGCCGCCACCTGCTTCGCATCGTTCCGCACCAAGAGCCACGTGCGCAATGCATTCTCCAGCGCGGCAGGGGTGTCCTTCGCCGCAGCCAATCGCTCCGCGAGTGTCACCACCTCATCGTCCTTCTGAAGCTGTGCCAGCACTTGACCCAGCGCGTATTCAGGGCTTGCAGAGGCGTCCGCCGACGGCGAATTGATGATCGACAGACGCTCCTGGAAAAGCTGCTCAAGCATCACCTGGTAGGCGCGCTCGTGCTCAGGGCGCTTCGGAACAAGCGCCTGCTGCGTCGACGGCGCACTCGACACCGTGCCGATGTCCACGCCGTTCGACGGCGCAGCCTCAGCTGCCAGCACCGACGCAAGCTTCTCGCCAGCTGCTTTGTCCACGCGGCCCAGCACGCCACTCACAAGCGTAGGAACCTTTTCCACCTCACTGTGCTGGAACGCACTCGCCACATCCATCAGCAGCGGCGCCAGGCGCGCAGGGCGCTGCGCCGGCGGCTCCAGTACCAGAACACGCTCCACACTCGAGCGCACGAGCGAGGTAAGGCGAGTGGGGTACAGAGGACGCACCAAGTGCACATTCAGCACAGGCACGTTGGCCGAGGACGCCAACGTCGAAGCACCCGCACCCAAAACGACCGCCATGGACGTAGCATTGTCCGACGAGCCGTAGACGGTGTAGGCCTCGCAGGCACGGCCCAAAAGCGTCTTCACTTCCGCAAAGCTATCGTCCACGGCCTGCTCCGAGACCGGGGCCACGGTCGCCTCGCTAGGCACGGCCTTCGCCAGCACACTACTCGTGGCCAACGAAGTGCCCTCGGCCTCGGCGTCATATACATGGATCACAGCCGTGTGAGTACGTGCTGCCAGCTTGTGCGCCACAATAGCATGCGCCTCCGCCTCGGCAGCGGTCGACGAGTAGATCATCGAAAGGCCACTTTGGCGCAGCAGCATCACATCCGCTTGGTTCGCCGACGTGGAGATATGGAACACGACAGGTGACGAAGCAAGCGCCGGGAGATATGGAACGAGGCGCAGAAGCGCACCAGGCACGGCCTCTAGCATCACAGCCATCGGCGTATGCGGGGCCTCCTGTAGGTGCGTCTGCACCAGCGAGCCGAGATCGGCCTGTGCACTCACGGGCACTACCCGGAGCGACGACGAAGCCGTCGACGAGCCCGAGAACGCCTCCGCTGCGCCTACTGTAACAACAGTAGAAACCACATGTTGTGCTACATGCCAAACAGCATGAGCAGAAGACTCACTCATCTTAGCGAGACGTTCGTTGAAAAGAGATGAGAGCTCACTTGTCCTGGACAGATTTCGTGCTTGACTGGGCAGCCTACCAATACATGGCGTCTTATTGTGCGAAGCCAATCACGCCATTGTCACGTGAAGGTGGAGATAGGCAGGCTCCTGCAGCCCCCGCCCTCGTGCGGTTGTAGAGACCCAGCGGCTGCGGAGGAGGACGATGACGCGACGTAGCCTGTACGCGTGAAGTCCAGTCTAGATAGGTAGCGTAGGTGAGCACAATGATGGCACCGTAGAGATCATAGGCATAGACTCGACACAACCGCCAAGTCAGCCCACACCCGCAGCTCGGCCCATGTGGAGGGAGGCTAGCTGGGGGGCTCGGATTTTTTCGTCGACCCTGAACGATTTGTGTCAACGACTGCGAACGACGTCACCATGGCCATCTCGATCCAGAAGCGGCCGCAAACCGATGATGAGATCGCTGCGGCGTCGTTTCGTTTCCGTCGTAAGACGGCGCGTGGCAAAGTGATGAAAGTGCTTCGTGAAACGTACCAGCGCGACGACATTCCTTGTGGCTGCGTGGCGTGTGAAACGTGTGCGGCATGGGTCGAGCCAGGCACGCCTATGCCGGTCCTCCGCGCAGAGGGCATTGAAAATACATGGTGTGCGGACAAGCACTATGTGCTCATTGATACCAACATTGTGCTGCACCAAATGGATGTCTTGGAATCGTCCGTCTTTACCGATGTCATTGTGTTGCAGACGGTGGCGAACGAAGTACGCAATCGCAGTATGCCCTTGTACAACCGCCTCCGTACGCTACTGACTGACCCTGACCGCCGTTTCTGGCTGTTTTACAATGATTTCCATGCGTCGACCAACGTCGTGCGCCTCCCCGACGAGTCACCGAACGACCGCAACGACCGAGCGATTCGGCAGGCGACAGCTTGGTACGGCGCGCACCTACGAACCCATACACCCTCGTCGCATGCTAGGCAAATGGTTCTACTGAGCGATGATGTAGACAATGTGCACAAAGCACGAACAGATGGCCTGCAAGCATGCAGCGTGCGTGAATACATCACAGGCTTTGCGAATGCGGAATCGTTGGCTGACCTGCTCTCCGCCCGCAGTATGGATGAGCCTAGCGGGAAGTCGAAGCATGCATCTGCAGCTGTATTTGACGAGTACTGGTCGCCGACGCAGCTCGAAGCTGGTGTGCGAGGTGGCACGCTGCACAAAGGCTATTTCAATGCGAATGCCTACAATTTCCTGGAGGCGACCGTGCGTAGCGAGACGCTCTCTCAACCTGTTTTGCTGCAAGGTCGAGAGTCCATGAACCGCGCCGTGGATGGCGATGTGGTGTATGTGGCTCTCTTGCCCAAAAGCGAATGGAAAGGCGCGTCGGAGGAGGTGCTTGAGGCCGACACGGCGCAGCGCAACGATGATGCTGACGAGGAGGTAGATGAAGCGGATCCGGAGGTGGATGATGCCAAGCCTGCGCTCATGTCGGCCCATAAAGAGAAGCAGCCGACGGGCCGTGTTGTGGGCATTGCACGCCGCAACTGGCGTTCGTATGTTGCGCACATTGATGCGAGCTCAGTCAATGAGAGTGCGTTGGCTACGCTAGGTCCCCAGACGCTGTTTGCTTCGCCAGTGGACCGCAAGATACCCCGCATCAAGATTCGAACGCGGCAAGCCAAAGAGTTGCTGGGCTGTAAGATCTTGGTCGCTTTGGACGACTGGAAGAGCACCTCGCGATACCCCGAGGGCCACTTTGTGCGCTCCCTTGGTGCGATTGAGAGCAAGGAAGCGGAGCAGGAGAGTCTGTTGCTGGAGTACGATGTGCCGTATCGCCCCTTCAGCAAGGCCATCCTAGCATGCTTACCGCCGGAAGGCGACACGTGGGTCGTCCCGCCGAAAGACGCGACAGATGCACGCTCTGTATCGATCTGGCGTGATCGTACTGACTTGCGTGACGAAATTATCTGCAGTATCGACCCGCCAGGGTGCCAGGACATTGACGACGCGCTGCATGCCAAGCGCTTGCCGAATGGCAACATTGAGGCAGGTGTGCACATTGCTGATGTATCGCACTTTGTGCGCACAGATACCCCCATGGATGCGGAGGCAGCGTCGCGTGGCACGACAGTGTACTTGGTGGACCGCCGTATCGATATGCTACCGCATTTGCTGGGCACGAACTTGTGCTCTCTGCGTCCACATGTCGAACGATTGGCGTTCAGTGTGCTGTGGGAGCTTACGCCCGAGGCCAAGATTGTGAATGTGCGTTTTACCAAGTCGGTGATTGCTAGCAAGGCCGCATTTACGTATGAAGAGGCACAGAATCGCAAGGATGACGCGTCGCAGACCGATGCGATCACAGAGAGCATTCGACTGCTGAATCACCTGGCCATCCAGCTGCGTCGTGCACGCATGGAAGCGGGCGCTTTGAACTTGGCGAGCCCGGAAGTGCGTATTCAATTGGACAGTGCCGAATCGTCCGACCCGATCGATGTGGAGCAGAAGGAAATGCGCGAGACCAACAGCTTGGTGGAAGAGTTTATGCTCTTGGCCAATACGACGGTGGCGCAGCGTATTTACGAGGCGTTCCCGACGACCGCCGTACTGCGTCGGCATGCGCCGCCGCCTTCGGACAACTTTGAGACGTTGCAGGACATTCTGCGGAAGCGCCGTGGGATGGAGTTGGATGTATCGTCGTCTGGCGCCTTGGCCGCGTCGTTGGACCGCTGCGTCGATCCCAACGACAAGGCTTTCAACACATTGGTGCGCATTCTCGCGACGCGGTGCATGCTGTCTGCCGAGTACTTCTGCACGGGCAGTGTAGCCCGCAATGCGTTCGGGCATTACGGTCTGGCGATGGATATGTACACACACTTTACGTCGCCCATTCGTCGATACGCTGACGTATTGGCACACCGCCAGCTGGCGGCAGCGATTCAGTACGAGCCCCTGCCTTCGAACCTGTTCAGCAAGCACTATGTGGACCAAGTACTGGAGAATGTAAACAAACGACATCGCCTCGCGCAGATGGCCGGTCGAGCCTCGGTGGAGTTCTATGTGGGCCTGGCGATCGCCGCGAAGAACGCCGAGCATGGTGCTGATGCTACCTTGGTCGGCCGTGGCGAAGGTGCTCGGCTCTTGCAGGCGGATGCGTACGTCGTGCGTACCTTCCGTAACGGCGTGGCGGTGTTTGTGAGCCAGTATGGCTTGGAAGGTCTGATTACCTTCTCGACCGATTGCGACTACAATGCCGAGGCGTACCAAGTCACCGTGCCCGCGGCGGTGTCAGGTCTGCCGAACGACATCACGCTGGGCGTGTTTGACCGTTGCCGTGTCGAAATCGGTATTGAGAAAGACCGCAACACACGTCGTGGGCGTACCAAGATGGCTTTGGTCGCGATGTAAGGGACAAGACAAGAGGTCTACGTAGCTACTTAGTTGTCAGCCATAACCTGCGACCACGTAATCGGCTCGTACACAGCGAGCTCCTTCTCGTTGAACCACAGACCAATCTCCTTGGTCGCCGACTCGAAGCCGTCCGAGGCGTGGATAATGTTGCGGCCCACACTCACGGCAAATTCACCGCGGATCGAGCCAGGGTCGGCCTCCAGCGGGTTGGTCGCGCCGACCATGCGGCGGCCCTGACGAATGACATCCTTGCCTTCCCAGACCATCGCAATCACAGGCGTGCCCTGTGTGATGTACTTCACCAGCGCAGGGAAGAAGGGACGAGCGGAGAGGTCAGCGTAGTGCTGCTTCGCGAGCTCCTCCGAGGGGATCACCGACTTGATAGCGACGAGCTTGTAGCCACGCGACTCAAAGCGGTCCACAATCTTGCCGACCAGCTGACGGCTCACACCATCCGGCTTGATCATGATGAAGCTGCGCTCGCTCGCTGTCTTGTACTCACCAGCGATGGTGCGCGGGCCTTCCAGCTGGAGCTGCGGCAGCGCCCACAGCGAGGCGCCCACCACACCTGCAGCCGCAGCCACGGCCACAGGCGACACACGCGAGGCCATGGGCGCAGCGCGCGTCGAGAACGTGCGGGCAGCACCGCGAAGAGCAGCAGACGAAGCAACCTTGGCGAACATGGTAGGTAGAATCAGGACAACGACCTACCGTGCTCGGTCCCCCCTCGCACCGGCCTGGGCGGCGATTGGCCACGAATTGTGTGTGGAGGTCCACACGAAACGTCGCTGGCCTCACGTGCCTAGCCGCCGAGGCTTTTTTTGCCAGGCGTACTCGAGCGAGGAGCCGCTAGCATGGCCGACGACAGGGATGGCGAGGTGCCGGTAGCCTCACTGCCAGTGTACCTCTCCGCTTCATTGCCGTCTTCATCGCATGTCGAATTGTTCCAATACCCCCTCTATGCACGTGGACGGCCCCTCCCTGTCCCACCGACCGCCGCTCAGCGGAATCAGCGCGTGACGACGCGCTGGCGTCCCCAAGCGAATCGCGTCGAAATGGATATTCCGTTGGACATGCGCGAAAACGTGTACAACCGGGATCGAGGTAGGGAGTTGGCTGAGAACTGCACCTCCATGCTGCCCATCAATGTACCGGGCGCCGACGCTGTGAAACAGGAACGCACCAACGACATGCCAGTCGCCAACAATGTATTCGATCGCATGCGTCTAGAAAGCACCACCGTCCAGCCTGCCACGCGGTACATGGTCGGCCTGGTACACCAAGGCGAAGTGCACCTGGTTCCTCTCGATGCCATCGTACAAATGCGGCCCTCGATGCAGCATGTCGACCTCATGTCCCAAGCCGACGAACAGCACCATCGAACGAGCGGCGACGACGAGGACACAGCAGTGGCAACGCCCTCGGCTCCCACACAGAAAGGCGCCTCGGTGGTATCTTTGAACGTGTCGATGCGGACAGAGCCTACCAAGGCTTCCGGCGCGACCTCGCGCTACGGCGGCATGGCTGGCGCGGCCGTCAATCAACGCGACGCGGAAGCGGAGCGCTGGGTCCCGTTGCAATTCTCGCACGACGCACACACGGAGGCGACACATGCCCTCCTGGCCCAGCATCGCGATCCGTTGGTATGCAGCACGGCGCCCCGCGACTTTTTGTAACTAGTCTTATAGACATCTATTGTACACTACGATGCAGACGATGGAGTTTCTGACGACGATTTCCGGCCTGACTCAGCTTCAGGCGCCGCCTCAGCAGCGCCCTGCGCGGTGCTGGTCGAGGCGCTCGTTGTACCTGGCGTGGCTGAGGCGGCTGGCGCAGGCGTCCCCGACGCTGGCGCAGACGCAGACGTGGAGGATGCCGTTGCGCCCGCCGCTGCAGCGGCGGCTGTGGCTGCTGCTGCATGGCGTGCAGCTTCCGCAGCGCGTTCTTCGCGAATCGTGCGACGAAGCTGTTTGATATCGCCCAGGTGGCGTTTCTTCGCATCGTGTTCGGCCTGCAGCTTGCGCAGAGCTTGTTGATGGCGGCTCTTGAGCAAAGCATTCATCGTGCTTTCCACATCGTTCTGCTTGCGCTTAATCAGCACTTCGATTTCGCGGCATTCCGCCTCCAATTGCGATTCACGGACACGGCGTTCAGCCTCCTCTTCACCGTCATCCTCGTCATCTTTATCGTCTTCATCCTTGTCGGATTTGCTCGCTTCCACCTCCGCTTCCACATCGTCCTCGTTGTCATCGTCATCGTCCCAGAGGTCCTCAAGATCACTATCGCCCATGCTCTGCGCATCGTCGCTAGCCCGATCGCCGCCGCCTCGCGTCGAGGTATCATCGTCCTCGTCGTCATCAGGCATGTCGCCTTGTTCACGTGCTAAGGCAGCATCCAACTCGGCAGCCAAGTCTTGATCTACATTCTCGTCGTCATCAAAGTCGCCATCCAGGCCGGCGTCGTCGCCACCAGCGTGCGAGGACATGGCATCATCATCGTCATGCTTCTCGTCGTCAGAGTCCAACGCATTGCTCTCTGCTGTGAGCTTTTGTTGCGCAATTTCTTGCTCGATCTGGTCCGCCAGCTCCGGGTCGATGAACTCGTACTCGACACGCTCTGCGCGTTTGTCGTCATTCAGCAGTCCTTCCACTTCTTTTTCCACAGTATCAATCGACTGGTTGTGGATACGTTTGCGGAATCGGCGCTTCCGTGCCCATGTCATAGGCGGCGTAATGCCATGAGGGTAGATGTACTCGTCGTTGCTGGCGTTCTTGGTCGCCGATGTGCTCGCGATAGCTTCGCTTTCGTGCGCAATGGGCCGCTCGATCAGAAGCATTTGGGAAATGTCGGCGATCTTAAAGATTTGCTTGTTGTCCAGGGTCTTGTGTGATTCCACAATGCAAGGCAAGTCGACCAGCTTGGCCGCATACAGCTGCTTGCCGATATGGAACACGGCGCGGCGTGAATCTTTAAATTTGAACCAAACGTCATTGTACTCCCCACGCCGCCGAATGATGCGTCGAAGCTCGTCTAGCTCGCCATTTTCGCCGGGTCCATCAGGGACGCGAAGAATGAGCTGCTCCTCAAAGGCCATGCCTTCGCCCGTCTCGTCGTCCTCGCTATCGAGCTCACGGTCGTAGCCTTGCATGTATGGCTTGGTCTTGGGCCCATCGCCTGTCGCAGCGGCACCGGCTACATTGCGTGAAAAGTTCAGGCGTACGCGAGGCTTTCGAAACTGCGCGCGGATCCGCGGCTTGGACGCCGTGGCTGGCGCGTCGTCCATGCTTTCGGCGTACGTTGGCAACAATCGAAGCGTGGCGGCGACGGTGGCCTCCACACAGAGGGCCACGTTGGCCAAATTGGGACCGATTTTCGCTGATTTGGTCCCTGGCGCCTCCACCCTTCGAAGCCCATCCACGCGACGGGGCGAGGTGAGCGTGTTTGTGATGCCTTCCCCATCCTCGGCCTTCTGCATAGCGTACGGCCAACTGCTTGCGGGGGAACGTCCATGGGAGGCAGGTGATGCTACATCGTCTCGCCGCTCGGAAAAGTCCAATGCGGGGCCACGTACACGATACTTTCAAGATCTATTGGCGCTGCCTGTGGACTGCGCCTTCTTGGTCGATCACTTAGCACCGATCTCTCCCACGGATCTACTTGATGAGCGCTATGCGTCCCGCACAGACAATCTCACGGCTATATGGAAAGAGGCGCTGCGCACTTGGGCGGAAGACACAGACGATCCTCAGCGTGTATGTCATGCCATTGATACCCTCCTAGCGCTGGCTAGTGCTCTCTTGCCCAAACCCTATACCAACTATACACTCGATGTCATCACGCTCTTAGCTGGGCGTATGGAAGAGGTCGACGATATGTTTTTTCAGCTCATGGAGGCCTTGGACGATACCCTACGACGACCTGTGTCCCCGGCGGATACACTGCGTACACGGCAGCAAACAAGTGCGCTGTTTCTCGCGCTCGTGCTTACGGCATGCGTGAGTGGCACATCCTTGTCTGCCTATATGCTTCATCGCGATATTTTCTCCGCGTCGATGGAGTTGGCGCAGCACCGCGTCTCGGGCTCGATTCTTAGCGAGACGGCTCTGCTAGCTGCCCTCCTAGCTACGGCCGGACATGTCCATGGCACACCACAGGCGGCTGGGCTTGGATTGGATTCCATCTCTTCCGCCGTCGTGAGCCATGTGGGCTTCCAACCGTATGTCAAGCGTGTGCGTGAGTACGCGTCCTCGCCTGTCATGGCACGTTTTGCCCATGCGTTCTCTGTCCAAGCGGCACAGATGGTACAAGTGTACCAAGCTGTACCGTCTACCATGGATGCCCAGGCATGGGGGGCGGGATGGTGGCCCTGGGCAAGCCGTCCAGCCCCGCCGACCGTGCCGACCCTACCCCCGCCTGCGCTTTGTACGATCCTGGCCATATGGGTGTGGACGCACAGTAGTCACACTTTTACGCAAAGTATGCTGGTACCCAGGTCCGGCGAGCCGCTCATTGTCACACTTTGCTCTCTTGCGTCGTACGTCCTCACGCATGCAGCTAGTAGTGCCCGCGCTACGACGTATGCGCATACCATGCTGCAAATCTTCCTGGCGTTGCTTGGACCTACAGACGGACGGACGACCAATGCGGTGCAGAATCGTCTGTTGGAAGATGAGGAGCCAGCAAGCCAAGCTGCCTCGAAGCCTATGCTCATTGACCGAATTCGGCTGTGCCGCGATAAGAGCAATCCTCTACCGCCTCACCCCAAAAGCGGCGCCAAGCGACCCCGACGGCTGTTGGTCAGTGTACTGGACAATGTCACGCTCTTTCTCAAGTACAACCGCAGTAAGCGATTGGACACTTCCGCGTTTCGTACAGCGTTTTTGCTGCTGCAGCGCTCGATTATGCTCTGTGCCCAACAACAAGTGCGGTTGGAGTACGATTGGATGGAAGTGTGGCGCGCATCCCTGGCCACGATCGCTTTTCTCGTGTCGCGGCAACACGAGTTCGGCTCAGAAGCTGCTTCTGTGGCCCAAAATGCCCTCGAAACACTCTCGCTGGCGCTTGTACAGTCGGACCGGTTCTTGCAGTCGCCTAGCGAGACGCACTGGCTAATATATGAGCTGGCGCGGGCCCAGGAAACACTTACCAAGGCCGCAGAATGGATCGCGGAGCCACGCAACATGCCCTGGGCACTCCTTTGGGACGTACTGCAAGCGGTACACACACACATGGCACAATGGCGCGAAGAGGCCCAGACATCTGCTGCGACTTCGTTCTTCCGTCGTAGCCATACCAACGAGCCGGTGAGTATGCATACGATTCTGAGCATGATCCAAGAGCTGGACTTAGCATCGCTTCTCGCGCCTGAGAAGCCTGCATGTGCTACCATCGTCCGGCAGGCGCAGTCGTCCAGCACGCGGCATCAGCACCATGGCGTACCTAGTGTGCCTTTGGCCCTGTTGCGTTTCATTCAACAGGATATATTGGCTATGTTGCGCGCATACTACTAATGGGTATCTGTATGGGTAGATGTAGTAGACAACTGGGACGAAAAGTCCAAAGGGTCCCCTGGTAGATCCAAGCCGGCTAGACCACGCATCGCCTCTGACGTATCGCCCGGTAATAAGTCCGTATACGTCCCTGCGGTAGAGCCGCTCATCGAGTCAAAGTCAAGCCACGAGAAATCCATGCTGCTCGCGGCCAAGGGATGCGCGCCTGTGTTGCTGCTGGTCATTTCTGTACGGGGTTTCTCGGCTGTGGATTGCGATGCCGTGGAGGGCAGACCACCTAAGAGCGCTGAGACGAGCTCCTGCGATGCCTCAGTCGACGTATCGAGCTTCGGCCGCTTGGGCGCTCGTTCTTCATCGTCGCTCTCAATTGAGATGGGGACAGATGGATCGGTTCCCGGTGCCTTGGAGGCTGGTTCCGGTTCACCTGTGGCAGCTGGCGTGGTATCGAGCTTAGACGATAGGTCTGATGCTGAGCTTTCCAGTGGCCCCAGGTTGGCACTGGGCGTCGGCGTGGTGGTGGCAGCAGCAGCAGCAGCGGCGGCAGCAGCCGTCCAGTCTAGCGGCATTGTGGAAATCATGCTGTACAGGTCCAATTGCTCCAGCGGCGTCTCCATTCCGACGACAGGCTCTGTGCCCGACGGTAACGATACCGCAGGCTCTGTGTCCGTGGTGCCTGCCTGCTCCAGCAAGCGTTCCAGCCGTACTTGGGCACACAACAGTTGGTCACGGAGCGCTGACACGTTCTGGATATAGGTTCGGCATTGCTGTGCCAGCGGCCGAAGTAAAGGAATACACTCTTCCGCCGCGCGGCCATCTCGTGCAAGCTGTGCTCGACGAAGAAGAAACCAGCCCGTTTCGCGGAACACATCTTGGAGTGATGTAGATATTGTATCTGCCTGCGTTTGTACATCTTCTTCACGTATGTGCACATCTGATTGTGTCGCCGAGCCTGCTGAGGGCTCCGCCTCCCCACCCCGCACGGCCTGCGTCATGGCGGCGTGGCTGCGTGTGGACCTGGCGCACGCAGCGTTGGCGGCCATACTAGCACGTGATATACAAAGGCGACTGAAAAGTGGACACGGCGCGCTCTCGGCGGGTTTTCTTCATTGTTTAACGAGCAAGGGTTCTGTCTACCTCATGAGCCGTCGCTAGTTGGTAGCGAATGACTCAACATATGAGCCCGAGAGAAATTCAGGCCACTCTTTGGCAAGCAAGCTTGCGCTGACAAGCGCCACGGTAGCTTCTCTTGTCACCTGGTGTCCATACATCTCCTTATATTCCTATAGTTCTACAATGCGGAAAGCCACTCGGAGGCTTTCCTCAGCCAGCTACATACACCTTGGCGCGGACTCGGCAGTGCCGGCTCGCTTCTCGATTCGTCTTGGCACAGGATGTCGACGCCCGGCGGGCGATCTATACATTTTTTTTTTTTTTTTTTAGTTCGCAGCATCACTCCCTATGTGAGATTATGTCACAGGCCAATCAATACGTGGCATATCTACCATCCTGCACGTCGCAAAAAGCCGGTGAAATTTCTCCCTCCCTAAAGTGATCCACTTTCATCTGTCAATTGCAAAGCTCGTGTGTGCTACGTTGTAGGAGATGGGTGGCCTGTCGAACGAGGCGAAGATTATTATCCTCTTATGCATCGACATTGTATTCTTCTTCATCGAGCTCATTAGTGGCTACTCTGTCGGCTCACTAGCTTTGGTGGCTGACAGTTTCCACATGCTTAACGACATCATGTCGTTGGTTGTGGCTCTATATGCTGTACGCCTCCTCAACAAGAAGGACAAGAACCCGAGCTTCTCATATGGATGGCAGCGGGCTGAGATTCTCGGCGCTCTGTTTAACGGCGTTTTCCTTCTGGCCTTATGCTTTAGCATCTTTATGGAAGCGCTCGAGCGTCTTCTGTCCAAGCCTAAAGTCACCAACCCTGCTCTTGTGATGATCGTCGGTTCGTTCGGTCTTCTCTCGAACATTATTGGTCTCCTCCTTTTCCAAGGTCATGCTCACCCTGGCCACAGCCACGATCACGAACATGGTCATGGTCACGAGCACGCGCACGACCACGACCACGATCATGACTTGGAACGAGGCGAGGGCCATACGCACGAACACAGTCATGAAGAGGATGAAGAGGAGACGAACTTTGCTTCCAATGTCGGCGACATGATAGGCCACCCAGCGAACACGCGCGCCTCTGTGATGAACAAGGCGCAGTCGCTAGGTTATGACAAGAAGCCCAAGAGTACAGGGGAGCAGCAATCTCTACTGTCTCCAGAAGCGGCTTCTACTTCGTATGGCACAGTACCGCGCCGTCGTCTATCGAATGCGGAGCAGGCTACTGCGGCAGAGGTGCGTCGTCATCGTATGTCGATGGGGGCTGCAGGGCACTCGCACGGCAATATGAATATGCGTGGTGTGTTCCTCCACGTTCTTGGTGATGCCATCGGCAACATTGGTGTGATCATGACTGGTGCATTGATCTTGTATACTACTTACTCATGGCGTCAGTATGCTGACCCTATCATTTCGTTCATCATTGCATGCATCATTTTCAACTCAGCTCTTCCCCTCGTCAAGTCCGCGTCTTTCATTCTCCTGCAAGGTGTCCCTACATCTGTATCACTCGACGGTGTTCGCAACTCGCTGTTGCACATCAATGGTGTGATTAGCTTGCACGATCTGCATGTTTGGCAGCTCAATGAGAACAAGATTGTGGCGAGCGTTCACATCTTGGTCGACTGCTCTGGTGAGGAGTCTTCTCGTTACATGCAGATTGCTAACCAAGTGCGTCGCAGTCTGCATCTCTGGGGCATCCACTCATCAACCATTCAGCCTGAATTTGTCCCCGGTGGTCTTAAGGAAGCTGCACGTCTTAGTGGCGTCGAAGTGGATGAACAGAACGACAGCCGCGAGCCGCTGCGTACGCCCGATGGCAACCTCGTTAAGGCAGAGCTCGCCGAGCGTACCCCTGCTTGTCTATTGGCCTGTGATGCGAACGAGTGTGGTGATAATACCTGCTGCGAAATTGCTCCGCCTCAGAAAGATTCGAGTGCCCCGGCCACTAGTACCAAATAGCTCTTATGTTTCATTTCTTTATAAATCACAATAATCATGATGTTCTGCTAAGGGATATCCTGCAACACGTCCCCAATGGGGCATGTAGCCCATCGATAAAAGTCGGTGGGCACAAGCCCACATCGATGTTCACGACGTCCATCTTGATACAACTCTTGCGGATGGACATAACGCAGCATTACCTGTGAGAATGGTGGTTGAAAGCTCACACGGAATACAGGGTACTCTTGTTCGGCATCCTGCGGGGCTGGCAATGGCAAATGCCCTAAGAAAGAGGTAGTGCCACGATGCACATGCCACGCATAGGCACCATGGACCCGTTCATTGGCTCGTACTCGCTGCGAAAAAGAATGACACCACCGCTCCATCTCTGTCTTGACTGTTTGGCGCACAAAATCCAAGATCGACGCACCAAATGCCAAGTTGTCATTTGCGTTCCATTGAGTAGGTTTCCCGCGTACCAGACGAGGAAGGTCGCTCGTTTTGTACGACTTGTGCGAGAGTAATGTCCCTTTTGGGTCACGGAACCCAACCACGATCGATTGAACGCCCAACAGAAAAGACTGCATATACATCTTCAACATCTTGATGTCTAGCTTCATTTCATCCTCGTTGCTGCGCAATTGCATGTTCGTCTTGAGTTCCACCACATTCTCTCGCTCTTTTTCTGTGAGTGGGTCCAGTGTCTCTACACAGTCCACTTCACCTCCCAATATAATACGATGCGGCCCTAAACGCGTTTTGACGATGTGACACCATTGCTGATTGGTATTTACATCGCCTCCCCAACCAGGGACAGAGCCTGGGGTATTTTGCTGGGTATAACCTGGTTGGTCCTTAGTACAATAAGATTCGAAACTGTAACCATAATAGGTCCCAAGTCGTGCACGTTTAGGCTTGGGCGGCAGGCGCGAAAGCATGGCTATTTCATGCATGGTAGGTGGCACCTCTTCCATGATCAGTGTATCCCCCAGCTGCGGTATAAGTATATAGGACGTAAACATACCATCATGACGTTAAGTTCAAACCCTTCACGAAACATAGGTGGTGCTTGCACATGACAGCTCCACGCCGTGCACAGCTTGGTCATTATGCCCCGCCATGTCAAGACCTGTGCACGAAGCATCTCCATTTCCACATGTTCAGCTGGTACACGTGAACCCCCTTTAATGGGTTCGACATCTGGCTCACCAGCCTGAGCGCGATGCATCATTGCATACAAGACAGAGTCCAATGGATCAGGTATATGAGGCTTGTCTTGAAAATGATCGAAGCCATAATTAAGATCTGCACCTTTGGTGCTATTTTCTTGGGTCGGTGGAAGCTTGTACCATCTCTTCGACCTGTCATCCAAACACAAATACTTGTTTTCATCGTAGGAAAAGGTTGTCAATAGCATCGGCTGTTGCAAGGATACTGGTGTTGGTGGTACATTGGGTCTATTTAACATGGACAACGGGGGCATAACAGGGTTTGGCATTATTGATATATTAAATCCTGTGCCATACATGGATGCTGAGGGTGCATCGTACGAAGATGATGCCGGGAGCGGCCGTCCAGGGGATGGTCCCCCCTGCCACGACGCCATGACACCCTATGCAATGCACTTGGGACGTGTGGCCCTACCGCGTCGCATAGGTGTGGAGGAGGACTTACTGTGCACGTGTTGCTTACTGCACTTCATCCACGTGATCATATAGGTGACGTAGGCATTTTTTTTCCACGATGAATGTCAGGTTGCGATTGGCAGAGCGGACTAAGGCGTAGTGGATGCCAGCAAAGCAGTGGTGCTAACGTGCAGGTGATCGCGAGAAAAGGCCCATATGCTCCAATCGTTTGCTTGTATGCAGCATTTGTCACCGTGCGAGCAGCGGAAACGGGTGGGAAAAACCCAAACGGCCAGTGAAGAAAAAGAAAAGAAGCAGAAGACGAAAGAAGGAAAGTACTTGAACCCGGTACTGGTGCGCAAAACTTTTTCTCCCACCTTCATCACTCTTACACACAATGGGCAAGGAGAAGCAACACATTAACCTGGTCGTTATCGGTCACGTCGACTCCGGTAAGTCGACCACCACTGGTCACCTTATCTACAAGTGCGGTGGTATCGACAAGCGTACCGTCGAGAAGTTCGAGAAGGAGGCTGCTGAGCTCGGTAAGGGTTCGTTCAAGTACGCCTGGGTGCTCGACAAGCTCAAGGCTGAGCGTGAGCGTGGTATCACCATCGACATTGCTCTGTGGAAGTTCGAGACCCCCAAGTACAACGTTACCGTCATTGACGCCCCGGGTCACCGTGACTTCATCAAGAACATGATTACCGGTACCTCGCAGGCCGACTGCGCTATTCTCATCATTGCCGCCGGTACTGGTGAGTTCGAGGCTGGTATCTCGAAGGACGGTCAGACCCGTGAGCACGCTCTGCTCTCGTTCACCCTCGGTGTGCGTCAGCTCATCGTGGCCGTCAACAAGATGGACACCACCAAGTACTCGGAGGACCGCTTCAACGAGATTATTCGTGAGACCTCGAACTTCATCAAGAAGGTCGGTTACAACCCGAAGACTGTTGCCTTCGTCCCGATCTCGGGCTGGCACGGTGACAACATGATTGAGGCAACCACCAACATGCCGTGGTACAAGGGCTGGGAGAAGGAGACCAAGTCGGGCAAGGCCACTGGTAAGACCCTTCTGGACGCTATCGACGCCATTGAGCCGCCGACGCGCCCGACCGACAAGCCGCTCCGTCTTCCTCTCCAGGATGTGTACAAGATCGGTGGTATCGGTACTGTCCCGGTCGGCCGTGTCGAGACCGGTGTTCTCAAGCCCGGTATGGTTGTGACCTTCGCTCCGTCGAACGTCACCACCGAAGTTAAGTCGGTCGAGATGCACCACGAGCAGATCCCTGAGGGTCTCCCGGGTGACAACGTTGGTTTCAACGTGAAGAACGTCTCGGTCAAGGACATTCGCCGTGGTAACGTCGCCTCGGACTCGAAGAACGACCCGGCTCAGGAGGCTGCCTCGTTCAACGCTCAGGTCATTGTGATGAACCACCCTGGTCAGATCAGCAACGGTTACTCGCCAGTGCTCGACTGCCACACTGCTCACATTGCCTGCCGCTTCAACAACATCCTCCAGAAGATCGACCGTCGTTCGGGTAAGGTTCTTGAGGAGAACCCCAAGTTCATCAAGTCGGGTGACGCTGCCATGGTTGAGATGATCCCGACCAAGCCGATGTGCGTTGAGTCGTTCAACGAGTACCCGCCTCTTGGTCGTTTCGCCGTCCGTGACATGCGCCAGACCGTTGCCGTCGGTGTTATCAAGTCGGTTGAGAAGACCTCGGGCAAGGGTGGCAAGGTCACCAAGGCTGCCGAGAAGGCCTCGAAGAAGAAGTAAATTACAACAGCCTAGCTGTTCTAAAAGTGCGTGTGCGATGTGGTTGCACTTATGCAAATCTAATTCAATTCTGCGTTTGTAGTTTTGTTTGTATCGTACTCGCCTAAATTGCTTCAAACAAAAATGTGTGTGTTGATTTTCTGTGTATATAGATTATTCTGTTGTTGTTAGTGGGCTGTCTGGACTGCGGGGAAAGCATGGGCGATACAGTGTAGTCTGAAGGGATGTTGGTATTCATACTATAGAACGTGCATGCATACATGAAGTAAATTGACACTGCTAATTGGAAGCTAGTTTTACCAATCATCATCGCTCTCTTCCTCATCGGACCCGCCCATGTTGCCTTTGCGTTTGTTAAGAGCTGAGGCTAAGGCACTGGCCAGGTCATTGCCGCTGCTTTGAGCACCTGCCATAGAGGTGTCGGCATGGCCTGTACCTGTATTTGCCGTTGAACGTGGCGGTGGTGCACTGTAATCTGTCTTACGCAAATCTTTTACGCTTTTACCTTGAATGCTTGCCAACAGTGCATCGCGACCAGGTTGGGGCGGCGGCAAACCACTTACTGTATTTCCTCCAGCAGATGGGGCAGGGGGTACTGGTGGTGGAGGTGGTGCCGATACGGAGGCTGGGGCAGGGCCTGGGGGAGGAGGAGGCGGAGGAGGCGCAGGCGCACCGCTGGAGGAAGCTGCTGGTGCGGTTGGAGGAGGAGGGGGCGGAGGCGGCACCGCCGATGTCATTGCGTGGCTGCCGCCCATACCAGGGACTGACGGGGGCGAAAGAGGAGTCGGACTTGCCGCTGTCATCGGACGTGCTGGCGGGGGTGGGGGTGGCCCACGGCCACTTGCCGAAGCACGACTAGGTACAGGCGGAGGAGCGCGTACACCAGAGGCTGCACCACCAGGACGGGCAGGAGGAGGAGGAGGTATCTGAGGGCGCGGAGCGACAGGAGGAGGGGAAGGTGTAGCCGCCGATGTTGCTGATGCGCTTGTAGGTCGCGATGGAATTGCTGGTCCCAACGTGGGTGCTTGAGTAGGAGGTAGAGGAGGTGGTGCGTTGCGCATGGTAGGTAGCAAGCTTGTTACCGGTGGGGCCAAGGTAGAGGCCGAAGAGGGTGTTGCTTCTGCCGTTGGCTTTGAGGCCTGAGCATTCATACCAAGTAAATCACGCAAAAACCCTTCGTTGTTTTTAATGTCAGACTCTGATACGCCCATACTGCTCAGCTGATCAACCAAGCCATTCCACTGGGGTTCACCCTCTTGAGGGTCTGGTGAAGCAGCTTTGGCTGTCTTGGCCTTTTTGTCCTCTGCAGTAGAGGAGGAAGAAGATCCCATGAGGCTCGAGAGCTTCTTTGCAAATCCAAAACCAGAAGAACTAGATGTCGATTTGACTGCTGTCTAAGCGGGCGTAGGCACGTACCATATTTCGCTCGTTGGTTCACTTTTTTGTACATTTGTGCAGCACCAGATTCGTCGGCATAGCAGAAACCTATCATGCATTCCTGTCATGTCAATGGCTCGAATACATACGTCGCCAGCGAATGTATGAAAGTACGATTTATCTTCGTAGAAGTAAAAGTCTTCATAGAGTTCATGATCCCACACGATTTTTCCTTTTTCCTACAGGTAAGAGTTATCATGACATACCTTCAAATTGAGTACTTTGAAGAAAAAGCAATTCGATGAATCGCGGACCAGTGCTAGCGCTCCTTCGATACCTGTATAATTCCAGCGATCTGGCGAAGGATATGCGGCATAGACTCGAGCAGGGGTAACAGTAAGGATTTTATACGACGAAGATGGGAATACAGACTTCACCAGTGATTTCTCACTAGAAGTGAATACTGATGGCGCCATCGCTCCAAAGCAGCGTGCCTATACGTCTTAGAATAGGAAGCGTTGTCTTGTCCCCGGGGGATGTCTGCCCCTCCACATGCATTGACTGCCCACCTGCCCCCTATTTCCGAAAGTGCGGGCGCGTCGCGAAGGGACTTAAACCGTCAGACGGGTTGAATCCAACCAAGTGTTGTATTGCTACTGTCATTCATGTCGTTGCCTAAGCGTATTATCAAGGTATGTTATTCTTGCATTGCATTATCTTACATTATGAAGGAGACAGAACGTCTCATGGCTGATCCGGCGCCTGGTATTCAGGCTACGCCACATGAGGACAATTTGCGGTACTTCAATGTCATCATGTCGGGGCCAGCCCAGAGTCCTTTTGAAGGTATGCTTCTGGACTAGTTCGCTAATATCTAAGGTGGATCCTTTAAACTTGAGCTATTCTTGCCGGAGGACTACCCCATGGCACCTCCTAAAGTCCGCTTCTTGACGAAAATTTACCACCCCAATATCGGTACGTGGGTTGTATTCTTGCCATGTTGACCTTCCAGATAAGCTAGGTCGTATTTGTTTGGATATCCTGAAAGGTGCTTATTTCATTCATATGGCTAACCTACAGATAAATGGAGTCCTGCCTTACAAATCCGCACTGTGCTCTTGTCGATTCAAGCGTTGCTGTCTGCTCCTAACCCTGATGATCCTTTGGCCAACGACGTGGCTGAGCACTACAAAACCAATGAAAAAGAGTATGTTTACCCCCAGGAAGCTTACACCCTAGCGCCATTGAGACGAGTCGTCAATGGACGAAAATGTACGCCATGGCGTAGACATTTGTCGTGGCGGCTATATGTACAGGAACGATAGATGCAATCATTTTTTGGTTTCGAATTGTCCATGTATTCCATTACAATGGGTATCGCGTGAGGGGAATTCTATTCGAAAGAAAGAAATAAACGAATGGTGAATTTCAGTAATACATCAGTGCGTAGGCCAGTCTGGCATGGGATGGAACGGCATATTGGTGGGGGGATGGGTTTTCGACGGGAATCCATGCATATCCATGGGATGGGTGGGAGGATGTGCCGTAGCCGTGTCATGGAAGCCGAGGGAGCCACCATTGCCTTGCGGCGACATGCCAGGAGGCATCGCTGTGCCAGGCATGTTCATATGACCTAGGTGGGCAGGCGTTACGGGGCCATGGTGTGATGACGAAAAGCTCGCATCAAATGATGATGAGAACCGCACATCACCTGATGGAGAAACACAAAAGCCAAAGTTCATCGGCATACCTGATGAATGTGATGGACGTTGCACAGGTGTTTCTGGCATAGGCCAATGTGATGGTGGCACATTTCCATTGTCCCCTGCCCGTGGATAAGAAGATGATAAAGAATGTGTTTGTGGTGGCATACCCCAGGCCATTCTAGGGCCCTCTGTCGACATAGGCGACCCACTGATGGGCCCTTCGAGATGGATTCCCGGAAGATTGGACTGTGCCTGTCGCATAGCCCAATTGTCAGGTGTTGTAGCCACCTGAGCAGGTGTGGACCGTGTAGGTCGCATGGGCACTGATTGCACGGGGTGACTCATAGAGGTGGAACGTGGTGAGGGTTCAGCCACTCCTGAGACGTATGACCCTTGCAAAGGTGCATGACTAGCCGCTGGGCTTTGGACCATTGACATCGGAATGGTGGAGGGCGTATCCATTGTGTGGCTCCTCGCTGGATTGGATGATGTTGATGGCAATGCTGGCGAGAATAGATCTGGTGATGCATCGTAGGGCGAATTCGTCACGACATGACTGCCAGAAGTGTCCACAGAGCGCAGCTGCATGTTCAGACTGGAAGGTACAGGCGCTGGCGCTGCGCTTGAAAGTACAGCGCGATGTGGTGATGACACTTCATGGCCACTCGAGGTCCATGTCGATGAAATGCTAAGGTCGGCCTGGTCCTCTTCATCTGTACGTGAAGTCATACGCCGCTTTCCTTTCGCTTCACGGCCATCTTGAAGTGACGTATCTGATTCCATAGCATGTGCTTGCGAGCCACTCGCGGCGACACATCCAGCCATGGCATCCCATCCTTCTAATGATGATACACCAACCGTGACAGGCGAGTTCATATCACGACCTTCATCACGGAGCTTTTCTTCTTCACGAGCCACTCTGTACACATCCATAAGGTACGAGCCTTTGCCAGCTTTGATCAACGCAGAAACCTCAGCCGTAGCAAGTTGCAGTCTAGCAATACGCGTTTGCGAAGAACGCAAAATAGCCAGAAGAAGAGCATGTCTCTCAGGCTTCATCAAATGATCTGGTTCCTTGTGCCGCACATCTTCAGGCCACCAGGCTGGCTTACCAGCCTCACCTTTATTATAGGGGAATCGAGTCTGTTTCTTCGGCTCAATGACTTTGATCCATTCTTTCGCTACCATCTTGCACATAATTTGCTGCAATTGACTGAAGCGGAGCTCCATGAATGCTGTTCGAGAAGCTTCATCCTTCAATTCAATCGTATATTGAGCTTGGAGCGCTTGAGAAGCTACTCGGCTTGAATACTGTGAGTTTCTCCGTGACGCAGAGGGATGCAGTGGCGTGGACATTTGAGGGACGCGCGCGACTGGAGGGCTGCAAATATCTGACGCAGAACCACGCTCGTACAGACAACTGTTAGCATCGTCAGTAACCATGTCCTTCTTCATAGCAGCGGTCCAATTTTGAGATTCTAGCGATTTGGGTGTGCTCACCGTCATAGTATTCCATGAGTCAAGGAATGGGTCATCGTTCATCTTGGCAGGTGAGGCTGACGTCGAGCTTTCCTGCAGGTCATCCATGCGACTGCCAAGTAAGTCATCCACACCCAAGGAACCTAAAGAAGGACGAGGCCTCTCTTCATAACCTCCCTTTGCCAACTCGCGCGCTTCGTTGGCAATACCACTTTTTACGAACCAAGAGTCAAGGCGACCCTGAAGGGCTTCACTAGCATATGTTTCCACATCGCCTCTTGCTGATACAAGTAAAAGCGCAAATTGACTGCCATTGATATAAGCAGCTTTGCCTAAAGCACGAAGGATTTGATCTCGCTTGCTTTTGTAATGACGGTGTTGCTTTGATGGTGAGTTATATGGTTCTACCCGAACCGGGATACGAGGCATTCTAGAGACAGCTGTCCTGGATGTGACACCAAATCGCTGCCGTTAGAATACAAAATAAAAACGCTTTCTTCTCTGCTTATCGAAAGGGCGGGTATCAGAAACAAACTGCCCAAGGAACGATGAATAGAGAAGGAAGCGTAGCGTCCAAGTCTTGAAGACACCTCGAGGCTCGTCGTCAAGTTCTCTCTGCCACTATGCCACGTGAATCTCAGCGGGCTCGTCTGGCAGGCACGCGGCTATTCCTGGAGCGTGCGTAGAGTGCCGTGGCTCTCGGACTAGGCCGTTGTATTGGGGATTCAAATCTCAGTCGCCAATTCCCACAGCTAGGCCACTTCAATATGCACTTGCAAAGCCATGGCACTCTGTTATTGCAGATGAAGCGTGCCAAGGTGGAGGTTTTTTTTACATACATTGGCCGCTTGGGCTCCAAATATGTTTCTCTATGCATCAGACTCCACTCTGGTATGAAGAATTGAATCTGCGGTATTGAGCTTTTTCGAGCGCTGGTGAACTAAAAATAAATAAATGTTGAGAATGCCAAGAATGCGCGTAGCTGTACCAAACGAGAAGGTCAATGTATTCGCAAGGATTTGGCGTACACAGCCATATTCTTTTGATACTACGCACCCATAGAATCTTAGTTGATCTTTCAATTCGCTGATCGTTTTCATTAATGCTACAAGTATCCTACAGAGGGTGTGGATGGTGCAAAGGGACTGCATCGGAAATCAGACTTTGATGTTGCGGCGTATTTATCTGCATTGCCTGTGAATACACAGGCCACAGAGTTGGCTTTGCTGGCTCCATCGCATGATCAAAGAGTCCTTCTATTGGTTCCATCTCCAGTGTAGACATACTAGGCATTTGGCCCATGGGGTATTCAGGCATATTATCGTTCAGTAGAACAGGCCCAGTACAGTTAGTCGATGAAGCACAACAAGCCAACAACGCCGGAGAAGATAAAGGCTCGTCTGTAAGCTCAAGAACCCGTTGTGCGCCTTTCACAAAAGTGCAGTTGTTTGAGCTCTCATCCTCTAAATGCATGTTAGAGTTTCCCGTTTTACAAGGCGCGTTGGTGTCATAGCAGGTAGGCGATACTGTCATGGGATCTTGCAGAGTCATTGGCACAGACATGTCTGCATTTATATTGGGTAAAACATCCCCTGGCGTGGATGCATTCATCTGAGGCGGTGTCATGGTTTCTTGTGGGTCCCTAGCGCGTGAATCATATCGAGAGCGCTTTCGAATAACATCTGCTCTGTATCGTACTGGTCGATCTGATTTATGAAGCTTTTGATAAAGACCACATGCGTTACATAACATGCCTCCTTTTGCATCCTTCCGCCATAATGGGGTAACTTTTGTGCCGCAATTGTTACAGCCCGGTGTATCTGATCCTCGGCGCTCGTTTGCTTGACTGCGTGAGGAGTTAATATGCCGCCTGCGCAGCTGCATAGGGCGCTGTTTCTTATGAATCTTCAGGTAGAGCCCACATGCATTGCATAACAGAAGAGTATTATGATTGCGACGCCATAACGGTGTGTCCGTAGTTCCACAATTACTGCAAATAGGTGTGTCTTCTTGCGAATCTGGGATGGCAATGCCTGGACTGTAATCACTAGGGGTGTCAGGCCATTTTTCTTCATTGTCTTGGTATTTTCTTTTCGGTGAAGCCGACTCGGGCTGTTGTGTAGCCCATAAAACACCAGGACTGGACGATGGCTCTATATTTGCTGGTGTGTTATCGATCACAGTCGTTGTGGGTACGACACCCAGTGCTTGCATCAAAGCATCCTGCCTCGCATATACTTTACACCCTTGCATTCCACACACTTGCGTCGGATAATCAAAGAGACCTAACTGCAGCATGTCGGGTGAGACATGCTGCTCCATAGGCTGATTGTGAGGTATATGATGGTGCATCACAGGCAATTGAGGCATATTGCTTGGTCCTGGTGAACACATCAACTCTGTAGGCTGCGGTAAGAGCATATTGCCTGGCATGGGTATCAGGGGTTCGGACGCAGGCAGGCTTGTTGTGTCCTGCATCATTGAGTAACTCGATGTTGAGCGGTATTGATTCAACTCTGATACCATATCTGATGCAGTGCCACCTTTTCTTCGTTGTTCAGACTTCCACGGTTAGTCTTGTAAGGCCACACACACCTTCAGTTTTTGGTGCTGGATGTTCCAACGACGCCATGTCGAATATTCAAGTCGTTCTGCATCTCTCAACTCTCCATGTAATCTAGAAACGATTCTCCAGTTTTTTATTACTTCACATGGGTCTTTCACCTTGGTAAGAACGGATGGATCGCCCTATATCCTGTTAGATCTCTGCCCAAACGTCACAAACATACCCCTGCTACTTTGAGCTTAGGCGCCATGTCTTACTCAAAATTCAGAAAAACGAGATTGAAACGATTACTCGGCAAATTCCATCCAGCTCATAAACGCCTCTAACCAAGCCGTATACAGTCTTGTGATGGAAGACTCGCTGCTCGATGTCGTTTGTCGTCTGGCCGTTATTCCTAGTTTATCAGATAAAAAGAGCAGCTGGAACCACGACCACGTGGAGTTAGGGGCCCTGAAGGGCGAGGGGCGTTCCGTGATCGGCCGACCCGGTGCTTGCCACGTGCTATCGGCTACAAAGAGAGCGGGTCCGAGCTTCGCCTTACTGTCATACTCAATACATCAATCATGGTTGGGTATGTATGCAGGGCAGGTGGGACTTACATGCAAAGAACTCTAGTCCTCACTCGTCATGGTCAGTCGGAATGGAACAAGATGAACTTGGTATGTGGATAGCATGGCTCATATATTCTAGTTCACTGGTTGGAAGGACCCGGCCCTCACGGAGCAGGGCGAGGCTGAGGCGCTCAAGGGTGCTGAGGAGCTGAAGAAGAACGGCTACGTACGTATATCGAGGGATAAGGGGAATATGTGCTGACATGATGGGCCTTGTGTGCCTGTACGAATTTAGACGCACTTTGAGTATGTATGATGTCGATTATGTGTACGCTAACATGTTCAGCATGGCTTTCACCTCGGACTTGCAGCGCGCCCAGAAGACGCTGGCTATCCAGCTGAAGGTGATCGGTCAGGAGGGTATTCCTGTGGCGAAGGACCAGGCTCTGAACGAGCGTGACTACGGTGAGCTTACTGGCCTGAACAAGGACGATGCCCGCAAGAAGTGGGGTGAGGAGCAGGTTCACATTTGGCGCCGCTCGTTTGACGTGCCGCCGCCCGGTGGTGAGTCTCTGAAGCTGACAGCCGACCGTGTGCTGCCCTACTTCAAGGAGCACATTCTGCCGGCCGTGAAGTCAGGCAAGTCGATCCTTGTGACGGCGCACGGTAACTCGCTGCGTGCTCTTATCATGGAGCTCGAGCACATGTCGGGCGATGAGATCGTCAAGACGGAGCTCGCTACCGGTGTCCCGATCGTCTACAAGATCGATGAGAACGGCGCTGTGGTTGACAAGAAAATTCTTGCATAGATGATAGTTTGTCCACCCAGGGCTTAGCCTAAGCCTTCTTTTTTTACTCCATTTGGGGTCTCCGCATTTCGGCCGTTACAAACGGGTGCCCCGGACAGGTGGAGGTGGGTCCTAGTCATGACTGAAGCTGTGGCATCAGAGCGAGAGGACGGGTGTCACTTCGTCTTTTCACGTGCCACTAACCATAGCAATGGCGGGGGTGTCTGAGACCTCCATGGATGAAGGATTGCGGCAGCGCATCAAGTCATCCTCTAAGGCGGAAGTGACCGACTCAATGCATTCAGGTGGCTCCACGCCGACCAAGCCCAAGGCCAGCCCGATGCTGGGTCGTACGCCTGATGGCCGCCTGTTCCATGTGATGGAAACACCAGATATGGTCACTTCGATATTCCGGCCAGACACGCCGAAAACGCCTTTGGACTTTGTTACCATCGTTTCACTTCTTTTTCAGTTGCTTTTATACGCTCGTCTCTCACGCGAGTCTGCCCAGGTCTTTTTTGTGGTATACTTTGCCTTTTGGCGTATCGCCTACAATGGCGGCCTAGGCTACGTGCTTACGTTGCAAAGCACGTCGCGTTGGCTTGTGCGTTTGTTTGAGCGAAAGGGATGGATGGATGCGGCCAAGTGTCCACGCATTCACTCGTGGATTGAAAAACAGCTTAAAGTCAAGCTGGGCGCCTCGTACGACATGTCATCTATGCCGATCGATTTTAGTGTATGGATATTTTTCCGATCTCTCGTTGACGTAATTTTGTTGAACGATGTACGTATTTGCAAGTACTAACCCTCCAGTTCACGGCCTACTCGCTGTTTGGCCTCTCACACATGCACGGGCCTGGGCCTGATGGATGGGGCATGCTAGCTGTCCGCTGGGTCATTGGCCTGTTATTCATCCTGTTCAACGTATGGGTCAAAATGGATGCACACCGTGTCGTGAAAGATTATGCATGGTACTGGGGCGACTGCTTTTTCATGTGCTTGCAAAACCTTGTATTTGACGGCGTGTACGAGGTCGCACCTGACCCCATGTATAGTATTGGCTATGCTGGTTACTATGGCCTATCGTTGCTTACGGGCAGTTATACTGTACTGTTTGTATCGATTGCGGCGCACACGTCACAACTACTCTTCCTTGTCTTCTTTGAGAATCCTCACATGGAACGCTTGTACGGTGAACGCCGACCCATTGCCGCACGTATGACAGCGAAGGATGAGGCGCTGGCTTCATCGCAGCGTGAAAGCACCACATCATCACGATCGGCATCTACCAGCTCAGCATCCAGCGCGGGTCACTCGACGGTGGGGGACACTACGTCGTCCGGGCTAGAATCATCTACTGCCCCGACCTCCATGCCATCGTCCGCTACGTCCACTATGGCCTCTAGTACTTCGACGTCCAATACACATGATCTGCACTACCGCCTCTTTCGTTATGATGTCGTCCTGTTCTCCCACCTGGACCTATTTCGTGCCTCAGACTTTTTGTTGGTGGTCAGTGTGATCTATGCGCTTGTGCCCCTTGTGCTATCCTCCGTACGTGGCTCGGCAGCGCTGGTATTGTTGGGTGTACATGCCTTGCTATGGCGCCTCTTTTACTCGTTTGGTCTCGGCTGGGCTCTGCGTAAACAGTCACGCAGCAAGTGGATTGTGCGTCATTTTCTGAAACACTACCACTATGATGACCCACAATCTGCTGTCTTGGAAGCATTTGACCAATGGAAGGTGATTTACAATGTGAGCTTGATAATGACATACCTTTCTTTTGCGACGCTGGCATGGCACAGCTATGTGCCGTGGACGAGTGGATCGATCCGACTGCGGTACGTGCTGGGCATCGGCCTTCTTGCCCTGCATGCATGGAGTGCGCGCTCTTCTTTCCGTGTATTGGGCCCATATGGTTGGCTATACGGCGACTTCTTCATTGACAACTACCAAAAGCAGCTGTCGTATACAGGCATCTACCGCTTCCTAAACAATCCTGAGCGGATCATGGGCGGTGCTGCCTTCTTCGGTATGGCACTGCTCAGTGGTAGTCCTATGGTCGCTGTCGCTGCCATAGTCTCGCACCTGTGTCATTGGTGGTTCCTGCGCTACGTGGAGAGCCCACATATGCACCGTGTGTATGGGTCCGCTGTGCGGCAGGCATCCGGTGTCAGCAAGCAGCTTCAGCGCCTTGTGCCAGCTGACTGGCGCAAAGCCGCCCGTCCCAGCGTCCAGGAGCTTCAGTCTGCGCTGACCAAGGCACAGACCATGGTGGATCAGCTTGTACAACGCAGCTTGCCTCAAGTGGAGCGATTGGTGGATGACACACGTACTATGCTGCAATTGCAGGCCGATCGTTTGCTGCACGTGCGCACAGGGGACGATATGCGCATGATCGATGCGTCCAAATACTCTATCGTGCCGGTTGCTTCTGCGCTCACGCAGCAAGCACGCTTCCATGTCGGTGAACCGATCCCTGTACACTGGACGGCTGCGCACAATCACTCGCGTCGCGACTGGATTGGCTTGTATTCGCTCAACACCCTGGCCTCTCACCCGGATGGCCGCCATGACGCATTGCTTGTCACATGTGTATCCAGCCGTGGCAAGTGGGTCGGCGTAGCGGAGGATGAATGGGAGGGCAATACACACTCTGGCATGACGCAGGGCCCTCTGGGAACGCATGGCGTCTCGCAACTCCACGATAACGCACAGCTTATGTCAGGTGTAAGTGTGTTCCGAGGCTCCAAGTTGCCTTGGTCCCCAGGCACGTATGAATTGCGTTACCACCATGATGGGACGCACGATGTGCTCGCACGTAGCGAGCCATTTACAATCTATGTGGACTCGCCGCAAGATCCAACCTCGTTCACGGAGACGTACACGATTCTCACCAGGTTGGTCCACTTTGCTCTTGCTGGCCAGCCTGCTATCAACGATGCCAAGTATCAATCGGCGGACAAGGACGATCTCACGCTGTGGACCAAAGACGAAGTCCAGCACATTGCTGATGGCATCCGGAGTGCTTTCCATGTGGACTTTGCGAATGAAGTGATTTTGGCTAATGCGAACGTTGCCTCGCTCTCTCGCGACATTATTGCCGCACGGCAACTCTTGCCTTTGTAGATTACACTTGCTTTTTCGTACTATGATCATTTGACTACCAAGCCCATGGATCGCTTGTAGGGGTAGAGAACTGAGAAGTCATGGTACGAAACGTCTCATGCTGTTGAGCTGCGGCGCGATCTGTGCGTTGCCGGGTATACCAGGTCGGACAATCGATCGCCATACATGGCCGAGGATCCACGCCGGCCGTACAGGCCGCGTAGCAGGTGGTATGCATGGCTTGCTGCTTCGTTTCGAGCGTATGTACTGTAGACACAACGCGGTACGCGGACGTTTCTGGATTCTGACGGCAATCAGGGCACATCGCTGCGTTGTGAGTCGCGGTCATAGAGACGTACCTTCATAGGTGGGCTGCGCACAAACTGGGCAGGGGCGCGTTAGGAGCGATATACGTTGGTGCTTTGGCATTTCGTCAAGCCAACGCTGAGCAGAGACGCCTACCAAGTTGAGTAGGCGCTCGAGCGCCGGGAGGATAGTCCGTCGTACATAGTAGTCGATGTGGAGAGACGGTGTAGCCGATGGCCCCTCTTCCTGGGCGGCGGCCAGGCCATCAGGCGCACAAGCAAGGTCTGCAAGGCGGGCCGAGGGCGCACCGGCATGCAGAAGATACGGTACACGCTCACCAGCATGCGGTGCAGCAGCAGGGTCATATATCATGCGTCGCATAGCAACGACTGCGCCAGGCGGCATCGCTGCTTGAGAGGCGTACGTCCCGAGCCGTACTTCCTTTGAGATAATCAAGTGCAGGGGCGAGACTTCGCCTGCATACAATCTCGCCCATTGCCGCTGGCAGTACCGTTTGACAAGGGACAAATCCTGCGTCTCAAAGAGGATACGTAGACACGCTTCCTGCATCCGCTGCAGAGCCACATGACCATCACGACGGATCATCTCTAGACCTTTCACGTCAAGCGTTGGCTGGGTTTGAGTAGGCGTATCGTATTTGTACCCTGCATACCGTTTCTTCGCAACAAACATAGCTGGGTGGTATACCTTCTCAAAGTTCAGGCGGACAGGCGGTGGGTTGCTCTCGGTGACGCGTGTAGCCATTTCATGGCCGATCCGGAAAGCTTCCTCGCGACTGCGCCCTGGCAGGTAGACAAACAAACTGTCTGTATCGCCATAAATTACCTGTGCCTCCCATGCAGGATCGCTCTCAATCATTGACATCGCCCGCTCCAGCGTCTCTCGGCCACATTGCACGATGGCATCCGCCAACTCCACACATGGCATACGTCCAGAGGCACTGGCTCCACAGTACCCATACGTGACGTTCGCCAAAAGCTTCAAGGCGAGCTGCTGTGCATGCTGCCGCCGCTGGAATGCCTTCGCGTGCGGGAAGAGTTTCATCGATGCCTTGGTCATCGTTCGCGCTTCCAACACTTCGCGCAGCATGCGGGAAAGCACGCTCTCGCGGATATGCGGCTGCACAAACACCAGGCCGTTGGCAGCGATAAACACGTCGTGATGCAGACGTTGCGCCATACCCGGCGTGGGCGAGACCGTGGTAAAACCCAACTTGTACGCGCCTTTGAATGTCTGTGTGCGACCGAGGCAGGTTGAGTAGCACAGGTTGTAGGCCATCATCATCGATGGGTACAAACTTTGAAAGTCCAGCACTACCACTGGGCCTGTATACAGCCCCGACCGTGGCTCGAGAATCAGGGGGATGCATTCGGCTGCGTTCTGCTGCGCTACTTGTGTGCGATTCGGCGAGGGCAGGACAAAGCTTCGTGGCTTGGTAATACGGAGCAGGACCGATTCCACCTTGAACTGCGAGCCACGAGAGAGGACAGAGAAAAAGTCTACTCCGTACATGCGTGCAAATTCGGCGGTGCGCGTAAGCACTTCGGTCTTGGCCAGCAGTCTCAGCATGGTGTGCGCGTATCGTGCACCGTACTGCAAGGCGCACACATTCTCATGCGCCCTGCCTGAACGTAGCCAGGATGCGAGCGTGCGTGGCGCATACCGTGGCATACGTTCTCGCAGTACATGCGACGCAACATGTTCCAACGAATACATCGTCAAGGCGGTCTCGCTTCGCATAATGCGCCAAATATTCAGAACATAACGCCCACTTACATGCACCGATGACGATCGCGACTCCATCCATGCTGTCGTGTACTTGCTCCGCATCGAGGCAGTCGCCCGCAATCGGCCCCACTCCGCTGTGACCTCGTACGCATACACATGATGTGCTCGCGCCACGACGTAGCCCCACGACGTACGTGAAATGTCGTAGCCAGCCAAAATGTCTGGGTCGAGAGCACGCACCAGATCTGTGAGTGTATTAAGCAACTCCAACTCTGTCTCGACCACGGTGATCGGCATGGCAAGGCCAAGTCGAACAGGCGTTTCTCTTACGAGGATCACACCAGAATGGTACGTGTTAGGCGCATTCTCGCTACTCGTTTCCAGTGCCTCTTCCATCCATGTATACACTACAGCGTGTATAGCATCGTGCACAGGATCGGGGTGCAGATCATGGCGAGTATGTGCAAGAACATACAGGCCCAGCACTGTCATATGTTTCTTTTCTCCTGGCTGCTTCTGTTCGTCGGAGGACATGGGCGGACGGTGCGACGGACGCGAGCCCAGCGACGCACGCCACGCTTGAAACCGTGCCTGGTGTGCGGCGCTTTGTTGAGAGCGCTGCATTGCCTCGTTATCAAGCCATTGACGCACATTTGCCACAGATGGAGGTCGAGGGGTATACGTCCATGTACAAATGTGCGCAGGTGTACGTAAGGAAGAATGAGACTGGGACCACGTCGAGCGGAAAGGTGGCAGGCCATCGAGGCCTATCGAGGGAGGTGTCTTGGTCGTGCCCGCATAATAAAAGGCCTGAGCTGGCCGATCTGACGTATGGGTATAGTGACACACATTCTCTTCGGCCTCGGGGGAGATACAAGCGGGCCATGTGCGCAAAAGGTCTTGGTAGGTCGGCGCCGCGGGTTGGTACACGAATGATCCTGAAGGACCAATCGTCTTTGTTTCCGTGGTAGATAGGTCCTTGGTGGGAGAAGCCTCCGGTTTTGCCGGCCAGGGAGACTCAGTAGGGAAGCTTGAAGGGACCATGCTGCATGTCGTCTCCGCCCATGTCGGTACGGCCGTGCTATGCGAGGTTGGCGTCAGCGAAGAGAAAGCGGGTGGCTGAGATGGCGTAGCTAGACCGAGCTCCCACATCTTGGTTGATTTGGACGGTTCCACGGACGCAATGGCTTCCCAGCCCTGCCCATGAAACAGGTCGACCGTGTCGTACGTACGCAATATGTACTGATCCAATGCGGGCGCTTCTGCTGGCTTAGGTTGAGGGGCCTCATCTTGCTGGGCCCTTGCATCCCATGCGGCTTTGTATCGGGCAGAGGCTGTCCATGTCATCTCATTGGCTGTCACATTGTGCACATCAGTAGGGAAGGACGGTGTTGGATCTAAGCCGCATTGCTCCCGACGCGCTCGATCTTGTGCCCATAGCGCACGCAAACTTGGGACCAACAACTGCGCGGGATCCTGTGTGGCGTCTTGCGATGGTGCCGGTGGCGACGCATGAACCTCACGACGGTTACGGATATCGCGCGCTTGCATATCGCCTTCATACGTACTGTATGACAGCCGCGCCTGAGTCCGTTCCACGACATTGTCGCAGAACATCACCTCACATCCCAACAAATTGTAGTCCATCATCCATTGCAAATGATAAGGAACATGAGCCTCGTATGGCTGCATTGCCGTCTTGAGCACCTGAGCGCTTTCCAAGAGTGTTGCGAGGCGTGTGCGCAGTTGAGGATCGTTGTACGATATCTTCAAGTAGTAGCGGTACGTCTCATAATATCCATAAAATGGAATGCCTTTACATAAATGGATGGCCACAATGGCCTGCACCGCTGACGATGGCTGATGAAGGGAGGTAGCAATGGCAGCGTTAAGCGCCTTCCCCAAGCGCGTAATGTACGCAAACACTACACGTTAGCCATCAAAGGGACGCACCTGTTTCTGGCTCCAATTCTCCATTGTACTCCACGTAAAGATAGGGAAATACATTGTGCACATGCACACAACAATGCACACCATCCTCACGTACACCAAAGGCGTGGATCACAGGTACACGTGGAAGCTGGGACCCATGTCCTTGAAACGCACTGCGGAACGTATCATGCACATCTGGTACTTCTAGCGTATGTTCCACATGTGTCAAATAGAGAGGTACATCGGCTGACATCCGTGTCAGCAGGGCTCTCCGCACCCCAACATGAGTGGTCGTGTCCCACACGCGTCGACAGCGTCGTCGTGCCTCCACGCACGCGTGGCGAGGACCCACAGGGACCAAGTCACGTGATATCCCCGCCGCCACCCGGGGGCGTCGTCGCCGACGGCGGCCAGGGCCATCAGGTGGACATCTCCCTGAAGGTGGGCCTACGTGAAGGTTCCTTGTTACACCTTTTGTGCATACATACTTTGAGGTGTGGACCTTTTTGATCCGTAACCTTATTTCAGGCTACTATGGAAGCCGACGAACAGCTGTATCCAATTGCGATCTTGATTGATGAGCTCAAGTCAGACGATGTTACTCTTCGTTTGAACTCGATTCACCGCCTCTCCACCATTGCCCTTGCTTTGGGTCCAGAGCGTGCACGGGATGAGCTGATTCCATTTTTGCATGACTCTCTGGACGATGAAGATGAAGTTCTCCTTGCTTTGGCGGAAGAACTGGGGGCTGACTTTGCCGAGTATCTCGGTGGTTCTTCTTATGCCCACCTACTGCTCGGACCCTTGGAAAATCTCGCAACGGTAGAGGAAACGGTCGTACGCGAAAAGGCATGCGAGTCAATCAACCAGATTGCTGGGATCATGAGCGACCAACAAGTGCGCGACGAATACTTGCCGCTTCTGAAGCGTCTTTCAAGCGGTGAATGGTTTACTTCGCGTACCAGTGCCGCACTGCTGTTTGCGTCTGTGTACGAAAAGGTACCCGGGTCTATGCGTTCCGACGTTCACAACATGTTTGCTGCTCTGTGCAATGACGACACACCTATGGTCCGTCGTGCCGCAGCGCGCGATATGAGTGCTTTGGCCAAGCACATGCCCAAAGATGTGATTGTGAAGGAAATCCTGCCGCTGTACCGTCATCTCTCTAGTGATGATCAGGATTCCGTGCGCTTGCTCACTGTACAGGACTTGGTGACCATGGCGGAGGCACTGAGCCCCGTGGAAACACAGCAGCTGCTTCTTCCCTCCATTTGTGGTGTATTCCAAGATAAGAGTTGGCGTGTTCGCTACATGGCGGCGGACCACTTTGTGAAGTTGGCATCGGCTGTGGGAGAGCGTGTGGTGCTTGATGAGCTAGTACCTGCATACATCAACTTGATGCGCGATGCCGAGGCGGAAGTGCGTACGGCAGCGGCTGGTCAAACCCCTGGTCTTGCCAAACTGCTCGATCAAAGGACTATCATTGACCGTTTGTTGCCGGTAGTCAAGGAGCTGGCTGATGACCCATCACAACATGTTCGCGGTGCGTTGGCCGCGCAGGTTAGTGCTCTGGCACCCTTGCTGGGCAAGGATGCTACAACGGAACATTTGCTACCACTCTTCCTGCAATTGCTTAAGGATGAATTCCCAGAAGTTCGCCTGAACATTATCTCGCGACTCGAGCAAGTGAACGAGGTCATTGGTATTGAACTGCTGTCCCAGTCCCTACTCCCAGCGATCATGACTCTCGCGGAAGATAAGCAGTGGCGTGTGCGACAAGCCATCATTGAAAATATCCCGCTTTTGGCGCACCAACTAGGCGTCAAATTCTTTGATGAGCAGCTGAGCAACCTGTGCATGAGCTGGCTTGGTGATACCGTGTTTAGCATTCGTGAAGCAGCTACGATCAACCTTAAGAAGCTCACGGAAGTATTTGGTGTGGAATGGGCGCGCCAAACTATCATCCCGAAGGTGTTGCAGATGAGCACGCACCCGAACTATTTGTATCGTATGACAACAATATTCGCTATGACTACCATGGCACCTTCGTTGGACACGGACACCATCGTGCACAGTGTCCTTGATGCGCTGCTTCAAATGGTACAGGATCCCATCCCGAATATTCGTTTCAATGTGGCCAAGGCCTTTGAAGTGCTGGTGCATGAGCTTGCGACTTCGCCGGACGGTAAGCGCACCATCAAGGAGAAAATTGTGCCTGCTCTGCAGACGCTGGGTGATGACCGCGACGCCGATGTGCGGTTCTATGCGCAGCGCGCGTTGACGGCTGCGCAGAAGTTGTAGTACCATATGCTCGGCACAATCGTGCCTGTCTCTTCTTTCTAGGGCCCTAGTGCCGGAAGGCCACTGCCTTCGCCGCGGGGTTTAGATGACATCCTGGGCGAAAAGCCCGATTGGTAATGCATGCAAATAGTGTCTTTTGGCAAGAAAAAAATTCGGGCTTGATGATTGGGTCTCTAGACCGCCTTATTTTATTTCTTATATGTCTTGCTGCGATTTGATTTACGTGCCTACCACCATGGCGTCGCTGTTCGGTCTAAGATCGAAGTCATCCATAAGCAACGATGCTCATTCTGTTCCTGTTACGGACCGTACTATGACGACAGACGTGAAACTGTCACCGCCCCCCGATAGCAGGCTTCTGCCGCCGGCTCCGCTGCGTGAAGGCGACGACGAGAAGATGGCGGCCCTCAAGCAAGTCGTCGATGCACACCGTGCCCAGCACCCGTGCCCTGTTGACTACGAGCCATACGAGCATCACTGGCTCAGTGACCCACTGATTTACAGTCGCTACATTCGTGCTACGCGTGGCGACCTGAAGTCAGCAAAAAAGCGTATTATTGAAACGCTTACTTGGCGTCGCGACTACCGCCCCGAGATCATCCCGCCAGGCGAAGTCTCGGAAGAAGCGTATACTGGCAAGCATGTAATCACTGGATTTGATCGCGACACTCGCCCCATTTTGTACCTTCGTCCCGGGCGTGAGAATACCAAGCCATCGCCGCGTCAGATTCGGTACATGGTGTGGTCGCTGGAGCGCGCCATCGACCTGATGCAGCCGGGTCAGGAATCTGTTACGATCATTGTCGATTTCCATGGCGCCCAATTCTCTACAATGCCTTCGCTTGGCACGGCACGGCACGTTGCCCACATCCTGCAAACCCACTATGCCGAGCGTCTTGGCCGTGCCTTTGTATTCAATACACCCAAGTTCATTACTGCCTTCTTCACAGCCCTCTCGCCCTTCTTGGATCCAGTCACAAAAGACAAGATCCGCTTTAATTACGACAGGGTGACTGACTTTATCGCACCGGATCAGCTCGATGCGCAGTTCCCTGGCGGCAACTACGCGTACCGATTCGACTTTGATGTGTACTGGCCTGCTCTGATCGAAAAGTGTGGCATCCTGCCAGATGGTACACGAACGAAGGAGATGCTCGAGAAATAAGCGGGCGTATACCCCCCACAAGCAACTAGGAGATCAAACCATGTAAGCGAGTGATGTGGTGGCTGCGTATGTGCTATGGTTTGGCATCTCACAGGCGGGCCCTGACATATGCAACTTTTTCACATGTAGACGATCATGCAGGATGATACGTTCTTTCATAGACTCGAGCAAACGTCTATGAAATAGGGGCGCGTATGACAGTCACTACAACAACCAACACAGGTCCCCACCTGTGCGTGACTATATTTGGGAGTGCGTCATAGAACACCTTTATGTCACTTTCTTACGCTCGTCCATGGAAAGACCGCCAGGGCCCATGTTGACAAGCAAAAGAAGGCCACCTACAATCGAGAGGGTCTGGAAAAAGTCGTACCGCAAAAAGTCGCGTTGCGGCAGCGCCGAGTGCACGGTCCAGAAGTTGTTGACAACAATCTGTGGTGTGAGAAATGTGCATAAATACATACATTCAGGATGCTGAGCAGGAGCACAAGGAACATCGCACTCCATCGTGCCTTGAAGCCCACGGCCACCATGATGCAGGCGCCGAGACCCAAGACCGACACGGCCACACGGAAGAAGTTCCACTCACCTTGCAACACGAAACCTAGGAACAGGAAGATGAGCAGTACACGTCCAGCCAATTGGAAATAGATGCGCTTGTCTGTTTCGCTGATACTCGGCAAGCCGGCAAACAAGTTCTTGCGTTGGTTGGCGAGACTGTCCGAGAACACCATGAGGAGGCCACCGATGACGGACAGGTTGCGCAGGAAGAAGTTGAAGTCGGTAATAAGGCCGTAGCCGATACCCTGGAACACAATCACGAAGAGCAGCGATCCAATGGAAATCTCCGGGAAACGGCGCAACAACACAAACGTCGAAGCGATGAGCATCGTAACAACGTTGATGAACAAGAAGGTGTGCGCAATAAAGTACGGCATCGAGCGGTACTTGTTCAGGTACATCGACTGATCGCCCCACTGTGTCATGATACGCAGCGCATCTTCCAGGAATGTGACGACAATCAGGAAGCGGCCCAGTACAGGAATGTAGGGACGAATAGGCTGCGACACGCTGTCCATAATGTCTTCAGCCTTGCTGGAGTATTCTTTGAGCCGCTCCATAAAGGGCGATGAGTTGTACAATGACGATCCTCGGAATGGATCGCTCGACATATGCGAAGGCGGGACAAACGAGGAGGACCCGTACGACATGACAAGCAAGAATGGGCACGGAGCAAAAGTGGCACAACACACACCGTGGCACCAGGGGCGGCGCGCTGGGACTGCTTTGGTGCTTACCTAAGCGAATGCCAGCCGACGCGAGCGCAGCCAGGCCGTGCGCGTGCAGGTCCCTCCGATCCTAACGTACTATGGCGCTATCACAATGGAATACCTGCATGTTCATCCAGGCCTAGGGCCAAGTTGAGATTTTGGAGGCACTGTGTCGCAGCACCCTTGAGGAGGTTGTCAATTACACCCACCACCACAACGCGATCACCGGAGGAGTGCACTTGGAAACCACCGACCTTGAAACCGTGCTGGAGCGCAATATCAGGAATTTCCGGCACCTGCGGTAGCACTTGCACCAGTTTTTCACCCGCATAGCGCTCTTCGTACAGCTCCTTGACATTACGTGCCGTCAAAGGCGTACGAAGAGGAATGCTAGCCGTCGAGATGATGCCCTGGAACCACGACGCTACGATCGGCGTAAAGGCCACGTCGACCGGTTGGCCGTCGATCAGCTTGGTGAGGTGGAAGCGTGCTTCGCGCTCGTGGATGTGGTCCGTGAGCGAGTATGGACGCACATTGTGCTCGAGCGACGCAGGGTCGATCTTGGGAAGCGTCACAGGACGTTTACCAGGCGCGGGTCGACCGCCCGACTTCGTACCGCCGCCACTGTAGCCCGAGATGCCCATGACTGTCGGTGGGCGCTTCTCATCCAAGTACGGCAAGAGCGGTGCGAGAATCATCTGCGTATTTGTCGCGTAGCAGCCCGGGTTCGAAATGAGCTTCGACGTGCGGATCAAAGCACGCGAGTACAGTTCTACTTGGTTAGTTTCCATTCGTTCTGCACTACGGGTACGCACCAGGGAGGCCGTACGTCCACGCATCATCAAAGCGATGGTCCGCACTGAGGTCCACAATCACACCATGGCCTTGTGGCTTGCCCGCCCCACCCTCGCGCACTGCGTCTACAAACGGACGACACACGCCATTGGGCAATGCCATGACGTACGCATCTGGCGGCGGGACATCACAGCGGCCACTCTCCAGCTTTTTCAGGTCGTCCAGGCTCATGTTCGAGTAGTATACTTGGCTCTTGTCGTAATCTTCCAGCGGAAACCCAGCCAATTCACGCGAACTCACATGTGACAGCTCCATCGAGGGGTGGCCATTGATCAACTGCACGAGCGAACGGCCTGTATAGCCACGCGCACCAATCAACGCCACGCGCTTCGGGGCTGCGTCCGTGGCGTACGTACGCGACGTCGTCAGCGCTGCGTGTGCGCGCGACGCAATCTGGGGACGCGTATGCGAAGCACGAGCAAGCGTCGCAAAGCCACGCTGCGAGCCCGGCGTGGTTTTGCGCATGTTCAGAGGCAGGTACGCACGCTCCACGCGGTGCTGGTCCTCCAGCTCGCGCATGACATGCTCCACGTCCGAGACATCCTGGATACCATAGTAGAACAAGCTGCGACGGTTGCGAGTGAAGCTACCGTCCGCATGCTCAAAGTGCCAAGCGCGGTTCTCGTCGTCAGCGCGGGCCGTCCACACAAGGCGCTTGTAGTCACGACGGATCATCGTCCAGATGTTGTCGAGAATGTTGTTCATCATTGCATTGCGCGTCATGACCAGTCGCGTAAGCACAGGCACCTGGCCTGGGGGATGCGAGACAAAGGCCACGCACTCGAGACCCTCGTCGCCGTAAATCGTGTACGGTGCACGCGAAAGCTCCGAGAAGATTTGCGCGGCGCTCTTGCGGTTCTCACGCACATCCTCATCATTCTCACGCAGCAAGCTACGCAGACGCTCAGGACCCACCTCTTCAATCGACTGCGACGAGAACAGCTTGTAGCCACGGCGAATCAATGTGCCAGCACCGCTATCCGTGAACAGCTCCTTCTGCAGCTGGTCCACAGAAATAATCGCCACGGACGACGAGCGCGGGAGATGGTCCAGCAGTTCCTTCATTTCACGCAGTTTGAGCTTCGTGCCGTACTTTACCCATTCCTGCTTCATTAGATCATCGTACTCTTCATCCAAGTTGATCGACTCAATCAGCTCGCCTGTCGCGCCATGATAGAGACCGCCCTTCTCGTTGAGGTACACAATCTTCAGCGGCTCCAACACCTTGGCTAGCTCACTCGCAGCGACATCGGCATTGACGTTGAGGATCTGGCCGTCTTCCGACAACGCCAGACTTGTAAGAATCGGCAGGCATCCGGCACGAATCGCACTCTCAATCGGCTCTTTATCAACACGCTCAATCTTACCGACAAGACCGTAGCGCTCCTTGTCCAAAAACGACGCATTAAATACACCCAACGGGATGGGACGTGCACGGCTGCCCAGCGACTCGAGTTTCTCCACCAGTTTCTGGTTCTCCTCCAAAAACACACGGCGGGCCACACGCAGCGTAGCAGCGTCGGTAATACGGATACCATCCGAGTAGTCGGGCACAACGCCCTCGCGCTCTAGAATCTCATTGAGCTGCGGGCCAGCGCCATGCAGCACAATGGGGTAGAGACCAACGCGATGCAGGAACGTCAGGCTGAGTGCCAAGTCATCCAGCTCGTTCGTAAGGATCGCGCCACCGACCTTGATCACGGCAAACTTGTTCGCCGTGCTGAAAATACGCAAGTACCGCTCGACTTCATTGCGCGAGGCAATCGAGTACAGTAGGCGAGTAATCGTTTCACGATCTCCCGCCAAGTCACGAGACGATGGACTCTGCGACGCAGGTACACGAGACACATGCAATGCACGTGCAAACGCAATGGCGGGAGCGCGCACACCAGCAGTGCGCGACCGCACAGCACTCCGGGCGAGAATGGATCGCATGGTGTCGGAACAAAAACTTGGCCTCTCGCCTTATCGATCGCTTATCTAGGCCGCGCTGACTCGACCCGGCCTCGTTCTCACGTGATATGACGCGTGACTATGTGGAGGTGGGGAAGCAAGGCTGGCAGGCGCGCTGGCTGTGGGTGTTGTGTCGTTGTCTTGTTTGACGTCCGTTTGTGTGACCCTTGGTGGCTTGGCTACCCTAGCCGACACTGCGTGGGTCGGTCTTCTATCACTTTGGAGGCGTGTGCTTGTAAATACACACTTTTCTTCAGGGGCCCAAGCGTTTCGCGATACACCCCCTTCTTATTCAACGTGTTGTTTGCTGACGTTGATTCCTCCGATGGCAGGTCCATCGAGTCCGGGCCTTTCTAGCCCACGAACACCTTCCACACCTCGCCTTCGTCGTAAGCCAAGCCAAGTCAAAGAGAATATGCGGTTGGGATATGTGCGCCGTCCACCCCCACCACCGCTCTCAACCACTTCAGCGATGCATCGGTCCACAGGGTTCGACAGCTTGCAAGATTTGCTGGAACGTGAAGGGTACAAAGAAACTCGTATTATCACGCCCCTGAGTAAATCTTCCGTCATCATATCTGTAGACGAGGACATGGATACTGAAACGGACCTACCTGCACGCCAGTCGAAGCCGGCGCTGCGTCACGCTACCTCTGCCGGGCTGTTCCAACGCGATACGAATCAGCACGACGCGACCTCCCCTGCGCCCCCTGGCAGTGATATTCTGGCATGGAGGCAGGCGGTGGCTCAAACAAGCGATATCGAGAATGTGCCCATGCGCCGCCAAGCGCTCCAAAAATCACGCAGCGATGCTTCGCTCAAGCGGCATGTCGCTCGACGCCGTAGCACGCTGTGGGATGCGAGTCAGGCGTACCGACAATCTGTGCATACTACAGAGGCCGTGCCTCCCGTCCCACCCATCCCACCTACTTTGTTGCGTGCCTCCTCTGTGGCTACGACATCCGCTGCACCCCAAGTCACCTGGAGTACGTCCGCCACACTTTCTCAGCCCGAAGGTGAGGACCCTACGCAAGCTTTCTTGTCATCCCCTGCATCGCCGATCCTGTCCAGGCAAGATGCGGTGGTGCAGATTACGGATGCAGACCCTGTGCGTATGCCACGCGGCCTGCGGCGTTCAAAGAGTGAAGATTTGCTACAGAAGGCGCTCAAGTCGCGCACGGAAACACCACCAGATGTACCGCCTTTGTGCAATTGTGGACGCACCATGCATGATACGAAGGGAAAAGGCGCATCAATGCCTGCAATTGAGCCACGCTGGCACATGGACTCGTGCCCTGTACGGCTGCGCTGGGAAGCGACAGCGCCTCTCCCTATTCCTCCGCCCCCACCGTACCTAACGGTCTCCACACCTCGTGGTATTAGTTCGCCCAAGGCCATTGAGCTTGCAGGGGCCGAGTTTGATCCTGTCGATACGCCTGGGCAGGTGACGTATCTTTTCCGTGTACCACGCCCCGATCTGAGCCACCTAACCAAGGCAACATGGACAGGGCTGCATAGTTGGTGGACTGGTCATGAGGAACCAGCCCACTCCAAAGGTCCTTTCCTGAATGGGGGACGTACCGCTGTGTCCTCGTCCTTGCATCCGCCATCACCCATGCGCCCGAAATCATCCACACATCGCCGTCTGCGTCGCAGTACTTCCATACCTCGCGTCGAACGCAAAGCTGCGGCTGTTCGTTCCATCTCGTCCGACCCGACGAGTCCTTCGACCCCCTCAACCATTTCCAAGGGCCAACGGACAGGCTCCGAACGCGTTCATGAACTGCGGCAGCGTGTTGAGGACCGTATGAAGGAAGATGCGACGGTACTGGAAGAAACAGCATTTCCCCTCCTCTCCAAGTACACCAATGCCTCAGCCCCTACGTCACAGGAGAGCACGACAGATCACAGTGTTCTGGAAAGCCCTACGGTGCAGCGGATGATGCAGCGTGGTACACACTCAGCACCTACTCTCTTGGAACAGGAAGCAGCGCCGCAGCTTGCGTTGGGCGAGACCGTGCCTTCACTTCCTATTCTTCAAACGATGACTCAGAACGATCTTATGACGACTCCATCTTCAACACCCCAGATACCAGAAAAACAACGAATACTACGAACGAAAGCTAGTGGTCATCGTCTGAGCCGACGTACCTCGAAAGACGACTTGCGAAGCGCAGCAACGACGCAGGCAGCGCCTCGTACATTGCGTGGCGATAACCATGGTCTCTTACTGCAGTCCGTCGCGCGGTCGTAGGTTAGATTAGATCTGCTACTATTACGAAGAGTCTTTTTGTACGAACCCACTTATAGCTTGCACTGCTACGATCTCATGGCTCACTTTTTTCGGCTACCTAGTACACTACCAGTGGGACTTTTCCGTAAAGCCGGTAGTGACATCAATACCTTGCCGTTCACGTTCCATGGCTTCATGGTACTCGCGCACAGCACGCTCGTAATCGCTATTTTTCGTCTGGGGCATAGGCGGCTCTGTCGTAGTAAACGTTGAGAACGTGTTGGCAGGAGCGCGTGTTTCTTGAGGCTCTTTGGGCGCATTGGAAGACCTGGGGGGCAACGAGTTACGAGCATTGTTCTGGCGGATCTGCTCCCACATACTTGGTGTGCTCGTACGGTCACGACGAAGCTCATCCCAGCGCGATACTGCTGATGCTCCGCTCGCGTCGGTGGAGCTTGATACGTCCGGCGAGGACGAGGGATTCACTGTCGACCAATCTGCTTCCGATGCTGGCAAATCAATAGACTCGTTCGTCTCTTCGGTAGGCGTATCAGTCAAAGGCCCTGGCGGCCCACCAACACGACGCCTCTGTTCCATCGCGTTATGCAAAGCGCGTGCCATGTGTTGAGGGTCTTCCACTGACCGCAACGACGATCGGCTCATGCCGATGCCCACGGGAATCATCAAGAATGAGCCCGCAAAGCCGCCAGAGAGTGTTAAGAGGATATTTGCTAACGGTTTAATGGGTCGTCCCGATCGCCGAAGGAAATAGTAGGTGGTACCCATACCGCCCATAAAGCCACACTGCTTGTTAGGCACACCTCAAGGGCGGATACGTACCACACGGGCCAGCCATACATTAGAGGAGATATTCCGAAGAGCTTCCACTACATGTTAAGCAGATCCAACGTACGTTCTCGTGCCGTAAGCTTTTCGTCGCGCTGTGGTGGCGAGGGACCGTTGTTCATCGAAGGGTCAGCCATGTCGCTAAAAAAGGGCACACAGCGCACGGTCGTTGTCGAAGCGGAGGGCCATGTGCCTCCAAGGCTCCACGAGGCACGGCCGCCACGCCCCGACCCCTCGTCGGCCGGCCGAGGGAACGCGACGCGCCCACGCCCCCGCGGTGCATGCATTCGATTTGTTGCGCAACTCCCGGCGGCCCTCCGTTCTCCTTTGCGCGCCCAGGGGACGCGTGGTTTGTCGCTCTTTGTGCCGACACAACCAGCACTGACCTTGCGTGGTCCCATACCCTCTTGTGTCTGGCCGCCGTTGTTACCACCAACTCTGTCCCTGCTATAATGGCTATGGCTGGTACTGCGTCGCCTGTAGCGGCAGGTCCTACGCCCATTATCGAGGTACGTGGCATTCAGGACCGTCCTGGCGAACAAGACTAACATGCTTCCAGCAAGCAGAGCGCTTGCGAACGCGCTTGCAACTCGCTGCCCATGAAGCGGGCCTCTCAAACCGGGCTCGGTCCGCGGGATTATTGAGCGAATCCAAGCTGGAAGAGCAAGTTTCCGAGCCTCTGAAGCGCGTCAATGGGCCCATGAGTCTGTATGAGACCTTGCTGGGCGCCGACTTTAGTCCCTCTGTGAAGCGGACACCCTCAACACAGGATCCACTGGCTACCTCACCGCCACGGACGATACCATCTACACCGCCACGCCGTGTGCCTACGACGCCGCCTTCAGGAACGGTACGAACGCCTAGCACAAGTGAGCGCCTCACGCGTTTGGCCTCCGCACCACAAATGGGATCGCCTCATCATACACACCCACATATGAGTGATTTACACAATCATCCTACACCAGATCTCCTTCGGCGCGAACAGCAGGGCGTACTAGCGGATAGTTACGGCATGTCACCCAAACGCCGTCGCGTGGGGCCTGCTGCATCAAACCCACCTTTTCGATTCCCTGCCTCGCCGCATCGCCTTCCGAATGGTCATGTGGCTTCCTCTTTAGCGCAGGGACTAGGCCTGACGCAGCGGATGACCGGTCCACCTCAGGCATCGTCGGCACCCATATCGTCCTCAGGCGTGCGGTATGGCCACAGTCGTATCGCCTCTATGCCTGAATGGCCTAACGATACATTTGTTCCGGTGCGTGGCCATGATCCTGTGTCACGACCCTCAGCTAACGCTGTATGGTCTCATACACCCGGTGCGGATGCAATGGTGAGCCCTCATCGTGGATCTGCTTATGCAGCTGGCCGCTCGCTCCATCAACCTGCTAGCCATTTGCGCACCAATCCGGCGCATACCCGCGCGGAGAAACGAGTTGGGCATCAGCGAAGTATGTCGCAAGGCACAGCCGGGCTTGGCACATCGATGCGTTTCCTGCATGACCGAAGCAGTAGTATCACTACACCGCCAGCTGCGCCACCGTCGCAGCCTGTGACGCCAAAGACGATGCATCCGCATATGAGCTATGGTGAATATCTAAATATGAGTCCAAGTCCTCAGCCGCGCTCACAGACTCGGCCTCGACGTGGTATGGCTGCTGAGAATGTGCTTCGATCGCCAACTCGTACACCCACATCCACATCGAAGCGCAGCATGCCACCACTGTGGGCCCAGCCATCGCAGCGGTCGTAAGAAGAGTTGTGCGTAGGTAGATAGACAGGGAAGGTAGTAGGAGAGAGAGTTACGTATCGCACGTGATCTGTGTCTGGCGGACGCGACGGCGCCTCCCAGGCACGCGTGTGGGTCATCGCAAGTAACACGCACGGCTCTACAATATGAATGTCGAGCGGTACGAAAAGCAGGGCCGTGTAGGTGGCGGATCGTATGGGTACGTAAACAATGTGCTAATCACAGGGAGGTGTATCGTGCCGTGGATCGCTGGACGGGCTCCGTAGTAGCCATCAAGGTGGTCAATTTAGAGCTGTCCAACGAGGAACTTCTTTCGATCCAGAAAGAGATTAGCGTGCTGCGTCAGGTCCGCAGTCCCTTTGTTACCTCATATCATGACAGTTTCTTGCATGGATCTCAGCTTTGGATTATCATGGAATATTGCGAGGGTGGCAGCTGCGCCGATCTTTTGCGAACAGAGCGACTAACAGAGGCTCATATGGCTGTCATTTTGCGTGACGTACTACAAGCCTTGGTGTACTTGCACGCCGAAAACAAAATCCACCGTGATATCAAAGCGGCCAATGTGCTTCTCTGCAAAGACGGGAGCGTCCGTCTCGCTGATTTTGGCGTTGCCGGGCAGCTTCATGTTCAATGCAAGCGTGATAGGGCTTTTGTTGGAACGCCGTACTGGATGAGTCCCGAAGTAATCAAGCAAAGTGGATACAATACCAAGGCTGATATCTGGAGTGTCGGTATCTTGGCATATGAGCTCGCGATGGGGGAACCACCGTATGCTGATTTGCATCCTATGAAGGTCCTGCATTTGATTCCTCGCAATCCCCCACCGCAACTCCCTTCCTCCTACTCGCCTGCTTTTCGTGACTTTGTAGCGCAATGCCTTACACGTGATCCACTACGCAGACCTTCTGCATCTGAGCTGTTGAAGCACAAGTTCTTCAAGCATGCTGGGTCCACGTCGCTGCTCGCGGCCGTGTTGGCTACACGCTCGTTTGCCAAGACACGCCCGCCCAAAAAACGGCCTGCCGATGTGACCACGGCGGAGGCGCCATGGTGGGATTTTGGCTCGCTACGTACGACGCCTGTCGAGGCGCCCGTATCGGACCCGCTGGGCACCACAATTACGCCCCGCGTATGGCGCCAGAATTCTAGTGTCCCCTCTAACGATGCGACCATCGTGCAGCTCCCTGGGCCTTGAGATATCTATGTTGCTCTAAATACGCACAGAGCACTCCTTCTCCAGCCAGCGCAGGGCACGAGCGTCGTTTTGGAGGCGTGGACGGAGCTTTTCCAGTACCTCATCGTGGTAGGCGTTGACCCACTGACGCTCGTCCACCGACATGAGTGAGACATCCATGAGCTTGGTCTGGATCGGGCACATGGTAATGTGCTCCATCTGCAAGAAGCCCTTGCTCGTGGGTGGCTCAGGACCATCGATCTTATGCGGCTGCACAATGACGAGGTTCTCAATACGGATACCCCAGTGTCCATCCAAGTAATAACCTGGCTCATTGCTGATCACCATACCCTCCTTCAGGCCGGTTTCGTTGAACACAATACGTGTGCCGAGACCCATGGGCGGCTCATGTACATTGAGATAATGGCCAACACCATGGCCCGTGCCGTGGCGGTATTCCAAGTGATCACGCCAGGCAGGAGCACGAGCCAATGCATCGAGGACATACCCTGTGGTGTTGTACGGGAAAATCATACGATCCACAGCGATGTGGCCTTGCAGCACGCGCGTAAAGCAGCGACGCTGCTCCATAGTCGGTGTGCCAAAGTGCAGGGTACGCGTAACATCAGTCGTACCGAACGTAAAGTGGGCACCTGAGTCACACAGGTATAGATCATTGGGATCAATCGCCGGACTACCTTGCTCAGGAGGCGCATAGTGAATAATCGCGCCGTTGGGGCCGGTAGACGAAATCGTCATAAAGCTCAGACCCTGGAAGTCAGGCTGCATCGCACGGAACGACGCCAGCTTGTTGGCACCCTCCATCTCAGAGATGCTCTCGCCGTTAGCCAACGCCTCTTCCAGCCAGGCAAAGTACGAGACCAAGGCGGCACCATCACGGATATGCGCTTCACGGAATCCATCCTGCTCGACCTTGTTCTTGATGCTCTTTTGGTCGACCACAATAGAGCGGGTGCTATGCGCTTTCTCCGCACCCAGCGTCTCGTAGACAGCCCACGACGCACGCTTTCCGATTAGGACACGGCCCGACAAGGTTTTGAGGTCTGTGTAGAACGAGTCGTAGGGCCGGATCTGGACCGCCGAGCCCAAGTGGGCACGAACCTCGTCGGTGAGCTGCGATTCGTTCACATAGAGCGTGCACGCATCCAGCGTGACCACGGCAAAGGCGAAAAACACGGGATTGAATGGCACATCATCACCACGCAGGTTGAGCAGCCAGGCCACCTCATCCAGCATCGTACAGATGAACGCTGTGCCGTTCAGCTCACGAATGGACGCGCGAAGTTCCTGGATCTTGTCCGAGGCAGCCCGGCCTGTAATGGATTCTGGCAGGGCCTTGATAGGCTCATGAGGACGCGAAGGACGGTCCGGCCACACTTCAGCCACGAGGTTCTCTGCCAACGGCACCAGCGTCGATTGGTGCATAGCCAAAGACTGTTGCAAACTGTGGGCATCCTCTGCGCTCAGAACCTTGGGGTCCACACCCACACGCGAGCTGGGGGGTAGAGCGGATAGCCATTCTTGCCACGTAGGTACACCAGGTTCGCCCATACGCATCAGCGTCCACACGCCAGGCTCAAGCTGCTGCGAGGCCTGCAAAAAGTAACGACCGTCTGTGAAAAGAAGAGCCTCGTCCTTCGTCACAAGCGCACAGCCTGCGGAGCCAGAAAAGCCGGAGATGTAACCGCGCAAAAGGTCGGCATCGGAGGGATATTCACTGGCGTGCTCATCTTCAGAAGGCACGATGTAGGCCTGCAGGTTGTGCCCCTGCATCTTCTCACGAAGCTGCGATACAAGAGATGACGTGTGCACCACGCCATTGCTTACTGCACCCATGTTGCTAAGAAAACGTGACGTTGAGAAATACACTGGACGCGTTGGCTTCAAAAACGAAGGTCGAAAGAAAACAAGAGAGCGAGGCCAGGCACGACAGAGCATCGACTGGCCTACAGCGAGGTCACGAGCCACGACACAACGTGGAGGCAGGCCCCAGGGCCCCTTTGCTGGCGTCGTCACATGACAGAGCCAAGGCGTTCCAACGCCCTTTCGATCACGTTGGAGGTAGCAAGGATGCCTTGTTGAAAAGGTGGGATTTCTACAAATGACTAGAAGAGAGACAAGTGAATCAACACCTGTCAAGATCCGTATTAAGCGCGTTGAGTACTATACATACAGGGTGTTGATCATAACGAAGGTACAATTTTGAGGCGAACCATTTAGTAGCGGTAGTGGTCAGCCTTGTAAGGACCATCAATCGGGATGTCGAGGTAGTCCGACTGCACCTTAGTAAGCTGCGTGAGCTTCACGTTGAGCTTGGCAAGGTGAGCACGGGCGACCTCCTCGTCGAGAGTCTTGGGGAGCATGTAGACCTGGCCACGAGCGTACTTGCCCTCCTTGTCGTTCCAGAGAGTGATCTGAGCCAGGGTCTGGTTGCAGAACGAGGCGCTCATGATGAACGATGGGTGGCCCGTAGCACAGCCCAGGTTGACCAGGCGGCCCTCAGCCAGAAGGATGACGTGGCGGCCGCTCGGCAGCGTGTAGCGGTCGACCTGCGGCTTGATGTTGACAACCTCCTTGGCGATCTTCTTGAGGCCAGCAACATCGATCTCAATGTCAAAGTGGCCAATGTTGCACACAATAGCATCCTCCGGCATCATCTCAAAGTGCTTGGTCGTGATAATGTCACGGTTACCGGTGGTGGTCACGAAAATCTGAGCCTCCGAGGCAATCTCGTCCATGAGACCCACCTGGTAGCCAGCCATCGAAGCCTGGAGAGCGTTGATCGGGTCGATCTCCGTCACAATGACACGGCAACCGTACGAGCGCAGCGACTCAGCACAGCCCTTACCGACATCACCGAAGCCGGCGACGACAGCCACCTTACCGCCAAGCATGACATCCGTAGCACGCTTGATACCATCAACAAGCGACTCACGGCAGCCGTAGTAGTTGTCGAACTTCGACTTAGTCACCGAGTCGTTCACGTTGATGGCCGGGACCTTGAGCTCACCCTTCTTCACAGCCATGTAGAGGTGGTGGACACCGGTGGTCGTCTCCTCCGACACACCGCGAATACCCTCCAGAAGCTCAGGGAACTTGTTGTGGATCATCCAGGTGAGGTCACCACCATCATCCAGGATCATGTTGAGCGGCTCACCGTTCGGGAAAGCGCGCAAAGTCTGCTCAATGCACCAGTTGTACTCCTCCTCGGTCTCACCCTTCCAGGCAAAGACAGGGATACCAGCAGCAGCAATGGCCGCAGCAGCGTGGTCCTGGGTCGAGAAGATGTTGCACGACGACCACGAGACCTGCGCACCAAGAGCCACCAGGGTCTCGATAAGCACAGCAGTCTGGATTGTCATGTGCAAGCAACCAGCAATGCGAGCGCCCTTAAGCGGCTGCGAAGGGCCGTACTTCTCACGCAGAGCCATCAGACCGGGCATCTCGCCCTCCGCAATCTGGATCTCCTTGCGACCGAAAGCGGCCAGCGAAATATCAGCAACCTTGTAGTTCGACATGACGAAAGTAGGAAACGTAGGAGGAAAGGGTAGAGAAATGAATCTAAACCGGGCCCTTCTCTAAAATCTTCTTTGCGGTATGCACGCCAGCGTGCACGGTCACCCACGTGCCTCGCGTGCATAGTCTACCTACCTACGGTCATAGATGTGCACGTGGCAATCCATGAGCTGGCGGCCTGCGTACATCCACAACGGCCAGTGGCCGCGTGGCCTTTATGCAGCCGAGGTCATAGACCACGCCTGGTTCTTCTGTGCTCTTACGCTGATTTCTTTTCCGACGAAGCCAATGCCCTCATCTACGGCGCAGCCCCTGCAGGAGGGGCCTGCCTCTTCGGCATCATCCGCACAGCGGTGTGAGCTGGCGGAAATTGTCCAATTTCATTGCCAACTGCAGCACCAACGTATTCTGTGCCAGCCAGTGGAGCGTGTGTTTCGCTTGTGCCCTCGCCGGCCTGCAGTTGAGGTTACACATCTTGTGGACTATACGCCTGCTGGTGAGCCGTTCCTGCCTGATCATTTAATGTAATTATACCAGCTCGCAGCGCCGTGCAGATTGCTTTGGCTATGCACATGATACCCTATGATGACCACTGTAGCTGCGTGCTTCAATGTACTTTATGCGAAGCCGAAACATGTCTGCCATGTCAGGATTGTATTCTTTGTCAGGATAATCACCAAGCAATGCCTCATCTAGGAGTCGACCATGCGCTACCTACGCAAGGTCTTTTGACGGGACAAATGGGGCTAGACTAATGTACATATATTGCCGCGTCTTACTAACCGTCCTATTGCTATTGATCAGTAGGTATGGCTGATGGGCGTGGAACATTTTTTTTTTGCATATTCGTAGCATTGTTGCAATGTCATTTTCTCTTGCATAAATAAGTCCGGGATGGACCCCTGCTTGCCATCACACACGTTCGCCCATTCTTGCCAGAGCATACTCAGTTCATCCCATACTTTTTGTTTCTCGGCATTTTCCAAAGAGTTCGAGACGCAATAAGGTGCAGAAGCATCAAGTCCTAGAGCTTGCATGTACAGTCGCGTTATGCCGTAGTACGCATGCTCGACCCAGTGACTCGATGTACTGTCGCCGTTAGCGAACGTATGGGCCAAGGCAAGCCGGAACTCTTCAAACAAGGTGTAGAGTCTCTTACGCGATGCACGATCCGATCCAAAATGGCCAGTTTGGCTTGCTTCATAAAGGCAAATTGCGTACATGGAGAGCGGGGGCAGAGGTGGTGGTAACGACTCGTCTCGAGGCACATGCGACGATTCGTGTGTAAGTAAATGTCTAGCAAGGGCCAACGCCGAATCCAGGTAGCCTTGTTGTAACAGGGCTCTCGTAACGTATTGGGCCACCGTTTCACGAGGCAGAGAAGATGAATCGACCAAATCACCGACCACGCGCTGGAACATGGTAGCCATGCGATGCCGTAAAAGAGACGAAAGGAATGGTTCCACATGCTCTTCAGAAAGCACTTGTCCAAAAGCAACGTAGTCTTGATACAGTCGAAGAGCAAACGATAATTCTTTTGAACGGGTATATGCATGTGAAAACAACCAGCCGAAAATCGAAGATGATGTACAGGGAAACACCTCAGGATGTAGCTGACGAGCGAGAACATACAAATCTCTGCTGAGGGCGTACTGGTGCTGACGCACAGCAAGTCGAAGGAGCAAAATAAGATGATCAAGACGTATAACGCTCTCTTCAGAGCGTACTAGAACAGCATTGCCTAGACGATGCAATAGGCCAACCCAAGTTTCCTTTTTCATCGTACGAACTGAGCGCATAAGTGAGGTCCCAAGATCGCCACTGTTGCACGGCAAAGATGCCGAGGGTATACGTTCATCCAATCCGGATTGCAATGCACGAACAAGCTCGCCAAACATTTGCTCGTCTGGCTGCATCCCCGCTTCACATAGGACGTCCAACGTGTGTAGTGCCAAGTGCATGGCTACATCTGGGTGGTAACGAGCACGAACTATCCATGTCAGAGCAGTAATTGCGGCCGCATAGACATCGTATGGTATAGGTTGGTGGGTATGAATTAGCTCAAGGGCCAATCGGGGATCACTTGATCTGCACAGAGCGACTGCAACTCGCTCGGTATAGTATTCTGGGTTTGTGGTATAAAGGCGAGAAAGAAAGGTAGGAATATGAGGTGTGACCTCACAAGATGCAAAACATTGAGAAAGGATTGCAGTTGTTGGTTGATTCTCTTCTCCAAAGGACGCTTGAAGTTCCACAGGGTCAATTCGACGAAGTAGTTCTTGTACCAATGCATACTTGATCGGAAGCCGGAGATACCAAGCTAGACGAACAGATTCAATGCCAAATGCAAGAGCTTTGTCGGCATCGGAAGAATTGGAGGCGGACGAATGCCAAGCCAATGTTTCGAGCAGCACAGCAGCAAAAGGTTGACCGGCAGCTACAGCATCCGCAGATCGACTTTCACTTTGCACATACGCATTTAATAGCGTTGGAATACACGAAAAGGCGCGCATATGTGCGAGCCGAAAAATCAAACGCCCAAGAAGATCACCATCCACCGCCGTAGCATCGTTACCAGCTCTAACGAGCCAGGGCACTTGAGCATCATACACTGCATGACGCTCCTTTTCTCCGAATTTTTTGTCGATCCTCTCGGCCCTTTTTAAGAGAAGATACAAGAAGCGTTGCCTCATCATAGGCCGAATTGATTTCGTAGGGAAATGGGCATCATGAAGTTCGACAAGCTCGCATAGTTGTACGCAGACCTGATCGAGACGATCGTAGAGATTGTGTGAAGGTATAGAGCTTGGTCCTTCCGCGATAAGTGACCAGAGTGAAATCCACAAGGGATAAGGTATAGACGACATGCGACGCATGAGCGCTAGTGCGGCTGTGATGTCGTGTCGTGCAATTGCATTGATCAATGCTTGGACTGAATGTGACAGAAAAGAGCCATGCACAGACTCAGGTGGTATAAATGGCTGCCAGTACCGAGTGAATGTAGCCTGTGGCGAAAGCGGCGCTTGTTGCGTGAGCCAACGAAGATTAGAAGACCATGCTGGCAACGATGGGGACGGTAAAGCAGCAGAGTATAGCCCTCTCCAGCCATACAGCTGAGTATATATGGGCCATGTATGCAATGTCCTGCCACGGCCTGGTCGGGCGTGTGGCCATCTACCAAGCGGACGAGCCATGCATCAATATACCTCACCAATATTTCCAAGTCTTCGTTCTAGCGGAGGCGCAAATGTCGTCGACCAGATATGGGTGCAATTCGTAATCATGAGTTGCGCCCACGTGAGAGAGGCGCGTCGCGACACGCGTTGCTTCTGGTTCGTTGACCATGAGCCATTTGGCACGAGCGCGAGCTCGTCGGACACCCTCTTTTGGCGGTTCTCAAGCTGTAGGAGGTACTAGCTACACCACCTCTCGTATTGTGACTCCTGCAGTGGAACTTTCGGAGGACCAGCGCCAGGAAATCCGGGAGGCATTTGACTTGTTTGATACAGACAAAGATGGGGCTATTGACTATCATGAACTGAAGGTAGCCATGCGTGCTCTTGGCTTTGACTTGAAGAAGTCAGAAGTACTCGATATCTTGCGGGACAACGACTCGACTGGAGCTGGTCTGATGGAATGGCCAGCGTTCAACCGAATTAGTACGTGTGAAATGTTGTTGTTGGCATTTAACAAAGTAGTGACGGAAAAAATCGCAGCAAGAGATCCAAGAGAAGAAATCCTGCGTGCTTTTGCTCTTTTTGACGAAGATAACACTGGCAAGATTAGCTTGCGAAACTTGAAGCGAGTAGCCAAAGAGCTGGGTGAGAACCTCGATGAGGAAGAGCTGTATGTGTTCAAACCTCATGTGTATGCTAACATATCTAGTCAAGCTATGATCGATGAATTTGATTTGGACCAGGATGGCGAAATCAGCGAACAAGAGTTCATGCAGATCATGATGGATGAGCCATAAATGTAGTTGCGACGTTGTTCATTAGTACACACCTCCATTGCCATCTACAGCGTGACCGAAGACCGTCGATGTTGCCCTGCGACGATGACAGTGGGGCGGAACCAGTATTACGAATTCTATCGCCAAAGCAGGTATGGCATTTATGTGCGTAGCTCACAGCATTAGCATTGGGATGCAGCTGACAGATGCGCTCGATGAGCTCATCCAGTCTGGCCATATCAATCCGATTTTGGCTATGAAGGTGCTTGAGCAGTTCGACAAGTCGATCTCCGAGACGCTCGCCAACAATGTGAAGTCGAAAGGAAATATCAAGGTACGTGTGTTTCGCGTATGACTGACATAATGTAGGGGCATTTGCACAACTACCGCCTTTGTGATGAGGTGTGGACCTTCATTATTAAGAATGCCATGTTCAAGCTGGACAATGGCGAGATGTTGTCGGTCGATAAGGCCAAAATTGTCGCCTGCAAGCTCGGTGAAAACAACAATCGTTAAAGTACAGTGCCCATGATGAAGGAAAAAAAAAAAGCATTACGAAAGAGCTTAAATGGAAAATATGGGTATGCTACTTGATGTATTATATAGATATAGCTGCTCGATCATGGCAATGTTGAGCCTTCACCTGATGTTAGATTCAATGCAGATCAGACATACTAGAAACCAGAGCAGATAAGAGAGCTGGATTCTCAACAAGGGCATTGGGCATGTTGGTGGTGTGTGGTGCCATTGGATTGGCCCGAATAGAGCCTAAAGAAGACATGGCAGCCACAGCGGCTGCAGCCGTTGCTGCAGGCGTGGTAGACGAGGACACAGACGAAACGGCCGGCATAGAAGTGGAAGGAGTACTCATCTTTTGTGAAACAGGTGCCGGAAAAGAGGCATTCAAAATAGGAGGTGTTGATGAGATGGTCTTGGGCGACGCGGCGGGGGCCGACGAAAGCGAAGAGGCCATCGCTGCATCGGAGGACAAACCATCTAAGCGAATGGTGGGCGACGACGGCGTCGTCGAAGGCACATGCATGGGAAGCAAGGGTGCAGATGGAAAGCCTGGCGTGGAACCGAGGGCCGTAGTGGATGGAACTGCTGCTGTAGCCGATGAGTTGGGGAGGGAAGGCATCAAAGGCGCAGTGGCCGGCGATGAAGCATGGAACGTGGGTATCAATGGCATGGAAACAGACATAGGCATATGATTGGAAGAAGATGTATGCTTTTCAGTCGCTGTTGGTATTGTCGGAAGAAGCGCGTTCACATTGCTGGACGGCAGTTGGACCGGTAGAGACGAAAGCGGGGGAGGTTGCGAGGCACTGCGACCCTCATGCGGTAACGAGGCCAGCACACTGGCCAGCCGACGATCAAAGTCTGGGGAGTCTTCGGCTTGGGGCAAGGATTCCATAGATTCTGCAGTTCGCTTCCGAGCATTCCTGCGGTGGACGCCAGGGCGGCTTCCGCCCCCGCTTCCGCGACTGGGGGGCACCTTGGACGGGTCGCCTGTCGCAGCCACCGTAATCACAGAGCCATCTTTCCCTTTCTTCCGCTTATTGGACAACGAGCGAGCGTACCGCAACCCACAAGCGTTACAGAGTGTTTTGTGCCCCGAAGGCCCTCGACGCCATTCAGGGCTGTCAGCCTTGCCGCAGCTTGTGCACGTCTTCACAGGACCTGCCATAGCGTGTACATTGCCAATAGGTACAGGTGCGACCATGCTAGGAGCAGGGATGTGAGACGTGGTGGGCGACGGCGTCATCAGTTTGTCCACCAATTTCACTGGCTGTGCAGAGGCTACCACGGGACCTGTCGCAATAGGAGCCTGTATGGATGTAGGTAGGGGTTGTTCCTTGGTAACTTCATAGCATACTAGTACAATGGAGCCACATGGAATGAGAATACTTGCCACAGAAAGTACATGAGAAGATGTGCGTAATGTATGCTGTGCGCGTAAGCGGCGTGTACAAGAAGTAGCACCTGCGAGTGATGCACCTTCCACGAGATGTGAAAAATCACTGACTTTGTAGGAGGATGTAGGCGGCCAACTGTACAAAATCTGGCGTGGCGTATCCGTCGACAAAATTTGGAATACGCGACGGACGGGTACAGAGGCCTCGGCTTTCCAGTAAGGGAACAAGGTAGACCAGAGCATCTTGATTTGGGCTGAGTCAAAGGCATGGCGTGATAAACCACATTCTAACGGCGGGTTGCTCACTGGGTGAAAAAAGCAGAGCGCCAAGCCCACGTCAGCCCAGCTGACGACGACGTCTGTGGTAGTAAAACAGATGGGGGCCGGGCTTCTTTCGGAGCTAGCCAACGCCTCTAGTGAGTAGATATTGCACCGAATCACACTCCCTGCAAACGCACGACGCTGAATCATCACACGCACATGCTCCTGCACACGCAGACGCTCCGCTGGGTCAACCAAGTCCAGAAGGGTTTTTTGGTGGAGAGCATCACGTTGAGGATTCAAGGCAGCCTGTGCGCGAGGGTCCACATATAAAAAGGCAAAATCGTTTTCTTTCTTGACAGAAGGGACACATAAGGCCCAAAAGCAGGTCACTGTAGGAGTGTCAAGACCGGTGTATACAGAGGGCTCAGGACTGGCCAGAGGTAAACCGTCCACCGATAATGGATAGGGACATGGGGGTATATCGGAAGAATCCTGTTTAGACGGACTATGCGATGCCATCTCTGAGGACAGACGTTCTAGGAGCAAGCGATCTGTCTCCCACCCCCCAACGTCCGTGAGCGATGATAGCCTGTATTCCCTTCGAACGACTAAATCGCAAAGCAACGCGTGTTAGGAAGATGACGTAAGAATTGTAAGCCCACCCTACGCGGCCAGGAGCGCGTTGGGAGGCTATACGCGCGCATTTCACGCGTGACCATGCGTATACCTATCTATACAAACAGCCGCCCCAGCTTGGATGGGCCTGCGAGACCGCCTGTTTTGGCAAGACTGGGTGAAGATGGGGAGCTTGTGCTGGTAGAGTTGCAAGGGTCCCTGGAAATGGATGGCTGTGACCCACGCGGCGGCGAAACGATTGGGATCTTGCAATTTCCCCCTGGGCGTGAGAATCATCCTGTATTGCAGATTTCACACCATCGCCTGGAAGGAACGATTGTATCACTACGGCGACCATGGGCCATCCTTGAGAAAAAAGCCGTACCTGTGCCTCCTGCCTCCCCCTTATCCGATGCAGAGACAGACCTTTCATCATCCCCGCCCAGAGCGACTTTCTCGCCCCCCGCCTCCCCTACAATGGCACGGAAGCGTGCACGATTCTCAGAGAAGGAGAATTATAGTGCCGAGCATGATACCTTGAAAACGCCGGCGCGGTCTAGCAAGGCGCCAACTATGCTAAGCAGCAGTCCTATGCCAGAACGATCGCTGCGGTACTCGGATGGCCACTTTGACTTTTCGTCTCCCAATGCCAAAGCGCCTGAAGCGAAACGTTTACCTACTTCTACCTCGTATTCGGTCGTGACTATCATCCGCAAAAAGATTTTGTTTTCAAAGCGACCAGAACCCATTGTAAAATTGGATGCATAAAGAGTGTTACATAGAGATGGAATACATGCATACCCACGCTGGCAGGTTTGTGCGCCTTACAATAATTCTACGCGGCGCTGTTCAAGCACCGCCCGAATGGCTCGATAGGGCAACAAGTGAATAGAACCAGGTAAGAGCGCCAGAGACTCGCCATCGGGTAAAACAATCGAGCCGCCATCATCGCGACAATATATGAAAACAGGACTGTCTAGTTGAGGTGACACAATCATGCTTCCCACATTCGACAAGGAGCCACCAGGTGGCGGGTCGTTCAACGAGCGCATCGGTTCAGGCAAGTATTGCAACACGGCATTTTGAAAATGATCAGACAAGAGCTGGTCGTAGCGTTTGACATAACCCAGCTCCATAGGGGATAGCCGCGTTTGCTCTGATCGATTCGTCACCAAGTGCGAAGCATATTTCTCCAGCTGAGGTCAGACGCGACATGATGCATCCCCACGTACCTTTTCTAGTCGTGTTCGCAAGAAACTCCGAAGGAGCCACTTGCTTCGTTCCGCATCTAATTGTACAAGGTTTAATCGGAAGTGCTCTTCCTCCGAGGTGGATGTATCAGACATCAAGGAGTCTAGAATAGATTGCTGCTGCTGGAGCTGGTCTAGCACAGTATCCACGATTTCCGCTGGCCATGGCTGGAGTTCAGGCGAGCCCCTTTCGTTAAGCCAAGCGTGAGATAATTGCACTATAGCAGGCCTCTCATCTGTGATACGAGTCACCGGCTCTTCCTTTACGGCCTGGCGTGTGACAATACGTTCGTCTTCATCCTCGCTAAGGGCATAGCGAGCATGTGACATGGATGGATCTGGGCCTAGTCGGAAAAAACGGAGGAGGACCGAAACAAATCCGGTCACCTCCACCTACCACCATCGCGATGAATGAACCGGTACCTGTTCTACCTCTAGGAGACATTTATTCGTCCCACACGATTTCGCATCAGACACCGCGTTATCTTGAGCTGGAGAACAACTTCGAAAAGAAGTTTAGCTCAAAGCCGCAATTTATTGCGCGCGCGCCCGGTCGTGTAAATATGATTGGAGAGTGCGTATGACGACAGCTTACCATCGACCAGGCATATCGACTATGTGGGCTACAGTGTGTTCCCCTTGGCTATTGAGCGCGATATCCTTATGGCGGTAACTTTTGAGCCTGGCAGTCACGACCTTGAGGTGCATCTCGAGAATGAGTCGAGCCGCTTTTCACGCTCTACATTCCACTGTGACTTGGCCAACCCAAATACCATTGAGTTGGTGCACAGCGGAAACACGCGCTGGGCAAATTACTTCAAGGTTGCTATGCGTGGTCTGAGTCACCATTTGCCATCGGACATTCTTTCCAAGGCATGTGGTGTTCTAAAGGTGCTGGTCACTAGTGATCTCCCACCGGAAAACGGTTTGAGCTCTAGTGCTGCGTTGACCATTTGCAGTATCATTGCTGTTGTGACAGCAATTGGTGCCCGGGAGCGTGTGTCGCGTGGTCTTTTGACAGACATCACCATTTCGAGTGAGCGTCTGGTCGGCGTCAATTCAGGCGGGTATGTATGCAGAAAAGCAAATCTTACAAGACAGTATGGACCAGGCTGCCTCCATGTTCGGTGTGAAGGGCTGTGCTGTGTCGATTGGCTTTGTTCCAGAGCTCAAGATTACGCCAATCCCCTTACCGGCCAGCGAGGACTATGTGTTCTTGGTCACCAACACGATGGTGGCTTCCGACAAGAAAGTAATGGGACCAGTTCAATACAACCTTCGTGTGGTTGAGACACAGTTGGCTGCTAGGGTCATGGAGAAGAAACTGAACATTGATGCGGAAATACCACAGCGTTTCCGTCATACGCTGCGAGCTGTCTCGGATACCTACTGGGAGACGTACCCAGAAAAGTTCGATGAAATGATTCAGCAGTTCGATGATGTGAAAGCCGCATTCGACGACTGTGGCTGGAAGGCTGCACGTATGCAGGCGATGTTGAATCTAGTCGAGCAGAATCTGCCACGTCGTGGCCTCACACGGGAGGAAGTGGAAGACTTGGTCGGTGTATATGGCGTCGACTTTGAGAAGAAGTTTTTGAAGAGGTTCCCTGTCAAGACGAACAAGTTCTACTTGCATGCCCGTGCGTTCCACGCCTACTCGGAGGCTCTGCGTGTCATCCAGTTCCGTACGATCTGTGAGCGTGCGAACGAGGCCATTCAGCGTGGCGAGGAGGTCGACGTTCACCGGATCTACCATCGTCTTGGTGCCATTATGAACGGCAGTCACGAAAGCTTGAGGGTATCATACGAGTGCAGTAGCCCTGAGCTCAACATGGTCGTGCATCTGGCGCGCCAGAACGGTGCCTTGGGCTCCCGTCTGACAGGTGCTGGCTGGGGTGGTTGTGCAGTGAGCTTGGTCCCCAAAGCCAAGGAACAGGCTGTAATTTCCGCCGTGCGTCACACCTACTTTGGCCAGCGCTTTGGCTACCTGACCCCAGCGGAGTTGGATGCGAACATGTTTACCACTCACCCATCTCAGGGCGCGTGTATCATTATGACATCTCCTAAGTAGACATGAAAGAACATCGCACTCTCTTGATCTTATAATGTGGCCAGACTCTCTACACAGCCATAAATGTCACCCCAAAAAAATACATATGGATAGTCGTCAACGCATGGGAGTAGCACTGCCTTGCGAGCTACGTGGTGTATCCAGGAGCCAGCTATTGAAAACCAAACAATATGTAATCATGACCGGGCTGTATCGTCAACCAGTTCACGGATGTTGACATATGAGATCATCTTTTATGACGCCTAATATGATAGGGTTGCATAACGTTAATAAAACCTTCTTGATGTATTAGTCAGATTGTGGCAGTGACGAGATCTTATCCAACCAACCTGGGTAAGGTGACTAAAAAATCATTACAAAATGCGGGGTTGACGCTGCCGGATGTGGGGCAATTGAGATAATCACCGAGATGCAATGTGGTCATCTGCGCATGTATATCAGGTCATAATTGTCCGCCGCCCCCCTTCTTTTGCTTCTCTTCGTGTATCACTATGGCAGCGAAACCCACAGATATTCCTGCTCCTCGAAAGAGTGACCCCCTCGATACTCAATTTTCTGCAAACAGCATTGCCCGCTCTCCGTTGGCAGCACAGGCTAGTTCGTCGTGGTATACCACAACGCCTCCTGTGTTGCCGGCATCAGGCTTGATGGGATCTCGACCACATAGTATCAACGCCACAATGCCAGTGGATATGCTATACCGTTCAAACTCACTTTCTATGAAGAATTCTATGAATACGGATACGCCGTTTACGTCTCTGTATCGACGTGTCAGTGCATCACATCGATCCTCACAATCGAAGCCGATCACGGGCCGCCCACGTACTACCTCAGAATCCATGGGACTTAGCACCAGTCTGGGCAGCTCAGCCTCATCGGAGGTGGGGCTACCCACGACGCCGAATGGCCCTGTGGAAGCGTCGCCATCTCAACGCTATGCGGAGCGCATGGACTTTGTGGACGCGGACGGCACGTGGCCTCAACACCTCTCAGGCACTGAAAAGATGCCAAAATCGTTCATGGAAGAGGAAGCTCCCATCAAAAAACCAGAGCCTCGGCCATGGCCACCCCCTTATCGGGTACCAAGCCCGGCTAGTGAACGAATGATTATGGACCACCTCTCGCCCCTTTAAAAAAAAGCCCCTGCCCCTTCCCACCGCTACCATGACTTCTTCTGGACCAAAACATACAGCCCTTCTGTATTGAAACGAATGTAACACCACTACATGAAATCCACTATGATTTATCCGTACGTGGATGTGGTAGTCGTCATAGAATCATCCGGCCCAGGCGCCGCCGCCACAGCCGCAGCGGGCGTCGTGGAACCTGTAGTCGCTGCTTCCACGGCGGCTAAACGTGCTTGCACAATGCGATATTCTGCTTCCACACGCTCTAGTTGTTTCTTCATTTCCAGGCTGCCCGCCACAGCGCCTAGGAGCGTCTCCCATTTCTCGACATTGGTCGCCGTGGGGTACACCAAACGTGGCCCAATCGGAGGATGTAGCTCCGCCAAGGCCTGCATGACCTTCGTGTACTGATTGGGCCGAAATGTGAGGGCGCGCGTAGATCGCAAATAGGCGCCGTGGTGACTAGTACTCTCTCCTTTGGTGGCACCAGCAGCAGGAGCCACGGGGGGGAGAACAGACGGTGTACCAATCAAGTTGGGATACGGTGTACGGAGGACACTGGGCGCTGTCGTAGGGAAGCGCGAGATGAAATGCTGTGCGTCGAATAGAAGTTGTTTAGGGTCGACTTTCCCTTTGGCAGCAGGAACAGCGGCATCGGTCTTGCGGCGCTTCTGCTTTCGTGCATCATCGCTGGCGGAATCAGCTGCAGTATGAGGCGGCCAAATCAAACCGGCGCCCACGGCCGATACAGTGGTCGAGGTATAAGAAGGAAGACCTTCCCAGCCACCCAAGAGCCGTAGTAAGTCGTCCCGTTCTTTGGCAAATTTGGTCTCATTCTGCTCGAGACGACGTGCTTCCACGTACAAGGCCTCTTCTTCGGCCAGTTGCTCAGGTGTACGTGAAAACAATTTCTGTACAGCTGCTTTGCGTTCCGTCTCTTGCTGTCGGTCGTACGCATAGGTCTGTAGTTGTGCCTGCCGAGTCTCAATGTCTTCGTCACTAATGCGCTCGCGGAGCAGCCGACGACAGATGGTATAATACCGTGACTTGAGGTCCTCAATGCTGCGCTGCTTACCTGGCCATTCATAGCGGTCTGCAATCACAATGAAGCGCAGATCATAGGTGTCGCACATCTCAACCAAGTAGTCTGTTTCTTCACGTGTCCAATCGTCGTCTTTCAAATGCTGGGTATATTCCTCGGTGGTGTATTGAATAACATTGGAAGTCGTATTAAAGGGCGTCCATGAATCGTCCAAAGGCACATCCACAGAATCTCCTTCGTCCATGCCTGTCGAGGCCAGTGGCTTCCAGTGATGGAGAATGAGTCCCTTGGGGGCGGGTGACGTCATGGGAGCCTCGAGATCGGTCGAACCGAGAGACGTAGGTGTATCGCTCCGCGAGGGGTTGCGAAACGGCGTCCACATCCACTTACGCACGACACCCGCATTCGACTTGCGTTGGAACTTCGGTCGGAAGGCTCGCTGCAGACCTGCTGCCTCGTTGGCCCCGTGAGCTGCGGCCCCATTCGCCATGACGAGGCTCGGCGCGTTGGGGCCTAACAAAGAATAAAGTTCACGAGACATGCCCTCCGGGCGCTGCTTCGGCCGCGCATCGCCAGGGAGAACAGGAGGCGCACGTACCTGGGCACGACTTGGACCTGCCTCTGCATTTGTGCGGTTGGGAAGCGATAAGATATCGCGCACGTCGCTGGAGCTCATGCTGCCCAGCTTCTAGGGTACGTGAAATAGGCAAACGACGAGACCAGCGGCACGGTGAAAATCACGTGCCGTGTTGCGCGCGGCGGCGTAGCGGGCGTGGCCTGGGTGGGGTGAGTGTCAGGAGAGGTGAACGGGCCTCCTACCCAACGCCCCAATGAGCCGAACATGGACGACGGAAGAATTCTTCCGTACATACCCAGAGCCTGCGACGCTTGCTGAGCAAACGAAGAAGGTGGAAGAGTTTGTTCAGCGCCATAATGCACAAGGCCGCAACGTGGCCTTAGTCACGGTACGTACCGCATGCCTACCTAACGCCGACAGAGTGGTGGTACTACAGTGCCGTTGGAGAAAAATGTGGTACGATTTCTCGACAACTTCTCTGCTGGTACGCGAGGCGCTGCCTCGGCAGAGTACTTCATCAAGCATGGCTATGCGGTGATTTTCTTATCTCGGCAGCACAGTCAGTTCCCCTTTACGCGCTGGTACAGTCATACGACGAACCCCCTCTTTGATTTGTTGGAGGAGCCCAGCCCTGAAGACGATACAGTCCATGTGTGCAGGGATAAGGAGAGTGAACTCCTTCCAATCTTACACGCGTACAATGAAGCCCAACGGCAGGGCCAGCTACTTACTGTGCCTTTTGTGACAGTGACAGAGTATCTCTTCCTCTTGCGCAATGTATCGCTGGCAATGAAGCCACTGGGCCGACGTGCTATGTTGTACTTGGCCGCGGCGGTGAGTGACTTTTTCATGCCGATGGACCGTATCTCTGAGCACAAAATCCAATCCAGAGATGGCGCACTCACATTGGTATTGGAGCAAGTCCCGAAGGTGCTCGGCACGTTGGTGAAGGAGTGGGTGCCAGAGGCCTATGTGGTAAGCTTCAAGCTGGAGACAGAAGACCGGCTTCTCATTCCCAAGGCCGAAAAGTCTCTGCGCAGCTACGGTCATCAGCTCGTCATTGGCAACCAACTGCATCGTCGCAAATTTGAGGTCGTGCTGGTAGAGCAGAAGCCTTCCTCCGGTTCTACCGAGAAGGAATTTACAAATACATGGATCCAGCTTCCGCATACCAACGGTACGCCAGAACATGAGATTGAAAGCGACATTGTTACAGCCCTCGCGACTCGGCAGGACGCATGGAAACAGGCGCCATAGATTCGTTCGCATGTACTACTACAATTATGATTGGTATCTAGGAGGAGGACGGCGTGGCTGGCGTGGACGGAAAGACGTGCGAGACAGTGTCGACACTGAGAGTAAGTGCGATGAATACATACCCATACGAGCGCGTTAAGAGCTGGTCCAAGGTCTCGCGACAGCTCTGCGACAGCGCCTCTTCTTCCTTTTGTAGTTCTTGGATCGACTGCTGCCATTGATCGCGAACTTGCAGCAGGTACCGCAACTTGGCTTTGGCAATTAAATAGGCTTTGGTCGGCGATGTACTCGATTCGGGCTCTGTATCAGACTCTGCCCCTGCATCCGAAGGCACAGCAGAGTTCGCATACGCCTGCAATTGCTCCAAATCGGCCATTTCCTGGACAGGCAGGAGCATCCGGGTCTGCTCTGCGGCGCGCTGGGCGAGAAGAAGATGCGAAGCCTCGGCTTCCGAGGCACGTCGTTCCCCCTCGACAAGGTCCAGTATCTCGTCATTGATACCATCGCGGGATTCGTCCGCATCTGCACCTCCCATCGACGCACGCGGCTGACCTGTAGGGGGCGTATTGTGCTGCACACGCATATGTTTTGCCAATGCGTCGGAACGCGTAAACGACTTATCACATTCAGGGCGTGGACACGTAAAAGGCTTCTCACCAGTGTGGCTGCGCAAGTGACTCAGAAGAGCAAAGCGGGATGTTTGGCTCTTGCCTTTGCGTGGACACCCGGTCCATTCACAAGCATAGCGTGATTTGTGAATACCAATATGGACTGCCAGTGAGTAGTCGTAGGCAACGTACATGAATGCAAGTGAGCAATGAAAGGCTGCAGATCCGTAAAGGTCTCACCACAGTCTTCCCACATGCACTTGACCTCCGGCGCCGGCTCCGGCGAGCCTTCCGGAGAGCGTGCTTGGGACGATTTCTCATCCGCTTCGCCCTCCGTCTCAGACTCAGACTCGGACGTGGAGATGTCGTCCAACTCGGCCCATTTGGACGTGGTGGTGGGTGACGCCTGGGCTAGTGAGGGGACGGGCGGCGCCGCCATATCCTCTTCGGCAAAACGCGACATGGACGCCACGATGAAAAGGGCAAGCTGTGACAGGAAACGCTCTCAGCGCGTAGGTACGCAGACACGCCGACCGTCGTACGAGGGAGTTTCTGACGTAAGCCACGTTGGCTCCTAGCGTCCATGCCACCGATTGGACATCCACTACGTGCTCGGGCCATTGGCCTGTACAAAGAGGTAGGGACAGTCGGCACGAGCTCACAGCAAGCTTCACCGCCTGGGGCGGGAGTACCCTGATCCGAACTACAACTTTATTCCGAAGCTCCGTGCGATGTTTCGTAAAAATGCTCACCTCACCGACCCGAAGGAGGTAGAGAGTAAGTTGGCCCTCGCCGAGTTTGTGAAGAAAGGTACGTCAGCCTGTGTGGCTCACATGTAGAAACGGAGAGTACGTCTCAAGCCCGCTCACCCACATCAGCTCTGTACAAATTGAAAAAGTATAGAACACTTCGTCGGCGGTACGTGTATAGGCAGGCCGACTTACATCCAAGCTATATAGAAGACACGTAGTATGTACCTATAGAATCTACAGCTTCGGGTTGAACTGAAGAACTTGGCCACCATCCAGAGGGATTGCAGTGCCAGTGACATGGCTGCCGGCACGGCTGGCCAGGAACAGCAGCATACCGCCAATGTCCTCTGGTGTGCCAAGACGACCGGTCGGCTGCACGCCTTCCAAAATCTCCTTGTTCGCGTCCAAACTCCATGCTGTCATGCGGCTGGGGAACACACCAGGGCAAATGGCATTCACCAGCACATACTTGTCCGCCAAGTCAATGGCCATCATGCGCGAAAGATGCACCGAGGCAGCCTTGGAGGGCTGGTAACTGTACGTGCCATTGCCAGGCTCCGAAAGCGCGCCAGAAGCGTTGGGCATAAACGCCGCGACCGATGCAATGTTAACAACCGTCGCGTGCTTTGTGTTGGACTTGTTCTTTTCCAAAAGGGGAAGGAGGGCCACGGTCAAGTAGAATTGACTCTTGACGTTCAGGTGGAAGACCTTGTCCCATCCCTTGGCCTCCGGGAAGTCCTCACGTTGACCGCCCCACGTCAGGCCAGAGTTGTTAACGAGAATATCGATCTCCGACTCGTGCTTCTTGATTTCGTCAGCCAAAGCATCGCAGCCGGCCTTCGAAGCAAGGTCCGCTTGAATGGGGATGCAAGCGGTGCCAGCAGGGAAAGGACTTTTGCTGGGCGCCATCTTATTCATCATCTGGGCTGCCCTCTCAAGCTCGTCCATTTTCCTCGACGCGATGTACACTGGGTGGTAAGCGTGCTTCGTGCGTACCTCGTACACCATTCTGCACTAGGGCTGAGGCCATCACTGGTAAAGCGTTAAACAGGAAAGATATACATACTCTTGCCTAGACCCGAGGCACCACCTGTGACGACGGCGATCTTCTGTGAGTGTGTCTATTTTTCACTTACCTTTCCACGCACATCAAACAAGGTGCTCGCCAGCATGACTGGCATCGATTCAGGGGCAGCGTCTTTCGGCATGATAGTTCTCCAGGAAGCACCGGAGACTTCAGCAGAGTGGAGGCGGTCGGGCACTTACGCCCCGCGTGAAACCACCAAGAAGCCCAGCCGGTGGGGCGTCGGTTCTCCTCCACATATGAGCATCCCTGATTATTACAGCGTACGTCGTCGCACGCACAGACGACACTCACCCGCCACAGATCCTGGGTGTGAGCCCGACAGCCAGTGCCGAAGAAATTAAAAAGGCGTACCAAAGGGAATCGCTCAAATGCCATCCTGATCGATTTCCCAATGCGACTCGCGAGGAAACGCAGGCACATACACAACGCTTCCAAAGCGTCGCAGATGCATGTACGTCGAAAACACACTCACCAAAGACTATATTCTGTCAGACAAGAGTCGGCGCGCAGAATATGACGCATTGCGGCCTACGTCCACGCCGCAACCTGGCCGGGACGATGCGAATACACAAAGTGACAGTGCACGATTTTTCCGCTCGCATCAGCGACACCAGCCAGAAGCAGAGCATATGTTTGCGGATGTGTGGGCAGAACTGCTGCGGCCTGAAGTCGACCGTCATGGTATGTATTGGATGCACTGACATAGTAGTGCCTATTTGGAAGACAGCTGGAACAGTGTCAGGTGCGATGCTAGGCTATATCGTGGGAAACATTCCAGGAGGTACGTTTACAACTATGAAAACAGGAAACTCACACCATCTCAGCACTGGGAGGTGCCATGCTGGGCAATCGGTTGGGTGCTGTGCGTGACGCAAAGGGCCGTGCTGTGAGCGAGGTATTTTTGTCGTTGCCAGGCCGTGAACGTGCTGAGATTCTGCGCACGTTGGCCGTGAAAATCTTGGGCTCCTTGTAAAGAAGCACCACATTACGAGCGGAAACTGGGGAGGCGCACTGTCCAGTTCGCTGGTGATACAAGACGGTCACGGAGGAAACGCCGGATGCGACTGAGTATCAATTCTTCCACTTTAGGGATATCATACAGCTTGCTCTTGGATCCCATCACACTCGACATATGCATATCTAGCTGAAAGTCAGGGTACAGGGAGAATCGGGCTTCGATCAAGGGAGGTCCGTCGTCGTGCGCAGGTGACCCAATTTCGATTGCAAGTGTACCTGCGATACGTTCGATGCGGAGGCACAAGGCAACGGCCAATGATCCAAATCGCCGTTGAGGCACATTGAGCCATAGCCGCGTGTCGAGGCCAATAGTCAATAGATCCATATAATGCACATCCATTTCAATTCGCAAGGCAGAGGCATCCAGCGAAGGACGTACGCGTGCGTTCGAGAAGGTAGGGTACCCCCGCCCCATATCGATATCCGTGACAGTGACATCACCCAGGATGTCCATCGTACGACCGACCAAGGCCGCATTCAGGGCGTCTTCAAGTACGCGTTTGGCGAGGGCTTTTTCGGCAGTTCGCAGCGAGGGCAGGGGGACATCACCAAAGTCTCCACGGTCAGTATCCTTGTCCGGGATATGTTGTGCGACAGACAAAATGCTGCGACGGTATTGCAATAGGAGCTCGGCAACAAGGATGTTGAACCAATCCAAGGACTCGGGGACCGCTGTAGGCAGATCGTACCCTGTCTGCTCTAGTAAATCTGCTAGGCAAGCGTCCATTCCCTGCTCGTAGGGCACACGAGAGAGAGGCGGCGGCACACACCGTGCATCCAACGATGCTTGCAAGGCACGTGTTCGTTCCTGAAGCTCGGCTTTTTCGCGTTCCAACGCCTGCGGGGTCTTAGCAATGAACAGGTACCGGAAGAGTGCTAGAAAGAGTGCTAGGAGAACAGCTTGACCCGCAACAAACCCTTGTACAAAGGACAAAGAAGGCGCGGGAAAGAGGGAAGACGTTGCAAACACCGACATCGCCCACACGCTCTGCCAGCCAGCCAGCCCAAGCAAGCAGCAGCAGTCCGCACAAAGGTGGAGGAGAAAGAGAGGAAATCCAACGAAGGCGCGTGGCCCCGCCTCGGTTGGTCAGCAGCCGCGCACTGCGTACGTGCCTTGCAACGCGCCGCGGCCTCCACGCGTTGACGTCGTCGCGGTTGTAGTTGCATGGTATGAGCGACGTAGATGCGTCAAGCTCCGTCCATGATGAGCCCGTGCTGGTAGATGTGCCAGGCGCACGTACAGACTTAGGCCTAGCACATCATCATGATACGCCTGATACAGGCTCTCCGGCCCCCACAGAGGCGTCAGTGCCCAATGTCACCATCCCTTCACACCGTTTGCCCCCGGGGTTTCGTGGGCCTATACCTCGCGCACATGATGCCGAAGACATTGCCCCTGTGCCTGTATGGACGCCATGCACATCAGAGACACTGCCTGATGGATTGGGCTTGACTCCGCATTTGCCTATGAACAAAGGTGGCTGGCGATACATGGCGGCTGGGCCGTCAGCGCACACGTTGCCGTGGACCGTGTATCGTAGTCTTGAAATCGCCCCGGAAGGCGTGCACTGGTCGTGGCAGGATCGCAGTGCATTTACGCGTATCAGCCAAGACGCGATGGTGGTAGGAGCAGACAAGGGATTTCGCTCTGTACGGACGAATCTCGGTGTTCGAGAAGGTGCATGGTACGTCGAACTAGACGTTCTGCCACCCGATGCGTCCAGTATGCCTACGAAGCCTATGCGTGATGGGCCTCATGTACGCCTTGGATGGGGCCGTCGTGAAGCGTCGCTCAATGCGCCCGTAGGCTGGGATGCCTACAGCTACGGCCTTCGTGATCAAAATGGCGCGTGTGTATCCAAATCACACCTGGTCCCTCTGGGCCGTCCTTTTGGGCCTGGAGATGTGGTGGGTATGTACATCCGTCTACCGCCTGTGGATGCAGCGCGGGCGCCAGGAACAGAGTCGCGCATCCAGCAAAAACGGATCCCTATCAGATACAAGGGCCAGCTGTACTTTGAAAGCTTAGAGTATGCACCGACGCGCGAAATGCTGGCTTTGATGGATGAGCAGCGAGGCAGTGGGTCTGTGTGGACCTCGACAACTACGTCGCAAGCTGATGAAAAACGACCTCGTGGACGTTCTGCGCCCTCGTCACACGAGCGACAGCAGCCAACATTGCGGCCCCTTCCTACGCTTGAAGATAGCTGCATTGGGTTTGTTGTGAATGGCGAACCACAGGGTATGGCCTTTACAGAGCTGTACGACTATCGTCCGCTCCTTCCCAAACCAAAAAAGCGGCGGCACCCCAGTGAGATAACGGCGCATACCAACATTAGTGCGATATTGAAGAGCCGTGAAAACGAGCTGGACGATGGTATGTTGGGCTACTATGTCATGGCGTCTATGTACGGCGGTGCACGAGTGCGTCTTCGTACAGACGAATTCCGATACCCGCCGCCCGCCGATTTGGAGGACCAGTTATGGCGCGCTGGCTGCCCGTCCGGGGTCTCTGCGCAGCGACAAACAGCCGCGCCCCCTTGGAAACCGCTCGCAGCACGGTACCAGCAAGCACTTGACGAAGCTCGACACTTGGACCTCGCTGAAGAAGCCAGTGTGGCCGCCAAGCTGGATACTGGCGAGGCTAAAGCTGAGAGCCACGAGGCGAACGTACGTACAGTCTAAATAGACACGACTATATTACTTGACTTTGTCGTCAATCACAATGTTTTTCTCCACCAGGCCACCGTCCGCTTCGCTTGGCATCGTGTCAAATGGCTTCGCACGCTGGATCAACATAGTCTTTAGGTCGTCCACGACATCGCCCTGAATATGAATTTCATCCACACCGGGGTGCTGTGTGCTTTGCGTCACCGAGGCACCGGTAGCGAAACGCGAGCTTAGTCTGGCGGTCAGTACAGTAATATACATACCCCTTGGCAATCACCTTGAGCGCAGGCAAGGGAGGCGAAAACTGATGCAAGCCATGAATAGACGTAATGACCTTGCGCTTCGTGCGCGACACACGCGACAGCACGACTTTGGACGCAGCGAGCTGGGCACGCTCCTTCTCCGCTTTTGCTTGGGCCTTCCGTTCCTTCTTTGCACTCTCTCGCTCTAGCGACTCGGCCTGCTCGGTTGTGAGCGACTTGAGCTTATCCTCCAGTGCCTCGTCCGAGTACAGCTTGGCAAACAAAGCCGGGTCTTTAGCCTCTAAATTCGCCTTGCAACGCGACAGAGAAGAGCCGTATTCACAATACTCATAGGGAAACGTGCAAATCTCGCAATACCGCAGCTCGCGCGCAGGGAAGCGATCCTCACCCGCGGCCGCAGGGGCCATCACGTCAACGCTCATTGTCGTAAGGACGAAAGAGCGTATACGACATGCCACGTGACTATACTCACAACTACGGACGTGCTAATCGGTGCAACTCGGCTATCGTCGTGCGGAACAAGTCCACATTGTAATCCTAGCGTGTGAGAAGGGCGTGAAATACGTACCAGAATACTCGTATTTGTGGACTGGATGTCGGATTGTATGACGGCAAGAAGAGCGAGATGACTGATATAAGCACACAAGAAAACATACCTGTCGAGCTGCCAAAAGGCCACAGTGGTATCATTCCCCAGTCGCACGATACTGGAAGACCATACACGGGTATATTCGTCCTTCTTTTCCACCATCGAGTCGATATCACGCAAGTGAGAGTACAAGTCAGAAAACTGACGTAAAAACTGAATATACTGGAACATCACATCAAAGAGCGCCAAATCAAATGGGGACGTATCGCATCCAACAAAGGTGCAGCTCGGCACATCAAAAATATATGCCTTCTCAAAGTAGCAAGAGGTACATAGCAAATTACAGGCAGTTTCCAGTGCCTCCATAAGGCTGACCATACGTGGAGGCTTGGGCGGCAGCATCTTACCCGGCGACGATGGCATTGCTGTAACAGCCGATGCTGAATCCATAGACTCTAGCGCCTGGTTCTCCTGGGGGCCCTGCATAAGCTGATGTTGAATCCGTGAAAAGGCAATAAACACACTCGTATCAAAAACGGACGTAAGATGGAACTTAAGAGTGACCTGTTGGTCCAACTGCACAGGCTCATCATTTGGACCGGAAAACTCATGCGAGGAATCAATCAGACCTTCAGTGACGCGCTGTTCAATATCACGCTGTGTATCGTATCGATAATCTTCACTGAGGCCATCCGCCTTATTAATAAAAACGTGGAAATGAACCGACTTGTTGTGTGTATAAGCATGAACAATGACCTGGTTCAGTTTGCTCAGCGCTTCAAAATAGTCGTCCTGCGCATCTAGCACAAATATAATCGCATTGACTTCGGCCCACGCAAAGTCCATATTCGGAGTGGCAAAGATAGGTGGTGGGTGATGTTGATCACTCGATGAGAAACTCATAAGCGCACTACCAGGTACGTCCCATAGTTGTATATTTTGAAATGTATTTGCATCCAATTTTTGCGTACGCATAGTGGGGGCGAGGAAGAGGGTATCGTTAGGCTGGTATGACTCGTACACGACTTTGCACAAGCTTGACTTGCCAGCACGACGTGGTCCTACCAGAAGGACATTGTGTGGAACATGCACTTTGTTGTTTCCGTCATCAATGGGTGGATCCCGAGATAAGCTGGAGGCGAGTACGTCCTCCATATAAGGTGACGGATCCCTAGCGCTGTTGTGATGTCAGAACGGAAGGCTATAAAGAGTGATTTCGGACAGATGGCCGTTTAGTCAGCATCGCCCTGGCAGGGTCAAATGCCATCCCCCTCCGCGCTTCCCAGAGGCAGCGCGGGGGACCGGCCAACATGCTTGCGCTGGCACAAGAAGAGAAAGTATTCGAAGGCTACGAGCCTCATTCTACAAGCCTAAAAAGGCAGAAGTGTTTGGGACCTGGCAAGCGCCGTCCACGTCCATGTGCCGATCACTACACGCGCACGGGGCACGACAAGCTTATCCGCGCGTCCCTCGATGTGGGTATATTTGCAATTTCCAAAAGTAGGCGACCGCTCACAAATCGGTCCAGCTAGACCCTTGTTGCATTCTGTCACTGCATCAAGATGGCAACACGGAAAAAGGTGCTTCTCAAGGTGATTATCCTGGGTGATTCAGGTGTCGGTAAGACGTCTTTGATGAACCAATATGTGAATAAGCGATTTTCGGCTGCGTACAAAGCTACGATTGGCGCCGATTTCTTGACGCGTGAAGTGGTGGTCGATGGTCGTCTCGTCACAATGCAGCTGTGGGATACCGCGGGCCAGGAGCGCTTCCAGTCTTTGGGTGTGGCATTCTACCGAGGTGCAGACTGCTGTGTGTTAGTGTATGATGTCAACAATCCCAAAAGCTTTGAGACGCTAGACAGCTGGCGCGATGAGTTCCTTATCCAGGCGAGTCCTCACGATCCGGACAATTTCCCCTTTGTGGTGCTCGGCAACAAGATTGACGTGGAAGAGAGTAAGAGGGTGGTATCTCAAAAGCGCGCCATGTCTTGGTGCCAGAGCAAAGGCAATATCCCGTACTTTGAGACCTCCGCCAAGGAGGCCATCAACGTTGAGCAGGCGTTCCAAACGATTGCCAAGAATGCGTTGCAACAGGAAGCGGAAGCCGAACTGTATGCAGACTACCCTGACCCCATCCGGATCGATGCCGCCAACCCGCGTTCGTCGGGCTGCAACTGCTAACCTGAACATACCGTATAGATTCTAATGCTCATTGTTTCTGAATATAGTAGATTCGTGTGATCTATCGAGATATGATGACATTTACAGGCCAGCCGCCTTCTTCACTTCGTCGGCAAACGACGGCTTGTCGTCCACAGGCGCGGCTGTCTCGCCGACTTCCCAGCGACGGAGGGCCGCCACGTGAATGCCGTCAGGGGAGCCAGCAAAGGTCTGCGACCAGGTCGTAAGTACGTCCTGGACAGGCTGCTCGTTGGACTGCATATCCAAGCCAGCCGCGGGCAAGAGCATCGCGAATGGTTGGGCCAATAACGCCGTGCTTAGCTCGCCTGTATTGTCTGCTGGTGCATCAGCAGCAGAAATGGAATGCGTTGGGAAGCCAGCTGCCTGACGAGCTAGAGAACGAGCTAGGGCGCGAGACGACGCCATGAGTGGGTCAGACGCCGAGGCGGTACGCGCCGCCAGCGCTGCCACAGGCCCATGAGTCTGAAGGGCGAGCAAACTGGCCACACGTCCACTAGCAAAGGTGGCCTGTACAGGCGCATCGACGGCAGGCGGGGCCGCCGCCGTGCCATGCGCAAACGAGCCGGTGAGCCACGTAGACGAAGGGTCCACAGGGCCCAGAGACGTGGCGCGTGTCAGCGCAATCTTTTCGCCCAGACGAGCTACGACCGCAGTGATGGCGGTGCGCACCGTTTGAACCTCCTCGTTGGCCTCGCCATCAAAGCGCATCACCGGACAGTCGAGCAATGTATTCACGTCCAAGTCGGTCATGAGAGACGACGTAGCGTTTTCTGCGATCAGAGGATACCAAGCTGCGGTATGAGCGATATCGCGTGCTAGGGCGCCAAACATTTCGTTGCGTGCCACAAAGTCCGTCTCGCAGTTGATCTCAATGATGGCCGAGCGAGCTGCAGCGCCTTGCAAGCCGTCCGAGAGAGTGCAGATACCAATTACACCTTCGGCGGTGACGCGCGATGCCACCTTGGCTTCACGCTTTGCTCCTTCTGCTGCGCGGTTCTGATCAAGCCATGCGACAGCCGCCTCGACATTGTCGGTATCGAGAGCGTCTGCCGATCGCGAGGCCACCAGTGCCTCACGTGCCTTGAGCATGGAGGTGCCTGGCACTGCTTTGCGCAGCTCGGCGATCGCCTGGATGGAGGGACGTTTGGGCTCATGAACACGGGCCGAAGTAGCTAGGCGACGCAGCCCGGCCGCGCGGAGCAACGGTACGCGAGCAGCCCACATAGAAGACAGACGCCTGGGCGAGAGAGTGCCTGCCTGCGCACGCCCCTTCCACCACGACAGTATCACGTGATGTTCGCGGCTGGGTGGGAGGAAGCGGCGCGTCGTTCGCTGCCAGTGCCACGACCCTGTAGTAGTAGCGCCGCCGTGATGAACGACGCAGCGCATGTGCTGCCGCGTCTCGGTGAAGCGCAGAAGCTGATATCGAAATGGTGTCAGCCCGGGGCGTTGATGCTCCCCGACATCAAGGCGCGACTTCGTACGTGGCCAAGAGACTGACCCCATAGCACCGCGTGATGCGCCGTATGAAGAGCATACGCAGCCAGACGATGCGTGGACCGGCTTCCGGATCCAGCGCCGTCTTCCGATCCCGAGCATGGTCTTTGATACGATCACGAGCCGCGCGCCTACTGCGACGCTAGCGCTATTCCCGGTGATTGGACGTGCGTGCATTACGGTGGAGCACCGACTGTACTTGTGGGACTATGCGAATGGGTATGTCCAGAGTGGCTAACAGTAGACAAAGTGCGTTTGAGTATTATGAACTGCCCTCCGACGAGATTGTTCTCTCCGTTGGTTTGGTGCGGGCCCGTCCAGGTGTCTTTATTGATGCCATTCAGCATGTGCTGGTGCTCTCGACGGGCCCCAGTGCCACGGAAGGACGGCGTGTAACGTTGCTGGGCGTGGAGGTGCTGGCCAAACCAGACAAGGGCGGCGCTGGCATCAAGCTGTACGAGACGGGGATGAACGCCTCGACCAATGGTGTGGTGATGCGCGATCTACAAGCCACAGACGATGGCCGCGTCTTTGGTATCGGCAGCGACCACTGTGTGCATGAGCTGGTATACCAAGCCACTGAGTCATGGTTCCGTGCGCGGTGCTACTTGTACAATGTCACGCAGCCACACCTCGCGAACCTTCTTCCTTCCTTCTTCAAGAGCGAGAAGAAGATCCGGCATATGACCGTCGACAGTGCTCGACAGCTGCTCTATGTACTGCGCGATGGCGATCAAATCGATGTGTACGCCTTGCCATCGCGTGATGCCTCGCGGGCGCCTACGCACACGGGCAGCATGTATGGCGTGGCGCGGCAGGCAGGGCTGCTCCATTCACAGCAGGATGTCGGCCCCATTGTGTGGATCTCTCCGACCGAGCTCGATCCACGATCGCCTGTGGTGCTTGTGGCTGTGACAGAGCGTGGCTACCGTATCTACTTTGATGATTTCCAGCGCCGCTCGTGGGCCCAACTGGCTGTTCGTGCCCCGCCTGGTCAGCCACGGATGACGACGCCGCCGTCGGCGATGGGTCTGCTGTCCCATGGCATGGCGCCCGGCGTGGCGGATGCAGCAGCTACGACGCCATCCCAACGTCGCGCTACGGCCGCATTGTACGCACGCGGCACGTTCTTGTGTGCGTTTTCTGCGAACGATACATCTTCGAGTTTGTACGCTGTTCATCCATCGTCGCCAGCGACTAGTGCCATGCTGACCTATGCTACCGGCAATGGTCATGCCTGGCAGGAAAGTGCGACGTGCCTCTCGCTGGGCCGAGGCGGTAGCGCGCCTGTGCTCGCTGAAGCGCCCCCTGCGTCGCCCCAAGCTGGTGCGCCGCTTCGGCCATGTGCCGCCCAAACCGTGGTGCCTGCGCGTGTCTTCTTGGTGCTGGATTCCCATGGTCTCACTGAGCTGGTGGAACGGCGTCCTGCGGACATTATGCGCAGCTTGCTGGGCCAGGCCGGCACGGCTAGTGGCGGAAGTGTCAGCAGTGCACAGGCCATGGCAGCGGCGCCAGCGATGGTCGACTTTTTCTCACGGCATGGTCCTGTGGAAGCCAGTTTGTGTGCCCTGACGCTGGCTGCCAGCAATACCTTCTGTGCTGCATCGACACCGTCGCCCGACAGTGACGACGTAGCGCACGCTCTGCGACTCTTTTTCGGACCTCTCGGAGGTTGGCCGGCAGAGCAACGCATGCCAGGGCTCACTGCCCCTGCCAAGTCGGCGCGGTACGAAGCGCTGGCGTGCTATGTCGCGTGCCTTGTGCGGCCCGTATGGCAGGAAGTGCTCGTCCCCGCCTCGTTCCTGCAGTCGAAAAAGGCAGACTTGCCGCCCGTCCTTGCACAGCAGCAGCTTGCGTCGATGCTCGCGAACCTTGCGCCCCTCCAGGCGTTTATGCAGCGTCATACGCAGCTGTTTGAAGAGGAGGCGACAGAGCGCGACGATGTCCACAAACTGCATATGCTCGTCCAACGCACGATAGAGGCGGGTCACTTTGTGCTATTTTTGGCGGATCATCAGCTGCGCACGATTGCCGAGGCCCTTCCGGCCGAGGCTCGTACGCAGTTCACGACGCTGACACTCTCTGATTTGGTCGTGACAGAGCGCGGACGTGCCTTGGCTCACCAACTTGTTACAGCGCTGATCGCGTCGCAAAGCGGCGCGCGAGCCAGTGTTGATGCAATGGCGGAGGCCTTGCAGGCGCGGTGCGGCAGTTTCTGCAACGCGGATGATGTGCGTCAGTACAAGGCGTCAGAGTGCTTGCGGCAGGCCTCCGAGTACGACGCGCGTCGTCGTTCGGAGGGGGGCACGTCGGCATCGTCACGTGCTGCGATGGACGAGGCGCTGCAAGCGAGTCTGCGACTCCTCTTGCCGTCCTCGACGCCGCTGGGATGGGAGACGCTCGAAGAGGTATGTGCGACATACCAGCGGCTAGGGTTCGCCCGTGGCGTCGTAACGTTGGTCCTGGCGTGTGCCCGTGCCGCGGATCCAGCGCAGCTGGCCGTGGCGTTCCGCGCGGATGGGTGCCCAGCAGACGAGCCCAACTCGCATCGCCAGGCGCTGTACACGCTGCGCCGACGTATGTATGCCCTAGCTCTGGACGCGATTCAGTCCTTGCGTGAAAGTCCCACCGACGCGGAGCGCACCGCCGCGCATGATGAGGCCATGGCCCTCGCGGTAGCGAGCGACGATGCGCTCTTCCATGAAGAGCTGTACACGTACCTTTTGCAGCAAGGACGTACCTCTGAGGTGCTCACACTGCACACGCCCTATGTGGCTGACTTTTTACGCGGCACGCCGGTGTTGCTGGATGGGGAAGATCGTGCGACGTACGAGCGGCGTTTGCGTGACTTGCTGTGGCAGTGGTACGTCCGTCAGGGTGACTGCTTGGCCGCGGCAGAGACGCTCGATGCGTTGGCACATACGGAGATGTACCCACTGCGCCTGCATGAGCGAATTGAGTACCTGGCCCTGGCTGTGGGCAATGCCAAGTCGGTGCGTCCCGCCGATGCGGTGCATGTGCCCGACTTGGTCGGCCTCGCGACGCAGTTGGAAGAGGACTTGGAGGTGGCTCAAGTCCAGGCGAAGGTGCTCAGTGCCTTGCCGCCGCTCGAGACATGGGATTGCGAGCCGGCAGAACGTGCAATGCTGGAAGAGCGTGTGCAGCGGCTGCACGACACGCTGCTGGATATTACGACGCTGTACAAGGAAGTGGCGGAGCCGTTTGGCTTGCTGGAAGAGCAGCTGTTGATGCTGCATACAGCGCAATACCAGGACCCGGCCCTTGTGGCGCGTCTGTGGGAAGCACTCATCGCGCGGGAACACAATGCAAGTGCCCCGGCGCAGGCGCACCAGGCGGTCGCCGCCATGGTCACCGACGTGTATGTGCGATTGGGCGGCTCGGACGTCGCGTGCCCTCTCGATACGGTGCTGGCGCTGGTAGAGCGGTATGCATACGATACCTGCACGGCGGCTCAGGGCCACGTACCTTCGACGAGCTCGCTGCTGGACTGGGACGCGTTTGCACAGCATGACGTGCCGCTCTTGCCGGCGGGATGGGCGTCCTTGGTGCTCTGGGAGGCTGGGGCCCCTGCCGAGGCGCTTTTGCAGGTTCTGCAGGGCCTGCTCACCACGGCCCCGACGCCGTGGAATACCCATGGAGGTGTCGGGTTCCTCCTCCCTGACATTGTGGCATTGGTCCAGGCATGGCTACGCAAGTGGGATCAGGAACCGACCGGGACGTTCCCGGCTCACCTCGTCGAGCAAATGCTCAACGATACGATCCTCAAACTTCATACACGCCGGTACACACGTGCTGGTACAGACCTCGAGCAGCTCCTGGAGCAGGCCCAGCTGCTTGTCGAGCGTGTGCGTCGTCACTTTTAGTGTTGCGTACGTAGGAAGCCAAGCCTGATCGTAGTACAATCGATCCGCGGTCGCGTGAAAGAACCTCCACTCGCTTCGCCGTACGTCGCCCAGCGACGCCCATTTGGGAGATGCGTCGTGCTGTTGTGGCCTACGACGACTTGCCGCATGCGCAAGAGGCGGTAGCCCAGGTCGCGCAGCCCCAACGGCGCAAGCGGGCCAAGGCTGCGCCGTATGTCGGCGATCATTGGGACGCCCCCGAGCGCGTGCCTGTGGCCACGCCCGCCCCGCCTGCGCCGTGGGAGGACAAAGAGACAGGGCATAAGCGTGCACCGAGTCCGGACGAGGTATGGTACGCGTACCAGGATGATGAGGCTATGATTGCTTCACCTACACACTCTACGTCGTCGCCCTTTCTGGACGATACAGCATCCCTAGACGACGAAGAGGCCACGTCGTTGACAGCTGAGGAGATGTGGGACGATACATTTCTGATCGAGGCATGGGACGCAGCTGAGGAAGAGTATCGTACTTTCCATGCACATCGCACAGAAGCACACAACCAAGCGGCCAAGCAGACGCCATCCGTCTGGCACAGTCTTCCCTCGCAGGGCTTTGGCTCGACCATCTCCACTCTGCCTCCACCGCCCCCGCCTCTGCCTACAGCGTCGACCACCACCCCTGGCTGGACCAGAGCCCAAGAGATCGTTGCATCGACGCCCAATACCATCGGCGGGACGACATCAGATGAGCGTACACAGACACTGGCGATGGCATGGTATTATGCAGGGTATTACACAGCGCTCTATGAACAGAACTCGTAGAGTCTACGATGCATGCGCATTCATAAAGTACATAGCCGTCTCGAAGGCAAGAAGAGCGCCTGCATTCGTCGGGAAGGCACGTAGCGCACAGGTCAGGTACCCTGTGTAGATGCGACGGAGGCGCCATGGTAGGCCAGCTACGCCACGTTCGTAGGCGGGCTGGGAAGCCGGTGTCCATAGATCCTGCGCTACTTGGCACATGCCACGTACGCCGCCAGCAAAGCGCGGAGATCGCAGGGATTCAGCCATCATGCGGTTCTTCACGACGTCGGCCGGGTACGCCGTGAACCAAAACACTTCGGCGGCCAAGCCACCGGAAAAGAACGTCACGCTGGCCGGCGTCAGAAGCCATGCATACCAAGGTGCTGCGCCGGCTCGATGCCGCTCCGCCCAGGCGCCCAGATGCGCTTGGAACCAGTCATAGGAAGCAAACATAGCGCCAAAACTCGTACGGAACCACAGTGTGGCGGGCAACGCTCGCCAAAGACCCGAGACGCCCGTATACCGCACGACCTGTCGTAAGCAATCCCACGTCCCATGAAACTCTGCCTGACTCGCCGCTTGCGCCGATCGGTGAAGAGAAAGGCGCTGCTTCTGCATCTGGAGTTTGGTCTTGAGCAGCTCCACAGGCGCCGTGACAATGGAATTCGTCCACCCGGCGCCCATACCAGCCAGGCCTTGGTACCCCATCGGCAGCTTGTCATGGTGTCGAGTGGATTGCTGTAGAAGGCGGCGGTACAGGTGCAAGGAGCCTAGCAGTACTGAATCGGTAAACATCCACCCGATCGCAGGAGGGACACACCCTTTGTACACACCCCACACGGATTCAGTACGAACAATCGATCGAACGCATTCCAAAGGGCCGGCATACGTCCCAGGTGGCGAGCATTGCAAACGAACTTTGACCGTATCGAAGGGATGACCGATGGCCAGCTTGGTCAGGCCCGACACTGTGCCGCCGACAAACCCCTTCGTCCGCTCGACCCACTCGTTCTTCGCAGCGGACGTGGTCATGACGGGTGTGGAGGGGGACGGAGGGTGAGGGAAGAGGTCGGCATCCCTCCACCTGACACCGACAGGGACAGCGCGACACGACCATGACGACGTTGTCGTTAGGCCAGCCCTATCGACGTGGAGCTGCTCCCAAGGCTGGCATCGAGGCTGTGCGGGAGACGGATACAGACGCACTTACATCGCGCTTGGCTGCCTGTCGAGCCGGGTATCTCCCTCCCGATTCGTATGCGGAGATGCAGGCATCGCCACAGAGTCGCGAAGCGCATCGCCCGCCGCTGATTAGTATCGGGACCTATTTACGAGCACGAGAAATGGATCGTCATATGGAGCACTTCCTGGCGACGGGCTCGCTGCGGCAGGAGACGGCATCGTCTACGACACCTGTCCAAGTGATCAATATCGGCGCGGGAAGTGATACACGGTTCTGGCGGATGGTATGTGAGCATGTGTTTTGCTGACGCAAAGTCGATGGCTACATCCAACGTGGCTCTGTATGTTGAATTGGATTTCCCGGAGACGACACGTCAGAAAGCTGCGTGTATTGAACAACATGAAGCCATGCAGATGCCTCTGGGATCATGGACACGGACAGACGATGGACTGGAGGCGGACAAGTACTGGCTGGTCGGTGCAGATCTGAGCACGCTGCGTACATCTGAGACATGGGATCGCCTACGTTCGCGTCTAGATCCATCGTATCCTACGTTGATCGTGTGTGAATGCGTCCTGGCCTACCTGGATGCGGAGCAGGCAAATACCCTGTTGCAGGGGTGGCTGGAGCAGCTGTCCCATGTCGCTATTTTAAGCTACGATATCTGTTTAGGCGGCGATGCACCGGACACGCAAGAGCCTACACGCTTTGGACATGTCATGCTGCAAAACTTGGCGGTGCGGCGCCTGACCCTGCCTGGCGCGCGACAGTGCATTTCGCCCGAGGCGTACACACGTCGCTTTGTAGCCCTGGCCCATGCCTCGCTAGCCACGGCGTCCGAGCCCCATATGCATCTAGCCCAAGAGGCCTACTCATTACGCGAAGCCTGGCTTCAACTTCCTCGGGCCGAACGGGAGCGAGTGTCACAGTTGGAACGGCTGGACGAAGTCGAAGAGATGGAAATGCTTCTGGCCCACTATTGCATGGCTTGGGTCGAAAAAACTATTGTACAGTAGAAGTGATAGACACAGAGGACGAGCCACGCCCACGCTTCTTATGACGTCGTCGCTTGGTATCCGAGCCCTCCGGTGCCTCGTGCGGCGAGGTCGCAGAGGTCGTAGGAGGCGCTGCCTCCCCCTTCTTTTTCTTCTTCACACTCAGTGGGTTCGGCTCTTTCGCACGCTTCCGCTTGGGAGGCAGCGGGGCAGGGGCAGGCGTAGGCTCGGCAGCGTGCGCCAAGATCTTTTGCTCCGTCACACTCACCGTCGATTTGTGGGCCTCCATCTCGGCAATGTGGCGCTCTGTGACATCACTCATCGGCTCAAGTACAAGCACGCTTTGCGAGTAATGCAAGAGTGGCAAGCCAGGCACAGTGCGACGCCGAGCACGACGTATGTACGCATCATCCGCAGCGAGAATGTATCGATGCTGGTTTGTCGGCCCAATCACAGACGCAAGGCACTCCCCCGGGGCGATGGCTTCCTTGTGGTTGCATTTGCGTCGCTCCCAAGTTTTCGCCAAAGCAATGGCATCCTTGGCCTGCCGGAGATCGTTGCCCTCTGACGCTTTTTCCGCCTCATACAGCGCGACCATGCAACACTGCGTGATCATAGGCTTGACTTTGGCTTGCAATACATTGACCAATTGTTTTAGCGGATCTTGCACTTGGTATCGCACCAGCGCCTGGGCAAACGTATTGTCAATGAGCACCTGAAACGGCTCGCGAAATCGGTAGTGCAGCACATACTGATGCACCAGCCGACGATACGACTTGGCTCGTTTCTGTCGCATGGCTGGCTGAACAACAAGGCGCTCGCTCACGCTGCGGTACGCTGCACGTCGCCACTTTTTTTATGGCCCCCTGAGTATCACGTGCATCGCCTTCGTATGGCAGGGACCACGCGATTTAGACACACCGCATTTCTCATCCTCCCTACCCAGCAGACGTGGGGCATTCGATACACTTTCCTACCATGACACTGAACGACAGGCCTTACGATATCATTGTGATCGGCGCTGGTATCGTTGGCTCTTCTGTCTCCACGGCCCTTGGCCGTTCTGGACGTCGCGTCCTGGTCCTTGAACGTGATCTCAATGAACCAGATCGCATCGTGGGCGAGCTGCTGCAGCCAGGTGGTGTACGGGCCTTGCAGCTGCTTGGGCTAGCTGATACCCTCGAAGGCATTGATGCCATTCCTGCGGAAGGCTATCACATCTTCCTAAGCCCAGAAGAGTCTGTGAAGATCGCTTACCCTGCCGTGGCAGAGCTTCCATCGAGCTACGGACGAAGTGAGCCCCTTGGCAAGAATTACCATTACGCTGGGCGCTCCTTCCATCATGGCCGGTTCATCATGAATCTGCGCCGCAAGATGAACGAGCAGGAAAATGTGACTGTGAAACAGGCGACTGTCACCAATTTGTTGCATGATCCCAAGGACCAGCGTGTGGTGGGCGTTGAGTCCTCGGCAGGTACATTCAAAGCGCCTGTCACGATCGTGGCTGACGGTATCTTTTCCAAGTTCCGCAAGGAGTATGGTGGAGCGTACAAACCCAAAGTGCGTTCGCACTTTGTCGGCCTGGAATTGCCACCAGATGCCGTGATTTCGCGCTACCACGGCCATGTCATCCTCAATCAGCAAGCTGCGAAAGAAGCTGTGCCTGGCAAGGCGGTAGGCCCAGCTCTGGTGTACCAAATTGGATCGGATGCGACGCGTCTCTTGGTCGATGTACCAGGCCCGACGCTCCCATCCGTGGGCAACGGCGACTTGGCGCGCTATCTGCGTGACATCGTTGCGCCATGTCTGCCCAAGGTCATTGGCGAAGCACTTGCGCAGGAACTGGATAAGGGATCACGTCTACGCACGATGTCAAATAGCTTTTTGCCGCCTAGCATGCAAGGCATGCTCAAGCACCAATACGGTATGGTCGTCGTGGGCGATGCTATGAATATGCGGCACCCCCTCACCGGCGGTGGTATGACGGTGGCATTCTGGGACAGTGTCTACCTCACCCACATTCTCGGTGGTGGTCAATGGTCGCCCTTGGATGGCTACGATGATTCTATGGTCGTTCCCCCTGCGGCACGAGACCTGACACAATGGTCGGTTATCCAGCCATTGCTGCGCGAATGGCACTGGAAGCGGAAAAAACTAGCGAGCGTCATTAACATTTTGGCAATGTCGTTGTACAGTCTCTTTGGCGTCCCGGATGACAATTTGACAATCCTTCGGGCAGGGTGCTTCCGCTACTTTGAATGCGGAGGCGATTGTGTTCGAGGACCGATCAGCTTGCTAGCTGGCCTAGCCCCCGATCCCATGCTTCTTGTGTACCACTTCTTTTCCGTGGCTGTGTACAGTGTTCAGCTCATGTTCCGTGGCGACTTGTTCATTTCGGCCACGTCGTCCAAGAAGGTACAGCGTCCTCCGTTGTATATGTGGCCTGCGCTGTGTATACGTGCGCTTATTGTGTTGCTCTATGCCTGCTTCGTGATTTTCCCTGTGATCTATACCGAGATCCGTACAAACATCGCGACGCAGAAGACGGTTTGGTTGAACCCAAGCCTGCTGATCCTGACAACAGGTATGATCGGCCTGGCTTCGTCTGTGTATGCCATCATGCACTAAGTACGATGAATTCCTTCCGCTCAGGCCAGCGCCTGGGTGGGGTCCCTCTGTAGCGCTAGGCGTGCGCACGTCTACGCCTGTATAGGAAAAAAAGATACCCTGGCACCCCTCCACTATCCACGTGACTGGAAAGGCGCCTTCGTGGCGGACGCCATCGCTGGCGTTGTCTCTTCACCATCGCGTCTCCTACAGGATGGCTTTCTTTGGCTTCCGCGCGTACCCTACCCCGATCCTGAAGCCTCTCTGGCCCTTCATGGCCTCGGCCGGTATTGTCTACTACGTTGTGAGCAAGCTCCAGTACTCTGGTGTCCGCTCGGCTGAGTACGCCAAGGACCCGAAGAACCCGTACGGTATGTACTAATGACCTCGATGCATAGAGCAGGACTGACATGAGTGCGTGGCGCTGGTGAATCCATGGGACGCATGTATCTATCCATCGGTAAACGTTGACGGTTTGGATGATGATGATGATGATGATGGCGATGCATACTACCTGTTTCTTTCTCCTGGCTATGGCATTTTTTTCTGCAGCGACGCAAATTGCGAAGGAGGCCTCGCACCATTAAACGATGCCTTGTACGTAGGCGCGTTGCCACGTTCTTGGATTGGTCCGTAGTGCAGCAACCAACCTGTTGTCACGGAGAAATCGCCATGGGTGTCATGAATTTGCTTCCATGGCGGTGCGTTGATCTTCGCTATAGATACACTGTGGCTAGCTAGCCGATCGGTCTTCTGGCTCGGTACCTGAACGCTATCGTCGTGCTTGCGCTCTCGCGCACCGAGAACGCACAGGCTGAGATCCGCATGCACCCGATGTAGGTCCCGTCCACGTGGCGTCCGGCCCGGGTCATATACCCCGCAAGGGAAGCCGGCAATCCTTATGGCACAGCGAATAAGACGGCGAAACGGCTGCGTCACCGGTGGTCGGTGCATGCATGCAGCAGGAAGCTGAAAGAGGGCCCCAGTACGACACCGGACCGCGTGCTGTGTAGCCTTGCTATACCATCTGCTGTCATGACTACGTATACGAATGAGGAACTGGCTGCCCGCTGGGCAGCTCACCTCGACAAGCAGATGATCGAGGTGCCGAACACGAAGAAGCCGGGCTTCTCGCCGATTTACCGCAACGCGGCATTCCCCAATGACCCGCCGTCGATGAGTGCCTATGATGCCTTCATGAAGAGCACGACGCGCAACCCTGGTGCCAAGTGCCTGGGTCACCGTCCGTGGGACGAAAAGAAGGGCGACCTGGCGAACCACTTTGTCTGGCGCACGTACGCGGACGTGCAGACAGAGGCTACGGCGCTGGGTTCTGCCATGACGAAGTTCTGTGAGGATGGTCGGCTGTCTTCGCGCGACTCGTCGAAGGTGAGCGACGCTGGTATGACCGAGTGGACGATGGCGTACTGGGGTGCGAACCGCCCTGAGGCCTCGATTGTGTCGCTGGCGCAGGTGGCCTACTCGCGTGTCTCGGTGTCGATGTACGACAACTTTGACGCGACTGGCTCGTGCTACATTTTGCAGCACAGTCAGACGCGTGTGCTCGTGTGCCCGTCGCAGTACGTCCCGATTGTGATGCGCAATGCGGAGAAGCTGCCGGCGCTGCGCATGATCATTCTGCTGGACCGCCCTGGTCCGTCGAAGCTCATGCTGGGTGAGATGAAGAAGGACCAGCTCGTGCGTGAGTGGGCGTCGCAGTTCAACATCCAGATCATGGAGTACGCTGACGTGATTGCGCTGGGTATGAAGGACCTGCGTCCGCACGTCGTGAACAACTCGCCGGACGCGCTCTTCTCGCTGTGCTACACGAGTGGTACGACGGGTCTTCCGAAGGCTGTGCGCATTACCAACAGTAACACGTCTGCTGCGCTGGAGGGTCTGCGCTGGATCGTGGGTGATATGGAGATGGTCACCATCTCGTACCTGCCGTTGGCGCACATTCTGGAGCGTGGCTGGGAGATGTTCATCATGTACATGGGTGGCTCGATTGGCTACTTCTCTGGCAGCATTGAGCGTCTGCCTGAGGATCTGCAGATCCTGAAGCCGACGATGCTTCCAAGTGTCCCGCGTGTGCTGAACCGTATTGCGGGTCAGATTCAGGCGCAGATGGACAGTCCTGGCCTGAAAGGCAAGCTGCTGACCAAGGCTGTGACGACCAAGCTGGCGAACTACGAGGCCACGGGCGCGATTACGCATGCGTTCTGGGACCGCCTGGTCTTCCGCAAGGTCCGTGCGATGCTCGGTGGCCGTGTGCAGTTTGTGCTGACAGGCAGTGCGCCGTGCCGTAAGGACGTGCTGAAGCTGCTGCGTATTGCGCTGTGTGTCGATGTGCGTGAGGCGTACGGCCAGACGGAGAACTGTGCCTATGCGACATTCATGGCGCCGAACGACCGCAACGTGGGCTGTGTCGGCCCGGTGAACCCTGGTGTGGAACTGCGTCTGCGTGACTGCCCTGAGCTGGGTTACACGTCAGACGACAAGCCGTTCCCGCGTGGTGAGATTGTGCTGCGCAGTCTGAGTGTGTTTAGCGGCTACGAGGGCGATGAGAAGAAGACCAAGGAGACGCTGCTGCCGGGCGACGACGGCAAGGGTGACTGGCTGCTCACCGGTGACGTCGGCCAGGTGGACCAGTGGGGCCGTGTGCAGATCATTGACCGTGTGAAGAACTTGGTCAAGCTGGCGCAGGGTGAATATATCGCGATTGAGAAGGTGGAGAGCATCTTTGCGTCGCTGCCGCTGGTCCAGCAGGTGTGGCTCTACGGAGACTCGTACCAGCCGCACCTGGTCGCCATGGCTGTGCCGGAGCCTGACACGTTTGCGTCGTTCGCGAGCACGGTGCTGGGCAAGACGGTGCGCTCGGAGGACCAAGCGGCGATGGAAACGGCTGTCAACGATCCGAAGGTGGTCGAGGCGGTGCTGCGTGAGTTTATCAAGCTCGGCAAGCAGCAGGGCCTGGGCTCGCTGGAGCAGATGCGTGCGCTGAAGCTGCGTCTCGACCCCTTCTCGCCGGAGAATGGCCTGATGACGCCCACGCTCAAGGTCAAGCGCCAGGAGGCTGCGAAGGTCCTCAAGGCCGACCTTGATGAGCTGTACGCACGCACGCCGTACGACCTGAACTCGGTCAAGGCGGCCAAGCTGTAATGAGACAGACATACGTATAGATAATTCGTTGATAGCTATGTACGACAACGACATCCATGCCGTACCTCAGACGACGACGCCTTTGGAAAAGAGATCGGCAATCACATCGAAGCCGTCGTCGGCCGCGTCCACTTCCGACTGGACGACATCGTACGACATGTGCGACGCGGCGTCTTGCAAGGTCTGTACGGTGGCATAGTCGCGCGCACAGAGCGGGCACACCCGCGCCTCTTCGCCCGAGGGCAGGCATCGGTAGTGGAAACTGTGACGGCACATGAAATGCACGCTCGGCAGATCCAGCGGCTGCGTGCAGACGCCACACTCGCGCTGCTGGAAGACGCGTGGCTCCGTCGTGCTGCGTAGCGCAGCCAGTTCTTTTGTCTTCGCTGCGGCTTCCTCGCGGTACGACGCAATGAGCTTCGTCGCGCTGTCATACTCAGCCCGCTCCTGCTGCACATGCGCAAGGAGCAGCGGCGTAAGGAGGCCCATCTGGGCCACGTCGTTGCGGCCGAGAATGTGCACAAGCTGGATCGGCGAGAGAAGGTTCTGCGCCGTGGTATGTGACAAGATCCCCTGGAGATCGCTTTGGTGACGCTCGTACCAGATCTTGTCAGATGTAAGGAACTGCAGGACACTGGTGTACAGCGACGGAGCGCGCTCGCCGTACGTATGGAGCGCCTCGATGACCTGCTGACTCGCCGCGGCGTCGTTCGGCGTCGCTCGCGCCTGGTCTATCCAGTGCATCACAATCGCCTCCATCATATCCATGCGTTCGTACACACACAGCAAACCGTCCGTGTAGTTCGCATTCGTACACAAGACCAGGGCATGAGCGGCCGTGTACGGCGCGTCGCTTTGCAGGATGGCAAGCGCTTTGGTGGGCGCATGGGTAAGATAGAGCTCCAGTAGCGTATCGTACAGCAGCACGGCATCCGCGGCCGGCACCGACGATGCCCCGGAGGGGGCGGCACGGGCAGCGATGACCTGCTCAAAGAAGTGCTCCAACTCACGCTCGTGCCCCACAAAGTGGACGAGGAGCTGGGAGAGCGCCGCCTCGTCCTGTTCTTTCGCATGGGTATACAGATGCACAAGCACATCACACATCTCGCGTGGCGCCGCTTCCAGCAGCGCGTGGACGTACGGACGCACATACGCCAGTGCATCGGCAGGCGACAAGGCACGGACATACGCCAACGCGGCCGTGGCATCGTGTGCCTCCCGGACTTGAATGCTGAGATACGTGTCGTGTTCCTGGTGCTCCGCGGCCAAGTAGGCCGCCTGCGCGACGCACCCAGCCCGACGGCATACGTCCATGGCCACATGGACATCAAACGACACATCCGACGCACGAATGAACCGATCCAGCGCCTCGGTATGACGAAGCTTGGTATAGCAATGCAGTAGCAGCGTGGTATGATCCGCATTCGCAAGATGGCGCTTGTGCAGGGCTTCCAAGTACGCTGTCAGGTACTGCAAACGCTGTGCGTCCAAGAACTGGCGGATAATATAGCTTGGCGAGACGACACCGAGCGTCTTGATAAACTGCTGCATCGCACCTTCAAAGTCGCCACGTGCATACAAGTGCTCGCCGTACCGGCGGTACACGTCGGCCACCAGCATCGACGTAGTCGACACACGCCGACGTTCTTGGGGCCGCGGCGGAAGAATAACCGCGCTCGGCGAGAGCGTAGGCAGACGCGCATACGGCAGACGCGCGGCGTGTGCATACAGGAACGGAAGCGCTTGCAGGAACAAGTGTGCACGGAACAAGTGATCCCATTTCACCATCAGAGGCTTGTCGACCAACTCCCACGTCCCGGCCTGCGTAACGAGCCCCACACATCGCTCTGGCTCGGCCGCATGGGGATCGCCAGCACTCGTCCATACCAGCGAGACACCCGTGTGCTCTTTCGTGTACGTAATGCACTTGGCATCCACGTCAAATACGGTGATACGCTGCCGCTCCGCACCGGCCAACACCACGACCACCTGGCCCAGTAACACGTGAACGTGTGCCTTGGCACCTTCCAATGCAATCGACATATCACGGCCGCGTGGGCCCATCACGTACAGTGCCTCTTCGCGCGCAAGGATCAGGCGCGGGCAGAGCTGAGGAACGTGCGTGGCCATCGGATCGTCGTGATCGACGTCGTCACGAAGCGTATAGAGACTCGCAGCGCAGGACGGCGCACAGCCTACCGTATCGACCACACTGGGCGCTGTGCCGGCGCCCGCGCCGCTAAGCGTGTACCGCATCGTCTTGGAGACCGTAGAAAATAGCAGCTCCATCGTATCGTTGGCCGACTCCGAGGGACAGAAGGTCATCCCCGTCACGCTATCCCACGCATCCCTGCCTTCGTCGAGCAACGTCGAGTCTCGTACAAGCTTGGGACGTAGCGATACTACCTCGGCGGATGTCAGATGCGTGGAAAGATCACGAGCCACATGAAGACTGCCATCGTGCAAGCCGACAGCGACGCACGTGAGCGAGGAAGATACCGCACAAGCTGTCGCTGGCACAGGAGCCTCGTCCCGCGAAGACGAGGTGGCGGCCGACATACGAGGCCGACCGTCGCCCTGTCGTGTGTGGGCAGACACGAGGCGCATTTGGATATGGAGCACAGGCGTCCATGACGATGGCATAGGCGACGTGAGGCGCCATATACGTACAATGGGCGTCGCATACGCAAGATCTTGACCGACCGCGAGAATCGCATGAGCCTCAGGCGCTACATGCAGCTGCCATATGTCCGACGAAAAGGCCGGCCAGGTAGCTAGCTCAATATACGTCTTGGCATCCACCATGCGGATCTGTCCATCTCGCAGGCCAAGAAGCAACGCTCCATGAGGCGAGGCCCATGCGCCACACTTCGGCGGCGCATACACAGCCGTATGCGCATCCTTCATCACCTGCGGCGATACATCGTCCGCCAAATCGCGTTTCTCCATGAACTGGAACGTACGCCATGCCGGCATCGTGCTGGACGACGACGGCCCGGCCATGGAGGCCGTCCCGGTGGTCATGGACATCGGCGTACCACGTAGCGAAACAACGACACGCGAACGAACGACGTAGGCACGTTAGTGTGGAGGCTATCAAGCGTCGGTCCCACCAGCCCCATGCGACAGACAAACCACAAGAGGCCACGCCCACGTCCAGCACGTCAGTTGCATCGATCTACAAAACACACAAGCTACCAAGAAGATTGCCTCAACAAAGGTCCATTGCAAAAACTACATGGAGCCAACAGGGGCACGAAGCACAATGAATTAGTCGGACGGCAGTCCTCCAAGTCCCATTGCCGAACAAAAATGGCCAGTGACTCACATCATATTCGTGCAACAACGAAAGGAACGATGCATGAAAACGGGGTAAGCGTTTAAAGAAGAACGGCACCACCAACCACGGCAGCGGCCACGGCCATGGCACCAGGAAGAGCGTAGCGCTCAGCAGCGCCGGCAGGCACACCCGGCGGCGGCTTGATCTTGTCAACGGGAGCGAACTTCGGGTCATCTTCGTGGATGCTCGAAAGGATACCCTGGTACATGGCGTACACGATGTATTCCTTCGACTGGGTCACAGTCGGGTAGTAGTGCAGGACCGAGTCAGCCAAGTCATCAGCGACCTCCGACACCATGGCGGCATCGCCACGCTTGTGCTCGTAGCCACCCACGAAGTAGCTCACAAGCGACGAAAGGTTGTACGGCGGCACCACAGTCTTTGGAGCCTTGCAGTCGTACGGGTGAACCTTGGGGTCACCAAACAGAGCCGAGCAAACAGCAGTCGACGTGTCACCAATAGTCTGGGCACCACCGTTCTTGTTGTCACCACCCTGCTGACCAGCGGCAGGAGCTGAGCTGGGCTGAGGAGCAGGGGCAGCGCTCGAGTCAGGCGCAGGTGCAGCACTCGAGGCAGGCGCAGCAGCACTCGAGGCAGGCGCAGCAGCAGCACTCGAGGCAGGCGCAGGGGCCTGAGCCATGGCACCGGCAACAGCAACGGCGAGGAGGGCAAGGGGTGTGCTCAGCTTAACCATCGTGAGGCAGGTGGCTGGTGTAAGAAAGCAAGAAACAGAGCGGGCTGAATTTCGCGGTTTCTTGAAATCTAGGGCTGTTTGGCGAGCTTTGTTGATTCGCCTTCGGTCCGCATCGGATTTGCCTGTTCCCTCGTACCAAAGTCCGTCATGTCTGCTAATCAATTGCGGAGCTCAGGCACAACATAGGTCGGCCGAGCTCATGAAGTGCATATAATGCCATGAAGTACGTGACATATCCTATGAATATATGCGTGATATGTAGGTGACATAATCCGTATCGAAAAGAGCGGACAAATGATTGGCCCAGTCCCTATTTTCCATATTCGTCAACAGCACGTATGCGTACACACTAGATGCACTTACTATGTTGGTGCAGGACCAAGCTATCGCTTGCAGGATTCAGCCGCGGCGACAAAGTGTCGCTTTCCCAACGTATTGATGAAATGGCCGTACCCTCCATCCACGTGGGGTATCGAGGACATGCCATGCGAAAGGGAAGAAAAGGGGCGTACAGTAGACGATCCAAAAATGGAGATCGGGCGCGATGGCCGAGAAAGATGGCAACTCGCTTTATGTAAAGAGCGGCCGGCCATGCTGTGAGCGGAGAAATGTTTGCTCTATAGACACTAGATAACAAATGCACACATGATTTAATACTTGCTGGGAAAAAATAGTAAAGGTGGACGGCAGCAAATTACCAATGCATTAACAAAACCAAAGTGGCCAACACTGTCGCACCCACCGGAGCCACAAACATAATGCGTTCTGACAACGCTCCATTGGGAGCAGCCCTCACTGGCTGAGACATCGCCGTGCTGGACATGGACGTAGTACTAGTGGCATTGCTGGGTTGAGCGGTAGAGGTAACCGTGTCTGTTGCGCCACGATGCATCCCAGCGCCAGCGACCCCGCCGAGGGCTGCACCACCAAGCGCTGCACCACCATTGTTGCTCTGTCCATTGCGCGAGGGTGGCGGCGGCGGTGGTGGTGGTGCGCCGCCATTCTGGTTTGGAGGGCCTTGGTAGGGCGGTGGTGCACCACCGCCGTTCTGGTACGGTGGAGGGGGAGCAGCCGCGCTTTGGTAGGGCGGCGGTGGATCCTCCTTCTTGGGCGCACTGTTCCCTTCATTTTTAGGCGGAGAAGCAGGGGGTGGCGCTTTGTTTGCACTGGTTCCAGATTTGCCGCCACTGCTGCTGCCGATACTGCCACCGCCGCGACCACCGCCACTACCGCGCAGGATAACGGCCTCGTCAAGAACCTGATCTGCGGATCCATCGCGAATGTGCAGATCGTGAATAGGCGACAGATCTGCCCCTTGGATAGGAACAGCAGTAACACATATCAAAAAAACAATAGTAAGGATGCCAATTTGATAAAACTTGATGGCCACCATATCGTTTCGTTTAAGGGGAACGGTCTGCGGCTCTTGGGTATATATACTTTTCACTTTCGGGTGTAAGCCTGGCACAGAGACAAATGGTAGGTGGCAAGGCTGTACGCGGAGACTATTTTAAGGTGCCTGCGGTGAAGATGCGATGCGTGCAGGGACCATCGATCTAGGATTGGTTGGGAACAGTTTCATTATACAGCCGCATGGACCCAGGGTGCTGAATAAGCACTGCCACGACGGCTTAGCACTCCGATGATCCAGTGAAGTGTCAAGAATGTGCGCACTCCAATAAACGGAATAAATCAAAGCATCAACATTGTAAAGAACAGGGCACTATGGAGATTGATCAGTGTCCTTTGCCTGCCAACTGAGTACATGTACAATGTGGCGAAAAGGCTGGCAGGATCACCATGGCAGTGTCATGTTAATGGGCAACTAATGCGTATCTGCCTCGTGCTCACACCCATGAATAAAATGTGCACGAGACATACAGATACAGTCGCCCTGTAGAATGTGTATACGAGTGCATTAGCAGCAGCCGCCTTTCTTACCCGTGGCGTCCAGGCCAGCACCGGCACCGCCAATTGTAGTGGTGCCGCTAGTGGACTGCGCATTGGTAGTGATGCCCTGATCAATTAGGTGGTCCTTCACCTGCTGCGCCAGCTTGAAAAAGGCCTCATCGACATTCGTGTTGGCCTTAGCCGACGTCTCAATGTATTGCATGCCCAGCTCGTTCGCAAGCTCCTGACCTTGTTCTGTAGTAACAACCTGGATATGTAAGTAGCCTTGACTTAAATACGTACACGCTTTTCTTCCCAGTCGCACTTGTTGCCTACAAGGATCTTGCAGGCACCTTCGCTGGCATGCTGCTGGACGTCCTGGTACCAGTTGCGGATGTCTGTGGGATGTTAGCATGGTTTTTGCATGACCACATACTTTGGAAGCTCTTCTCATCCGTCACATCGAAAACAAGGAGAATGCCCATAGATCCACGGTAGTATGCAGTGGTGATCGTACGGAAACGCTCCTGACCGGCAGTATCCCACTGTAATGTGTTAGATGCTACGCGCGTGTGGTGGAGCAATACATACAATTTGAAGCTTGATGCGCTTTCCGTCGACCTCGATCGTGCGAATCTTGAAGTCGATGCCAATAGTGGTAATGAACGACGGCGTCCAAGCGTCGTCACAGAATCGGAGAAGAAGACAGGACTTTCCTACGCCTGTACAATGTTAACCCACCAGGATCTTCGTCTTACATACCTGAGTCGCCAATTAAAAGAAGCTTAACAAGCAGATCGTAGTGTGGTTGAGGCATAATGAATAGAGTTCTAAGGCAAGTCGTGCACCTGCAAAAATGTGATGATTTAGGGACGAGCACAGTAACCGTAGTGACCGAGAGCCTCACTCCACTCTGCACGTGATAGAAGGTACCACATAGCGTGCACGGTGACGATCAGAGGGCTGGCAGCCATAGAAGGGAGGGCTTTAGGAGTGTAGGTTTGCGCGACTTCGTAAGTATAGACTAGAATAGGGCGGTATGAAGTATCGACATCTTACTTCTATCATAATGTCTTAGATCCTCTCATCCCACTCGTTTCTACCTATTCCAGCATCTGCAAAATGGGGCGTTTTTTGCTTCTTGGCCTCCACAAGAGTTGGAGATCTTCCTTCGCTCCATACATTCGCGGATCAATGACCAGGTGGGGGATGACAGTGACGGGGCGCGTCCTCGCAGTTGCGGGATACCAAGGACCATGGGCCCGTCTAGCACTACCGAAGATGCTTACGACATCGTATAGTACCAATGCAGCCGGCAAAAACGACACAACAAAGCGTAGTACTCAGGACGCTCAAGCCACAACCTCTACCAAGTTTAGCCCCGAGCCTCAAACGGAACCGTCTTACACATCCTCTGTATCAGAAGCTGCTGCAGAAGGAAACGAAAAACCGCTACCCTTTTTATCTAAGCCACTAGGCGTGTCTAAGCGACCAACACCAGAGCGGCTATCATGGGGTGAAAGACACGCAGAGTGGTTTGACCGCGATGCGCGACTCGAGAAGCGCCGACTCATGTACGTGCACAGGCTGTTCTAACCAGGTAGCGTGAAAGAAGCCACTCGTGGCTATTTCCATGATTTCCACGAGATTCGTTCCCACGGCGGCAAGACATGGCGTAGCCCTAACACAATGATTCGTGCTGATGTACGTATTTTTCCTTTGCACTTGGCATACGAACGGTGACAGAAAGCGCTTTATTTCCCTGACCTCGAGGGTACATGTCTTGCGGACAAATCTAAGAAGCACACATCCGAGATGCTATTTGATCGCGTGTCGATTGTCTCGATTGTCACATCCAAAGTGTCTGAAGTACGCATAGCTCTTCCCCTACTAACATCCAGGAACACACGCGAAGCTTCTATGGGCCAGCTCTGGAGAGATTCCGCTCAAATCCGCACTTTCAGCTGGTTCAGGTATGTGTGCCTATAAGCGGTAACACTTACATCAGATCAATTTGCAAGAAAATTCTCTCAAGGCCTACCTCATCTCCCTCTTCCTGTCATCGCTACGTTCGCAGGTTCCTGCTGACCTCCAGCCCACGTACCTGCTGTGCCAGCAAAACATGGACTTAATGCGTGAGGCTATGGGACTCCATAACAAGCACGTCGGGTATACCTACCTAGTCGGGCCGGATGGCAAGATTCGCTGGGCTGGTAGTGCATTTGCAGAGGCAGAAGAAGCCCTCGCTCTCGTGGCATGCACAGGCGTGCTGCTGGACCGTATGGCGCCTGGGTCACGCGAGAGCCGTCGACGACAAAGCGGCAGCGGTGGCGCTTCATCGTAAGTGGAGCCACGTGATCTATAGACTGGCCTTTGGGCCCAAATTTTTTGTTTCTCGTCTCGTAGCACGGACGATGGAGCGTGTCCAGTACTCGCTGGAACGTTCGCTTCCGCAGCTCAAGCTTCTTGATGAGCATGGTATTCTTACCAAAGAAGAAATACGGTCGGTCACGACGCAGCGCCAAGGATTTGAGGCGCGCTTGATTCGTCGCAAGGCAGAAAAAGCCGACTTTTTGCGCTACATTGAGTTTGAGACGGATCTGCATACGCTTGTGCTTCTCAGGGTGCGTGCCCACACACAGCGCGTAGCGGAGTGTATCCGTGCCGGTGACGAGAGTGCCAAAGCACGTCATCTTCCTCGTACGCTACGGCCGAAGCTGGCGGCGAGTTATTCGGCACAATGTGTAAGCATTTTCGAGCGGCTAGTGCGCAAGTTAAGATGGGATGTAGACAGCTGGGAGCGGTACCTGGCGTGGGCAAAGAGCCGAAAAATGCGTGTCGTGGCTGGGCGTGTATACGCACGAGCCCTGGCTTTGCATCCCATGCATCCAGAGCTTTGGCTTTCGGCTGCGGACTACGAGTTGAACAGCAATGCGGATACGACGGCCGCGCGTGCACTTTTGCAGCGTGGCCTCCGTACGAACAAACTAACGGACACAGATGCCCAACTTGCTAAGGAGGTGCAAAGTGCCAGTAAGCATCGCAAGACGGAGCGTGGCGCGCATGCGCTTCGAGAGCCCGATGCGTTGCGCTGGTCACTCACAAACTATGAGCAAAGTGTGCTTCGTATGTGGGTCGAATATATGCGCATGGAACTTGTTTTCCTAGAACGCTTGCGTCGACGCTGGCGTGTCTTGGGTCTGGACAGTGGCAGCGAACCGACACAAGCCTCATCGCAAGATCTCCATGACGCGCAAGAAGCTGCGCAGTCGGTGGCACTCGATGCCGATGACGGCGACGCGGAGGAGGACGAAGAGGAAGAAGAAGACATCGCTGCCGCAGAAGCGGCTGTCGAAGCTGACGTGCCTACTCAGGACGATGATGATGGTGACGAAGCATCGTCACCGGCCTCAGCGCGTACCAAGGCCACACGCCCTACTGCAGGGACGCCCATTCCGCCGGGACACCATCAAATTATGAGCGGCTCGATCCCGTTGGTCGTCCTTGCCAATGCACAACGGACTCTCCCGCCTAGTGTGCAGCTCTATTTGTACGTGGCCCTGTGGCAACTCTTCTGCTCGTTCCCGTTCTTTGACTCGGTGCTTGTGAAGAGTCAAGGCGACGTGATCTCGCTACGCACATCCACAGGTACACAGGGCTCAGGTGACCAACTCCGTGCACGCCTTCTCCAAGGTGTGCTTGATACTTGGGAGGCAGCTAGCATTGCCTGGGACGAGGCTGGGCGTTTATCTTTCCACATGATGCAATGTCTGCATCCACTCTGGCATCCCATGTCGCATGGTGTGCATAGCACGTTGGCATGGAGCGACGTACCCGCTTCGCGGGCCGAGGCCGAGTTGGAATCCAATGCGTATTTGCATGGCGCCAGTCAGTTGCATGCAAAGCAGTCGCCTGCCCTCGATGCGCTGTGGGACATGGCGCACGTGCCTGCCACGCTGCGTGATGACCAGGTTGTGACAGGGGCTTTTGACCCATGGCGTGTGTGCCGTGTGGCTCTCTTTCTTCTCCACGTGCTGCAATCGCGACTGGTTGCGGCGCCACGCACCGATGAGGCTAGCGAGGAGAAGGAGGAGGAGGAGGAGGACGCTAGTGAGAGTCAGGCCTCGCGTCCTTTCCAGCGAGATACCACGGACGACTCCATTGCTTCGTCCTCCGATACCACATCGTGGCACTCCACACCCTTCCTGACGATGCTTACGTCGTCTGGTGATATCCCTGCTGTGATTCAGCAAGTAGTAGCGGCGTTCCGCTCGCAATCGCATGCCGACGTACCATTGGCGTTCCTTGCTACGCTGCGATTCCTACTGAACCCAGCCCGAAGTGGCTTGGATGAATCGAATTTGCGGGCGTATTTGCACACGGTTGATGCGAAGCTTTTGTCGTCTCTGCAAGCGCAAGAGGGGCTGCAAGGGACGTGGATCGCTACGATGAGCATGTCGCAGCGTTTGGCTGAGCAGGACGCGTCGGTGTGGCCTGACGTGGAGAGCTGTATGAGCAGTACGCAGGGTGCTGATCCATGCGTTTGTCTGCTGTACGAGCGTGCAGCCCTTCGTTTTGAAATGGACCAGGCGTTTGTCTTTTCGTGGGCCCATGCCCACGATTCGCTGGCGGGGGAGCGTGCATTGCAAGCGTGGAAGCCGCTGCTGTCTGCATGCACGTCAGCGGACCAATTTGTGCATGATGCGTCGGTGCCTGTATGGGGCCTCATGATCTTGTGGCTTGGTACGTCGTCCACCGACGAAGCGGCGAGTGTGGCGCCAGCGCATGCACGTCGTGCCTTGTGGCTAGACTATCTCGACTGGGTGCACGATGCCGCGTTGGTTCGCCGTGTGTGGGATCGCGAGAGCGATGCGATGGAGGTCACCTCGCAGGAGCGCAAAGCGTCCAAATGGGCCTGGCGTTTGTACGAGCAGGCTATCCAGCAGACTGGCCGTGTGTTGGCCGCTTCGCATTTGCTGGGCTCGGCACGTCGACATGCCCAGGCGCTGCATGATGCTGTGGTGCGTCGCTACTATATGTTTTCGGCCTCGTCCAGTGCCTTCCCAGCCGTAGCGCAGGATGGTGTCATGGAGCATTCAGGGCGTGATAAGGCGCTGCACTACGCGCTCGCGCAGAGCTCGGCCAGTGCCGCATGCTGGCTTGACTTGGCCCGCCTGGAATCCATGCGGCTTGAGGCGCAGCTTATACAGACAAGTGAGCCTCTTCGTCGCCGTGTGGCCAAGCTGTTTGAGCGTGCATTGGCCCTGGCGGAGCGTGCAGACGATCTGTCGCTTTCGATGGATACTTGGATGGCCTATTTGAAACACTTGGTCTATGTGCAAAAGGATATGCCATTGGCGTTGCAGATGCTCAACAAGGCGACGATGCAGATGCGGCAGATGGGCGGCGAGGAGGCTGTGGTGCTCCTCGAGACGCAATGGCGCGCTGTGCATACCTCGCCTCGTTCTTAGTGTGTCGGTAGAGAGCGAAGCGCTCGCTAGCTAGCGAGCGATAGAGAGAGCGGCGCTTGTGCACGTGGAGGCCCTACCTCCACTATGCCGGAGCGCGTGGCCTCGGACACGCGACGCGATGCGCGACGTACGTACGTTCTTTCGTAGCCAGCAGCAGCATGTTTCGAGCGGGGGTCCCAGGTACGCCTGGCCCGGAGCACGGCAAGGCCGCGCAGGTCACGCACCATCCGACGAAAGGGACGGGGCTGGCTGCGTACCCGTATCGGCTGAATATGTATACCATTCCTCCGATTCAGGACATTACTGTGGAAGAGCTCGAGCAGTGGGCCCTGGATCGGTTGCATGTCCTGGCCGAGATTGAGACGGCGTCGGCCCGCAATCAGCCATGGTCGGAGACGAAGGGCTCGATTGAGCGTGCGGTGAACAAGTATTTGCCGCTGCACTCCAATGGCGTAGCGCAGTCCAGCTCCATGACAGCCTCGGCAGCCAAGACGAAGGAGTTGCTGGCGGAGCGACGCAAGGATCATATCTCGCACTTTGTCCTGCGCCTAGCGTTTTCTCGAACGGAAGAGCTACGTCGGCGCTTTTTGTATGCAGAGACGCAGCTTTTCCGCTGGAAGCTCGAGACGGAGCAGACCACGGAGAAAGAGGCGTTCCTTCGGTCGCAGGACTTTGTATGGCGTCCTGTATCGCGCGACGAGCAGCGCCGGTTCCGCGAGCAGTTGCTAGCCGTGCACCCCCGCTTTGCGCCTACGTTTGATTCAGAGACGTTTGTCCAAGTGCCCTGGCATCGTGTGCCAGACTTGATTGAGAAGCGCAAGGTGTTTGTGCACCGAGGCACGGCGTGGATTCCCAACAAGGAGCAGTCTAGTCTGGTGCTAGCCGAGTTCCAGAACCAGCTCCAGACGCAGCTGGAACAAACAGCGCGGGCTCTTCCGCGTCTTGACGAAGACGACCGGCTCATGCCTGTGTTGGAGCATCTCAGTATGGGCTCGATGCTAGGCACGTCGAACGAGTACGCTGCCTCGGCTTTGCTTCATACGGATGGCGGTACGGTGACGCTGACCGCCGATATGGTCGAGCCGCTTGTCCGACAGCACGCGCCGCTGTGCATGCGGCATCTGCAGGAGACACTGTCCTCGACGCATCATCTGCGACACTATTCGCGTCTGCAGTACAGTCTGTTCCTCAAGGAGCTGGGGCTGCCTGTAGAAGAAGCGCTGCTGTTCTGGCGCCGCTCGTTTAGTACGATGAGCGACGACAAGTTTGCGAAGGAGCATCGGTACAATATTCGGCACAGCTACGGATTGGAAGGCCGTCGACTGAATTACCCGGCGAAGAGCTGTGCGCGCATTCTTACGCAGGACCCTCCTGGCCCTCAAGATACGCATGGATGCCCTTTCCGTCACTTTTCGCAGGCCCATTTGTCGGCGGCTCTGTCTGCTCACTATGGCATTCCGGCGGCAGAGCAAGCGGAGATTCTCGCGGCCGCACAGGCGGGGCATTACCATGTTGCATGTACTCGTGTGTTTGAGCTGACCCATGCCTCGCAGGGTGTAGCGCGTGGCGATGGATTGGGCCAGGGCGAGAGTGTGTCGCATCCCAATCGGTACACCGAAGCCAGTTGGCGGCTGGCGCAGGCGCAGGCGCAGGCGTCGACCGAGATGGCCGTCGAAAGCGCGTCGTAGGAGCAACGTCAACAATGTATGGTTTCGTATAGACAGTATGAGAGCCACAATAAAGACAAGGCGGAAAATCTTACTAGAATACACGCACCTTAGGGGTGCTTTTGGCGTACAAGGAAGCGAATGAATCGCTCGCCGTACTGGCGGGGCGGCACGGGACTAATACCGCGGCGGTCGTACCAAATGCTCTTCCACGCATGCTCTGCGCGCTTCACCGCGTCGTACTGTGTGAAGATATCGATGATGCCCAGGTAGTAGATGACTGGCAGCGGGTGGTTCTGCGCATCGGTCGCACGGAAGCCACCTTCGTCCTGGTAAAACACCACTTGCCGCTGCCTCTCCGCATGGCGCTTGTTTTGTGTCTCGGGCGTGTCCGTGAGGTTGGCCGCGTCTCGTGCAAAGAGCATGTGCGCATCGCGCTCGCCACCTCGTAAGACGGGCGACTGGACAGAGGTATCGCGTGGATCGTCTACGGGCGATACCACGATCGAAGGCTTGCGGAGCATGGGCTGAACGCCGCCGCCGCGCAGTGTCGAGGTCCGTTGGAGACCGGCGCCTGCCGCGACGTCGTGCAGGCCGATCAGCAGCGAGTAGTCCATCAGCCGCAGGCGCTGCAAGAGCGCCACGTCGGCGCGCAGCTGCTTTTCAAAGAGGGCGTGTTTTTCAGGGCCGAGCTCGATGACGCGTCCTCGCTTGGTCCAATTGGTATCTTTGAGCACGGCATGGGGGTTGGACGATGTCTGCTCGCGCGAGACGTACGAGCCCTTTAGATCGTACAGTTCGTGGACATCGCGGTGAGGCGGGAACAGGTTGTTCATAATCACAAAGTGGATCTTCTTCCGTCCGGGCAGCTTGACGCGATGCAGGCCGTAAAACTGGCTGAGGAGCGTCTGTGGATTCGCTTGGACGTGCTCGTAGTACGGCTGCAGGATTTTCAGGAACAGTTTGTGCTCGCCATGGCGGATGGTCTTGATGATGAAGCGGTAGTCGTGGGAGAAGTAGAAGAACGAGCCGCTCTTCCCAGGCGAGCCCAGCTCGGTCAAGATGTACTTGGCCGCGAGCGAGAGCAGATAGTCGCCGGCATCCAGCCCAAAGTGCCGCCGCAAATCGCGGAAGACGCTCGGGGCGTAGTCCTTGAACTTGAAGTCGTACGTGGACTTGGACGCAAGTTCATTGCCGATGATGTCAAACGTAAACTTGTACTTTGCGCCAAAGTCGGCACTGGTGAGCGGCGCCGGGGGCCGTGCCTCGCAGCGCGACACGGCGATGCGGATGCCTGTGAGCATGTGGTACATGAGCACATAGTTCACATGGTCTTCGCCGATCAAGTTGCCTTTGAGGCCGGCCGGCACGACATGGCCTGTTTGGTCGTTGGCCGTGCTGCCTTGGTTCTTGGCGCGCCAGGACCGACGCAGGGCATCCGCGTTCTCGGCCATTTCCTGGTCAAACGTCCGCTCCGTCGCCGAGATGGTCGACGAGGTATTCATGCGCTGCGGCACCATCGCCGTGCTGATGGCCGACATGCTGTGGGAGCTACGGCGCTGCGCCAGCGCCTGGCGTGCTGCGATCGCTTCCTGCTCACGGTCGGTGCGAACGCCCTGGACGGAGGCGGGCGGCCGCGGGGATTCTTTGATCGCCGGCACGACCTGCTCCGCCGGGGCCGAGGAAGTCGACGGCATAGCGTCGGTGCCTAGCATGGCATGCACATCCATCAGCGGCGGTTCCGTGCGGTCATGGCTCAGCGTCGATGGCGCATCGTAGTACATGGCCGAGGACGACGTAAGAAACGATGCATCCGTGCCTGCCTCCGCGCGACTGGAGCGCGAGGCAATACTCGAGGCGCGTGTCGGCGCTAAGGACCCGTACGCAGACGAGATGGGCGGGGGAGGGGACGAGGGCATCGACGGTGGCGAGGCGGGGGGCGATGTCGGCGGCACGCTGGCCACATGCGTCGTCCCTGGCGTACGTAGCGCTGTCGAGGGGGGCGACGATGGCGTGAGCGCGGGCGAGGACATGGACGTCACGGGCGACGACGAGATCGGCGCGGACTCGTGCGGGGCGGTGGCCGCGACCGGGGAGCCGTGGCGGCTGGGAATCGGTGATCGCGCATCTGGGTACCACACAAAGGCCCCGATCCCGCCGCGCGAAGGCACGTCGGGGGGTGTTTCCACGTCTTCGTCGTTGTACCGCATCCACCGTGGCCGCCGACGTCGTGAGGGCGGGGGTGTGATGGTGCCTGCATGCCAGTCATGGCCCTGTGACTGCATGGATTTGGACTCGTCTGGACGGTAGGGCGAAATGAGGGGCGACGCGTACGGTGCGCTGCGAGAGAGAGTTACATCGAAGGTCTCGCGTGTGAGATGATCACTGACACGAATCCGCTGTTCTTCGGCGTCCAGCGCTTGGCGCACCATGGTAATAGGGTCCTTGGACTCGAAGACACGTGAGGTCGGTGACGATGGCGCAGTGAAGGTGCCGCCATGCCCACGGCCGCTCTGGGCGGGCGACACGGAGGCAACCATGGTCGTCGTAGCACGCGAAAAATGCTCGCGCCGGCCGGTCCTCGGCCGTGGACGAAGAGGTGACGTGATTGCGAGACACACCTCCATTCCCACGGCGGTGCGTTTCTCCACGGCGACGCGACGTTCGCTCGGACGGCCGGCCATGCAAGCGCCCGACTCCATCCCTGCGGCGTGGGCGGGGGGTGGGATGCCGCCCAGCGCAGGTGTGCTGCGTGTACAGACGCCGCCCGTCGAGCCGCCGCCACTGGTTCGTGCGAGCTTTTCATGCTCGCCGCGGGATTTCTGCCTGCCGATGGAGACAGATTCGCCCCGCGCGCTGACGCATGCGCGTCGGCATAGTGCTCGGCGTCTTCCCTCGATTCCGCGCGACAAAAACAAGCTGCGTGTCGCGGAGCTTTTAAAGGACGAGCAGCGCCCGGAGGAATGCGAAGTGCAGTCGGAGGCGCGCTTGCAGCGGATCTTGCTGGGCCAGACCACGACGCAGGACCTGATCTCGCGGCGCGCTCGGCGGATGCGTGGGCATCCGTACCCACCTACGTCTGACGTGCTGCATAGGTCACGCACAAGCTCGCTATGGCCCGGCGATGATGACGACGACGGTGACGACGACGCCGTCCACCTTCTCTCTCCTATGGATACCCCGCTCGACGATACGGAGATGGAGTCGGCGCCTTCCCCCCCCGCTGCAGCAGCGACGACGCCGATGACCACCACCACCACCACCTCGACAACAGCAACAGCGGCTCATGCTGGCATGTGCCCTGACGAAGATCTACATACGCTGACCGACGACGATTTGCACGTCCCCCTCCCCCCGCCTGCGACGTCGACCATGGACGAGCATGCATGGGCCCGCAGCCCCAGTCCCCGACCTGGCATGAAGCGCAAGTGGGACGACGACGTCCTGGCCGCACGACCTCGACGCCCCGCGCCTACCGCGCCGTGGCCCTCGTGGATCGCGCCGCCGACGCACTCGCCACGGCGGTACTGGGGGACAGGCAGCGCCACGCTCTCCCTCTCGCCGTCGCCATCGTCGTCGCCTCTGGCGCTGCATGCCCACACCATCCCACGTCGGCCGTCGCTTACGTCCATGCCTATGGCGTTCTCGCCGCGGGACGAGACGCCTGCCTACCTGGCCCGCTCGCCAGGGACGGGTACGATGATGATGACGTCTACCACGACGACGGCGACGACGGCTGCGGCCGCCGCCGCCACAGGCTCCGGGCCTGGGTATGGCCATAGCGCTATTGGGCTGCGCATTGGCGGCGCACGAGCGATCCCCATTCCCACCGCCCAGGAGAATGCCGAGATGGACGAAGGCGTTCGTCAATTGGGCCTCACATAGATCTATGTACGTTATGCTATCCCATCATCCAAGCGCACATCGTAGCCGGCACGCGCACACGTCTCCTTCACCGCGTGGATCGAGACTTCGCGGCGGTGGAAGATACCGGCGGCGAGCGCAGCCTCGATCGGCGCGCCGTGCGCGGCCGGCCGCGCGGCAAACACCTCACAGAAATGCTCGGCCGTGCCGGCGCCGCTGCTGGCAATCACCGGAATCGAGACGGCGCCGCGAATCAAGTCGATCAACTGCACGTCAAAGCCCTTGTTGCTGCCGTCGCGGTCGATGCTGTTGATCAGCAGTTCGCCAGCGCCCAGTCGCTCTACGCCACGCGCCAGCTGCACGACGTCCAGATCACGCGCTTCGCGGCCGCCTTTGACCGTGCACTGGTACCACCACCGCGCTCGCTGCCCGGCCCTGTCTGCACGCTCATCCACACCTTCCACGAGACTCGCGGCATGCGCGGGCGGCACAGCCTCGGTCGAGTCGAGGTACACACGCTTAGGATCGATACTGACCACGACCGCTTGCACGCCGTACTTGTGCGCAATCTGCTCGATGCCCGTATCGCCACAAAGGGCCGTGGCTGGTGCGTCGCATGGATCGTACGACGTGCTCCCTGCCTCGCGCGCGCGCGCGAGCAGCTGCTCTACGGCGTACACGGCCTCGCTGCCGATGCTTACCTTGTCTGCGCCCGCCCGGAAGTACGCATGCGCGACGTTCAGCGCAGGATGGAACGTGCCGTCAGGATCTGTAAAGTCTCGGATACCTCCGCCGATCGTCAGCGGGACAAACATCGTAGCTGCGGCGACATTGAGCAACGAGAGCATCGGCTGATCGCCCAACGCCCACTGCCGGAACGACGTAATGTTCAGGAACGCTACTTCGTCTGCGCCTTCCTCGTAGTATCGCTGTGCCAACTCGACTGGCTTGCCCATATTCCGCACATGCGCCGTAGCACTCGACGCACTGCGCTCACGCACATCGTAACTCTCGCCTTTTGTCACGACCAAGTCGCCATCGTCGTTGCTGCGCACGTCCAAGCACGCGACAATACGGCGCGTAGGCATCGTGTGCGTCGTCGCACAGGGGCGCACATGCTGTCGCTCTGCCGCGTGGGCCTTGGTACACGCGGCCGGCGCCTGCTCGAGCCAGGCCTGCAGCAGTGCCAGACCGGCCGCGCCACTCTTCTCAGGATGGCACTGCGTCGCAAAGACATTCCCACGCTGGATCACCGACACAAACGTCTCGTCGCCATACTGCGTCGTACCGAGCGCCCATGGCGCCACATCAGGCGTGTACGGCACACAGTACGAGTGCACAAAGTACAAGTGCGAAGGACGCAACGTCGAGAGGCCATACTGCGCGCCTACCGTCGCTCGCACATCGTCCTCGGCATCCCATGTCACGACATTCGCCGTACTCCAGCCCATGTGCGGCACGGCCTTGCGCTTGCTCGCGCCATCGTGCGTCGAAAAGCGGCGGACACGGACAGGGACGATGCCCAGCCCTTGCGCCTCCGGCGACTCTTCAGAGCCCTGACACAGCACTTGCATACCGACGCAGATGCCCATGATCGGCTTGCCACTCTCAATGTACGCACGCAGCGGCTCAAAGTACCCTTTGGTATGCAGCGCCTCAATGGCACTTCCAAACGACCCGACACCAGGAAACAGCAATTTCTCATATATCAGCCCTCATCGTCGTCATACATACGTCGGCCTTGGCCAAGTCGGCCGGCTCTTTGACCCATTCAAACGAGTACCCCAGCTTGGTCAGCGAGTTCGCTAGGCTTTGGATATCTGCGTAAGTTTGACATGCTACACGTACTGCCTGCGCCATAGTCCAGCACATACAACATCGTTGCGTCACGATCCCTGCAATCTGCTGCCACGAGTCACACACGTCGCGGTGCCAGCGACGGTCGGTGCTATGGCATGCCTCCACCTTGGCGTCTTTCCTAGCACGTGATACGCTTGGCAGGCGTGGTACGCCCAGCGCGCCTGTCGCGCGCGCTGACACAGACCACCTCAGCCGTCGTCTGTCGTACGTAGGATGCCGCCACCCCAGCCACGGCCTACGCCGCCGACCCAAGGTCCCTCGACACCGTCCAAAACAACTCGCATCACAGGAACACCGTCGAAAAAGCCCAGCAAGTATCCCTCGCGTCCCTCGACACAATCGTCCTCTACGCCGCGCAAGAGCAGCGATACGCCTAGGACCGCAGCACCGTCCACGCCTGGCCGATCGTCCTTGTCAAAGCCTGAGCTAGTCAACTCGTCGCCGTCCAAGATGGGCATGACAGGCACGCCAACCCAGGCCACACGGCTCAAGACGACCCCAGCTGCCAAGGCCCAAACGCCCTCGCAACCGCCGCCTACGCCCTCCACGCCGCCATCGTCGTCGGAGATCGCCGAGGCGACCAAGTCGACTGTGCGCCAAGTGCTTTCGACGTCGCCACGGCGGTCCACATGGCTCTTGCGTGTACAGGGCCTTGCGAGTGTCTTGTTCCGCTTGGCCGCGTTTGTGTTCTTGCGCATCATTCCCGGGTGGTTCGGTTTCTACGCCATTCACTTGTACGCCATCTACTTTCTCGCATGGCTGCTCTACGATGTGCGCGCGCGTCGCAGGCCAAGTTCAGAAGCGTTCTCACTCCGTTCAGTGGTGTTGGGCACATCGACCAAGTCACGTAGCCTGAATCTCGTGCACCTCGCGATCAACACCATTGTCTTGCTGTGGGTCCTCGACTTGTACTATGCTCCGCACATGTTCCCTTCTCACCGTGAGTCGTCGCTTCGGTTTGCTCGGATGGGCCACATCAGCCCTACTTCCGCCACCGTGCACGTTCGCTATCCCACGCCGCTGCCGCCGCTCACAGGTCTGTGGGACACTGGCTTGGACGACGTGGGCGAATTGACCGACGCCTCTACCATCAACGAAGCGCCGCTGCGGGTCATATGGCGTCGCGTCGCGGACCAGGATGACAATGCGCCTGCGCTGAACACGGTACGCGACCCTCGCCGCTGGGAACGTGGACCTTTGCTTACACTGACCAATGCCACAGACTGGACCGCGGTCGCTGAGCTGCCTGATCTCTGGCCTGCGACCAAGTACGAATGGCGCCTGGCTTTCGTGCACAACAACACGTTTACCCCGATGCCAGATCGGCCTATTCCATTCATGACATGGCCCGATCCGCGTCTCTCTGCCTACCGCAAGACCAAGTTTGCCGAGAACGAGGCCCCGGTCTCGGATGCTATCCCCTTGGACGACCCGAACCATTTCAAGTTTGCTGCATTCTCCTGCGTCAAGCCCGACTTTCCGTACCACCCCGCGCAGTTCTGGGGCTGGAACTGGCTGCTGCGTTGGCTCGGCCTTGGCACAGAGCAAGGCGGTATCACGTCGCGCAACCGTATCCCCGGCTTTGATTTGATGGCCAACCACCTGGCATCGTCGTCGCACCGCCTGTCTGGCCTTCGCTTCCTGCTCGAACTAGGCGATCTTATCTACGCGGATGTCCCACGTTATGGCGGACCTTCTGTCGAATCCTACCGCCAGCTCTACCGCAATCTCTTTGCCTCGTCCTCGTTCCAGCGCATTTATCGTTCTATCCCGATTCTCGGCATGTACGACGACCACGAAATCGTGAACAACTGGAGCGGCGGTGGCTATAATGAGGACAACTTCCTCCACTCGGAGTCGGCCCATGACAACGAAGCGGAGCGCGTAGATGCACCGATAGGCCTGGGCGCTGGTCTCCAGGCGTGGAGTGAATATGTGGGCCGTGCCAATCCGCCGTCTGAAGCGGAGAGCGAGCACTACTATTCTTTCCAGTACGGTGACTCGGCGTTCTTTGTGCTTGATACACGCAAACATCGCACTCACCTTGATACAGACGAGGAAGAGCGCACGATGCTGGGCCAGCAACAACGCGATGCTCTACTCGACTGGCTCCATAAGGTAAACCAAACGGCCACCTTCAAGTTCATTGCTTCTTCAGTTCCCTTTACCAGCTTGTGGGGCGGGCCTCTTGATCTGGATGGCCGCACAGATGGATGGTCGTACTTCCCACACGAGCGACGCATGTTGCTTGATGTCCTCCAATACGTGCCCAACGTCATTATCCTCAGTGGCGATCGACACGAGTTTGCCTCTGTGTCGTTCCGTGACTCGGTTTTGGAATTCAGCACCAGCCCTCTGTCCATGTTCTACATTCCTATTCGCACCCTTTCCCAAGAACATTCGATTGACCCACCGGGCGAGGAAGTACTGCTGAAATACTTGCCCGATGGCAATTACAAGTGGACCGAGCTGGAAGTCGATACACGCGATCCCCAACGGCCGTTGGTCAAGGTGAGCGTTCAGGTGGATGGACAACCTGCATGGAACGTCCAGATTGAAGGAAAACCTGTTCATCAGCCACTGAGCGCCCTGGGTGCCTTAGCCAAGTCATTGTTGGAGCTTTTGGGCTTCCGTAACTTGGACTGGTTCTAGAGCGTCGTACGAAAATAGTCTTTAGTATAAAGAGGATATATGTTAATGGACCGACAGATCTTGTCCCGGCTAGCTCAGTCGGTAGAGCGTCAGACTCTTAATAGAGTCTCTTCGGTTGCGAAGAGTTATCTGAATGTCGTGGGTTCGAGCCCCACGTTGGGAGCATCCTTTTTATTCTATGTTTCTAAATAACGTAGGTGTTATATAATCCAAATTAGTGGTTGTGCAAACGTGTCCCGGCTAGCTCAGTCGGTAGAGCGTCAGACTCTTAATAGAGTCTCTTCGGTTACGAAGAGTTATCTGAATGTCGTGGGTTCGAGCCCCACGTTGGGAGCACCTCTTTTTTGGCCTTGGAGACTTGCGCTGCAGTCTGCTTTGATGTACAGTGGTGTAGGCGATCGTTCTTATACTTTTTGGCCATGGTACTGCTTTTCTATTTAGATACGGACACTGGCATTCGCACGGTTGATCATACCAACCTTATGCTGCTCCTCCTTGCGAGATAGGACAGAGCTATTGCCTTCCACAACAGCCAATATTTCCACAGCCAATCGACGGCTAATAGAACGGTCAGAACGCTTGTTACCCGCATCGATGATCCATTTCAACGCACGACGTGTGCTTTGGCGCTCGTTCAGTGGGATAGGCACCTGCATATTTTTTCCACCTTGCTTGCGGGTTTGCATCCGAAGAATGGGTCTAGCCAATTCCACAGCTTCATATACCACGGGAAGCGGGTCAGAGTTTGTGAGCTTAGCGATATAGGCCAGCATATCAGCGATATAGCGTTCAGCTGACGCTTTTTTACCATCCCGCATTAACAAGTTTACAAAGAACTGAAGAAGTGGGTCTTGCTTGGGAGGAAGCTTAGTAGGCGAGTACATATAGTTTGTTTTGCCATTGGACGTGCTAGGGTGAATTGTAGACTGCCCAGGAAGGGTGATATGAATGGGTTCAGTTTCAGCAGCAGCTTTTGGCGTCGGTGTAGACATTGTCTCCGAGTTAGTGTTTTCGTTGTTCCACCTTAATGTGGTTGAAAAATGGGACACCGTCTGCTTTGTTAAAATGCAGCTTTCATTAGCATTCCACAAGCTCTTTGTTGCATGTGTGGCCACTCGCCACTGAGGCTTTAGAGCTCTAAAGGCACTCATAATGCTAGCTGAAGCAGCAAAGAGAGGGCTTGGAAGGATGTGGTGCGCATTCGGGTCACGTGTCCAATCTTCCCAAAGGTGCGTCACTATCATTTGAATGCAGCGAACAGTACTAGGACAGCAGTCCACTCGGCCCTTCAGTGTTTGACACTCACAACTCTCCACGCACATACTATGAGCAGTATTCCCATAAGAGAGGAAGTTTCTCTCCCTGGAACTGCGCCAGGCCCACCACCTGCACGACCTCCAACTCGGTGGGGTGTCCCACCACCATCCGCAACAACATCAAGTGTGCATAGCGATGGTCCTCGAAAGCCAAGGGTGCCACACGTTATTTCTCAACGGGAACCACTAACCCCTGATATTGACAAAGAGGTATGTTTTAATATTGATAGTGGGACTAATATTCCTCTCTAGATCCAAAGCATTCGCACGCAGCGGATGAATTCTATCCGGTCTCATTTTTTGGCCACATCAAAAGGCTCGAATGGGAGCACCTCTATACCCCCTCATTTCTCTTTGCAAAGTGCTCTCATGGAACTTGAAGATGCGGAAATTGAAGCTAGTGCCATGCATGCGCGCACGGATTCTATCGAAGCGTCATTGACAAGGACGCAGGAAGATGCATTCGCATACACGGCCGTCTCAACGGCTCAGCGTAGTGACTGACTAGATACTTGTATAGCTTCCTACCTTCTTTTCAACCTTGCCTGACATCATTGAGTCCAGGAGAGCGATTGCGTTTTTTTCGTACACCTTTTCGTCGCTTGTTGTACATTTTTCGACACTACCTGATTGGCTTATTCGAGACCCGACGGCTTATGACAGTTCAAAAAAGGTGCGGCTCGGGGATCAAAGTCCACAGTGCCAGTGTGTGCGTTTTTGAAGGGTCGCACCTTAATTGAGCGCTAGACGACGAGGCAGAGCCTGCTGTTGCGAAACTCATTTGTCGAGGACCCATTCCAACAAGCATATTGATATCTGGCCATATGAGTAGGCTAGCGTCAACCCCTCCAGAGTCGACCACAGTTGACCTGGACTGGGAGGCATTTGCTGCATTGTATATGCATGGGGATTGGGATCCAACTGCCTTGCCTGCGCAGCCATGCTCATCACATGCCGTGGATCGAAAAACTATGAGATCCGCCTATGATGCACTCATATCTACGTCGCCTACGAAAGACTATACTGCTGTGGCTACCTTAGCTTCTTATATGGAGGACTGCTTTTCTCGGAAAGGGTATCTACCGGCTTTTTTGCCTGCTGATCATATTGCACTCCCCCGAGTCTTGTGGTATAGCAAGCAAATCAACCGATACCATTTAAAAAGCATGCAACAAGTGCTTCGGACAGTGATAGAAATCTTCCAAGTTCCTTACGTGTCCGTGAAGCTTATGGGACCTAAGCTTGGCGAGGATTCAAAGGATGCTGATCACTTAGATGCCTTGCGTCAGAAAGGACTCTTCCCTTTCAAGGTGGTATCAGAGTGGACGCATAGTTCTAGGCCTGATATATTTCAAGATGAGACTGGATGGTCACAGTCTCTCTCTGCGCATTCCCTTTATCTTGATGACGAACAGGCACTTGTGGTCCCCGACGTGAACAAGGACTGGCGTTTTGCCAAGAGTCCATTCCGGCAAAGCTTTCAATTCTTTGTCAGTGTGCCCCTAAAAGGATTTAATGGTGAGCTTATCGGCGCATTTTCTTTGGCAGATATTGAGAAGCGAGGGCCTGTGACAGCAACAGATATGAAAAAGATCCTTGACCTCTCTGGTATGGTCTCTGACGTTATTCAGCTCTCGTTAAATTCAGCGGAGCTTTCTCGTCGTGACCAATTGAAGCGAAGCACCGAGTATTTTCTCCAGCATTTTCTGAATGATCGCGAGCGCGATAACGACGATGGCGCAGACACGCTACAGGCTAGTGAGGGCACACAGTCGAATGATGGAAGTCAAATCAGTCATGCCAGTGAAGATTATTTGCGGATTTATAACTTTGCTGCTCAAACTCTCCAAGTATCAATGGACGTGTCTGGTGTTGTCATTTTCGATCTGTCCAGCTTTGTCCTTGTCTCCAAATTGTCTCATACGATGGGAAAGTCTGTGGAAGAAGTTCATCATGCACGTCTCATCAAGCATCAGTCTCATGGAGACCGTGACGAAGACGATTCAGCCGGTGACACAACTGCTTTGCTTCCGCCGCTTCCTGTGCTCGGCTCTAGTGAATTCCTTTCTCCTACTGAATTGCGTCACCAACCTATGGATACCGAAACCGTTTCTACCATTTGTAAATTTCTAACTCATACGCAACTGGGCAGGCAGTTCCGGCATTCGATCCCGTCTGTTTTTGCCAAACTACTTCCCGTCGAAGCAAAAGATCCACTTTTTGTGCCTATCATGGGCGTTGAAAGACAGCCATTTGCTCTCATATGCTGTTATGGACGACCGGGTGAATATGCATTCGTTCTTGACCAAATGATTCACACTGCTACACAACATATCCGCGCTATCGGCTATATGATGATGGACGTCATCATGAAACACAATGTGGTCCTGGCTGACCGTGCAAAATCTTCTTTTATCTCTAGCATGTCACATGAACTTCGCACGCCCCTCCATGGTATCCTAGCTTCTGCTGAGCTATTACTGGATACAAACCTCGATAAACTCCAGCAATCATACGCTCAAACCATTGCATCCTGTGGTCACGGTCTCCTAGATCTAGTCAACCATGTCCTTGACTATACCAAGCTCTCTAGCAACTCAACCAATGTGAAGAAAAAGAAACATGTCCAGTTGGCGGAGTGTGATCTTACTACACTAATTCAAGAAGTATGCGATAGCAGTTTTGTTGGTCAACTGAGTCCCTCGCGCCTTCCAGATGGCGCTAATGGTGGCTTAGGTTCTGTCTATGATCCACAAAATGCCTCCACTGGCCCGACAAATGATGCGGGCTCTATTGAGTTGCTTATCGATATCGAAAAGCGACAGCAAGGCTGGAATGTGCTCTGCGATACAGGGGGGTTGCGGCGTGTTCTCATGAATTTAATCGGCAATTCATTAAAGTTTACTTCGGATGGCTATGTCAAAGTATCTTTGCGAAAGCTCTACAAATCCAACAATCGTATGCGTGTGAGTTTCCATGTCCGAGATACAGGCATAGGTATCTCACGATCCTTTTTAGATCAACACCTTTTCCAGCCTTTTTCTCAAGAAAATCCATTAGGAGGCGGCACTGGTTTGGGTTTGTCGATTGTGTCTGAGATTGTAAGCTCTTTTGATGGCGGTACTGTCAATGTGGAAAGCACGTCAGGGAAGGGAACCGACATCGTAGTGTCTTGTGAATTGGACGCACCGTCTCCCACTCCCACAACGTACCAACCGCAGTTGCAAGTAAACCATGCTTATGTGGTTCACCTTATTGGCTTTACGTCGTCGCCAGCCCATGAGGCTCTTCGTCAAGTGTTGTCTACGTATGTGACGGTATGGTGGGGTTTTGATCTTTCTTCGAAGGATGTATCCGAAGAGGAGCTTTTGCATACTATGGCCTCCCGCTCCAAAGAGATTTTCATTCTGAACAACCACTCTGATTTCCTGCACAAGGTATTGGAACAACGGAATTCCTTGCAGTGGCGGCTTCCACCGATCGTAACTCTGACTGACATTGAAGACAAGGGGCACGCTACGGCGTCGTGCAACAAGTACCATGCTCAAGGCGGCACAGCGGAGTTTTTGCTTAAACCAGCTGGTCCATCCAGGCTTGAAATTGTGCTGCGTCAATGTATCAATGCTCTAGAGGCGCTTCCCGGTGCATCCGAACCTCATTTTTCCGGGGACGGGTCCCATTTCCAGGTCCCTGCAGCTATAGCCTCGATTACCACCTCACCGGTAGTCAAGACGCCAGTTTCATCCAGAGAGGCGATGGTGGCCAAGTTGAAGAAATTACAGATCGTTGAAGAAGAGGCTCCTATCCTGCCACCAACGATGGTCCAGCTGACTCCCATTTCTGCCTCTGACCCCCATGTGGTGCAGGAGCTACGCAGCTTGGATCCTATCCCCAATTCGCCTGCCACATGTCTCGGCACCACCACCACCACCACTCACGACAATCATGGCAATGGCGTATTCCGCGTTCTTTTTGTTGATGACAACATGGTAAATCGTCAAGTACTTCGTGCATATTTGAAGAAGCTACAAATTTCCTACGTGGAAGCTGTTGATGGATGTGAAGCTATTGCCTTTTACGGTGCATACCCACCTGACTACTTTGACTTAATCCTTATGGACTATACCATGCCGAACATTGATGGCATGGTTGCCACCAGAACCATTCGCAAGATGGAAGAACGCCGTATTCTCATGGACGCTTCCTGCCCACGCACTGCCATCTATATGTTGTCTGGCACATCTACGGATGACATCATGCGGATGAATCTAGCCGCGGGGGCTGATGGCTATCTCGTCAAGCCTCTCAGCTTCAAAGTCCTCGTCCCATTGGTAGACTCCCTACGCACGTCCACGTAGGCATCTTGTACATTAGTATATTGCAATTTTGTCGATCTCATCTTCTGAGTGGGCACCTGTCACGTCCCTGCATCAGCTGCGTGTGGGCGCTCAACGCCCATTGTGGGCCCACGCGAAGCCCGATCCCGCTGCTTAGTCAGCACTCTTTTTTGTGATGGGGCGTACGTCGGGCGTTGGGAGTCCCCCGAACAATTTTGTGGGAAGCGGTTTGTCAAATCAACAGACACCTTGTCCAAGTAGTCTATTCGCTGCGTGAAGGTCGTCACCACACTTCTTTTCCTGTGGATACAGGAACGCCGCCTTTACGCCGCGATATACATGCGCCATGTCGTTTGTTTTTCCGGAATTACCGTCATGGCTATTGACAGAGCAACCGCCTCTGGTGGAATTTGTACGTTACGCCATGTGAAAGCTCACCTTCCAGTCGGCCCATACTCGATCCACGGTGCTGGACAATACCAATGACCTCAATCTTCTCAATGGCGCATTTAACAACAATATGTCTTCGTACCCAGCATCTATGGAGTCCGACGTGAAAATGCTTTTGGGAGGGCAGCGCGTGGGTAATCCTACCACTTGGACCACGTCTGCACCATCGCAAAGCACCAGCCATGCCATGGACTTCAATAACAATGGCATGAATGCATTGTTGGGATCGTTTCCTACACCCACTCCTTCCGGCTCAGGCTGGGACACACGCAATGCATCTGCCACACCCATGATGGGCATGCCTAGTAACTCGCAAGTTATGATGCCTTCTTCGAACAACCAGCTGACCGACTTGACACGTCTATCAGCGCCACGCACTATGTCAGCATCTACATCCCCTTCCTCTTCTTCATACAATGCGGACCCATCTCTTGGTATGCTACCAATTCAGCGAAATACCCTTCCTTACGATATATTACCCACCACGAATGTGGCCACCGCTGCTGCTGCTGCTGCTGCCCCCCCGTCCAACTCCCTGCTGCCAGGCTTCGCTTCGTCGTATGGCAACTCACTAGTGCCTAGACCGGATACTGCTGCCCTTACACAGGGCATACTACGCACGTCCATGTCGCCCTCGCCTGCGTCCGTATCCGACATCTCAACGTCGACCAATCTCAGTGGCCCGAGCTGGACGACCCTGGGGTCTGCTGCTGTGACAGCCGTCACCACCACTACCCCATCGATGAACTCGACAGCTCGTCGTGGCAGCGATGCTAAAGGAGCCAAGGCGCGGCCATTTGTGTGCACACAATGTCCACGCGCCTTCTCCCGGAAACACGATCTCGAACGCCATGCTCGAGTACACTCAGGCGACCGACCTTACATCTGTCGGATATGCAAGAAAGGGTTTCCACGAAGTGATGCTCTGCGTCGCCATATCCGCGTAGAGCGTGATACACACGAGTCCTACTTCGTTTCGAAGAACTCTGATGTGCTGGACATGTCAGACCGAGATCGTCTTTCCTCTGGTCATCGCAAATTCGGAACATGAGAGTTCCACGCACTCTTCATATGTATATATGGCATTTACTCTATAAGCACCATGGCTATTGTCTTTATTTCATGGAGTCCAATCTTTTCACGTCAATGCGAGCGTCTTTGGAAACAATGTCAGGCGTCAGGATCTGGTCAATCACTTTCAGCAATTCCTTGAACGAATGCTTGATCGTCACATCTGACACGCCTGCCGCCACAGAAATACGGCGCGCGGTGCGCTGCTCATTGACCAAAATCGTAACCAGGTATATAGTGGCGGCAGCAATGGTGATAGGCGAACGACCAGCGAGGAAGCCCAACTCCTGAATACGCATCGTCACGGCCTCTGTCACACGGACAATGGACATATCCAGACCCAAGTGGTTGCAGTATCGGGCCACCAAGTCTGTGGCTCCCACAGCGAGGCCAAGAGGCGCCGCGCCTCCTGTCCCTGCACTAGCCACTGCTGCATCCACGGACGTATCTTCGCCGTCAATCGAGCCTGAGCCAGTGGCATTCAAGCCAAAGGCTTCCTTCATCTCGCGGAAACACCGCGCTACCTGTTGCTTGCGTGCCGACGTGAGTGCACACACCTCTGGGAAGGTACGTGGCACACGGTTCACACGGCAGGCGACATAGATGGCAGCAGCGATAATGGCATCGGTTTGTTTCCCACGTAGAAGTTTCTCCTGCTCGACTCGTCGATACGCTTGCTTGGCGGTGTCGCACACTGTTCGTGGCAAGTGGATGCTATCACACTTGTTTTGGATCAGGTCAAAGGCATCCAGAAGCGATCGATCACGCGGTGCCGAGGCACGAGACATGGTTTTGAGCAGTTCACGCGAGGTGCCAGTTCCACCATCGCGTGCGGCAATTCGACTCTCTAGCTGCTCCGTAATACCATCGAGAATCGGATTGGCCACACTACCCACACGCGAGGGATCATCGCCATCTTCATTCGCAAAGGTTCGCCATTCACTTCGGGTATCCACAATGCGATCGCCCAGGACTAGCCCACAGTCGGCACAGACCAAATCGCCACTGGCAAACTCTTCTGTAATATTCGGCGGCGTTGTCTGGCAATCGGGGCAGATCAGACGCACATTCAGATCTGGCAAGAATTGGCCCTTCTTGGCAGGGTCGTTGTGGCGTGTGCCTGACAGGTTGTAGCCTGCTGCCGCACGTTCTGCTGCGAATCGTGGCGTGATGGCAAAAGCATCAGAGAGGGAGGGAGGTGCTGCATGGATACGCTACGTATGAGCCACCATACCGAATACATACCTCTGCTTCGGACGACATGGCTGCCCACCACCACCAGCCAGTTCGAAGCGATGAGGTGCGTGCACCGCTCGGGGGTGGAGGGTTCGCACCTTCGGCCTTGCATCACGTGATCAACACGCGCCCATCGCGCGGCTAGCCCCACCGAGAGGAGGTGCGAGCAAGCGAGCGAGCTCTCCAGCGCCTGTCACACCGACTGTTACAGCTTGTGGCGCTGGCACTACGTCTGTCCGATGGATCACCCTGACGTGCCTCCATCGAGTTTTGAGGCGTTCGCCGATGCATACCGAGCTGCGCGCTCGCTAGATACGGACGCGCAGCTCAGTGCGGAGGCCGGCACAGCGCTGGTCTTTGCTGATGTGTGTGCGGAGCGTGCGCGATCTGCCCAGGACCCGACGGCTTCAGATCTAGTCCATGCACTGGATGATCGTGATGCAGAGGCGTGGGCGACCGAAGCGCATACGTGGAAGCTGATTCATGCTCTCTTTAGGTTTGTACTTGCCTTGTCTGTCTTACACCGCAGCGAGCGTTTGGTGGAGCCACGCCTTGGCCTCGTTTCGCCGCCTGCCAACCAGTACGAGACGCCACTGGCGACCGTCCAGCGTGTCCTGGAAGCCAGTCCCGAATTGGCAGAATTAAAAGTATGTTCGTCGTTTGCGACCTGACCCCTAGATCATTCGTGAATGGCTGCAAGAGGTGCTGCCTGTGCGCCATGGTGTCGAGGTTCGCAAGGGCTACATGCCCTTTACGAAGAATGCGCTGCGGGCCGAAAAGCGTACACAGGTCGGCCAAACACCTCTTCGCCGTGGGCGTGAGAAGCTTGTGCAGCAATTGGATCCGGATGCTGCGCTTCGTGGGCCTGGCGCTTGGGACGTCGAGGATGTGCACTATGAAAAGGCGCTTCTTCGACATCTGTTTGAATATGTGCGAGCGGGTGATTTGGACTTGGCGCTTGACCTCTGTGTCCAAACCAGCCAGCCGTGGCGATCGGCCTCGTTGCGTGGCGCGATTTTCTATCATGACCCGACGTTGTGCCCGCCGTCGGAGCATGTCACCGAGCCCTTGGGATCTCGGACACGAAGTATTTGGCGCCGCATTGCCAAGAAGGCCGCCTCCAACGTGGCGCTGGATCCGTACGAGCGTGCGCTATACGGTGCGCTAAGTGGCGATCTCGCTTCGGTCCTGGCTGTAAGTGAGTCTTGGGAAGAGCGGCTGTGGGGCTACGTCAATGCACGCTTTGAGCAGTTGCTGGAGCAGCATGTCAATGCGGCGATGCCCTCCCATACCCTGGCCGACACACTGGATAGCAAGTGTCTGGCGGAAGATACGACAGCCGAATCGTCGGAAAGCTTGGATTCCATCTTTGAGCAGCTTGCGCAGGCCACACCTACCGCGTCCCAGGATGCTTTGGATCCGTACCACATTGTGCAACGGGCTGTCATTACCGACAGTGTGCCGGACCTGCTCGCGCGTGTCAATGCGCGTTTGCCAGAGATGGAGCAGCTAGCGCCGCATGTCTACGCCCGCCTTGTGCGGTTCTTTGCCCATCTCACGCTGTTTTGCCACTTGGTCCATGTGCCCTTACCTGTGCCCCTTCGTACGCCGATTCTTAATGCGTACGTGGGTGTGCTGCAGCGCGCCGGTGAAAGCAGTGAGCTCGTGGCGCTCTACGCCTCGAGTTTGGAGGAAGACAATGCGAATCATGTGTACGCCGACTTTCTGTGTGCTATGGACCCAGACGCATCGTTGGAGGACCGACGTCGTGCGTTGCTGCAAGCGCAGCCACATGGCTTGGATCCAGCTGTGGTGGCGCGGGCGACGATGCATATGCTCTCGACCGAGCTTCTGCCGAGCCTCCAGCACAGCGACAAAATTCAGGCGTGGAATGCCTTGCTACGTCCCAACGAACGTCGACTCATCCTGGCTGTGGACTGGCTCACGTTCTTCGAAGCGACGTACGCCGATGCCATCCACCAGATCAATACCTTGGCGCGTGTATTCATGTCCACAGGGCGCTTGCATGCCGCTCACAGCTTGTTGCAGCGTGTGCCTAGTGATTTGCTGAGTGCGCTGCCGTCGATTCCCATGGCGTCCGATGAGCTTATGGAGCTGGATCACTGGCGCAGCTACTTTGATGTGCTTAGCAAGAATGTCCAGGTACGTGGCCTATGGAGTGACTGTGCCCTGGCCGAGTCGCATGCAGAGCAACATGCATGGACACAGGCGCTCGTCAGTGCCTCGGAGGCTGCGCGGCTGGCCAACATGGAGTTGCTGGAGCTGGGCTGGCTCCAGTTCCCCCTGGTCGAGCCTGACACGCTCCGGCAGACGCAGCTGCAAGAGATTCGGCGCAAATATATCCCGGAAATTGTGCAGAGTCTTCACTGGATGCTGGTGGATACCAGCCAGGTCATCAAGGAGAACCTGGCGCATGCGCTCGCACTGCCAAACCTTGTGGCCGACGAGCGCTTGCGGCTGTACATGGAATTCACGCCGACGTCGCACGCCACGACGCTGCATCCTCTGCGCAAGTACTTGGACCAAGTGCGCGAAGCTTCTCTGATCGCTTTGGACCGACGACAAGATGTGTTTGGATGCGAGCATACATCCACGGTATAGTGCTATAGCTACATGGTAGGCTACTACAGGTAAAAGTTGCGTCGCGACGCGCCCATCTTGGGCTTCCACGCAAACTCCACGCCGTCGTTGGTCGAGTAATCGGCCGCGACCGCGGCGTCGTTTGTGGCGCTGGGGGCCGTCTCGGAGGCAGGGAGCGGCGCTTCTTCCAACTCGTCGACGAAGCGTCCATCCCAGGGCCCTGCTCCTTTCGGCAGGCCCGACGTCAGCTTCACAAGCTTCAGCGTGAACCGCGGCCCAATTTCCTGTAGCGCCGCCTTGTCGGTGGAACGGAATTCGTACCGATGCCGACGGAAAAAGACAAAGTCTCGTTGGTTGTGCGCCGTGATGACTTGCCGGCCTTCCAACTGCGGCACTTTCGGGAAGAGATGCTGTAGCAGCGTACCTACACGGTGACCCAGCGCCGTCGTGAAGTTGTTCAGGATCAGCTCTGGTGTATGAGGTGTAGGCCGAGCATGACCGTAAATCTCTTTGCCCAGCGAAATGGACGTGAGGCGGAAGAGTGCGGTAGGCCCTAGCGGCAACGCCACGAGCGTGAGCGAGCATGGCTTCTTGTTCGACTCGCCAATGACAATCACTGCATCGTACCGACGTGCCCGTGCCCAGCGGCAAATCTTGCCGAGACCCGCGCCTTGCGCTTTGGCCCGTGGGCGGTACTCGGCGCCGGGGAATACATTGAGCAGCTCCTTCACAAAGTCACGCACAGCTTCCGCTGGGTGGCTGCGTGCGTTGGCTGAGACAAGATGAGGCGAGGTCGAATTGGACGGCAGCGACGTCGTTAGCAGGATCGACGGAGGCGCTGTCGGATCGTCGTCCACGTCGTACTTGGCCTGCTGCGGATCGACCATGACCTCTTCCTCTTCATCGTTGTCCTCTTCTACGGCGATCGGTTCTTCCTCGTCGTCATCGTCGTCGTCTTCCTCTTCCTCTTCGTCGTCGTCGTCGTTGTCCTGAGCCGCCTTCAGCACGGCAGGAGACTCTGTAGGGATCCACGCAGGTCCTTCGTGCGTGTTGGGTGCATTGAGGATCGTTGGATTGTACTCACGCGTATTCTCGATCGTGCGTGTTTTGTTCTTGGCAAGTCGTTCCTACCGATCAGCATAGTGTATACGTACCTTTTTCAGGGCCTTGCCATCGCTCGACGCACGCTCGGCTTTCGCCTGCTTCAATCGTTTCTGGAGCTTGCGCTTCGCCTTTTCCTTCCTGTATTTTTGGTACAAATCTTGCCGTTTATGTTTGTTGCCGATATGCGAGACGTTGCCGGCGCGTGCGCCGCCTTGCGGCGCCGCCGCGTCGCTGTCGACGTCCGCCGTCCGTGCTCCGCCCATCGCGATGGAGGCCGTCAGTGTGGATCTCCCTTTTTTTTCTGGGCTTCATGGCCACGTGGCCCGGCCGCACCCGGGCTGCGCTCGCCCTACACCCGCTTTTTGCGTCGCTGGGGGCTTTCGCCTTTCTCTACCATCAACATGTCGATGATTTTCGCTGCTTCGCGTGCTTCGCTCCGTGCCGCCCAGGCGCCCTCGATGGCTCTTCGCCGCTCGCTCCACATCGAGAACACCGTGGAAAATGTACGTATACGATGCCATACTAACCTATCCAGGCTCGTATGTACACAGCCGTCCGCCTCGTAAACTAACCTAGCAGTGCCGTTCAAGGCTAGCAAGAAGAACAAGGGCAAGGTGGCCTTTGGCGTGTCTGCCTTCTTTGTGACGGGTCTTTCGCTCCCGGTGGTCGCTGGCCTCTGGCAGTTGTATGTGAGCCCTGGATAGACCGACCGACTAACACCTACAGGAACAAGCAGTAATTGCGTAGTCTTCACCACTTTCGGAGTAGCACTCACCAATGAACGTGTGTCTCTACACAAGCCACTGTCAGATTACACTACATAAGCAAGACTACAAAGTTGCTCGGGAACGTATTAGCACCAGGCACACGGCGCGCTTCATCGAGCAACTCGCCCTGCCACCAACCGTCAGGCTCTGTGTGTGTCACGGCAATGATATCGCCCGCCGTGAAACTAAACTCTTCCGGCAACGAGGCCTGGTAATCGTACAGCGCCTTGACATAGAACAATATGGGCTCTCCACTCTCGCTGTACTGCCCTGTAGGCGGACGCGTGAGCTGCGACGTGCTCGACGCGGCAGGCGCTGCGCCTGTGACCCCCGCCGCGGCACTGCTCGCGGCCGGGCCTGGCTGGCCGTAGCGACTCGCCATCGAGTCCTGCGTCACAGCGCCACGTGCATCAAGCGAGATGCCGATCGGCGAGGTCGCCCGCGCGGCTTGAGCCTGCGCCGCAGGCCCATCTTTCACCGGCGACGCGTTCATCGTGCGTCGCTCGGTTGGGAAGGCCTGGCCGTAGTGATGGTGGATCTGCTCGACGGGGATCGGCGACGTACCGCGATCCGGCGGATGCATAAACGCAGCGGCTGGCGACGTTGGGCGCTGCACACGCGTCTCCGGCGCCGCGGCAGCGCCCGTCGCCCGCCCATCAGGCGAGATGGTACGTTGCCAGCGTGGATCCATGACCTGGGCCGGCGCCTCGTTCGGCGACTGCGATGGCATGGCCGCCGACGTCGCAGGCTGCGTCGGAGCCGGCGCAGCGGCGGGCGGCGGCAAGGCCTTATCCGTCATCATACTGGGCGTAGTGCTCATCATACTCGTAGGACGACTACCTGGCGCGGGACTCTTGCGGCTCTGGCGCAGACGCAAGTTGGCCAGCGCCTTGGCAATTGGATCATCCTCGTTCTCCGGCTCCGACACGGCTTGCGAGACAGGCCGCGACGTGCCTGTGCTCGATGTCAACGGCGCATGCTGGGCCACAGGCTGTGGCATGGGCTGCGGCACAGGATGCGAAGGAGCGGCCATGGGCGCAGGCGACATGCCACGCGCAGGGCCTGGGTGTGGCTGCTGCTGCTGCTGTGGCTGCTGGTGCTGGTGCTGCTGCATCGACGCCGTCGAGGGCGAGAGCGGCGCTGCGCCAGGCGCAAACATGCTGTTGCGGTTGGACGTCGAGGGCGGAGGCGTGCGAGCCGACGGCGAGATGGCTTGCGGAGGCGGGGTGCGGTTCATCGTCGCCAGGTAGCTCGGAACACTGGGTCCGGGTGGCGAGGGCATGGCCATCGACGCGGCGGTAGGCGTGCCGGGCATCATCGGCGTAGGCATACCGGGCGTCATCGGGTGGAAGCCTGGCGTGAGGGGCTGCATATTCGGCGTGCTAAACTGCGAAGGCGTCTGCTGCGAGAGCACCGAGGCACTTGGCGGGTGCATTCCCTCGCTGCTGCGGGTCGACAACCTCGCAAAGTGCGCCGAGCCGGTCCCTGGCGTGGCCATGGGGCCGGCGTTCTGTGCAAAGTTGATGTACTCGGGCGCAGGAGGAATGGTCGTGCCCGTGGCAAACTCACGCACAAACGACTGCACATCACGAATCGCATCACAGCCTTCCAGCGAGACACGCACCCGCTCACATGCCTCGTCGTCCGTCACACACACACTCGATACGGCATTCGCCAGGCCCCACAGGTTGGTTTTGAGGAACTCCTGGCGCTCTTCTTCCACGTCCTGGCAGATATCCAGGAAGCTCTTGTACTCAGCATTCCACTTCTGCGTCGTGTCTTGCAGTGCACGAACATAGCTCTGGTAGTCCTGGTCGTCCGTTTCCACATTGGCTTGGACACGCTCCAACTTGGCCATCAGCTTATCCAGCTCACGGCCTTGCACGAGGTTGCTTTGCGCCGTGTACGCGTTGATCTTCGTACAGTCATTCTCGTACCTCTCACGCGAGCGCTGCACGTACTGCGACTGCGTCTGCTTGTGCTTGTACAGCTTCGTCACGGTGGTCTGCGAATCGCGGCGAAGATTTTCAATGCGTGCCATAAAGTCGCTCAGCGGGGCCTCCAACTCCTTGCGGATCGAGTTGACCAGCTGCGAATGCGACCTGGACTGCGCCTCTGTCTCAATCCGCACGGTATCCAGCGCATGACGCATGGGTCTACAAAGGCTCGTTACCAGCTCTCTCTTGTTGATACGTACCCTGTCTCATGCTTTCCAATGGCCGACTTGGCCAGCTTGGCCAGCTTCTTCGAATACTCCTGTTCAATTTCCGCTCTAGATCGTTAGGCAGCTTTTACGACGTACCGCTCCTGGTAAAACGAGCGCAAATCCTCCATTGTACGGCTCGTGTTTTTGATAAAGCTTTGCATGACATGATAACCCGCGTCATTGTCGCCCTACCGTGTTACATTCCATTCCCTTAGCCATACTTACCCAAAAGGCATTACAAAACGCCAATGCATCGTAGCCATCATTCGCGCCCGCGTAGGGCGTAGGGGCCTGCATCATGGTCGCACACGGTGGCTACCACAACAACGCCCGCGCGGCTTCCACTGCAGGTGTTGCTTTGGGCTACACGCGTTTCGGCCGAAGGAGTCCCACGTGGGGCGCGTCAAAGATCTGCACCGTGGCCTTGACGTGCAGGCCACCCTCGCCGCGCTCTTTTTTTGGCCGGCCGCCAGGCAACGTTCCCTGGACTCTGACTAGCAGCGAGGACAGCCTCCTGGCGGGGCATGACAACACCGCTCTTTCTCTATTAGGTATGAGTCTACCAACTCCCACAGCGGAGCCTGGGCCTACGACTCCCTCCAAAAAATGGCGAGACTGGTTCCGACGGCCTACACCGCGTGAACAGCCTACCGAACGCATCCCGCTGTCCGACATCACGTCCTCGTCTCGCTCGCCTGCTCAGGAGGGTCAAGCAGATACCAAAACAGCAGCGAAAAACTCTCGTCTCAAATTTGCCACGACCGCCGCCCGCTTGCATCCGGACGACCTCCCGGACGACTACGAGCCTACGGAAGTCTACCGCGGCTTGGACGAGTACGTCCATGCACGTCGCGTAGCACGAAGGCGTGCACGGCGCATGCGCACAAGACATAGAGACGATGCAGAGGACTCGGACTCAGATTCAGGCTCCAGCTCCAGCTCTGCCAGCTCCGACTCCAGCGGCCCCATTGCGCGCTTGCGTGCCTTCTTTGGGGACAGTTCTGACAGTTCCAGTTCCAGCTCCAGCTCGAGTGAAGACGAGAGTAGTGACAGTGATGCGTCGACGGATAATATGTCAATGCATAGCCGGGCTACCCAGGACGACGGCGTGTCCGTTAACAGCTCTCGTTCTCGTCGTGATAGCTCCGCGGTCAATACACCCAGTGCCTCTACGGCCTTTTCGCCTTGGACACCGCGTATTAGCGCTTTAACAGGTACGCGGAAACGTAAGAAAAAGAAGAAGCAGAAAAAAACCAAAGAAAAGCCACTGCATATGGTCAAAGCAAGTCGTATGGCACGCAGAAACGCTCGGCGTTTGCGCGAGCTGTCTGGTGGTGTGACGGAGTATACCTTGTTTGCTCCTACAGGCGACAATGAGCCTAACAATATCAAGACCCAGTCGTGGAAAGTTGTCATGGCTCGTTTGAATACCTATTTTGATTACCACAAGCAACAGGACGGACACGCAGGCGATCTGGGTCTACCTACATCAGATCGTGGCCCCATCTTGTCAGAATCGTTGATATCGCCCCTCATGAACGACGAAGCAGACTTGGCATTGCCCCCCCCTGCTCTGGACCCCAGTCAGCCTGTACAACAAAGCGTTGCCTCCCAGTCTCCGTCTGAAACTTGGGAAATCGAGGAGGAGCAAATGACTGGCCGACACATGTCGGATATACCCTTAACGCCTTTCATTCGCTCGAATGCCACAGGCCATCCCCCATCCTCGTCCATGCTGTTTGGCGGTCTAGTCTCATCGCATTCACCGACCCACCAAGACTCTTCCATGGACGCACAGACTGCAACGCATAAACGACTCCCTGTATCGCCCATTATGGAAGAAGCAGATCAGCTAGACGGGTTCATGCTGCCAGAAGCAGCTTTGGACGTGGATGAAAAGCACACACACTCTCCCAAAAAGCCGTCGCCCACCACAGAAGCTATCATCAAATCGTCCCTTCGTTCTGAGCCTTGGTGGCTAGACATTCGGTGCCCTACCTACAAGGATATGCAGCAATTGAGTCTTCATTTCCCTTTGCATCCTCTCACCGTCGAAGATATTCTCAAGCAAGAGCAGCGCGAGAAAATTGAGTCCTTTGAGCGCTTGGGGTATTATTTTGTCGTGGTCCGCGCTATGGACGAAAATTATTTTCGTTTCACAAAGGTACAGCCCAAACCGTCCAGCGAGATGAACACACCGAGTTTTTCTCCTGCTTTGCTTGAAGAACAAAAGATCCCTGTCAAGAACGAGGAAGCCGTGCACGAAGCACACACGTCTGAGCTTGACGATGGTCGTATTCATATTGAAATGGTCAAGTCCGACGAAGCTAAAGAAGGTTTGGAAGGTTTAGGGGCAGGTTCGATGTCGCTGTACATTGTGGTCTTTACGCATGGCGTATTAACCTTCCATTTTGAGGACTTGAGTCGGCATACAGAGCGTGTGCGGCAACGACTGAATAGCTCAGTTGTGCCAGTGGAGCATAATGCAGACTGGATCGTCCATGGCCTGTATGATTCCATTGTCGATGCGTTTACACCCTATGTCCAATTTCTTCAAACGGAAGTGGAATATGTCGAGTACTTATCCAATGATTTGAGTATGTCTCCTTTCGCTTCGGAAAATACGCAAGATGAGAGAAAGAAGGCGAGGAAGAGAGGAATACCTACTGTGTTTGCGAAGAAGAGGAATAAAGACACGAACAACAATGTCTTTCAAGAAAATATTCTACGTAATTTACCTCAGGTCAATGCGGAGTACGTCGAGTATCTAGCGCAACGGGCTAAGAAGATACGCTCATATTCGACGCATGATGTAATGCAGCAAAGTCACTTTATTCTGCGACTCACGCGTGTCCGCGAAGTGGTTATGGGGTTGAATCGTCTTCTTACGCCCAAGCTGGATGTGGTTCGTGCGGTACGAAAGCGCTTGCTGGAGCAGCATGGCCTCTTTGGCGAAGACCGAATAATTTCCATGTACTTTGATGACATCTTTGATCACGTATCCTCTATGTTGGTGCAACTGCAAGATCGGGATAGTGGTCTGAGCAATACCCATTCGTCCTTCTTGTATCGTACGACGCTAAATGATCAGCGTTTCCACATTGTAATGGGCAAACGCCTCTCCATTATGACATGCGTCCTTGCCATTGTGTTCCTGAGCCAGTTTACGTGCAGCTTGTTCGGCATGAATATCTACATCCCGGCTATGAACCAAGAAAATGAACTCCGACCTAATCAGCCTTTGCATCCTTATTTCCATGCCTTTGGCGGATTGATTGGCGCTTTGATCGTATACCCCTTCTTAGTGTACGCGTTCTACATCTCTCTTCGAAAGCGTGCCAAAGCTAGATCTAAGAAGAAACTGGAAAGGTGGTAGTCTTTTCCCTCTAATGAATGTATATAATTGTACAATGGAGACCTGGTGACCACTTGCCTACTTCCTAGATAGCCAACATGCACTCGCTCCCAGGGAGGGGCCAGACGCGCGTATCCACGTGGTCACCATGACTAAGCCGGCGGCCGAGGGCCCTTTCAAAGGGCGACGCGTTGCCCTTCACGCGACGCGTCTTTAACCAGTCCCCGTATCATGCTGGAAGCCAAGATCGAGCAGGCTGTCGTGGTATGTATCCACATGGAGAAGACCACTAACATATATGTAGTTTAAGCGTGTCCTTGATGGTATGTATTACTCTATTGTATCCCATCCCTAACATCTTCCCAGCTATCAAAGACCTTGTCGAACATGCAAACTTTGACTGCAACGAAGAAGGCATTGTACGTACCGTATTGACTTCAGTATACTAACGATACCAGCGTCTTCAGGCTATGGACAGCTCTCACGTTGCTCTCTCGGCGGTAGAGCTTCGTGCTGATGGTTTTGAGGAGTACCGTTGCGATCGTCCGATGAGCATTGGCATGGCTATCACAAGCCTTACCAAGGTGTTGCGAAGTGCCAACAACAATGATATTCTGAATATGCGCAAGGCGGACAATGCTGACAGCCTCCATCTTGTGTTTGAAGGCACAAGCTCTGACCGTATCGGCGAGTTCGATCTCAAGCTCATGGACATTGACACGGAACACCTCGGTATCCCAGACACGGAGTATGATGCTGTGGTGAAGCTCTCGTCGAACGAGTTTGCTCGCATTTGTCGTGACCTCTCGAACATTGGTGAGAGTGTCAAGATCACCATTACCAAGGAAGGTGTGACGTTCTCGACGGAGGGTGAGATCGGTGAGGCTCGGATGACCTTGAAGCAGGGCTCTGGCTCCGCTGCTCGCTTGGATGACGATGACGATGAAGCAGACCCTCTTGATGACGAGGACAGTGACCGTTTCAGTAAGAAGCGCAAGACAGGCGCTGGCTCTAGCAGCGCTGCCGGTGCGGGGGCCGTTGTTCCCGTGGAGATCCAACTGGAAAAGGCCGTGGCTCTCACCTTCAGTGTGCAATACTTGGTCAACTTTACCAAGGCGGCCCCCTTGGCTTCGGCTGTTACACTCCATATGGCAGACAAGGTGCCTTTGCTGGTGGAGTTCGCCTTTGAAAATGGACACGTTCGCTACTACTTGGCTCCCAAGCTGGCGGAGACCGACGACGATTAAGTGTGACTGTTTGTCCGTTCTATATCTTCAACCATTTATATTCATAACTAGGAATCTTTATTGTCGTCTGTCGTCCATCACAGGACGTAGTTTCGTACAGAACTGTAGCTCTTACCCAAGATCATGGATCTTCTTGTCCTGCATGTGGTTGCGTATCCTTTGCGTGTATCTTCTTTTCATCAATTGGAGGAGCAATGGCATTATCAAAGGTATCGTTCTTCGCCTCCGCATCTTCATGTATACCCTTTTCATCATCCGGCCTAGCATAGGCTTCAGGATTGTACTTCCAGCTAAAGTCCTTGGGAAGATATTTGCCAGGATGGAAAATGTTGAGAATTGCCACGGCGACAAAGACAAAGGCTCCATCAAACGCGTACAGTACCCATTCTGTCGTGTTAATTACACCATCAAAGCCCATAGCCAGCTCAACCACACGGTAGACCGAACGGAGGATGATCAACATACTGGAGCAGAATACCCCAATCATTAGCCATTTGAACTGCTCAATACCAGGCGCTGGGTTTCTGTATTGGAGATAAGAGAAGTATAGGAAAAGAAGCATAAACATCACATAGCCAAAGAGCTGAATGGCCACACCTGCCACAGCGATATGTGACCCAATCTGGGCGTCGCTGGCCGAATCGGATCCACCGGCTGTACCAGCACCCACACCTTGGATCACCAATGAAACAACGTCAATTGTCACAAAGACCGGCATCACGAAAATAGGCCTGATGGCACTGTATTTGCGTGGGAACAGTGTGGCAACTCGTCCAAGTATGGTGAAGTGTACGGCGGCAAACAAGCATGGTGTGATAATTAGGAGACACATAGTGGCAACATAGGGATCACGTAGCCTCGTCTTAGAGTGGCCAATCAATCGTGGAATATAACCGCCCACTTCCGCTAACGTTCCGATCGGCAAGATGACCGTCCACCATTGTCGATACAAAATAGTTTGAATGGAGTGTGCTACTGTCAAGATGCCAAACAGCACAATCATGACTATGCATGGTGCAATCATAGGCACATAGCCATACAAATTAAAGTCTGCCTCTTTCTCTAGCCATATTTTTGGTGGATAAATAGAATTCATTATCAAGGAAGACGAGAGACAGGTGTGTTCCTCGTATTTTCTCCCTCAAGACTCATCCTCCACAATGTGTAACTATTTCCGATCTGTCACAAAGAGCGGCCCGCTGATCGGCCACTCAGACCACGTGCAAATCTCAGCCAACATAAGAAGCAATAATAGGCCCTGGGATCCACTCGACCCAACTTCTTGGACATGTTCGATTTCATGATTTCTATGCGAGAGTATGTTACGTTTACCACAACAACCCATGAATATGGCAATTGGTGGAGTCTAGAGAATAGAGAGGTACAATGACAAAATGAATATGATAACATGAAGGATCAATGAGACATGCTTTAGTACGTTGATCCATGTCGGGCTAGAGCCGACTTTCCGCGCGAGGGTGCCTGTGGGTCACTCAGACTCGCATCGAACTGGAAGGCTTGTCCGATGACATTTTCAGATGTGACACGATGCAATCTCGCCGATGCAGGGCGTTGTTTGTATGCTTCCGGAATGTTCTTGTCGGACAACTGGCTTGAAGTGAAAGAGGCCAACTTGTTGCGATGGCAATGCAAAGACAACTCCTTGGTCCACTGTGCCCATTCCGACTCACTGACAACTAGGTTGTAGTGGATAGTCTGCAAAAATACACGTTCCAATTGCTCGATTTCACGCGTCTCCAAACCTGAGATTTTGGACCAAGTCCGATTCGAGTAGGTCCGATCCTGAAGGAACTTGGATGCCACAACAATTGCAGCCAAAAACATACGTCGCCCACACAATAACGGTGAGGGCATACTTGTAGTCTGTGCCTTGATGGACTTTGCGCTGCTTTGTATGGGCGCGCTTGAGCACGGAAGAGATAAGGATGGAAGCTTGCACGTCAGCTCCATCGCCTGCATAGAGGTGGGCGACATAACCATAGCTTCGTTCATCCAGCCTAGTACATCGGTGTGTGAGGACGTGCTGTAGTTATCCACATTGTCATGCAAGGCCATCTTACACCGAGAGCAGTACAGCAACGCTGCCTGCAGGGTCGAGCAACTTGTGCGGCTTCGTCGTAAAATTTCGCGCACAAAAAGAGCCAATGGGAGCGTACTGTTTGACTGATCCTTTGCCACATCTTCTTGCTTGAGGGAAGCACGGCATTCACGCGAGAAGCGGCCCCAAATGGATGAAATTGTCGCCACGGCCGCATCTATAGTGGATTAGAACATAACGCATATACATACCGACAAGGTTTTCCACGAATAGAGTACGGCTCATTCGAAGGGGGCAATTGGGAAGTTTCAGCAGATTTTGCTTGCATACCTGCGTCTTGGTTTGGGAAAGTTCAGCTCCGACACTGGATTCGTGTGCCGGTGAAGGTCCATTGTGTTTTGGTCGTTTAGAAGCAGGCAAAATCTGTGATTCAGTGGTATCATTGTCACATTCAAAGGCTTCACTGGATCGACGGACTTTATACGATCCGGTCGATGACGCAGGCGAGGTTCCTCGACTGCTAATTGTTCCATTCAGTGAAAAAGGGGACACGTCTGCGCGTGCGAGCGAGGACGACAAATCCGAGGCTGTAGATTGAGTCGACGAAACAAGGTGGGGATAGGCTTCGAGCCCTTCTTCCGATGGGTTGGAGGGTAGCCAAGACCCATCGTTTTGATTGCACGTTGCCATTTCTTGTCTTAGGAGAGGAATAAACGCAAGGGAAAGAGATCGATACACGATAGCGAATTTGGGTGTCGATAACAAATAGACTGGGAGAGTTCGTATGTCTGTATTTAGTGCTTTGTAGTGAATCGGATTCACAAAAGCATATTGATCATCTTGGTACGTTTATTTGTTCGATGTAGAGTCAGTGATAAGGGGTTGGTACAACTGCCACAGCGATATGATCTGTTGCAATTACGCGGCCTTTCTACGCTTCTCTTGCTTCTAATACGGCAAGATAAATGAATACAAAAGTATTTCGCTTCTTTTGTCTTGTTCCAGCTCTTACGCAAAAACTTGAGCAAGGTGGCAAGCACAGATCTTCTTGTTCCCTTAGTCGACTGCTTGTGCTTAACGAGTGGCACGATATATGGGTCAGAGTTGCCACCGTCCCTGTTCCTAGCCCACGTGACTCATCCAACGCACGAGAGTCACGCGTCGCTTATTTTACAATATGCACGACATTATGCAAGATGATGCGAGCACGAAGTTTCATTCTGTAGTTGAGTGGAGGCGCATCGTCTGTCGACAGACCAACCTTTTTGCGATGGAGGAACTACTTCGTTCCTTGCGCAACTTGGATCTTTCTGTACCCAAAGGCGAGCAAATTGTGTCACTCATTGATGCAGATCCACGTGTAGAAAAGCAGCTGGCACAACAGCTTGCTCTTCCCAAGCGTATTGATGTGGATGATGAGGATGGTCATGCGCTCATGGATGCAGCCCTCATGTCAGGGGCGACAGAGGCCATGCTTCAAAACTACAATAGTGCTCTTCAGAAGGAAGCAGAGGCATTAAAGAAAGAGGAAAATAAATTGGCCAAGACAGCGCCAGTGAAACGAATCCCTAAAAAGGCTTTGCTGGCGGCGCAGGATGCGGCCATTCGACGTCGCGACGAAGAACGTCGTGCTGGCACCGACCATCGGGGCCACTTGTACATACCACGGCAGATTATGGATACCGATAATACCTATGCCTCCGACGCTGGAGTGCATACGCTTTCACGCATTGATGTGGACGAATTGCAAGCGCCGTATCGTCATGAAGGTCGGTGTCTGCTGGTCCAAGTTGCATCGCGCTTGTGTTTGTATGCCAGTTGTTCATTGGTTGGCCTCACACCTTCAGGGGCTGCCCTTCCAATTAGCCTTGCTCACTTTACTCCCGATCTACGCCTGCATGGCGACGCGTTGGACGCGCTGCTGCCTATCGGCACGATTCTGCTGATCCGTGAACCGTATGTGAGTTTGCACTATATGGGTGTTGGCGGTCCCATCACTGGAGGCAAAGGCACGGTGGGTGTACGTGTGGATACGCCATCAGATGTGCATGTTCTTCGTCCCACATCGCCGCTGTGTGCCGACGTGACTTGGGCCGATCCATTGCCGTTCCCGCCATCGGAGCAGGTGCTGTGGCTGGAAGAAGGTCCCTTGACGTGTGCCTATCAGGAGGGTCGCGCTTTACCGACAATGTCGCGGGAGCAAGTTCGCGATACCGTATCCCAATTGCTCGCGCAACAGCGGCCAGGTGCTGCGTGGCGCGAGATTTGCGCTGCGACCTTGCAAGGGATTTGGCCGTCACGCGATCAAGACGCTGCCGCCTTTGTCGAAGATACACTACTGCACGCGGACGTACTACTGGCCTTGCGCTCTTATGACGAAGTGATCATACGCATGCAAGCATGCCGAGCCATATCCTCCGATAAAACCTCGGAGATCGATGCGCGGCTGGACCAAGCTACCACCGCTGTGGACATCCGCGAGAACGGCCCCTCTGATGCTGTGCTGCACGCCATGTTTCAGCGTACATTGGACGATGCGACGCCGCGCTTTATGTATGACGAGTACTTGGGCCCCATTGCCGTGCAAGACATCCCCAATGCTGGTCGTGGCCTCGTAGTTACGCGGGATGTCAACGAAGGGGAATTGCTCTTGTTTTGCCGCGCGATGGCTAGCAGCTACAGCAAGGATCCAGGGTGCGATGGTGTGCCGCTACTTCGCTGCAATCCCGCCTCGGGCGTGACGAGTACTACGACGCAAGTGTTAGCGGCGACACGGTGCCTGCATACCCTTCTTGACCGGCCGGAATGGGCGCCGGCGTTCTTGGGGCTGACCGCCGGTCCCACAACGCCGTACTCGACGTACGTGGCAGCGCCGTATCCTCTTCGTACGTCTGTACCTCTCGATGCGAAGCAGGCCCTCGAGGCTCTGCGTCCCACCGCCGCATCGCACTATGTCAACAACGTGTTACGCTTCAACGCGTTTGGCCCAGCGGCTGTGCCAGCGGCGTCTGCAGGTGACGATCCCATGTCGCGCTCGACCATGCCGCACCCTCTCCCTGCGATTCTGAATCATGCGTGCCTGCCGAATGTATCGTCGGTGTTCTTCGGCGACTTTGTCGCTACGCGTGCCTTGCATCCATTGCCGGCAGGTACGCAGATCATGCATCAATACGTGCAAGGTGAAGTGGCGTACCATACACGCCAAGCGCAGCTCTCCAAGCACGGGTTTGTATGTGCTTGTGGCCTTTGTGCCTTGGATCGCGCTGATGGCGACGACCAGCTTCGCCGCCGTGAAGAGGTGCTGGTGCGCGAATGGCCGCCGCTGATGGAGCGAAGTCGTGCCATTTTCAAAGGTGGGCCGTCGATCGGTGATCCTGCCGACGCGCATCGCGAGATGGTCGAGGCCATGACGGCGGTCGCGCAGTCAGTGGATAGCACGTATGCGTCTACACGTGGCGCCTTACGACCTAGTTTGGTCGACGTGTATTTCCGCGCGGCGGAGCATTTGCGGACTTACGACGTAGACGCTGCGATCGCCATGACGAAGCGCGCGATCGAAGCGACTGGCGCTATGCTTGCTGACGGCGCACGTATCAAGCAGCTGCCAGATCTGCATTTCGATGGCGCGATTCGCGGTATGCTATTCCTTGCTACGCTGTATTGGCACCTGGACCAAGCATCTGCGGCCTATGCGTGGATCGACTCGGCGCTTCATACGCACCACTGTATGATTGGCGGCGGTCGCGCGATGTTCTTGCAGCGGTGGGGCGACGATCAGCATATGGCTCTATGTTCATGGGCGACGACGGCCGTGTAGATAGGTAGATATACGCTATTTAAAACGGCTCTGGCGCTGCAGGCTTCTCGAGCCACGACCAGCGCTGCGTATGCTTCCACCAGCACGTCCATGCAAGCTGCTGAAGCAGCGCAGCTTCCAGCTCATGCGCCCGCGCCCACTCCTCGCGTGTGTCGCTGGTCGCATGGCCCAGCACCTCCAACTGCTTACGTACGCTCTGCAGCGCTAGGCCGAAGCGTTCGTGAGAACGGTGCCATTCAGTGCGCAGGTTGGCCAAGAGCGCCTTGGTCTTGGCATCACTTGCCTCGTCGATGAACTGCTGCGCATGCTTCATGGCTGCCGCACTCTCGTCGTGACTGCCACGGTACGCCAATGCCTGTGCCTGACGCAGCCAGGCGAACGCAAGTGCCTTCTTCTGCGCTTGCATCTTCTCTGCTTCGCGTTTCTGCTCGTCGGTTTGCTCCGACGCAGGGGGCTGCTGCGTACCAAGCCACAAGCGAAGTGCCGTCTCATCGATGCACGACTGCACACCTTCCGCTGCCTGGAGCGTCTTATCCACCTCCTTTGCATCACACGCCTCTAGCACAGCAAGTCGCACAGGGAGGCTCTCAGGATGGTCACTCACGAGGCGTGCCAGGAACGCCTCCTTGTCCTCGCTCGCCACCTTCGACACGAGTCCTGCAAGCAATGTCGGCAAGGGCGTCGGGTCACTGGGGGGCGCCGCCTTGTCGTTCGACGTGGCAGGTGCCGGGCCCACAACGACCTCGAGGGGCAACTTGGCTTGGCCACCCAGTTGCACGGTACCCAGCAGCACATCACCCGCACTCGCCTCGCTCGGCAGCTTATCGCCTTCAAGGTTTGTATCGATGACCACGACCGCATTCTCGCCACGCAGGAGCTTGATGGCGTCCTTGATAGGCTTGCCGCTGCCTAGCAAGTCAAGGTGGTCAGCGTACACGTCCAACGCCACCTCCTTCTTGAGCTTGTGATCGATGGTCAAGCTCATGTTCTGCAGCTTCTCCAGCACATCTGCCGACTCATGCAAAGCTTGCACACGCAGCGTGTACTCACCCGGCTTCAAGGACACGTCTTTCGGGTACACATCGCCAAAGTGCACTTGCGCCTGGTGCAGGTCGAGAAGCTGAGTCAAGAGTGTCACACTCCCATCGTACAAGTGACCACTCAGCGGAAGGCGCCACGTAAGGGAGGTGGCTTCTTTCACCGTGATTGGGTACTCCACCGTCAACTCCATCAGCTGGTGCCCCGATGGCTGACGATCACGCGCGTCCCGCAGCGCCCGGATCGTATGCGTACGTGGACGCACAAACTGACGGCGCGTGTCGAGTTTTACGCTGGGTTTGCACTCTTCCACACGCAGCTCACTACGGAGCGGCAACGATGTCCAGCCTTGGCCACTGGTCGTCGTAAGCGTCTTCATCGGTGCGCCCAGACCATGGAACTCCAAGTCCCATTCCAGCTCAAAGCCAGCCTTGTTCGACCAGAACTGCGCCGCACACACCTCGAGTGTCATGCCGCCCTGCACAGGCAGGCGCTTCGTCACAGGCTCGTTCTCGTTGAGCGCCAGAATGTACTGGTGCTCCACCTCGCACAAGCGACGTTGGGGCTCCAATTGCAGTAAATGCAGCCAGAACCGCGCGCTCGTCCCGGGGGCCTCATGACGCTGGCTTCGCACACGAATCTCGGCCCATGTTGCTCCCGGTGGCACTTGTACAAACTCGCGGCGAATATCGCCCGACGCAAAGTGCGTGTGCGGTAAGATATGCGTCGCACCGAGGGGAACGACCGGCTTGGCCACAGTGATAGGGACTTCCAACACCACGGTATCATCACGCTCCGTATCGCGGGCCACAATCTTGGCCGAGTGCAGACCGGGCGGCAACTGATCCGCCGCCACGCGAATCTCGAACGTACGTCCGTTGCTGCCTAGGACCAGGAATTCTGGCACATGCACCCACGGCGCTGTAGCTTGCAGCGACGCACGAATCTCCAAGGCAAACGAGCGCTGCGTCTCACCATAGGAGAACGTCGGCTGCACCGTCACATTGAACTGCGACGTACGATGGGTCTCCTCGGCCTCCCGTAGGTACACACCGCGACTGTGGCCGTATCCCAGGGGCTTCCCGGCGGGCGTCACATGCACACGCATCTCGGCATCCGCGTACGGATCGTCGCGATGCGCTTGCAAATACTCCCATGCCTTCTCCACATCCAGGAACTTGACGTCCAAAGGATCCTGCACATCGGCGCCTGTCGCCTCGATCGCGCGGAAGAGTCGGAACGGCGAGACGGGAATGCCTTCTGCCTTGCATGCACTAACCAACAGCGCCACAGCGCCAGCTGCATTTGGGCTGCTCATCGACGTACCATTCATCAGCTGTTTGGACTGCAATGCGTAGCGGCAAATCGACGTGATCGCAGCGCCCGGTGCGTAAATCGACACACCGCTCGCACCATCGGCGGCAGGGCCGCGACTGCACCATGTCGTGACACTCGAGGGCACCCCTGTCTCGACCAAGGCATACTCTGCCTGCTGCATCGCACCGGCATTGACATACGCACCGACGCTCAGTACCCCCGACGTCGTACCGCCAGGCTGGCCGACGGTCGTAAGCGCTGGGCCATTGTTGCCAGCACTGCTCACAAAGCAGACGTGGTGGTCACGAATCACACGCTGCAGCGCCTCCGCGAACGCGCCCTTGTCTTCCAGTGTGAATCCACCATCTTCACCGTACGACATGTTGGCCACGTCGCACTTGGTATCGATCAGGGCTTGCGCCGCGCGTAGCAGCGCCTGTCCCGTCTCCATACTGCCTAGACGCGAGTCGCCAATACGCAGACTCACGATTTCTGCACCGGGCGCCACACCATTGGTCGCTGCCTCTTCCGTACGCGCACCAATAATGCCCGCAACGTGCGTACCATGCGTCCCAGAGAGCGTCACAATCGATAGCAGCCCACCGTCCTGCAGAATGTTCACCGTGTACGTGAGCAAATCCATGTCACCAAAGTACGACCACTCACGTTCCACACGGTAGTCTGTGAGCCGCTTGTGCGCTCGCAAATCGAGTGTCGTCGCATAGAGCGACGACGACTCACCCTCGGTAGGGCTCGTCACGTCGCCCTCACCACCGCCCACGACTGCACGCCAGTGCGTACCGTCATGGAACACGACGGCGTCGAGTATCGGGCCAGGATCGTGCCAGTTCTTGTGCATATCCTGCAATACAGCCACACGCGCTTTGTGCTCGTCCACACGCTGCGCTGCGGCTGCCTTTTCGGCTGACTCCTTGCACTTGGCCAGGCGTGCTTCTTCCTCATTCAGATCATTGCGTGCCTGTTGCAACAGCTTGGCATGGCTCACATCAAACGCCTCCTTGCGCTCTTTCGTACGACGCTCGACCAGCGATGTGGGCCACAGATCATACGCACGCTTCGTGCCGACTTTCCAAACCCCCGTCGGATTCGGCCACGATGCGGACACGAGCAAGGTGCGGCCTGTTGCAGGCGACGTAAGCTGCAGCGTATCGCTTTCGGCACCTGGCTGCGCTTCCACCGTCTGCAGTGGCACATCGCCAGCGCCTGTACAGTCGATGATGTCCACGACCTTGTTGGGACCATTTAGACCCAAGGCAGCTGGATCGACACCCGTGTCCAACACGGCTACACGTACGCCGCGGCCATCGTACGTAGGGCATCGCTGCAAGAACGCATCGGCTTTCGTCGCTTGCTTCGGCAGGAGACCGTCCACGGGGAACGGCCGCCTAGCCTGCATCATACTTCGGCTCATTCTAGGTACACGCACGTGAAACAATAATGGGGCGAATTGCTGTCCAAGTCGAGCTCCCCACTGTCATGTGAGTCTACGCGAATAAACGTACCGTGCGCATCAAGGAGCGCTAGCAAGGTACACATCGTAGGGCCACGCCACGTAACGTGGAGGCGGGGCCGCCACGTGGCCTATCACGCCGTGCCTAGCGCGAGCGAGCGCTGGGACCCCACGTCGGCGTGTATGCACGACGACAGCAACGACACGGATCATTTCGATGTGCTTGTGCTAGGCACGGGCGTCACAGAAGCCGTCCTTTCCGCGGCGCTTAGTCGCGCGGGGAAGAAGGTGCTACATGTCGATCCCAATATGTACTATGGCAGTGACTGGGCGAGTCTTACGCTCACGGAGCTGGCACAGTGGGCCGCGACGCAGCCGCATACTACACTTACCTTCCCACGGTATGAGGGTGACGAGAGGAACGACAAAGGCGTGCCAGTTTCGCTCCAGGAGCTCGATCGACATTACGCGCTCTCAGTTCGTCCGGCGCTCCTGCCTGCCCAGGGCCCCATGATCGAGGCCCTCATTCGTTCCAACGTCGCGTCGTATGCGACGTTTCGACTTCTAGGACAGACAGGCGTGTACACGGGCGATCACCTCCAGCGTGTACCTAGTAGCAAGTCGGACATTTTCCGCGATAAGCGCATTTCTCTCGCGGACAAGCGGCGGCTTATGCGGTTTCTACAGTCGGCCACGCAACCGTCTGACGCTCTTCCGTCCAGCGAGAAGCGCATGCATACGCTCCTTCACGAGACCATGGGTCTAAATAAGGACTTGACCTCCGCTGTGATGTACGGTGTCTCCCTGTGTTGGGACGCCGACGAGCCGGCGGCGCATGCGATGGAACGCACACGGCGCATCCTTCAAGGCCTGGGTAGGTACGGCGATGCAGCCTTGCTTGTGGGTCAGTATGGCGGCGCAGGCGAGCTAGCCCAGGGCTTCTGCCGCTCGTCTGCGGTGCATGGCAGTGTCTTTGTATTGGGACGCCCTCTTACGTCGCTCACCTCTACGTCGACGTGGACGTTGCGTCTCGACGATATACCCACGACATTTACTGCGGAATGCGTCGCTGCGCCTTCGACGTTCGCCACGTATGGGATGTCCAATGTGACGTTAAAAGCGGCCTACTGGAACCATGTAGCTCTCCTTGTCTCGGACGCTCCTATCGACTGGGCGACGCATTTGCCGTCGATCGCGCGTCGCGACGACGAGGAAGGGGAGGCGCCGCCCGACGAGCTGGAGACGGCTCTGCTTGTATTTCCGCCAGAGACAATGCGCACCGAGCATGCTGTCATGGTGCTTGTCCAGGGCGAAGGCACGTTCGCGTGCCCCAAGGGCCAGTATGTGTACGCACTCACGACGTATGCGCAGGCCGGGACGTCGGCGATGGCATGCTTACGCCCCGCTGTGGACCGACTCTATACCCTCTTGACCGTGCAAAAGCCTTGGCTGGTATCGCTGTACACATCTCATCCCATCTACGAGCAAGGCGACTTATCGAAGGCGACGTGGATCGATACTTCGGCGCCATGGACTCGTACGCCTGGCCTGCCACGCACATCCTTGTGCTTGGACGAAGTGGATGTGCATACGCAGCCCATTCCCAACCTAACTGAGTCGCTCGACTTGTGTGTCGAGGCGGCCGAGCGCGCGTTCTGGCGGATCGTTGGCCCGTCGCTCGAAGACGAGGCTCGGGCCGCCGCACAGGCGCGAGCACGGCTGCATGACCCTGCTGAATACCAAGGACGCGGCGGCGTAGAACCTGCAATGACAGCAGCTCCGATCACAGCGCCGTTGGAGTTCTTTGCGCCGCAGTCGCAGCCACAGGACGAGCAAGTCTAGCTAGCCTTCGCGCTATGGTATCCATGGCCCGGGCATTTCTGCACGTGTTTGGGCAGCTAGACTATGTAGTTGCGCCCATTGATTGTAGGCCCACAAAGACAGGGTATCCCAGGGCGAATCCGCTTTCATATCCATCTCACCTCCGGCCCATGCCGTGGCCATATGGCGCCATAGGGGGACGCGCGTTGGCAAGCGAACCAGCTGAATCTCGTCGTTGGAGGAGACAGGGGCTGTCCCTGCTCGCTCCTGCGCCAATGCATGTGCATACGCTATTGCGTCGTCCAGCCCACCGATCGCATCGATCAGGCCACGGCCATGCGACGCTGGCGCTTGCGCCGAGGTGCAACGCGCATGGGCCTCAAGATCGCGCTGTACCAACGCCTCGGTGTCCTCGCCCTCCACATACGCATCGTCGTTCTCTCCCTGGTCCTTGCGTTGGACGTGGGCCAAGGGGACACTGGCCTCACGCTCCTCATGAACCACGGTCCATGCTGTACATGGCTCGGTCGATAAAGGCGGAGCACGGTGTGGCCGGTACGTGGGTGGGAGGATGAACGCACCTGCGTCAGGCACACACTGACGCCAAGCTGTGAGGCCTGTCATCACGCGACCGCCTGCGAGTTGGGATAGCACTGTAGCATGCATACCGCGTCCTTCCTGCACCTTGTCAAGGAAGTCAGCATAGGACTCGTCGGCATGCTTCTTCATGCGCGCGGCTTGGTGTGCGTCGATATCGTACAGGACACTAGCGCCGGTGGAGCCAGCATACACAGACTGCATAGATATACGCAACGCATCGAGCACCGCCCGTGAGAGAAAGGGGCGTGCTACCGCCACGCCAATGCTGCCCATCACGGTATTCTCGCTGGCGAAAATCGCATCTGCGGCTGTCGCCGCATAGTACGCACCACTCGCCGCGACATTCCCAAACGACGCCACGATCGGCTTCTTCGTCTCCTGCCGCACATGCTGCATGGCGGCCCATAGCGTTTCACTCGCGATCACTTCACCGCCGCCGGAATTGATGCGGAGGACCATAGCTTCCACCTCGTCGTTCTCGGCAAGCGCGCGTAGCGCACGAATCACTTCGCTGACGGAGCCTGCCTGCGACTGCCGATGCATCGTGCCTTCCAAGTACGCTACGCCGATTTTCGGCTGGGTACGAGAGCGCTGTCGAGCCGCTTGCCGCGCGCAGATCTGTGCATATAGCGGGAACGTCTTGCGATGAACACCCTTTTGCAACGATGGCGTCACATCCTCACGATGGACCAATGCATCAATCAAGCCGGCCGCCAGCGCTTCGCGTGCTGTATAAGGGCCATGCTGCATGAGCTCATACACTTTGGCTGCGCTGTTCTCCACATCACGAAACCGGTGTTCGCCTAGCATACGTGCCGCATTCTGCTGCAGATCGCCGTACAGTTCTGACATATTTTGCAGCTGCGCTGGTGGGAATTCGTCCTGTACAAAGGTGCTTACCATGGACTTGTACTCCTCCCGCGCTTCCGTTCGAGCGTGAATGCCCAGCCAGTCCAGCACACGGCGTACAAATGGGAAGGTCTTGCCCACACCGATCAACGGCACCATCCCGCTGGGCTGCATGTAGACACGATCAAACGTACTTGCAAGCAAGTACATCGACTGGGCATCAAAAGTATCCGCCCATGCTACCGTCGTAGGCCGCTCATCGTCTGGGAACTGCTGCTTCTTAGCCTCCTGGAACGCACGAAGCGCATGGACCAGTTCTTCCACTTGCGCAGGCCCTAGCGGTGTCTGCCGGACACTGCGTGGTACATGCAGCACACTAAAGTCTGCGACCAAACCACGCACACGCTTGTCGTGCTGAGCGTGTCGTAGCGTACGTAGTACTTCGTGCATCTCCATTACACGTACAGGTTCGTCGCCCAGCGTCATCGGAGAAAGCAGTTGCGTCACCGAGGTGGGGCCACGCACATCGACAATGGCACCAGGATGCACACGCCATGTCAGGTAAGTATCGTCGTTGACATGCTCCATCTTGCGCTGCATCGTATATGATGCGATCATGGACGAGCTAACCCCTGTAAGCACAACACAGACCACGATCGGCTTGCGGTACGACCATACTGTGGATACACCGCGACCTATGCGCGACTGGGAGAGGGCTGTAATCGCCTTCCACATGGACGGTCGCGCAGTGTGTGGTAGTAGGAGTGACCCTTAGTCAGCGCTCGCGAGACGATGTTCCTGCCTCGATTCTCTGCCTGCCTTATTGTCTGTCTACTTGGTGCCTAGCAAGCTCCTGGAGGGCTATGGACTTTTAGCGACGAAGGAGTCTTGTTCCCAACGGCCATATGGGCGGCAGCCCATACCTTACCTGTACGCCACTTGGTGCGTGGCCGTGTTCATAGCATAGCCCCATAGGTATTCCAATCATTTCGCAGTTGCACCTTGACGGACAGCCTCTAGGCCCGCACAAACCATCTCGTTTCTCCACGTGGAGGCATGTAGGGGTGAGGCATGCTTAACAGTAGGCAGGCCCCCACCACGTCGCATCCTCATCTGCGTATGTGGAGGAGTGGGGGTGGCATGCATGAAGAAGGCTATGCTGCTGTATACGTACATAAACCAAGCTCTCATCTCACAGTTTTCTCTGTAGCGCTGGTCGTTGTTTCTCTCGTATCCCGACGCCGTGGCTGATGTGGATGTTCAAGGTTTATTGCCTGGCACTGAGCCTGATCGTGTTGTGCTGTATCCCTGCTTCTGCAGGCACTATGCAGGATACCAAGGTCCATGCAGGTCGTGGCCTTGTGAAGCGCTCGCGTCACTACTATCAAGCGCACCACCAGGCATTGTCCTCGAAGAATGACAAAGAACAAGCGTCTATCAAACTTGGACAGGCTACTTACTATGTTCCCGGCGTCGGCTCGTGCGGTAAAAACAGTACAAAATCTGATATGATCGTCGCAGTGTCCCATTCTTTGTACGACCAAAAAGCAGCAAAGAACCCGAATGAAAACCCACTATGTGGTAAGACTATTCAAGCGTCCTACAATGGCAAGTCCATCAATGTGACGGTGGTAGACCGCTGCGTGGGCTGCCAGGAGAACGACTTGGACTTGTCTCCAGCTGCGTTTGCAGAGCTGGCACCTACGAAAGCAGGTCGTCTCCATGGAATCAAATGGTCCTATGTTGATTAATGTGCTCAGCCCTTTTGTTTTCATTTGTCCATACTTTTTCATTTTGACGTGCGCATGGCCGCGTATGGGGGGCTACGTATCTACTCCAAGGCCATGGCGCTCTTTGTGCACGCCTTGTTCATGCATTGTTGCGGGCAGCGGGTCTGTCTCCTATATTATAAATAGGCTGTGAACAGTATTCTATACACAAAAGCAAGACTGCTAGTATTAGTCCGAGTCGGAGTCTTGATCGCTTCGTGAATCCACTGCCTTGCCTTTGGTCAGCACGTGCACTGCCACATTTACGATCATGCCGAACCAAATCAGCAGGATGAATTGTAGCACGCCCAGAAGGACTAGGAAGACAGTGTACGTAGTCTGCGTAAGCATATGACCTGACGCCAGATCCACCGACGTCTTAAACGAAATGACAGCCGGCGCATCACGGTAGCATGAATACCAAACGACAGCGTACAGGATATGACGTGTAATGGTCCAAACCACCATAAATACGCCAAACATAATATCGCATACAGTCTGCCATCCCATGTACTTGAGCAGCTTAGCGGTGCCCAGACACACATCTGCCGGGTCCATGAGCGCTAAAATTGCGTAGCCAACGCGGTAGAAACTGGCAGTGAACGAGCCACCAATCAAAAAGAGTGTCACGATATGGTGGATTAGCATCTGCCAAAAGTCGGAGCGGCGTTCTTCCAAGTTGATCACAAAGAGTTGGTGCACGTAATTCGAGGCTTCCCATAGATACACAACTTTTGTTAGCGCATCCATGGTCGTATGAGGATAATCACGCCACAAGAATTCGAGCTTGGTTGGCCAGAAAGGCATCTTGACAACCACGCTCATGACCATCACCAACGAGGTGGTGTACAGTATCACGATCCAGCTCTGCTCGGCAAAACGACAAACTTTCCTTTCGAAACGGTGCTGTTGAATAGCTGGTGAGAGTTTCGAGTCAGGTCGCTTGACGAGGATCCGCGATACAGGTAGGAGTACAAGGTGGGTAAGTACTGTGCGAATCATGTACAAGATCATGCCCCACGTCAGGGCAAAGTACACGTCGCCCCAACTGCGTTGGTATTGGGCGAGGGGCACGGATGCATCCCACATAGAGCGAACGGCGGACCACGGCTTCGTTTCGTCACTGGACACAGCACCTGATAGGAAGAAGCATGATCGCGTAAAGGTGTGTACCTGGCGAGCGATAGCGTGCCAAGCTGCCGCGGTCGGCCGCTTGTACAAGCCTGTGGCCTCGCCCAGGGACCATACATGCTCCATGATATGCGAGGTTTTACGGTAGGCTGGGCTGGTTACGCCATGCGCAACGACCAGGGTGGTCAAAATGGCACCGACGACCAGTGTGCCTATCAATTCCAAGCTTCCGCGCTTGGTAGCACCCAAGCCCTTTTGGACAGGCTCAGTCGTAGGCTCGCTCTTCGCCATCGAGGCTGTGCTCTGATTCTTCTTTGCGGAGCTTTTCTTTGCCGTCCTCCGTGCCTTTTTGGCCATGGTACGAAGAAATTGGAAGAGGAAGGTGTGCCCACTTCAATTGCCGTGCAGCAGCAGCACCTGCCCCGGCGTGTTGGCCCTGGGCCGATTGCACGCACGCCGTTCTTCTCACGTGCAAGGATCAGCCGCGCTCGGCGCAGGCAGGCTGCTGACTCACACTGGGCTGATCAGCCCTCCACTACCATCCATGAGCAGTGCGTCGGACATTGCAAAGCAAGCGCGTGAAGCGTTTGACGAGGCGCAGAAGCGGTTATCGTCGCATGGTGCTGCTGAGGCAGACGCTGCCCGCTCGAAGGCGCTGACATTTATTTGTGAGGCGCTCGAAGCTGCGCGGGATGAAATCCAGGCAGCAAACCAGCAGGACGTGGCTGAGGCCAACGAACTCGTGGCGCAAGGCAAGCTATCTAAGCAGCTTGTCTCGCGTCTCGACCTGTTCAGCAAGCCCGGTAAGTGGGAATCGATGCTTCAGGGTGTATCAGATGTCGCTGCTCTCCCATCGCCGCTCGATGTGTGCACACGAGCGACTCGGTTGGCGGACAGCGTGCCAGCGGTAGGCGAGCGCGCAGCGACAGGCTCGCTGGACTTGTACCGTGTGACCTGTCCGATCGGTGTCCTGCTGTGCATTTTTGAGGCGCGCCCTGAAGTCATTGTGAACATTGCGAGTCTCGCTATCAAATCGGGCAATGCAGCGATCCTCAAAGGCGGCAAGGAATCCAAGCATACGGCAGCTGTGCTGGCACGCTGCCTCGCGACCGCGCTGGAGAAGAGTGAGTTGCCGCGGTACCTTGTGCAGACGGTTCAAACGCGTGATGAGATTCAAGCGCTGCTGCATGAAGACCGCTATATTGATCTAGTCATCCCTCGTGGATCCAATGCGTTGGTCCGCAGTATCCAACGTGAGGCTCGTATGCCTGTCATGGGCCATGCTGATGGACTATGTGCTGCTTATGTGCACGAAGACGCACATGCGAAGCTGACTATCGAGACCCTATTGGATGCGAAGCTGGACTACCCAAGCGCCTGCAATGCCATTGAGACGTTGCTTGTACACCGCCATCATCTTTCGTCTGGCCTCTGGGTAGCGATTGCGCAAGCCATGACGCAAGCAGGCGTACGTCTACACTGCGATCCTACGTCTCTGGCTGCCCTGCAAGGGCAGCTGGACGTGCATGCTCAGTCGCTTCTGAGCGCTGCGACCGAGGCGGATTACGATACAGAGTTCCTTGATCTGGATTTGGCTGTGCGTGTGGTCGACAGTGTCAATGAAGCCGTGGATCATATTAACCAGCATGGCTCTGGCCATACAGACATTATTCTCTGTGCGCCCCTGCCTGTAAAGCGCACCTCGTCGTCGGCGCAGAGCGAATCCGCCGCGGACGTTTTTACCCGCTCGCTCTCCTCGTCGAGTGTCTTTGTGAATGCCTCGTCTCGTTTTGCAGACGGCTTCCGTTTCGGTTTCGGCACAGAAGTGGGGATCAGTACAGGTCGGACGCATGCGCGAGGTCCTGTTGGCCTGGAAGGGTTGGTCATCTACAAGTATGTCCTACGTTCGTCGGGCGAGGGTGCACAGACCGCGGGGGCCTTTGCGCCTGGTGAGCATCAGCGTGCCTGGTCGCACACGCCTTTGGAGCCTGTATACCCTACACTTTAGTCGTTGTCTTCGGCCAATAGCTCGTAAATCTCATCGGTCTCGTTGGGCGACAAGACCAGCTCGACCAAGTCGCTGGCAAGCGCTGCGGTGGTGTGAGTCACGTAGGTAGCCACGTACCTGCGGCACTTTCTAGCTGCGTGCGCATACGCCCACGGCATTCTGGCGCGCCAGGGGCGACGAGCCAATCGGGTTCCGACGCAAAGGCAATGCGGGCAACGGCGACCACGAACGCGTACCGAATGCCATTGAGCGCCGCTTGAACCGGCGGGGATATGAGCTTCTCGGCGAGATTGCGAGAGGCTTGGCCCTCCGGCACGTACAGCTCGTGCAAGAAATGGATGCTTACACAGACACGTTCCAAAGCACTGGCGTAAGTCACAGACTGTCTACATACCTTTCGGCCCATGCGAGGCTGCGAGAGTGCGGCGTCGGCTCCTGATTCCAAATCGCTTGGACATCCCATTGTAAGCACTGAATCAGAGCAGGCAGAAGCGGCGTTGAGTCAAGAAGGATCACGGCGGTATCAGGCCATCGAGCTGCTTGCGTAAGAAGCTGTACAATGCTCAGATGAATGGTATGAAGGGCCTGCGGCGATGAGTCGCCACGTCGATCGACAAGGTGCTTTGCCAGCAAGTCCATCAATGGGAAGCGCGTCTGACTCAAGCGAGAGGGAATGTGCGATTGCCGCTGGGTATCAAACTGCGTCGACAGGCACATGTTCCAGGTCACAGGATCATGCAAGAACTGGATCATTGCTTGCAGGGTATGCTCGAGCATCGTAGAGCACGTGGTATAGGGATCAAGGAGAGTTAGCCAAATGCCAGGCGTTTGGAGTATGGGATATAGGCTAGGGTTAGGACGGTCGTACGTACTCATGCAGACCTGAAGGCCATAGTGTCCAAGCAAGCATACGGACTAGGCGTGAAATGGTGACCAACAAAGCAGATCGCGTTGCTTTGTCCTCGCTGGCGCCTGGCATGGCCTCTTGCACACCGGTGACGAGGATCGAAACTAAGTGGACTGGCGTTGCATCGTCTGCCATGACTCGAGACTGCGGTGTTGAAGTTGCTGAGATCGGTGTGTCTGGCTGACTGGAGGGCTGAGTCGGAAGGGTAGGCTCCTTGTTCCACGGCAAGTACCGTAGACGGATCATGAGGTACCGCACAAAGGGCGGATGCGCCACGCCCAACGAGATCATCCACTCTAGTAGGCGACTCACACCACATAGCTGCGGTAAGACACGGGGTATACGTACCAAGCGCATACGCAGCAATAGGCCCGTCATAGTTCGCAGAGCTGCTGCGACAGTGCCATACAAATACATGGACTGGCGTTCCCATGCCGTTTCAAGGACTTGTCGAATCTGAGGATGAGTATTTGTGGCCGGCAGATCATGCACGCCTTCCAGCGACGCTTGAATGGAAGGACCATAGTCCGATACCAACGCAGGGAACGAATTTGCATGCACGAGGCATTGCCATAGCTGCTCGACAGCATGCGTCCATCTCTGTTGAAGCGCAACGGGGGCCGAGGGTGGAAGTCGATAGTGTAGCAGACGCAGCACAAGCGGCTCTGTTCGGGCAGCTGTTGCGTCAGGTATGGTCTCCGACGGATCCAGCCAACGGGAAGGCTGGTAAAGGACCTGCGTGACCCAGCGCGACTGCAAGCTGAAGAGCATCGTAAGGACAAATGCAACAGCATCCGATTCTTCCATAGCACTCTGCATCGGCTGCAGCTCCGGCGACGGGGTAGGAGAGGCGGACTCCAGGCGCAATCGCGGCGGCGACGAGCTGGCTGCTGGCAAGGCCTCTGGGGCTCCAGACACGAACGAGTTATCGAAGCGAGGAAACGCTTTTACACCAGTGGTTGCTGCTTTTTTACTTTGTCGCTTCGAAGGACTTTCCTGTTCACTCATCTCTGAAGCAGGCCGCTTTCGGTGCGATAGCGTATGTGGCGACAGGGTATCCAGTCCTTTCGCGTTACGAACCATTCGGCTTTTCGTAGGCGTGGTTATTTTGTCTTGCATCAGCGAATGTGTGGTATGATCCAGCATAACAGCGGCTTGACGACGCACGGTCGAGGGCCACGTCGTACGATGCGTATCTTGCTCAATGCGCTGCTGTTAGTCGTTCTTCATACATACGCGAAACGCCGCCGCGGTCTCTAGACGTTCGAGCTGCCTGCGATTTTCCTGCTGGAGTGCCTCCAGCTTTTTCCGATGTTCTTGCTCCATTTGGCTCTGCTGGTGCTGCAGGCCGACATTTTGTTGCTGTACGCGATTCCAGTTCGCTCGGACCACAGAGATCTCGCCCTGTTGCTGTTGTGTCTTCTTCCGAAGATCCTCTATAGTTTGGCTCTGTGTTTCATATTGTCGACGAAGCTTCATGGTCAGTGCTACACATACATACCTCGTGTAGCTGTGCTTGAAGTTCGCTCACAGAAATCGGCAGTGACGCAGGTAGTGCTTGAGAGGAGGAGGAGGGCACGGCATTCTCTGCTGCTTGCAGCTGCGACTCAGTTACCTGATCAATGGCCAGTGAGTCCCACCAATCATCGTGAAAACTCTCATCGATGTCATCTTCCATCGTTGCCAACGAGCCAGCGTCATTCACCGTGTAGGCAATCGAAGGTGGTCAGTGTGCGTGGCTTTCTCCACGTGGTGGTCATGGCTACTCTACGCGTGCGCGTTCCAATGCGTTGACGCGTGCCATCATGGGAATCAAAGGTGCGCTTGCCGTTGTCCGCTATTCACACTCCCAGGTTTAACGTCGCTGCTGACCGATGAGGCGCCTTCCTGTATCAAGCAATTTGATATCAAGACCCTGTTCGGCAGAAAAGTCGCCATCGATGCCTCCATGAGTCTGTACCAATTTCTCATTGCGGTGCGTCAATCGGATGGACAGCAAATGATGTCCGATTCTGGAGAAATAACCAGTCACTTGCTTGGCTTCTTTTACCGCACCCTTCGTATGATTGACTATGGCATCAAGCCTGTATACGTGTTCGATGGCAAGCCACCGGATCTGAAGAAGGACGTGGTATGTGCCCATGGTCGTGGCTCACACTAGCTTTCTAAGCGATTTGGACGACGTGAAGAAGCGCGTGAACAAGAAGAGGAGCAGAAGGATGTTGGTACGTTGCCTCCTGTCTTACTTTGTAGCCGACAGCCATACCCTGGAGCAACTCGCACGTCGTCAAGTTCGTCCGACAAGGGAGCACAATGCGGAAGTACAGCGTTTGCTTTCGTTAATGGGTATCCCATGGGTAATCGTATGTATTTTGATGGCTTACTGAAGGCACCATCGGAAGCGGAAGCGCAATGCGCAGAACTGGCACGGGCCGGAAAGGTAGGGAGCGCATTTATTAACGTGTAGGTGTATGCCGCTGGCTCTGAAGATATGGACACACTGACTTTTGGTGCCCCCATCCTTTTGAAACACTTAACAGCAAGTGAGCAAAAGAAGCTACCGGTCACGGAGATCAACCTGGCTAAAGCATTGGAAGAACTTGATATGCCTATGGAGCAGGTATGTATATAGTGGACTGACTCCAGTTCATTGATCTCTGTATGTTGCTGGGTTGCGACTATCTTGACCCTGTACGGGGTGTAGGCCCGAAGAAAGCATTAAAGCTTATTCAAGAGCACAAAACTTTGGAAGCCGTTTTGGAACACTTGCAGCAACAGAGCGATCTGAAAAAGGCCGGCGAAGACACCAAGCGAAAGTCGCAAGACTCTGACGACGAAGACAAAGCCGCGCCTAAAAAGCGAGCAGGGGGCATCCAAGTCCCAGATGTATGGCCTTTCGAAGAAGCGCGGAAATTGTTCCAAGAGCCCCAAGTCCAGGATGGATCCACCGTTCAGGCACGTAAAGCCCTAACTCACGTACCAGTTAAAATGGGAGCAACCTAAAACAGAAGAGCTTGTCCAATTCCTTTGCGGAGACAAGGGATTTAGGTATGTCTATGCAACTATGTATCTGACCCTAAGTGAGGATCGAGTGCGCCGAGGCTGCGAGAAGCTTTCTCGTGCAGTTGGGCAAAAGCAGCAGGGACGGCTTGATGGTTTCTTCGTGTGCGTAGATCAGCTTACATGTCTCTGACTTGTCAATTAGGATTCAGCCGCGACCTGACGGGTCAAAGTCTGCAACACCCAAGCGAAAAAATGCGCCAGGGCCAGCCAGTGGAAAGGCGTCCCGAGGAAAGGCAGCTCGCACTTGACATTATACGGTTTAGTCATCGGGCCTCTTTGTCCTTTGTACATGGTGATTGGGTCTTTCATAAGTAAGTGGTAGGCCCTATGCATGTGCGGCATCTATGACCAGCCGCAGTGCGTGCTGGTTTCTACATAGGTGGACCCTACAGCTAGTTCCTACAGCTAGTCTTTTTAACTTGCCAACGCTGTAGTCTCTTTACGACCGATCTCGTGATGAGCCAGCCTTATCCGTTTCCGGATAAAGAAGGTACACCAGTGGATCAGCAACAGCCTCTGGCTGTAGCTATTCACGGAGAACCAAGGCGTATGCCTGTCCTTCAGCCAATGTCGCCTGAATCTCAGACAGGCACTCCAGAAACATCTTTCAATGATACCTACAGCCCAGAAGCTGTTATGTTTCCACGTTCCATTGGATATGGTGGAATCCACAGTCAGAATGGGTCACCGAACCCAGAGGAGTCAGAGTCTTTTTATGTGGATGACCCTGGAATGAAGGCCATGCCATCTATGCAATCTATGCGGAGTATGCCGACGATGGATTCATTTTCTCATTCCTATCAACCAGGCCTTGCGGTTGGTGAGGGTAAGAGCAGCAATACCTTGTATGAACGAACGGGATACCAAGATGATGAAAGTATTGTGTCAAGTGAAGGCAGCGAGGATCCCTATCCGTGGATGACCATGGTGGATGTGAAAGAAGCGGACGATCACTTGCACGATCCAGCGATGTCGTCGCCGCGTGGATCCTTGGAGCCATGGCGTGGATTCTTCAACATTGGTACGATCATTATACTGACTCTTGCCATTCTTATGCTTTTTGCCGGTTATCCTATCCTTCATTATTACACGATGGACAAAAACCAAAACGAACGCATCTCTGCCTTCCAGAACATCCACCCAGGTGGTATTATAATCCCATCAAATTTCCCTATTGCACGTGTTAACAACACAAACACATCTGCCACTTTTGGACGAGACCAACGCATGCTCATTGACCCAGAGACACCTGAGGATGCTTACGCGCTCGGCAGCACGTATTCCAAAACAGAGGGCAAGCCGTTCAAGCTTGTATTCTCTGATGAGTTCAACACCGATGGCCGCAGCTTCTACCCAGGTGATGATCCTTTCTGGGAAGCTGTCGATTTGCACTACTGGGGTACGAACAACTTGGAATGGTACGATCCCGCTGCTATTTATACCAAGGATGGGTCGCTTCGCATCCGCCTTGAGCAGCATGAGGAACACAACTTGTATTTCCGCGGTGGTATGCTTCAATCCTGGAACAAGTTCTGCTTCCGCAATGGCATTTTGATTGCTCGTGTGCAACTTCCAGGTTTCCAAGATGTTTCTGGTTTGTGGCCTGCGTTCTGGATCATGGGCAACCTTGGCCGTGCTGGCTACGGTGCTTCCTTGCAAGGTACATGGCCTTACTCATATGACTATTGTGATGTTGGTACCGTGATGAACCAAACAATTTTCAACTCCACGTATGAGAACGGCTGGCCGGAGGGCACTGTTGAACTTGGTGGTGCGACGATGTTCAACCAGCAGCACAACACACGCTCACTATCGTTCTTACCGGGGCAGAAGCTGTCTCGATGCACATGCCTGGAAGATAAAGATATGCACCCTGGCCCAATTGATCCGAAGACAGGAGAGTTGGTGGGACGCGCGGCGCCTGAAATCGATGTGTTCGAGGCGCAGACAAGCAAAGACCATGGTGTGGGTGTATCGCAGTCGTGCCAGATGGCTCCGTACAACTGGCAATACAACATCACTCATGAAAATACAACTGATGCCTACCATATCTTCAACTATAAGAAGGGTATTAACGATATCAACCTGTATAATGGTGAAATCACGCAGCAGTCCCTCAGTGGCATCCATCTTGCTGACCAAAACGCCGTTCAAAAGGTAGCCAATTCGCTTGATACGGATGAAGGCAAAGGCTACTTTGCTACGTATTCGCTTGAGTACCGCGGTGGTGAAGACGGGTATGTGGCGTGGAGGAGTGGCAGTGAAAAGGCTTGGGAGATTTACCCTGAGGCACTTCGCCCCGACTCTTTGTCCAAGGTATCACACCGGCAGTTCCCTAAGGAACCAATGTATATCATTCTCAACTTGGGTATTTCCAAGAACTTTGGTAATATCGATTGGGCGAATCTCATCGACGGTTTCCCATTTGAATTGGCTGTGGACTGGGTGCGTGTATACCAAGACCCCGATGATACAGAGGCGGATATTGGTTGTGATCCAGACGATATGCCGACTAAGGACTACATTAACAAGTACATTGAAGCATATACCAATCCAAACCTGACGCTCTGGGGCAATACGGCGGAAGAGGGCGGCTATGGAAAGCTGTGGCCCAGAAATCGGCTGTACACAAAGGGGTGCTCTGGCACTCAGTCACGTCTCCCTGGTGACCCAGATCGCCTTGTCAAGGCATCGCCAGTTTCTTCAGCCTTTGTTACTAAAACGCCTGGTGCTCAAGGCAGCTGGGTTGAGCGGCCGGACGGGCAAATGTGGTAATGTTGCGCGTATCCTTGTTTTAGAAACTTGTTATATATACTTATGAAATAGGGGATGTGGAAGATCGTACATATTCATTTGAATCTATTTGCCATTATGATGCGTCCGTCCTAGGCATATAGTGCACCAATTGAAGATGGATTTTCAGCACTCCACTTGAATGCGCAACATGTCCGCGGCACCACCCGACTAGGGGTGTAAATTTGGAATATTAGTAATGATAGAGGCATTTAGCCATGCCAATGACTGCACCAATTTTGCGGGAGAGAAGTGCCATACTTTAAACCATGTCGGCTGGTATGGGGCCTGCTGGTGCCGGGGATACTATCTCGGTGCCACCACCGGCACAAAGATACGATAGTACCTCACCGCAGATTGGTCGTGGGTATAATGAAAGTATACAGGATGTTCGATCCACAGCTAGCCCCTCCTTGTACCCATCGTCCAATTCTCATCGTGATGAAAATGGGCCTTTCACTGGCTCTGGGCCTTATGACTGGATGGGTCGTCACGATGAGAAAAATGATGATGACGATCTTCATGATCCCGAGAAAGCACTGCGGGGTACTTTTGATCCTACGCGTGCCATGGTCAATGTAGGCACCATGATTCTCCTCATTCTGTGTATCCTCATGCTTTTCGCAGGCTACCCGATTTTGCACTATTACACAGAGACAAAGGTTCCAGATTCACGACTTGAGCAATTTAAGAAGATCTTGGGTGGGCCGGCTATTATTCCTGCTAGCTTCCCTATTGCTCGGGTGAACTCTTCGAAGACCTCTGCTACTTTTGGTCGTAATGAGCGTATGCTTATCGACCCTGATACCCCTACGGATGCTTACACCATGTCCGGCATATTCTCTGGATCGGCACAGAAACAGTTCAAGCTTGTATTCTCTGATGAGTTCAACACCGATGGCCGCAGCTTCTATCCAGGTGATGATCCTTTCTGGGAAGCCGTCGATTTGCATTACTGGCAAACAGGCAATTTTGAGTGGTACGATCCTGCTGCTGTCTATACCAGGGATGGTACGCTCCGTATTCGTCTGGAACAACATGAGGAACACAACTTGTATTTCCGCGGTGGTATGCTTCAATCCTGGAACAAGTTCTGCTTCCGCAACGGTATTCTGGTCGCTAGTGTTCAGCTTCCAGGCTACAATGATGTTGCTGGCCTGTGGCCTGCATTATGGATCATGGGCAATCTTGGTCGTGCTGGCTATGGTGCCTCTTTACAAGGCATGTGGCCTTACTCGTATGACCAATGCGATGTTGGTACCGTGATGAACCAAACAATTTTCAACTCCACGTATGAGAACGGCTGGCCGGAGGGCACTGTTGAACTTGGTGGTGCGACGATGTTCAACCAGCAGCACAACACACGCTCACTATCGTTCTTACCGGGGCAGAAGCTGTCTCGATGCACATGCCTGGAAGATAAAGATATGCACCCTGGCCCAATTGATCCGAAGACAGGAGAGTTGGTGGGACGCGCGGCGCCTGAAATCGATGTGTTTGAAGCACAAGCGCAGTCCGGGACTCGGCTTGAAGTCTCACAGTCGTGTCAGATGGCACCATACAATTGGCAGTACAACATCACCTACCAAAATGAGTCAGACGTTTACACTATTTTCGATCCTCGAAAGGGCACGAACGATCTTAACATTTACAATGGCGAGGTGACACAACAGTCTCTCAGTGGTATTCACCTTGCTAGCCAAACTGCAGTTCAGCATGAAGCTAATTCGCAGGATGTGAATAAGGAGGGTGCATACGCTCAATATGCGTTGGAGTATCGCGGTGGTACAGATGGGTACGTTGCTTGGCAAAGCGATGGGAAACCTGCTTGGGAGGTGTACTCGGAGGCAATGAGGCCGGATCCTCGGTCTATGATTGGGCAGCGCCAGTACCCCAAGGAGCCTATGTATATCATTCTCAACCTGGGTATTTCCCGCAATTTCGGTACCATTGACTGGACCCAAATTATGAAAGGTTTCCCCTTCGAGATGTCGATTGACTGGGTGCGTGTGTATCAAGACCCCGATGATCCTGAGGCAGATGTGGGCTGCGATCCAAAGGACATGCCTACCAGTGATTATATCAACAAGTATATTGAGGCGTATACGAACGCTAATTTCACGCTCTGGGGAAATTCGGCGGAAGAAGGTGGCTACCAACAGTATTGGCCAAGGAACCGGTTGTATTGGAAAGGCTGTTCGGGCACGAAGTCGCGTCTCCCCGGTGACCCAGACCGACCTATGGTGAGTGCACCTTTTATTCCCTCGGCTGCTGTCACGGCAGTGCCTGGCGCTGCTGGTAACGGCAACTAATTAGCTAGATTCTCGATTGAAGAAAATTGATTATGATAGACGCGTTGTTCCTTTGAGGTGTACACGTGACTAGCAGCGATGATAGAGAAGCTCCGTCCTCGTAGGGTTTTTTTTGTTAGATCTGGACACTTGGATTTGTACAAAGCTACTCTACGCTATTGCACATTTCGGAAGGGTCTGATAAGCACCGCCCGCTAAAACGAATATCTTAGATTTCTCTGTATTGGTGACGGGGTAAGTGGTATAGCAGATGATGTGGCTAACTGTATAGAGGTGTCATTTGTGGGGCAAGCAACACTTGAGTTCATGTCAAGCCGTACTCTTGCGAATGTCTTCTCGGCCTCAGGAGTTGGCATTCCAGTCTCTACAGTAAATGACAATATCCCTATGTCCAAGGGCAGTCCTCTCTCTTCGTCAGGCAGCCAGGACCGTCTGTCAATTCACAAAGGGGGGATATCAGAGCTATCGTCTAGCTCCAATGCGGCCTCTGGTTCCCAATACTTGACTTCCTCCGGGGAGGGTTATGTTCCAAATCCTGTACGGCGAAATTCGGCGGAAGTAAATACGGAATCGCCTCTGGATGATTCACAAAACAATCCCGGTATGGGCCTATTGCTATCGCTGTCCGATAAACTGACAGCCAATATGCCATCTGGCGCGTTGGAGACGCCTACATCTGCCTCGGATGTGAAAGACCCCTTACCCACTGTATTTATTCCCCCTGTATTGACGCCTACGGATCCTAGTGCCAACTTAACACCGCTGGCAGAATCCTCTGACTCCCCATCTTTACCGGCTACAGGCGCGTCTATGACATCCACCTTTCCTACCTTTGACCACCAGTCTCATTTGGATACAATTGCTACGGCTGCATCCGCTGCAGCGGCTACACAATACAATGAGGCTCGCGCATTCCAAGTGAAGCATACAAACACGTCGGCACCGACTGGGTCCGACTCCCTGCCACTCCACTCCGCGCCTGCGTTTTCTTACGAAGATCCTGCAACGACAGCCTATTTATCTGCGTCGCGTCAGAGTACCTTACATGTTCCACGGCTCTCCCTCTCGACACCCAAATCCCCGGACAACTTTAGTGCGTTTGATTTCCAGAAATTAATGCCCTCCACGACCAGTGTGGCATCGGTGTCGTTTCCCACATCCTTTTTGGATCCTACGAGAGACGCCTCCATGTCGGCGACTGCTTCGGGGGCTCCGCTGCCCAATGTAGCTAAGGGAGCGAGCACATTGCCTGCTAGTCTTGATTGTCATGGCGTTTTGGACGAAGATGCGTCTCAACAAAAGGTCATTGAAGAAGCGGTCCAGTCGCTCAATGCCCAACACGAACTTGCTCAAACAGCTGCCTTGCATCACCATCAGCAAAAACTCAACGTCTCACTGGGCTTATCCTTACGTGATGCGCCATCGGCTCCTCTGAACGATGTGATGGCATCGATTGTCACGTATCCTTCTACGGACTTGAGCAAGAAAGTACCTTTGATCCAACCAACAAAACCACAAGCGTGCGAGGTCAAGTCTCTGGCTGACACTGAGCGAGGATCGCATGAATCACGCACGACCTCGGATCCAACACAGAAACGCTTCCAGTGCCCTAAATGCTCTCGGGCCTTTGCGCGAGCCTATAACCTCAACACCCATATGTCTACACACGACCCTGATCCATCAAGATCTAAGCCATTTCCATGCCCGTATCGATCATGCCGCGCAGAGGGAGGACGCTCGTTCTCGCGCAAGCATGACCTCCAGCGCCATGTGGCCAGCGTTCATGAAATGGAGCCGGAGCCTGGGATTCTGGGCGATTCAGGGGAAATGGGCGAAGGTCAAGAAACGGGTGGCTTGGCCAGTCTTGGTTTGGGCACACCAGGAAAAAAGTTCCGCTGTGAACTGTGTGGGCGAGCGTTTGTTCGTCGCGATGCATTGCGGCGGCATCATTGCGATAAAGATACGGCGCGGCCTATGCGAAAACCTGCTGCATTTGTGCCTGAGAAGCAAAATTCATCCTATGCGGTCGGCGGCTTCTCCGGGCAAGTGATGCATCAAGTTGCCATGCACTTGATGCAAAAGACCGACGGCGAATCTCTTGCGACAGAGTCGTCAGTGTACCCTCATGTACCATCCCCTCCTCCACCGCGAACAGAGTCTGATGCAAAAGACAAGCCGGTGCACTCACAGAGCACGCCGCATTCAACTGTCACAGCGTCAGCACGTTCGTGATTTTACATGGGTCATGTATTCTAGTTATTTTTTTTCTTGTATTCTGTGCCATTGTATGTAATATGCTACTTGCGTGCCTTCTTCATAGAACTGCTGCTACCGCTGCTAGACTTGGCGGCCTCTGCACGTGCCTGGGCCAATACCATGTCGAAAACGACAGCGTGTTCTTGCAAAATGGCTTGATCACCTGCACGCACTACCAGGGCCATGCGACATGGATCTTCTGATGAAAGCGAAGATGACGCTAAGGCGGCGGCAGTGTCTTCCCAAGACATAGGATACTTGTTCATGCGCAGCGTCAAGGCGTCCAAAAGCACAGACGATACAGCGATCGCAGCTCCCACCGGCGGAGAGCCTGGCCAGCTCGCATCCAGTTCTTCCACAGCATCCAGACGAGCATTGGGCAGTGCTTCCTTTTTCTGTGCCCGCTCGAAGCCATGGCCAGTGAGAAGAAGAAGGCGTGTGAACCCAATCAATTCGTCAGGAATCTCTGAAGCAGCGCGACTCAGAGTGCGCTTTTGTGCAGAGTCCAGTGTTTTGGACGGATCAAGGGCTAGCGTGGAGCCGTATGGAGGCTCATTGGTTGGCTTGCTGAGACGCGACAAGAGGAAAACTTCGTCAACCCCCAGCTCGGCACAAGCCCATTCAAAGCGAGGGGTAAGGACATTCATCACACTCGCATCATCGGCGCCGGTCGCTTTCATAAGCTTGGCAGCAGCCGCTTCTACCAGCATGGTTGCAGGGATTTCCACTGAGGAGGGTTAGAGGCATGTCACTTACCTAAATCGCCACGATTCGGCTCGTCTACAAATCCATACCTGCGCAGCAGGTCACTGTTGGGTGGGTTGCCGTACGTATTCAGAAGTTGCTCGCCCACAGCGATGGGCTTTGTACACCGCATTTCCAGGGCTTCACGTTTGTAAAAGCAGCGGGTCTATACGTTAGCGAATATCCACGTACATTTTCCGAGCCAAATTTGGCATTGAGCATATCGGCCATGGGCACCATCGAGATATCACGCACATTCTCGTCATCGCCTTCCTCTTCACTTTCATTCTCGTCATCGATATCGATGTCCACTTCGTTATCGCTCTCCTCATTTTCATGCTCATCCTCCTGCGGCATGGCTCGCACGACAGCGACTTCCGCTGGCGCTGAGGTAATATCAGCCTCATCCGGCTCTGCCTCACTCAAGTCCCGTTTCACGTGAAAACTGCGACTGAGAATCGAGGATCCCATGCGATGGTACATGTCCACACTGTACCATGTAGCGATACCTGCTTCGACATTCGTAGCCTCGGCGCCGAGGAACACATGGGCATATTGTCGAATGTAGGGGAGAACGCATTCGCGGTAATCTGCCTCGGCATCCTCACGACCGATCTTGTCTTCCACATCTGTACCCACAAGACCCTTCAATTCGTCAGACGACCAGAACATAGGCGTAGAGAACGTAGCGGGCATAATGCCAAAGTAAGCGCCCCACTCCATGCCACCCTCACACGATTGCGTCGATGCACGCCAATGTTCCCAGAGCAGCATTAAAATAAGGGGACACCATCCGCGTGCGACCAAATCCGACCATGCAAGTCCTTGCTGAGGCGGGTTAGCCTCCTCTGCTGCTTCGCATTGCGCTTGCAAGGCACTTGTATCCAAATTCATCAGCATCGAGCGAGGAATCGTAAACAGACGCTCATTTTCCTCAATAGGACGAGTAGCTACCAATCCGCGCCCCATTCCAGGAATCTTCTGCAACGAAAGACTGGAGTCAATCCAACCGCCATGCTGGGCGAACCAAGCGAGAAACGACCGCTCTTGATCGTCCGCCATGATGAATCAACAGCAAAATAGCGCAGGCCACCTGCATAAAAAAAGTGAAGGCGATTAGATATGTTTTATTAAACGCCCCTCGACTTCTGGGGCCCGTGCTGGGCGGCGGCGGACGTATATAATGCGAACAGAATTGCTCTCTTTGATATTGTAGCTGTACGATATGCAGATTTCTGTCGAAAAGCGCGGTAAGATCTCGGGTGGACGTTTCCCCCTGCAGGTGACCATGCCAGAGGGTGCCACCCTCGGTATGTTGAAGGGCGGTATCAGCCAGCTTGTCCCATCCCTCTCGGTGGAGCGCCAACGTCTTACAGATGCTAACAAGGTTGCCTTGCTGGACGACAGCAAGACGCTTACCGAGCTGGGCTTTGGCGAGCAAAATGTCGTCACAGTCAAGGACCTTGGTCCACAAATCAGTTGGCGCACTGTGTTCCTGGTGGAATACGCTGGTCCCTTGTTCATCCATCCATTCTTGTATTATGTTTCGCCTTTGTTCTGGTCGCACTTTGGCCGTGCCTTTGAGCATTCGTTCGTACAGCATATTGTTCTTGTTCTTGTCATGGCACACTTTGCGAAGCGTGAGTTTGAATCGCTGTTCATCCATCGTTTCTCGAATGCGACCATGCCTGCTTTCAACATCATCAAAAACTCGACGCACTACTGGCTGCTCTCTGGAATCCTTCTGGGCTGCGGTGTGTACTCGCCTCTTCTGGGTGCTGCTGCTGTGAAAGGTACGATTCGGGACAACCACCTGTACATCTGGAGCTGTGTGGCTCTTTGGGTTTTCGCTGAGGCGATGAACTTCCACTCGCATGTCATCCTTATGAACCTGCGCCCGAAGGGTACTCGTGTTCGTCGTATTCCTTACGGTGGTGCTTTCGGTCTGGTGAGCTGCCCGAACTACTTCTTCGAAGTGCTGGCATGGCTGTCCATTACGATGATGACTCTATCGCTGAGCTCGCTTGTCTTTTTGGTTGTCTCAGCCGCGCAGATGACTATCTGGGCGATCAAGAAGCACAAGAACTACCGCAAGGAGTTTGGCAACCAGTACCCTCGCCAGCGCAAGATCATGTATCCATTCATTTTCTAAATATAGGGAGGCTGCATGTACGTAGGTATCAATCACGTGATTCGAAGGTGTTGGTGTAGGGGGACGCGAGGGCTTGTCATGTTGTTGGTCCATTGATTGACGTAACGTACCTTGCTATCGAGTGAGGGAGATGGCGCGGCCTATTGCGACGGAGGCGCAGCTGGATGCAGCCTTTGCGCCCCTATTTCCTGTATTCCAACTCTCTGAGACAGAAGATACATGGGACCGCATCGACAAGGCCCTTGCACAGCTACAGAGTCTTACCAAGCAAGGGGCAACAAAAGTGTCCAGCTATATCGCCCATATTCGCGATATTGCTCCTTGTATCACGCGATCTGTATGTACTGCATGACTTACACCAGCTCTTATCGGACCGAACGAAGCTCTCTGGCACAGCCAGTGATGTCATTAATTCCATGGCCCCCCGGTTAGGAGAGCGTTTCGCCGCTCTTCTCTCAGTGTTTTTACCGCCGCTGTTGCAGCTCTGTGCTCGGACAAATAAGGTAGCACTACGAAGGGCCGAGAAAAGCTTGCATTTGATCTGCCATCACTGCCGTCTTCCTCAGGCAATACCCTATTTTGGACAGGCGCTTCGAGACAAGTCCACAACGCTCCGTACGACAGCAGCGAGCTGCCTAGTGATCTTGCTGGAAGAACTCGATCGAGGTCAACTTTCGAAGCGTGTCGAGGATATTGAACATGCGATCCAGATACTTGCTGCTGATGCCCATCCACAGGCACGTACTTTAGGTCGCCAGATGTATGCATTGTATGCAGGGCTCTGGCCTGAACGTCGCCCTAGGTATGTATAGCACACGACTAACGCCAGTCTATTTGAAACATTGGGAGCTACTGCACAGCGATACCTGTCTTCTGTGTCAGCTGCCATGCCGAAATCGACGCAGGTGGATGATGCGCAAGAGACCACACGCACAGTTTTGCGCGTATCGCGCTTACCTTCACAGGGAGTTCCTGTCTCTCGCGATCCCCCTCATTCCCAGCGAGTGGTGATGCCTGAAAAAGAGCGTGAGAACATGGATGTTGCTCCACAGGAAGACGATGCGCGTATGCCGGCGACATCGTGGGCAGACCCTTTTGCCAAGACAGGTGTCCCCCCGCTGCCACCTAAGGGATCGTCCCCCAGCGATGGTATTGCCTATCGGCTTGCTTTGGCACGTGAACAAGCGAAGCTCCGTGCATCGCAACGGCATGGCACTGCACAGTCCACTGAACTGTCGGAAGCGCGTTTATTGTCTCGTGCGCTGCTTCGTCCTACTGCCTCGTTGGGCGGCGCACGCCGTGTTGCTGTATCGCGCCCTGCGATGAACGTATCGACGCCTCCTCAAAAAGCACCCTCCGACAAGCTTTCATCACTACATGCAGCCGGCCACGTATCTACACGAAAGCAATTTACACCGCAACGCCGCCCTTTTGGTGTGATCAACGATGACCGCTCCCCCGACACGAAACGCATGCATGGGCCCACGAGTCCTTGGGCTTCAATGAATACCTAGTGTACATTAGACTAGTAGCGTTAATAGGGTATATGGTATCATACCTTCCAAAAAGTCGGCCGCCATAAGCCTGCGGTGAGTGTCATGGCATCAACGTACAATTCCAATGCGAGCTCAGGGGGGATCTTACGCTCGAACTCCTTTATATTGAATTCCGTGCGGTTTTTGTTGCGTGCATGCCACTGAAGATACTCGACGACTTTTTCAAGGACTTGGCCACTGCTGAATGAGTATGTCTGAGCCACGTACCGGATTTGGAGCTTGCATACGCCGCTTTCAGCCTCGGAGAAGCCTGCGTAAGAGAGACGTGTACATACTGCCTTCTTCCATGGACAACATGGACTTGATCGTCCCACTAAGCATGGCCCATTCCATGTCTACTATGAATCGGTACCCATCCTGCTGTTAGCAAGGCTCATACACACGTCACTTAGCAGTGTGACCCACTGTGTTGGCATGGTGGACCAAAGCTGTGGTGCAGTGTGGAGAGTAGGTACCTCGGCCGATTTGTCACGGAAATGCGGCGTGCGCACGGCTTCGCACTGACACGAATGGCGTCGTTCATTTCCAACCAAACCTATTTTGTGCCAAAAAGTACAAAATACCGGCGTATGAAGTCGGAATCACCTGGTCCACAGGTAGATGGATCCGAATCAGAGACGTCATCTGCGCAGAGCAGCCTAAAAGAGGAAAGTCCATTCGTTTGTGATACGTGTGGGAAGCGGTTTCGTCGAGGTACGTGAGAGCCATCGTAGGCTGACATCGCAGAGGACCTCCTTCGTCGTCATCATGCACGAGAAGCACGAGCGCGTCAAGTCCCCCGTATAAATCGCCAGAAGAGCTGCTATGAATGTGCGAAAAGCAAGACGCGCTGCGATTTGAGCTTTCCCGTTTGTGAGCGGTGTCGTCGACGTGGGCTTACTTGTGTACGTCTAGGAAGGTCTAATAACCACAGGTCTATGCACCGCATAGTGGGAATCCAAATATTCTCCGGGTGAATGAACTTGAGAAAAGCATGTCCAGCACCATGCTTAGGGGGGGACGTCAATCGCCTCGTATTACGCCGTATACGTTGGCACGTCCCATGACAGGGTACTCGCAGACCTTTTCCTCAGAACGGTCTGGGAATGAAGTGCCATCTGAGACCAATGTCCCCTTTGCTGTGAACATAGCGCCATTTTCGATGACGGATACTACACCGGAGAGTGTCAAAAGCAACACCACAGCAGAGACGTTGACGGGCCAAATGGCAGAGTTGAACTGGCATCCACAAGCCACAGCGTCGCACATGGATGTACAGACCCAAAATATTGGGCCTCCCTCCGCGGATGCATGGTCGATGCCTGTGGGCATGGACGTCATACCTGCCGCACCCGGCCTGCCGGCCTTTTTGCTGAGCACGGATGCACCAGGTACATCTATGCCAACCTCTCTCAGAGCGGCACCTCCGTCACTCCTCTCGCCCCTTACCGATCCACTAGCGTCGTCCAATGTGACCACCATTCCTTCCACAGAATCGATGCTTTCTTCAGATTCACAACAATCCAACGAACTGGCACATTCTCTTTTAGAACTGCCTTTTTCTATGGGCATAGAGGGTGAGAAAATACCCAAAAGAAATCTATCATCCTTGCCACCGATCAATACGGACGACTTTTCTGCGGAGGAGTATCAATGGTTTGCTTCTGCGCCAAGTGCATCGCATATGGCGCTCTTTTCACCAGGCCATTCCATCCTGGCCACAGGCTCCAATCATGTACAGTCCTGGCTCGATGATACCCTAGTCCCATCGCCCATGTACGAACGTGGTGCCAATACGGGCTGGTCAGGTCTGCTTGGATCTGTGGATGAGAATCGGACCCCGACATATGCGTCATATATGAATGCACAGAAGGGATGGCCGCCTACGACGAATAGGGCCACTGCCCCGGCCGTGCTTACGACGTCTCATGATTGGTGGTCGTACAATGAAGAAGCACAAGAGCGTTTTCACAAGTACATTTTGAATGTGCTTCCGCTTCATGGGTTCTTTCAGAACAACGATCGTCGCACGACACTGGCCGTGGCGGTCATATCCAAGTTTTTGACGTACGCTACGTTCATGTACCTTCGTGATCCACATGCGCCACAGCCCCCGTTTTTGCACCGTGCGATGCTGCTGCAGTACCGAGAGGACATTCCAGAGCATTTGTGTATTGCGCGCGCTTCGCTAGCAGCGCTCTCGATGCGGTTGCCGCATAGCGAGGTATGGGCGTGGAAATTGGTCGGCCAAGAGTTTGCAAAGCTGGTCACAAAAGCACAAGAAACAGCTGTGAAGTCATACAATTATCGAAACAGTTTGGACGGCACGGTATATGAAGCCATTCTCATGCAGAGCTTGACGTTCGAGAAACTGTGGGAGCAAGTCAGCATGGCCCAGGCACTTTGGCTGTACTTGGTGGTCGGCTCCTTTGGCAATTGGCTTGAGTCGCATGGTAATGACTTACAGCAGTGGTCCACAGAGCATGAGTTCTGGGGGCCCATGCTAACCCCATTGGCGGTAGAAGCATTGCAAGCCTACCTGAATGAGCTGGCCGTGACAGCGTACTTGCTCCAGTCCAATGGATGGGCGAAGCCCGCCAACTTTGTGTGCAAAAATCAGCAGGACACAAACTTCATGTGGTGGGGTCTCTGCGAGACACTACGACGCACTATTTTAAGTGCTCATGCACTTCTTGTGCTTCTCCGTTTCTGCCGTTATGCCCACGATCACAGTGTCGCAGTGGCCACGCTGGGCCATGCGCCGTGCCGCAGCGATATCTCGCAGGCCCAATGGAAACCCATAATGGAGCTAGAGATGCCAAGCATTGCTACTGTATTTGAGGCCCAAGATTATTCTCACTGGCGGCAATGCTTGGCAAATGAGATGGAAGAGGGCAGGGGCCCTAGCATGACGCTGTCCTTTTGCATGCAGCAGCGCGGCCATGCCCAGACAGCGGCAAAGAGCAACGAGCGTGATGCAGTCGAACGGTACTTACACCGTCACGACGAGTTTACGAACGTATGTCTCTCTGCCCTGTATGGTCTGACAAGCTCGTAGACCCTTAGATACCCACGCAGCACCTGCGCTTCTTGAGAGTCGTCGTCG